ACACACACACACACACACACACACACACACACACACACATCTTATTATGAGCTGTAATTGTTCTTCTTGATCATCAGATACCAGGTAGTAACTATAGTAACCAAAACTACGAAAGGCAAAGAAATTACGTAAATGAAGGATGAAACTTAACGAATGAACGGCGCAGCGTTGCAAAATTGGCGTCCTGTTGGCCTTACGTAACAGGCTGAAAGAGGGAATGTCGCCACCTACTGTAGCGGAGGAGGACCTGCTTCTGTCAAAGTACAAGCTCCACGGACCTGATGTGCGCTGCAGAGTGGTTTCAATTCCAAAGCACTGGCTAACCTTTTCTAAACATCGAAACTTGTCTGTAATCTTTTCTTTAAAAGACAGAGACGAAGAGGAGAGCAGTGCAGAGGTGTGAAAAACTGCAGTTCTTTGAGTGTCCACTAAAGGCCGGCTACAAAAGCCAAGAAATCGTCATGAGGTCTTGTGAGAAAATGCCTGTTTTAAATATGAACAGTCTGGTGTAGATACTGGTTCTGATCAGTTTAGCTCCCACAGGGAGTGAAGTTTGTTAGGATTCCCCTGAGTCTGTCTCAGATGAAAATTTAGGCTACTTTAAGTCATATAAATGTTTAACCGTTGAACCTTTTCTGTATGTTTCAAAGCTACTCTTAAATTTCCTAAAGTCGCAATCTTTACTGGGCACCAAACCGCCTCCAGAGCACACGTATAAACAGGCTAGAAACCAGACTCTTTCTTCAAAGACCTGATCCTGATCAAACCTAACAAAGACACAAGACTTTACAGTGACTTCACCCACATAAGTTGGCGGAGTGACTTGCTAACCTGCTAGCCAGGTGTCCTAGCTCTTCAGTCAGTATAGCTGTAGTGTTTGTTGCAAAATGAACACTTTAATAAAAGGGAAACAAACACGAGATATAACATTTACATTGATAGTCTGCACCGTCTCAGAGTGATGCGTTCAGGGCAGCCTCGGATAAAAGAGTGCTATATTGCACGCACACATTTTCAGAGAGCCTCATACAGGAGAGCATGTAAGACATATGAGGACTTTAACACCAAAATGAGAGGACTAATTAAGTTCAAGGCATTTCATAGCTATTATTATTTTATTTCCATTTGTTATTGTTAAAACAAAACAAGAAAGTGTGCAGCTTCACTTTCCCCCCTCAATCTAGGTTTATTTCTGCAGATAATCAATACCAAATAATTGTAATAATACTAATTAAACTTATTTGGTTGAGCAACTTAATAACCAATTCTCTCATAATAAGCTCATATCCACCAAACAAGGTAACCCCAAAATTTCACAGCACGTGCTGCAAAAATCTCACAGATTTTATAACCCAAATGTTAGCAGGTATGCTTTAAACACAGGTGAAAATCTTGACCCGCTAACCTGCTAGCCACATGTAGCCTAGCTCCTCAGTCAGTATATCTTACCAGACTAGCTTGTTCGCTAACTCACATTTTACCCTGTTGGCAAGCTAGCTTGGACCATAGGTGTACGATGCAAACTCTTTTTAACCAACCAGAATTTGTCCGTCAAACAACAGCAGAACAATTCACACAGCTAGCTCTAAACATGGGTGAAAATAGTGAGCTGCTAGCCACATGTAGCCTAGCTCCTCAGTCACTGAAGCTAACCCGACTAGCTTGTTTCCTAACTCACATTTTACCCAGTTGGCTAGCTAGCTAGCTTGGACCATAGGTGTACAATGCGAACTCTTTTTAACCAACCTGGATTTGTCCGTCAAACATCAACAGAACAATACACACAGCTAGCTCTAAACTCAGGTGAACTTTGTGACCTGCTAGCCTGCTGGCCACATTTAGCCTAGCTCCTCAGTGATCGTCGCTTTCCAGGCAAACTTTTTTTCTTACTCACATTTTTCCCAGTTGGCTAGCTAGCTTGGACCATCGATGTACAATGCGAACACGTTTTAACGAACCTGAATTTGTCCGTCAAACAACAACAGAACAATACACACAGCAAGCTCTAAACACAGGTTAACATTGGCGTGCACATTTACAGCACGACTGCGTGTACACTTGAGTGTGTCAATGCTTGTGCAACACTTTAGCGCGGAAGTGCAACACTTAGCATGCAAACAGACTGTAAATCAGCAGTTTGGCTTACCTTTGCTGTTCACCTGGTCTTCTCGGCCTTCAAACAAAAGAGTCTATGCAGGTGCCCAGATACATTTATTCTTCCTGGTTGTACCATGTTTGAGGAGCAGAGGGGGGAGGGAGAGTGTGAGATAACCAAAATATGTTTCTCTGCAGCTGAGCGAACAAATTTGACCCCCTGTTGTTGTTGTTTTTTAAGTTATGGGGGAATAATAAACGACACGTGGGTCTCTTTTTGGGAAAACTCTAACGCTTTAATTTCACAGCGACTCCTCCTCCCCCCTCTGCCGGTCCATACCATGACTCATGACTCCATGACTCACTTCATGGAGGGTTTATGTGGCGCTCATTTATATTTAATGTTGATTTATTCTTGTATTCATTTATTCAGCAAAAATCAATCACATTATTTATTAGGCAAACATTTCCTGAGATTATTGAACAAGCCTTCACATTATTTAATGACATTTCTTTTATCCACGAGTTGAAACATGAACTTTTTACGTCTCATTGACAAAGCAGCAGTGACAGAGCTGTTCTTTGTGTTTTTCTTCAACATGATCTCTTACAGTTAGAGGAGCTGAGGAATATCCGTGTATTGCATCCGCTGAAAACCACCAGTCTGACAAAGCGAGCAAACACACAACAAAATCAGGTCATGTATGGACGGCTTGTGTTATGACGCAATGACGACTCCAGATAAAGCACTTACCTGCTGCGTGCATGTCTTACAGATTTTAAAGGGCTATTCCGGAGTAAAATTAAGTCATGGTCAAACACACCATGACACCGAGTGAGACACCCCGTCGAGAGATGAAGGGTGCCGACCGCTTGCTTCTCTAGCTATATCCAAAACGCCACTTTATAGCCACAAATAATGCTTATAACAGCACCTAAATTCATCAACAGGACATACAGGGTCCCAGCCAAAGTACTAGCCACCAAACATCTTTTTAGCTTTGCCTGATTTCTTTAGCAAAGAGACTAAACACATCTCACCTACTCTCTTCCAGCAGCCACTTGTTTGTAGCGACACCTCGGGCAAGTCCATCTGCCGACTGCAGCAGGGTGAAGCAGCTCAAGGAAGAACATTTCGGCGCATTATTTGTGGCTAGAGTGGCTTTTTGCTTGAGCATGTGGCTCTGTGAATTGCTATCTGCGGTCATTACTAAGAAGCAAGCGGTCGGCAATATTCATCTCTCGACGGGGTGTTTAACTCTGTGTTACGGTGTGTTTGACCCTAAATTAATTTTACCCCGGAATATCCCTTCAAGTCATCAATGGCAGTCACCAGTAAAATAGTGTGAGTGTGTTTGAGGATACGTCAACTAGGCCAAAACTGCTGCTCGAGAACAAAAGAGTAAAAAAGGCAACAAGAGGAAACACAATGAAACTCTGCACGGTGAGGCAGACGGAGAATATGTGCAGAACAAACCAATTTTACCTCATCACAGCTGCACCGGAGTAAAAAGGCATCAGTGCATGAAATAGTCTATTATGATAAGAATTAAAATAGATCAGATCTAGAAGTGAGGGCGGAGATAAGGACTAAAGAGTCAGGATGTGAACGTGGTACATGATCACAGTTTCTGATAGCAGGTTTCACAGCGGGGCCTGTTTAAAACAGTCCAGACAGCTTTGATCACATAAATGGGAAAGAAAAGCATAACTCGAACTGTTGAGCAACTTTACATCCACTTCTTTGAACCAGGAGGAGAAACAGAAACAAGGACAAGTGGAGAGAAACCCCATCATTCCAGTTATTTGTTCATTAAATTGATATTTTTGGTTGTTAATAATCACGATTAAATGAGTCACATGTTAAAATGTTTAGTTTTATGATACTTGATTGAAATTCATAGTGATGATTTTTTATGATTGACAAAAGCTGACAAGACCATCAGCATCAAGATTAACACTTTCTATGCTGTAGTTTTTAATGTCTGAAGAGGCTGTTTCGTCCACAAGGGGGCGCCAAACTGAAAGTTCTTTACAAGTGCTTTAAAGTCCCACTCCCATCATTTTATTTTTACCACTGAAAGTGTTCTCAGTGGTCTTTAAATTGTAATTATTACGTTTTTGGCCAAAATCATGTTACCTGTATTTTTTTAGAGGGCTTTTCTTCCGCAGAGCTCCAGAAGATCATTACCAATTCAGCTCTGAGTCGTGGGCGGAGACAGCGCTGCTCTGCACACTCGTCTGTAGAAGTAGCAGGTAACACAGCTCTCGGACACGAGTGTCTTAAGGGACATGATTAAAACTAATATCATAATTAGTTTTCTAATAAACATTGCAATCCGCTAATGCACACTCTTGTTCCGCGATCGTCCTCTCTATTTCTGTGTGGCCTGCATAGCGGGGCTCCGGGGGGCGGAGCTTGGATTTGTGATGTAGGAAATCTCACTGTTTCTGAACCTGCTGGTTGGGTCTGCCAGGGATTCACAGCGACTTGAATGCAGAAATACTCAGAAATGCAATTTAGCACTTAGAAAAAACTCAGAAAAATGAACATATGAACATGTAGACAACAAGAAAAATACAATTTTCATTGGAGTGGGTCTTTAAATCTGAAGTTATTAAAACTCTAAAGGTGTTCTTACCGGTGTCTTCTCTAACGCCAACTGGCTTTGAATCAGTTAGCACCAACTGAGCAAGATCTGAAATTCTTCAAATTACCGTAAATTTTGGTGTATAAGAGACATACTTTTAGTACCTTTTTCATCATAGATAGAGTGGGCTGAATCTCATACACAAGCGTGACCAGTACACCAGATTGAACAGCATCTTTGCTGCACAAAACATGATGGAAACAAGGTTAAACATGTGTCACTCTTTAATGTTGAAGAAAATAGTGGTAATTCCCTGTACGATTTGATAACCCCCTCACACCTCTACACATCTACATAAAAACTACACGTTGCTGAACACAATAAATATCACACAAAAAGACAGTTCAAATGTTTTTCCACCAATCTCTATTCTTCCCAATTCTCCTCTCTCCTCTCTAATAAATGCTAAACAATGACAATAAAAGCACTCTAAAGCCCTGAGAGAGCACATGAAAGTACTCCGAACCTTTTATCAAGAGTACGCTAATTAACAGAGACACTGAGGGCACAGCTGTGTTTTATATATGAGATGAAACATTTCAACAGATTTGTTTTCTCTGATGACTCGCGCTCCAGATCTGATTTAAAAGATATTTCAAAAAACCACAATGACGTGGTTCCTGGAAAATTCGTCATATTTCCTCTCCTCGGCCAATGGTTGATAGTGCTGGGAAAACTCTGAAATGTGAATCTTCCAGTGAAAAATTCGGACTGGTTGAGGCTGATTTAAGGGTTTTAAATGGCGCTGTGTCTCAGTGATGAAGAGGGGTTTTGAAGCTCTTGGCAGTCGCCATATTGGAAATGCTGACTTAACCAGACTTGAGTTTTCAAAGAGGTGGCGCCAAGGCAGGCCAGCGTCCTGGCTAACAACTGTGTCAGTTCGTCTCATGCAAGGGCTTCATCTCTTCAAACTTTTCCTGATTTAAGTCACGATTTCGACTCCTTCCTCTTCATCAATGAGTTCCTCTGTTAGCTGCAGACGCACAGAGTTTAACGTCGTTTCCAGGATCAGCCGATGATGACATTATTCTGGGAGGACGGCCTGGAAGAGAAGGAGCGAGGCGCACAGGAAAAGTGTTCGATAATTCATGTCGACAGCTCGTCTCTGAAAATCTGTACAAGAGACACATTAGAAATCTGTGTTTGAGAGCCAGTGTGTGTGTGTGTGTGTGTGTGTGCGTGTGTGATAGATGGCCTCTCCAGCTCTGACAGATGCTGTAGAATCACTCAGCCACGCCAGCCCGGCTGGTTACCGGGGGCAACCCTGTAAATCTGACATTATGGGCTGTTGACAGGAGAAACGGTTGTTATCATAACCCACAGTGAGTTACAGGAAACGAACACATCTCTCAAGTTTTCAGCATGACAGGAATATAGCATTACATACACACACACAGACACACACACAAAAACGCACACACACATAAAAAAAAAAGAGTACGAGTGTATTAGGAGATAATTTGGATTTACAGCTTAGTAGCATATAACAGTATGGGAAGTATGTGAGGTAACGGTGTGTCTTTTATTTCTGTGTGTGTAGGTGTGTGTGTTTAGGTGTGTGTGTGTGTGTGTGTGTGTGTGTATGGGGTCAAAGGGAACAGTGTCTACATGTTTTATATCTCAGTAAGAAGGATGTGATAGAGCCAAGTGATGAGTGTGGGAAACCTCCCGATGAGCAGGTCACAGGAAACAAGATATCTTACCTGGTCCTCTCTAATCCGCACCATGAAATGATGTATTTACACACACACACACACACACACACACACACACACACACACACACACACACAGCTACAGACAGGGGGTTGTAGCATCGTCTGAAGTGCAAGGATCCAAAGACACTCTAAGTTATTTTAGCGTGAAAACTTCCCATCAAAAAAGACCTGTAACATATTTAAATACATCATTATGGCCTAAACTGGAATATTTAGAGCTGAATATTCGATTGTTTATGTCAGCTTGACATTTGGGACCACTGACAGGGCGTTAAAGTGGACTACAGGCCTTTGCGATCAGCAGAATACCACCACCAGACCTTCGTGGTTATAGGGAGTTCAACAACTGTAGTTTATCCTTTTTCTCGTTGTTTGTTTGATGGCAATCCAGAGCTCCCTTCATTTACAGTACCAGTATATTTCTGTTTACTAGCTTGATTTGTATAAATGACTCACTCTGTCCAAGAGCCATATCTCATCTGTGAGTTTGCACGAACATCTGAGTAAATTAGATAGAGAAGGGGTCCCCTTCGAGAGTTTCCTTCCAAAATGGTTGAGACTGACGCATCAGGAGGATTTGTCACGAGGTGGTGACATTATGGCGTAAAAAATGAAGCCAGCCTTGCTGGATGAAGCCACCGCGAGAACAGCACCCTCTGGTGGCTGGTTGCACTATAGGTCACAAGCCCTGCCTCCTCCAGCAAAATAAAGGAAGCTGTAGACACACTTTAAAAATGAAATACAAATCATTTGACTTTTGTCGCCCCGGGTTGCGATGCTGACATGTAGTTATTGTTAGACTGTGCAGCTCAATTTTTGAAGTCATTAGGGAGTCCATGTTATCTATGATTGACACTCGATACAGCCTATAGGCGTACGAAGATTGCGTCGCTCACCCAGGAGGATACGCTTTTTGATCTGAGCAGCATCAAAACATTCTACCACCATACGTTCACAAATGCCGTTTTTTAGGAAGTGGAGAAAATCCCCGAAATACAGAGACCTTTTTGGCTTTGAAGGGAGACTTCACACTGTCCATACTATAAACAGTCTATGTGTAACACTCAATAAAAAATCTAGCATACGTTAAAAACAATAGGAATATGGAGGATAGAAAGCATAATTAATGCATGAATCATTTGTCTCAAGTTATCGTCATTAGATGATGTTTTTTTTGCCTCTTAAATCATCACCTTTGGCCGGGAACAATCGAGCAATACCTTCCTGAATCATGATTCCCTGAACCCCAGTGCACACATGCCCTTTCTACACCCCCCACGTGCTGCTATGCTTCCTATTTCATGCCATGATTATACTGTATTTTAAACCAAAATACTTCCTCTTACTGCCCATACTTTATCCACCTCTCTCTCTCGGTCTTTTCCCTTCTCCCGCTCTCTCAGTCTGGGTGTTCCAGCTGTAATGGTGTGTGCTGTGGGAGCAGCAGGAATGGCCATTACCATCCATGGATCAGTGGCAGAGGCCTGCACACAGCGGACTCACATGAGAGAGGAAGAGAGAGAGGAGGAAGGAGCGACGGGGAGGTCAGAAAGGTAACAAAGAGAGGAGAAAAAAGAGGAAGGATATGAAGTGAAAAGATGGCAGACAGAGTGGATATTATTTCACGCAGTTATTATAATGAAGTCCTTCCAACAGAGGTTGTGATGATGGAGGATTTCTAAGTGGTAGCTATGTTAAACCGCTTGATGGATTTGATGCAAATATAATCACACACATGCTCTCAGTGAGGCATTTTTCTCGCTGTGACAGAATTTGGATGGAGGCACGTCCAAACATGCCCAGAGCCCACAGAATTATGGGTACTGAAATAGGGAAAGATTGGTGGATGTGCCTTTATTTCATTTGGGACGTCAAATGGTTCATATTTTATCCGCACAGCCTCTGACTGATGAGATGAGGCAGATTTATGACCGCAGGTTTGATGTCTTATTGGAAGAGAAGTCATCTTTAAAGGGTCGTATGTTTTCACTCTATACTGTTAATAACATGTGAATTGAGCTGGAGTGAAAGATGTAACCGAATGACTGATGAAAGCTTCTTCCGCTTCAAGATTTTGCTTTTTCTTCCAACCACTGTGTTTCTAAACTTTGCAAGTGGAGGATCAGACCTTTCATCAGGAGCTTCTCGTCCTTGAAGGCCCCCGTTGTTTCGCTCTCAGGACGGGGGTGAGCAAGGGAGCATTTCAACCTGGAATCTGACCACCTGAATATTCCTGTTTCTAATCCCCTTAGCTCTGATCTTCACTCTGAAAGAATCGCATCTTTACGTCTAAATATTGACTTTATTAGAGATCCCACTTCTATTTTTTCACTAGGGGCGGGAGAAAAAAATCGATAAAACAAAGTATTGCGATATTTTGTCTGGTGATATATCCTATCGAGCATTTACCAAGTATCGTTTTTCAAATTAATTGTTAATATGAAGTCAAATCTATGATAATGGAAAAATAAAATCAACTGTTTGTCCAGTGAGATTGGCAGAGGTGTTATCGTAGAGCAGGAAAAAGTTAGAGCAACAAATATTCGTAAGGTTTGCAAGATGTGCTACATGAAAATATAATATAGGAAGACATATATATATATATATATATATATATATATATATATATATATATATATATATATATGCTAAATTAGCTAAACAGTTGAAAAAATTAAATAAATTGCAATATATTGTATCGCAATACTCACTATATTGCAAAATGTTAAAAATCTCAATAATATCGTATCATGGCTCAAGTATCGTGATGATATCATATCGTGGGGCTACTGTGATTCCCACCCCTGTTTTTTACAGGGACGCTGAAGTCATTTGATTAACATGTGAGAGTCAACACAACATTTAGCCTAACAAAAGAAGCTGCAGCTTCTTATACTATCACTAAATCTTTGTTTATTTTATGTTACAGATAATGTACAATTAAAAACTGCCGCTTCACACCTCAACATGTTTTTTCAGTGATTGGTTTCGTTAAAGGAGAAAGAGGTGTGTGAGAAAAAAAAGGATCCAGACAGGCTAGATGCTTTAAAAAAATTGGTGTAATGTTTCTTTACCTTTAGCTGTTTTATTATAAAGTCAAAATCTTTAGCCAAAAAATACGTGTGAAAAACCTTGTTAGCTGATTGGACGATCAAAGGATTTTTACCTAAATCAGCTGAGAGATGTTTGTTAGCTAGAGAGGCGAGTGATGGTCATTTTAGTTTCTTTGAGCTGCAGGTTAGTTACTTTACCTCTCAGTTAGAGCTGGACGTTTGCTAGTTAATTTGAATTTAATCAAATAACTAATAACTTGAAATAACTTCTAAAGTTGTTTGGAACTTGAGGCAAATGGGTCTTATTCATGTTGTGTCCTGGCTGCGTTTTTATTGCAGGATGATAGGGGAAGGTCCCGCCCTCCTTCGCCTCTGACTAGAAGTGCTGGGCTCCGATTGGTTATTCCTTATGGCTGTGAAACGTTATTGTCTGTCGGGTTAGGCGATTCAGAAGGGCGATAATGTTCTGTAATGTTCTGTTCGATGTACAGAGCCGACGGCTCGCGTTTGACTTGAGCGTGTGATGATGTAGCTTTTCTAGCCAATCAGAGGGGAAGGAGGGCGGGACTTTCCTCTACCGTCCTACAAAAAAAAAAAAAATTGCATCCTGGCCTCCCTTAGACGGGGCATAACATTGGGTGACCATATTGAAAGTTGTGTGCAAAATTTCGAGGGTTTTTCTGGGTTGAGTGTTTTTTACGCGCATGTTCTTAATTCCCAAAAATTAAAAAAAATAATAGACGACATTTTATCTCATTGTTTTTTCCCCCACTTGCAGAAACAGGCTCCCATACAAAACCCTGGACATTTGAAGGATTAAAAAAAAACTCCACAGGCCGGACAGCTCCCCAAAAGGGGATGTCACCCTTGTATTACAGGAAGAAAATAATCATTTAGTTTAGGAAATATCAGCGATCAAGAGCTCAGGGTTCAAGCTAAAAGAAGATAGTTCGAAACAGTTTTATCACCCCCTCAGGATTAGGATGAACTTCCTGTCCTAAAGGGCCTGATCACACCAGTTTACTCTGACAGTGGTCCATGTCAACACAGCGAACATTTCTCTTCCTAACTTCTCCGTCTGATTTAAAACGTCTGAGTAAGAAGTCGTCGACGTAAGAGAAGTGACGTACTGCGCCGCCTCTTGAAGGCAGAGCTGTAATAAAAGGTCCGCACAGTTGTCGTCACTCCGGGTCTCTGGGAGCCGCAGCGTCAGTGTGTCAGGTTGTGCGGGCGCTGACCTTTCTGTTGTAACAGCCGGAGAATAAAGGGAAGTGCCACACAAAGAGCTCTATTAACTGAGAAAGCAGATATAATGGGGAAACAAGATGGGCCTTTAATGGGGACAGGCAGGCCTGTCAGCATGCATAATGTAACAGTCGTGTTAAAACAACACTGCTCCCCCCTCTGACACACACTCACACACACACGCGCACACGCACACACACAGAGCACAGACACAGCCTTATATATTAGAGAAGCAAGTTATTAATTCACATTCTGGTCTTCATCTATGAAATATTCTCCATGCACGGCGCACATTTCTCTTGCGCGGATGAGAATCATTGTTGTGTGTAATTATGAAGACAATGTTGGGAGGGATTATCAAAGAAGTACGGGAGGAAGATAAGAAAGCAGCAGATGAAGAGGGAGGGAGGACGAGAAGAAAGGGAAGGAGAGAGGACGGAGGAGGAGGAGGAGGAGGTGGTGAGAATGAAGAGAGGAGGGGAAAGATTACTCCTCTTCCTCTGTTTGTTGAGCTATCCTTCCCTCCTCCTCCTCTCCTCCCTCCTTTCCTCTGTATTAGCATGATAAAGACGTGGTGGAATAGGGCAGCCGGCAGGTCTTTGGACATGGAGACAATGCTATCGCCAGAACAGGCGTCTACAGCAGGGGAACAGCCGCACAGGGACCGTACACCAACACACACACACTCACAGACACACACACGGGGCTGCATACATGAATAAACACACACGTAGTCACTGATACAAGACACAAACATGTAAACACACTCCGAGCTGTGGATTATAATGTCCATGAGGAGTTACACAATGAGAGGTAACATGAAATCAAAGACAGCAGTCTCCTAACTGTAAACATGCTGAACACAAACAGACGGAATATCCCTTTAATGGATCGTTTTATTATGCTGTGCCGTCTTGATAAAAAATTTACTGTCCTTTACTCAACTGGATCAGGATGTTTAAATTTATATCAGGCTGAAAATTTATATTCAGCAGCAGGAAAGTCTCTCAGCCTTAGTTTGGATTTTTGAGAGACAAGTGGAAAGACTCGAAACCTGAGGTGTGACTTTAATAAACTTCAACTGAGCAGCTTATATTTCAGTGATAACTACATATGTTTTTATCTACATATACAGTCTAAAACAACAGTATTTATACTTGTGCAAAATTCAACATCCCACGTTAATTAAGTTGTTTCTTTTACTCCACCTAAGCCAGCATTACTTGTGATAACTTGTTATGAATATTGAATCGCCATCAAAACTAAGGATATGTGCATCTACTACACGATAAATCTAGTATTTTAATCAAGTATTAAAGTAAACTTTTACCTAAGGCCGGTGTTATTATTTATGACTTTGTGAGCTGGTGTTTAGCTGTGTTAGAGAAAAGATCCTACATTTTTGCTGATTTCTTTGTCACCAGTTTCTTAGTTGGAACTGTTATGAACTTAAACATATAAATACACATAGTGTTAAACCGTTGGATGACTAAACTGAACTGCAGCAAAGTTAAACAACATGCGATATACTGATGGAAGCGTCATTTCCATATGCTTCGCCAGGTTTTGCTGAATTGCTTGTTTTGTGATGTAATAACAGCCGCCGAATGCTAATGTGGATAAATATAAAACTCAGCGGGTGCTAGCGGCTAACCTCAGACTCTTTATTTAAAGATGGAGCTTCACAGCTGTGTAAAAAGTAACACCCACAGACACTAAAAGATGCCAAAGAGAAATGTTTCAGACAGAGGCAAAATTGTGCTGAAATTAAGTCAAAGTGGAATAAATAACAAGGTTATTGAGCGAAAAATCATGAAAGGTGAAAAACGAAAAAAAAAAGTCACTGATAAAACTGAGTCGGACATTTACAGGACCTTTTAGATGTTGATTTTCATTTAAAAAATATATAGATTGTATTTTGTATATCAGTATTATGAAATGGGGTGGGTACATTTTTAAAAACCTTTATTAACGTTATTTCATTTAGATCATTTATGCTGAAATTTAAAGTTTATTAACATTTGACTTTTTACCCTTTCCCAGTAAAAATGTTTATGTAAATGTATGTTGTCATCGTAATATTAATAGTTACAGTAAGTTACAGATTCACCACTTTTGTCTGTTTTTTATTCTACTGTTTTAAATTTTACTTTTTATTGTCATCTATTTATTTACTTCTTCTATTTATCCCATGTACACCACTTTGTTTGACTGTCGAAGGCTCTAACTGAAGTTAGAGCCTTACAGAGATGACACGGTCATTTATTGTGAAATATTGAAACAAATTCTGGTAATAATTTACAGTAAAAATGTTACTCAGTTTCACTTACATGCCCTCATTATCAACAGTGGAAAAGCAAAGATCTTTTGTAAGGAAAGTATAATTTTTTAACGCAGTTGTGTGAGTTTTATTTCTTCTAAAAAGGACAAGATCTGCTTTTTAACATTAATACACTTTAAAATGTGTGAAACCATTCATTAATTCTGTTTTGACCATAAAAAAGAGATTTTTACTGTAGTGATGCAGGTTTAAAATGCACTTTTAATAAAATTCACCGTCTCACCTTCGATGGTTTTCACACAGAAAAACGAAGATTTTCACTTTCTTTAATAAAACCTGTGTGTGCGTCTGTTTCTCCTCTTCTCTGAGAGATTTTACCCTCATGAACTGTCTCCTCCTCCTCTTCCTCATCTGTCCATGTCATTGGAAACATCATTAACCAGTGCATCAATAAGCTGCTGGTCAGGCTAATCAGTGAGATCTACACAAACACACACACACACACATACACAAACCTACACAAACACCATGGATGCTGCACCTCCACAGATCTGGAACAGGAGCCACAGGCCCAGCGGGACCCTCGGCCACCCCGTCAGAGGAGCTGGGCCTCGCTTCAGCTCTCCTGTTTTACTGGAGGAAAAAGAAACATTATGGGTCACAGCGAACGCGCACACACACATTTACACAAACACACACACACACACACACACACACACACACAGATGCACACTGTATGTAGCATGTGTAAACATACTGTACACACCAGCATGGATCACAGCCAGTTCATGAGCCTGTGACGGTCGCCCAACCAGAACACACACACGGGCCACACGCCACACACACTCACACTCTCAGTGAAAACACACAGAACTGTACAAACAGGGCGAGCTCATGAGCGGGAACGAACACACACCAGAAAATTCCACCGGACGGTTTAAAAAAGCTTCATTCAGCAACAATCATCAGTGAGTCTCATCGTTAGTTAAAGTCGTCAAACATCACGACAATCTGCTTACATTAAATGACAAAAAGACGTCGAAATACAATAATATGTTGATGGATTAAAGTTAAATATGCATATTTAAACTGTTGATGTAGGACAAACACAGTCATGTAAGAGTTAATGGAAAATATTAAGAAAAAAGAGCATTTGCATGACCTTTAAAAATGATTCATCGTGACCCAAAATGTGCTTTAATGTTTATATACCAATATAAGACGAGTTTCCTCCTTTAAATACACCAGAAAAACTCTTAAGTAATACATATATATGTGTATATATAACTCTACAGTTGAATATTGTTGTGTTCACAATATCAACCCTAAAATAAAATGGTACGATGCAGCAAATTACTGTAAAATCCACTCGACCTGTGAGACCGGCAGTGAACTGTAAACTAACCCTAACCCTCGTCCTTAAAAAACAAAGGTTCTCTGTGATGATTTATGAATGAATTTTAGGCTAGAGAGAGGCTGCTGTATTGTTTTGAACTGTCAACCAATCAGAGGTTGTTTATGTGATCATCTGACCTGTAAAGGCCCAATTAGAAGTCAGATTGTTTTTGTGACCTGATTAGAAGCTGCATTTACGCAAGTGATCATTTTTTCATTACATTTAACACGCAGGCGATCCCACGTGACACCAATATTGTTTACAGTTTCTCAGGAACTATACTGTGTATCTCTACGGGATGAAAAGTGTTTAAAAGTTTACCCGTTTAGCGATCTATCGAGGGTTTCCTGGTATTTCGACACCTGCCACAAAGTTTACAATCCAGCCGCAAAAATAGGTCTTTGATCGGAGACGTTTGATGGTAAATCCGCAGTGATATACCGGTGAAAACACGATTATTTATCATATTGTTGTGATAAAAAAAGATCGCTATCGCTAAATGCAGTTCATGTCTTCCGGGTTTGACGAGCTGTTTTGATGACATCTTTTTCTGTCAAACTTTCGATCAATATGACCAATTCTCATATTCTTCTTCTATTGTTCCCCTGACAGTAGTGTCCAATAAGAGGCAACCAAAGATCAACAAGAGACAAGAAAGTTCCCTGCTTGTGACCCTCTGTCTCATCCCAGACAAGAACTGCTTCAATAAGTGGTAAAAACAACTTTAAATAACAAAAAACGCCTGGAAGAATTAGTGTGAATATGTAAATAGTTTTTGCTGTGTGTTTGTTAGAATCCCAATATTTTTTCTCCTGATAGCCAAGACTTGAGAGAACTGTAGACTTATGTGTTTTTTGAGCAAAGTACTGTACTTTGATGGTTCTGAATCAGATAGATAGATAGATAGATAGATAGATAGATAGATAGATAGATAGATAGATAGATAGATAGATAGATAGATAGATAGATAGATAGATAGATAGATAGATAGATAGATAGATAGATAGATAGATAGATAGATAGATAGATAGACTCATGCAGCCAGGGGGGCGGGACGTATGACACTTAAATCTTGACTTAAATAATTTTCCCTCTTTTTTTTTTCCCCATGAAGCAGCAGCAACACTTTTCACCCCCCCATTGTCTCATATCGTCTGCATCAGCGAGGTGCTAGGCAGTCCGCTGACATCATCAGACGGAGACAGTGCGGGATGACTGACGCTATCCTCCTCCTGTCAGTCATCGTCACGGCCCTGCAGGACAGATGGGATTATCTGCAGCTGTGACTGACTGAGGGACCTGTCCACAACCTGCTGCCACACAGGTGTAACAGCTGCTGCATCAACCTTCACCTAGACCCCACCTGGAGTGAACGGACTCGGATTTTAGGAACCAAAGAGAAGTTGGATGTTGTTTTTAAGGGGGGACCACATTTCTCAGCTTTTTGGTCAGACTTTTCAGAGTCCTGATACTCGTAACAACATGGAGCTGAAGGGCCAGAAGATTAGAGACAATTTAAAGAGACGCTCCACACTCATCGTAAATCAAAACTATCAGTTTGCTCTCATAATATGATGATTTTAAAGCTCCTGTGTGGAGTTTTTCATCACTCATGAAAGTACCAAAAATTCATATTAATGCCTTTGTAATGTGATGCAAATCAGCACCTCCAAGTCCGAGGCCATGGTCCTCAGCTGGAAAAAGGTAGATTGCTTTCTCCAGGTTGAAGGGTTGGTCCTGCCTCAAGTGGAGGAGTTCAAGTATCTCGGGATCTTGTTCACGATTGAGGGCAGGATGGAACGGGAGATCGACAGGCGGATCGGAGCGGCGTCAGCAGTGATGCGGACGCTGAACCGATCAGTTGTGGTGAAGAAAGAGCTGAGCCGTAAGGTGAGACTCTCGATTTACCGGTCGATCTACGTGACGAACCTCACCTATGGCCATGAACTTTGGGTAATGACCGAAAGAACAAGATTGCGGTTACAAGCAGCCGAAATGTGCCCTCGTGTGAACAAAGCGGTTATTTTGACCAAAACTGCATCCTGCTGACTTTGTAAATATTTTATATGGAAATCACAAAATCAGGGCTGTTTATTAAGCTGCTCTGCCGACACCTACCCCCATTTAAAAAATCCTAATATAGATATCATGTTACTGATGGTTTTGTTTACATTTAGATACCGTTAAAAAAGGATAAATATGAATTTTAGTCTATTTTAAAAATTTCGAAAAACTCACAGGAGCTTTAATTCACATATTCTCTTTATAGTGGTCTTAATATGCTGTCGTACAGGAAAGATTAATAATGCTCCACCTTATTATTTAAGTCATGAATTTAATATTAAGGAATGAATTTTTTTTTATCAAACTCATCATCTGTTCGTCAAATTAAAAACTTCAAATGTCCTCACTGAAGTGTGTGTTTGTGTGTGAAGAGCAGAGATGGTATTAGAGGGTGATAACTGGAGATCTCCTCCATGACACCTGTCACACACACACACACACACACACACACTTTACAGATTATCCATTCTGTGATACGTTCATGTGCTCACACAAAAAACGTTTAAAATCTGTCTATCCAGAGTGTATGTTTTAGGTAAACACACACACACACACACACACACACACACACAAACACACACACACACACACACACACAGATACAAACATGAAGTCCCAGAGCTGAGCAGATATCAGACAGGCATTACAGCTGTCATTATCACATGTAAAGGGGTTTTCCACACGCACGCACGCACACACACACACACACACACACACACACGCGCGCGCTCACGCATGCACACACACATACACACACACACAGTGGCAGAGATAAGTATTATGGGTAAGAAGGCTTTTTCCCTCGGAGACGTGGGGAATGGCAGGCTGCAGGAAAGCACACTGTAACAAACAAAGTCGCACATCTCCCAGCTTAATGTTCACACTGAACACACTCTCATATTAAATACACACATGCAACACACTCCTGCCAATCTGAAACACAACCTTAATCCATCTTTTATCCCTCCACATATCTCTCTCTTCTCCCCCTCCCTTCCCCTCTCTCTCTCTCCCTCCCTCTGTTCATTTGTGTTGATGTTTCTATTTCATATGGCTCTTAAAAAAGGGATTGTTGCCTCAATATGTGTGTGTATTTAAATGTGTGTATTTGTTTGATGGTAGACCACCTATTTCATCTACAGCAGATCTTTATTAATGCATAATCTCCATCAGACGCCCAGATCATGAATCAGACCTAACACTTGTCGATTGATATAAAATAAACATGTTGTTCAGGATGTGATCAGGTTTAAATGATCTCATACAGACAGATTTAAGACATGCACAAAGTAGAGTGGATTTTATTTTAAAACTCTTTCTAATAAAAAATAACTTTAACACTGACACACATGATTCCAGTCGTCTAGATAGAAAATGTTTAATGTTACCTTTACGTCATTAGAAACATGTTTGATCAGGTGAGCTCTAATCTGTCTGTTAATTCGGTTAATATTTAATGAATATCCTTAAATTGATCAATCTCTTTTACTATGTGGGCGATCAGGTGAGTTTAAACGGTCACAGGTGATAATATCTATTACGGATTGTATTAGTTGAATTAAATGCTGTAATTGCGCATCTTTGTTCTGCTGTATTGATGATGTGATGATACATTTCCAAACACTCCCCCCCTTAGTTTAAAGCCCGCAAAAACGTTTACATCCAATTTTGACCTGACCTCGTCTTTCATTCGTCGACTGAGCTGTCAATCACACCCCTTTCACATCATTAAATAACTAAGTAAAAGTTAAAGGTGGGGTAGGCAGGAATCTGTTAAAGAAGCATCTTTTTTTGTGGTGTATAAACAAAAAAACTTTTAATATCAGTCAATAGTTATTAGTTATTGATGACATTTGGTAATATCACGATATCATTGTGTTTTGATATGTCTGTGAAGTCAACATTTTAAAATTTCTGACTGTAAACAAAGCCGTTCCCAGCCTCCCCCATCCTGATTGGTTGTGAGGCAGACGCTGCCCCCCCCGTGTCACTCATGAGCCCAACCAAAGTTAGCGTGCTACAATATCGGACAGTAGAAACCAACCAGAAAGTTCGGAAAATTGTCTGAATCCTCCTTTGGCCACGACTGCCGACACAAGCAAGAAAACAAAGTAAATAGCGGAGACTCTGGCGGAATAACGGGCGCTTAAAATGGAGGTAGACTGGACAAGAGCTAAAATGCCGGGTCAACAGTGATGGGGGACGCTTCGGGATCTTGGTGACCCTGTAACCTTTCTGCTGGACAGGTAAACCGCTCTAACAAAGTAATAGAAGTGTTTCTTGTCAAACGGACCTGCTGTAGCGTGTTGTAGCGCCACCACTATACTGTTGACCTTGGGTCCTGGACTATGTCACTTTATCCTAGTTGTTGAAGTCCTGCAAACATTGTGTTTGCTGGTAGTTTGTTGGCATCTACAGTAGCACCAATGCTGTTTACTTTCACATTGACTGGGCCCCATTTGTAATTATCTGAAGTATTTATCTGCATTATATCTGAATTTTATTGGAACGATACAAGCGAGCAGGAGCGTCTGTTTGTGGGCGGGGCTTGCTAGAGCAGAGAGGGAGGGGAGAGGAGGAGCTGAGGGGAAAACTGGTTGGGAGGGGTAAAGTTTAGATTCAAGATTTCTCCCAAAAACTGACACTTCCTCAGATCCTGACTACTCCACCTTTAAGACCATTTCCTCCACATGGAGGAGGCGGGGTCTATGAGATATAACAGCCAATCCGAAGTGAGAGCTCCAAATGTTCTGGTTTGGTCCACTTTTTTACCCAGTTTGTACATTCGCCTGAACTTTTAACATCAGAATAACCAATTTACTTCAATTCACTGTCAACTCATCTTCTAATCTCTGGCGTGCTTCCTCTATCCATTCTCTCTCTCTCTCTCTCTCTCTCTCTCTCTCTCTCTCTCTCTCTCTCTCTCTCTCTCTCTCTCGGGATGAGGCCCTCCTGAAAACTATTTATCTGACCTCTGACCTTTGGGGTTCCTGATCTTAAGACCACATACAATCCTGTCAGCACACAGATGACTATGAGAGACAAAGCAAAGAGGCTGGTCTGCTGTGAAAGATGAGCGAAAAAGTCAATAACAACAATCCAAACAGGACGTGTTTATCACATTTAAATTAATCGACAATCAGGAACATCGTTTCACTCACAACATCTGTGAACACAAAGAGAGAAAAAGACAGAACAGAGAGAGGAAGAGATGTGAAATGACAGATTGGTTAGTAGTGGAAGTGAAAGGAGAAAGAAAGAAACAGCTGTTCTTTAGTGTCCCTGCCAGAACATAATCAATTCTTTCACCCTGGGAGCAATAAATCAATATCTCCAAATAAACAGCTGCTGGATATGTAAATAAAACATGGATGACCTCAAAGAACACTGCCATACGATAGAAAACAATACAAATATATGCAGCTGTGCAGAAAACATATGATGACTATAATAAAATAAATGATGACAGTTGTAATCTGGATAAGACTGTGAGACCGTGACAACATATTTTATCATCACAGAAGGAACATTAGCTTAAAACACAGGCCTGAGTAAAAAAAATAAAAAATACACATATATATATATATACATATATGTATATATATATATATCTATATATCTATATATATATATATATATATATATATATACTGACATATACTATTATTCAAATTTATATAAATGTATGTATATGTATGTTTATGTATATATATAAATTAAATAATAGTAGATGGTAATACAGTAAGATAAGACAGGACTGCTGCAGCTTTAGATTACACAACATTGTGTGATCTCAAGTTACATTAAAGTATGTTATGTGATTTTAAGTGTTTGTTTTATTACATTTTGTTTTGCACAATATTTAAATACAAAAAAAAATGTGTTACATTCTGTTAAGAGAGATTTAATTACAAATTCTAATGTTACGTTACACTATATTTTTTGTTGCATTTTGTCATGTAGGGGTATGTATAAACCTCTCTCTATTGTTTTTTATTTATTGTTTATTTAATATATTCTCTGTGTTTTTGCACCTTTAGCAAAAGAATAACATCCCCCTTGGTTCCTGTGTATTTTCTCACATCTGGCAGAAATTGATGACAAAAAAATCCTGACTCTTACATTTTGTAAAGTTACCTGAAATTAAAAAATTGTAACTTTAGTTTTTTTCTTGTAACACTGTGCAGAAGCACAACATTACCTTATACTTAAAGTTACATTTAGCAATATAACTTGAGGTTAAGTCCCGTTACATTATGTTACATTTTCTTAGACTTTTTTACATTCAGTCACGTTATTTACAATTACGTTACAATAAGTTTTTTAAAGTACATTGCATTTCATTACGTTACATTAAGTTATGTGAGTCATGTTATGTAAAGTTACTATATGTTACTATGTAGCATTTTGTTCTGTTACACTTTGTTCTGTTACATTTCATCAAGTTATGTAACAATATTTGAAGACAGGTTACCTCAAGGGTCCGTGTATTAAGTATGTATGTATAGAATACATGGACCTTCGAGTCCTACTGTGTTACATTACGTACATAGGTATGTTAGATTACTTTACTTTAACGTACATTACAGTATTGTGTCACATTAGTTCACATCACTCTATAAAATGTAATCTTAAGGTACGTTTTGGTCACAGTTCTGAACATTTTGCCATTTTTAGACATGAGTTTCAACTTCACCAACTTTTAACGCTAGGTTACATTTCGTGAAGAGCTTACAGTACATTAAAATTATCATGTCACATTCGTCTTCGACACACCAGGTCATAACCTGTTCGAGCTTGTCCTAACGTTAACTTTAAACCAAGACTGAAAATAGCATAGAAAAGGACAGTGTTACGTTAAGTTTTGTGGGGCAAAGTATGTTAACTCACAACACAAGGCACCAAAAGCTGGGTTGTGTAAGTATGTCCTGAGCTATGTAAGGTTCATAGGATATCTTGGGGTATTAATGTAATGAAATGATAAATTATGGCAGATTTGAAGTATTTCTTAATAACACTGAACTCACTACAGTACTAACCGAACCCAAAAGTGTTTTCCTAAATCCGTCACTTAAATGGGCAGAGGCGTCTCCCAATTGCTTCCCCCTAACTCCTCTGCTTCCTCTTGTCTCTCATCCTCATGCTGAAGGTCGAAGGTCACCCGGTCTTCGGAAGCGTCCTGTGTGGTGATGTTAAAGGGCGATGTTACGCTCCCCGGCGGGACAACACTACAATCACATACACATGTATTTCTGCGCACAAACACAGGGCAGACACACTCTGTAACCTGGCTGGTTGGCCGAGCTGCTCGGGGGAACTAATTGTTTTTAGATGAGGCAACTTGAGGAGCGGCTCCGGAAGGGAGGACGGGAGCAAAGGACTGTGGGAGATGAGGAGGAAAGCAGAGGGCTATAAATTAAGGATGTGCCGGATATTCAGTTTCCACATGGGTTTTGGTGTGAAAACTGCAGACACTTTATCTCCTTTTTTTTTTTTATCTGTGGGTGCCCCCTTCACTGGGCCACACACACACACACTGACACCGACACACACACACACACACACACTTCAGCCTGAAATGTATTGTGATGCATCCTCTAAAGTGTCCAGTTGTCCATCTAGTGAAATTTCAATGATACCCACCTCTGAGAGCCACTCTGCAAAACAAACCACTCAATAAGCTGGAGGTAATGGAGACTGCAGGTCAGGCTTTACAGCAATATCATTACCATACACACACTCACACTCACACACACACGCTCCCATTGTCTGGGCAGTACTTATTAGTGCTCGTGCTAACAGAGTTTGTCCATAAGTGACCTTAATTAAGTGGCTAGCACCATTAGCTGCAGAGCTAAGAGGCTAAGAGCAATCCATCTGCATGTGAATGTGTGTGTTTTTATGATAATGGCTTTGTTGAGGTGTGTACCGGAATACTAACGACGGGCTGCACGCAACCCAAAATGGATAAATAGGCAGCTGAAGTTGAGCACTGAAGAGGCGATGGTTTAGATAAGTTACTCATTGTGAACAAGACAAAAACAGGGAGCAATGCCGAGGGCTGATTTAAATGCAGGTTAGCCCCATTTACACGCACAAATGCACTCGCACGCAGACGCACGCACGGGCACTCGGCGCGTAAAGCACCTTTCGGTTTGCCCTATCATTTTTCATTAGTTATGAAAACAAGGACTCTAATCTCGTCGGGTTTTCAGGTACCATAATTGTGTCATTGAAACACAAATAATGACAAAAGAGAAGAGTGTGTAATGATTTTCACTGATGGAACAAAACACTGTCAGCGTTGAATTAAGTACAATCACACGAGCAGAAAAAAACTTAATCAGTGCACTTTGTCTAATTTCTATTCTACTCCAATATAACACAACACTAATGTGGCCTGATTCACCTGATAAGTCTGGATTGAAACACTAACATCTTTTTTAATTACCTGTCAGCATTTATGGGCAGTGACAAAGTAAAGTTACTCAAGTCGTGTATTTAAGTACTTTATACTTTAAAACATATAATGTACTTTTTCATACTTTTGCTCTGATCTGTAATCAGACGATAATCCTGCAGCTCAGTTTGCCACCTTTAGGTCTTTGTGTTCACATATTCAGGGCTTGAAGACCTCCGGCACGGTGCTGGAAATCTGGCTCTGGATTTATTTTTTTTTCAAAATCATGTAAAAAAATAAATAAAAAAAATAAAAAACCTAGTTAGTTAGATCTGAATATGACCAGTAGAGGACAGCATTAGCATAGTGTACATCCTGCGAAAGAAGAAGAAGCAGAAAAAGAAAAAGTCGCATCAGCGAACGACAAATTTCAAACAATGGATGCCAGGTACAATCCAGGAGAAGAAACAGCGATATTGGAAGCTGGACTTGGGCGGAAGAGGTTGGAAAAGATGGAAAGCCTCACGATAGCTGGCGCAGAAAAATGAAATTGGAAACTTATAAATGGCAGTAATGGGAAAAGTTCAGTAAAGTTGGAAAGATATTCACAGATTTGGACGTTCTGGGATCAATAACTCTAAGATGAAATGTTTTCTAAACACAAATGATGCCTCTTTCATGTCATAATAGCACAGACTACTAGCTACAAGAATAAAAAACGATTTGTTTTACAAAAACAAGCCGTTCTTCTAGCTGGATGAATAATACTGATCTCTATGCGCAGCTGGCGGAGTGCGCAGGGGTCGTCGGCAAATCACGATACAAGAGCAAGACGCTGCAAACAAAAATCAATAGCTCCGCTGTTACACAGTAGAGACCCCAAAATCACCACACACAACAAGTACAAGTATTATCAAGAGCACTGAGAGAGCCCCCTATTACAAATACTGTGGGCCCAGGTAAAGCTCATGTTTGCTCAGTATAGGGACATATAGACACAGTGACAACAAAAGACGTAAACGGTGATTATGAATTTTTGTAGTTTTAGTCATAATCTGTTAAAAAAAAAAAAAAAAGTAAAGCTTATAAAGCTCTGGTCCTCTCAGTTTTTTCTCCTTTAAACCTCGTCCAGCATCCTCCTCGTCACCGTTGTTGATGATGTTGCCGTAGCTAATGGATTCTCGCCCTGCTCGCTCATAAAGCTGCTAAACCGGGGTCACGGGGTCGAAGGTCGCTGCTCTACCTTTGATGTGACCCTGACATCCTGGGAGGAAGAGGAAATGGAGGAGGAAGAGGATCCTTCATGGATTAGTGGTAAAAACACTCACAGACACACACGTTTGTCTTTGCGGATGAAGGTCTGGGTCGCTCGCACGGAGACGGCGACACGTCTAATTAATTAATCATATCGCTTAAACTGAAAACACAAACAAACACAAACACACACAGATACCTTCAAATTTAATTATGGACTCTGACTCTCTGACCATACATCTGTACTCCTAAAGCTGTTGTCATGGCAACAGGCAGGAAGCAGAGCTACAGCACTGCTAACCCATCTGCTAAGCTGTGGTGGCACAGTTGGCGATACTTTTTTTTTCTAGTAACCAATCAGAGCCTAGTACTTCTAGCCAATCAGAGGCGAAGGAGGGCTGGACCTTCCTACATCCTACAAAAAAAAAATTTGCACACAGTTGACCTCGGCTAAATGTTAGCATTAGCATACTAACGTGAGCAGATTTAAAATGATAGATTAAAGCGATATGAACAAGAAATGGGATGTTCAGAGCTGTACTGCAAAGTAAGAGTGTAAATTTGCCATGCTAGCTGTTTCCCCGTCTTCTCTTGTTAAGCTCAGTTAGCTAAGTTAGTGCTACTTCAGGTTAGAACCTAACTTTCAGGTAAAGGTGTGGAACCACAACACACCTAACTGGCCCCCCTAACCTCTCAAATCTTAGTCTTTTAATGACCATAATAGATTAAAAAACTCACCCTAGCACAGTCTACATGAATGAATGATTAATACGGAGCTCAATGAAGCATCTTTGATTTTGGCAGACAGCCTCCTGTGGACACTCATGGAACTGCAGTTTTTTGCATTTTTGTGAGACTGTTTTTCTATTTCTCATAAAATTCACACCACAGAGGATCTATGTTTTATTCCTCTTTTTTATTTGCTTTGCTTTAATGGCTTGTTTTATGCATTACCTTGTGTTAAATCCTTGTTGCCTAAATGCGCCACATAATTAAACACGCCTTGCCTGTGGTAAAAATAACGCCTGAGGTTTATTGCGAAAGTGTACTAAAGCGTCCACCATAGCAAAAAATTTAAGAAGCGTAAAAGTATTGTCCAGATAATGACACTTAAAAAAAGTTTTTTAAATTAAATAATAACTTTAAAAACCATCACTATCTTTGTTTAGCTTACAGTATACTACCATTTGCTCGCACTCAGCTTAAAAGTTACATTAAGTGAATTATTTAGTGGTATCGTACGTTAGTGTTTTACCCTTAAAGGAGTCTGGAATATTGAAAGTTAATTATGTGAGTTCAGTAAACGTTAGTAAATCACAGTTAACAGGTTGTAATTTTAGTGTAAAGTGGCTGCAGCTTAAGTATGATTAAATTAAATTAAAAAAGCTCTTATGTGTTTGGTATTTTAGTGTTAATGTTCTTGTTTAAACTGTGTGAAGTGCTTTGAATCACTCTAATCCTGCAAACGTGTGCCTTACATGAAAATTTAACAATATCAATAATGAGTGATAATTTTGAGACGACCGCAGAAACTTCTCTGTCTTCAGGAGGAGTCGAGAGAGAGCGTGAACTTTCCTGTCAGGAGGAGGAGGGGATGAGGTTTAAAGATGTGCAATGTGTTTTTCTCATCCGGCGCTCCTCTCAGCTGGAGCCTCTAAACACAGAGACTCTGTTGCTTCAGCAGCTTCAACATCCTCCACGCGGCTCTTCACACACGTTCTCCACTCACCTCTCACCTTCTTCTTAAAACTCATTCAGCATATTTAAATTCATTAGAGAAGCAACAGAGAGAGAAAAAACTCAAAGTGCTCCAGATTACACAGGAGCAGATGCACTCGGGTTAACACACGCACACACACACACACACACACACACACACACACACACACACACACACACACACACACACACACACACATAAAGTGGGGCAGATTACATTCTCCCCAGGACTTGACTTGCATTAAAGTTTAAATGTGTTCAATTTGGACGGTCCCAATATTAGAGTGGAGTATCATTACCCACCTTATTGGATGAGTCTGAGCAGAATAGATTCCTGCTGATGAGATGAAGAGGCCTCAGGCACACACACACACACACACACACACACACACACACACACACTAAAAACTCTTCCTCTACATCACTATCTAACACTCACACAGATCTGCAGACACATGTAGAGTGATGCATTCAGGGACTTGTTTTTGTCTTTTGTAACACAAAGTTTGGGTCACAGTTTAGATTTTAAAACACCTGAAAATGAATTAAACTCCTGATTATTTAAATAGTTTAGATAATGACTCTTATCCAAAATACTTAGTCTTAGATTAATAAACATACTTCATTTAACAAACAAGCGATATCAAACTAGTCCGCTGCCTGTCGACATTGTGGCAAAAATAACAAGTATTTAGCAGTATTTAGTTTTACTTTCTTTAAGTTTTATTCACATTTAAGTCATTTTTGTCCTGAATAGTTTAATCTTAAGTTCAGAGTAGATCATAGACTGTATATACTATGGACAACTTGGCTCCACCCTCCATCATTATTTGAATTTTAAGCCGAATTGCTCTCGATATTTCCGGGATCTCTCCACTTCCTGGAATCACCACTTGCGCAGTATCATTGTACACAGGAGAGTCACAAAGAGTCGCTGTGATGACACTTGGCTCAAACAGCATATCCCCCGGGAGAGCTACGCAATCTTCGTACGCCCATAGGCTGTATCAAGTGTCAATCATAGAAAACATGAACCCCCTGATAACTTTTAAAAATGGAGCTGTACAGAAAAAGAGGACTTGAGCACAAACCAGTCTTATTGTAACTTCATGTCAACATCACAAGCAGGGGGGAGAAACATTTATATTCTGTGTAATTAATTTCTAAAGTTTGTCCACAGCTCCATAGAGATTGCTGGAGGAGGCGGGATTTATGATCTAAACTGTCATTAGAGGGTGCTGTTCTCACGGTGGCTTCACTCAGCGAGACGGCAGACAGCATCCAGTCTATATACAGTCAATGGTTTAGACTCACCTGCCAATGCTCTGTTGTTGTGCTGACTCTGCTGATCTCCTACAGCTACACAGAGCAGAGGCTCTCAAAAACGCAGATGTAAAAGTTTGCAGAAATCAGGAGGAAGACGATTCGTATCAGCAGTGCAACGACATTAATACGACACCCCTCAGGTAAAAGCCTTTCACAGGGAATCGCTGCTCCTGGTTTATGTGACAGGTGAGATCTGCAATTAGGGAAAATAAAGGATTTTTAATGTTTCACCCAAAACAGTTTGGTCTCGTCATCAACCCGTTAACAAAAATAAAACCTTAAACTGTCTGAGTTTGGTTTTTAGTAGTGTATTTTCAAAAAGTAACAAACATTTATCATCGTAGTTTTGATTCAAAGAATAATCACTGGTTAGCAGCTAAAATGATCAAAAACTTTTGGAAAAATGTTAATATTTACATTTGGAAACAAAATAAAATAAATTTGCTCCATTTTCTAAGTCTTTCTTAAACTCAAACCTGGATCTCATCCTTATACGTACACGTTAAGACTTATTCAGAATATCAGAGTGGTTATTTGACAAACAGGAAGTCTTCTTTTGTTGTTTAATGCTTGGCTCCTCGGAGAAGCGAACAAAGAAATCGTCTCTCCTCCTCGATTCCTAAATTTGTTGTTGTGCCTCTCTGGATCCTGTCCTTTTACTTTCACAGATTCAGTGTTTGTGGGTTTAATGAAGTGAAGTGCTTCATTGTAGTGTCAGTGTTTCTCTGTGTGTTATGGTTGGCTTGTTATTTTTCTGTTCCTGCTCTCTAACTAATGAGGTCTGATATTAAATTATTCGCCACAGCTCCAGAGTATATGATACGGCTATTTTTGGAGACTAACTTTTGAGTCTTTATTTCTAATTAAAGTGTTTGGATGATTGATTTTGGCGGAGCAACGTCTCAGAAACGTGTAATTAGAAGTCAAATAGACAAATGTTCAAAATTGATGCTATTTTTGTTTGTTTGTTTTGTTTCAGATTTAATTTCATTAGTGAGAAAATGAAATGTTACTAATGATTAAAAACAAAATCACGTCATTATCAGTTTTATTAATTGTTCCTCTCCGGTCTGGAGTTATTCACAGCAGCTGCAGATTCAGTTTATCTAAGAATAAAACTTTACGAAGTGTGAAAGTGCACCAGTGGACAAAGAATTTTCTTTTTTGGACCCTTATATTTTGCAGCTTCTCCTAATTACTACTTCAAATCTGTCGACCCGTTTGAATCCATGCTAAATAAAGCATTAGCATCACTACATGCCATTAACCAAGCCTTCTAAATATCCAGGTCCTCAAATCTGATCAAGTGTAACTCCTCCCTGTTAAGTTTTGATGATTGCGTCTAAGCTCTTTAACTCTCAGCTTCTCCTGCAAAGATCTCCTCTTAAATGTGTTATTTTCAGCACATTCACTGAGTTTTGAGTTAAAACCTGTCCTTGAAGAGATTTTGAAACACTGGGAAACACAGCTGATGTAACGTAGAAAGGCACGTAATTAAGTTACCAATTTTTTTGCTTAGTGCGTTACTTTACTTCGTCACCTCAAAAAAGTAATATCGTTCCTGGAATCCGTTACTTTGTCATGCGTTACCCACAACACTGGTGGAGAGAGGTGGGACACTCTGTTGACCGGCTATCAGCCCAGCTCCGCTTGTTTAGAAGTCCGCTAGAAAATGAAGGATATTCACGTTAAACTGACATTAAGGATTCTGGATTTACTTTGTGAGTTTTGTCATTTCGATTAAGTCGAAACTGAGTCTCGCTCTTTTTTTGCACTAAACAAAATATGATGATCTCAGAGTTATTGTACATTAGATTATTGTCAACAAACTGAAATAATGTGTTAAAATGAGAAAAACTCATTAATCTCATACTTAAATTGACAAGTAAACAAATTGAGAAATTAGTAACTTCACAGGAAATAAATACATGGCACATACTTTAAATGATAGTAGAAATGATTAAATAATAAATAAATAAACAGAAAATCAGGTATATAAATGTTCCCCAATATCCTGTCGTATGATAACTGCACGTTAAAGCAGCAAAAGTCAGTAAATACCAGCTGGTATGAACTCAGTGTGGTCCAAGCACGTAAACAAGAAAGACCAATCGATAAATACAAACTTTAAACTTAAATACTTAAGTGTTATTGATTCTGACAGACCTGAAGTGTCAAAGAAAACCTGGTCCGCTGTTTAACTCCTGATTAAATTGAAAGCTATGGCTCGTTTTGGTCGTTTTATTTCATACATGGATCTTAATTGTGACACGCACATCCAGAAATCAGAGTAATATCTCTGAAATTTACAAACGAAACACAAATAATGTCTACCTTTTATTCCCAACACAGCTATTTATAACAAATTCAGCCGTAAAATAGAGATGATGATTGTACCAAACAGAAGATGTGTCTTTATCTTGGAGTCATAAGTGTCCCTTCGCCTTCTTAAAAGTGTTTTTCTGTTTAATGACGCTGTGATTTATTGTTTGTGTGGAGCTGTTTTTCAGACGGGCTGAGATTCATAGAGGAAGAAATGTGCAGAGACACGCTTTGACGGATCAGTCAGACCTGATAATAAAGAGAGGAAATCTTTACTAGAACAGAAAAATGAACCGCTCTCAGCCGTCTCTTTTAGTTTTTATCCACTTAGGACGACAGCGGAGCCTCCTCATCCTCCACCGCTGGTTTGTCCTTCCCTCACCTCCTCCTCCTCCCTTTCACGCTCCTCCTGTTAAAATAATATCTCCTTCATTCCCTGTTTCCTCCACCTCCCCCTCACTATTATCTTTAGGTCTCCCCCTCCTCCTCTTCCTCTTCCTCCTCCCCCATCCTCTGTCTCTCTTCCTCTTTCATTTGTTCTCCTCTCTTTCGTTCCCTCTCCTCACTTTGAGCGAAATAGATTTTCAATTACTCGCTGAGTGCCTGGAAGCTTCTATATTTCCCAACCTGACCCCAATACAGCCCGAGTGACACCCCACGCACCACGGACACACACACACACACACACACAGAAGCAACACACACACACACATCTGATACACTTCCGCCTCCACTTACAGCCTAATGGAGTGGAGGAGAGGCAGGAGAATGTCTTCAGTGTCCTGGTTAACTACCTGACACACAAAAAACACACACCTCTGAAAGACACACAAATGAGGCGACGCTGCAGTGAAGTCCTGATAAACACGATAATATGACAGAGAATACAATAAGATGAAACTTTACTCATCTTTAAGAGGAAAACGTCACGAAAAAGCAACAAAGCAAAGCCAAAAAACGAGAAAAAAAAGGGTTTCATTTAGAGCAGTCCAACCATATATTATGCTAAAATGAGGAAGCAATGCATGCTGGGAATTTGACAATGTAAAAAATGATTTACACTTTTTTAAAAGCTTCTACTTAAATAAACATGCAATTCACAGCAGGTGTATTCAAGTTAAGAGAGAAAAAAAGGGCCAGTCAGTGACGTCTTAACTGGGAGTTCCACGGGATCCGGAACGGCTCCGCTCCAGTCCAACGGATCAAATCCGCAAGCATACAGCGCCCACCGGATCCAATCCGCCACCATCGGAGGAGAAGCGCTCGGGAAATTACAATATTTATCGCAAGACTGGACAAGATCTCATGAACTCTATATCTCACGTTTTTCCCCGGGAGTCATAGAATAAGATCCGCCGATCAATGTACATAAACGGCGGTGTATATAAACACCCACATCCCACAACCTCTCCTATTATCAATATAAGAACAGTTCAGCATATCGACTTTATTTTATTTTGAAAATTAACCAGATATTTTACTCTGTAAGCGCAAACAACTTATGCTGCTGCTCATGCTGCGCTGCACTGAATTAATGCGCCGTCTCCGGTGTCCAGCAAAAATAAAAGCCTTGCATATCTGATCCGGACACCGTACAGACTCTGTGAAATGATACACATTAATTATAATGCTTGTGAATTTAATCCGCCGACCGTGCCAGAGTGGAGCGGAGCTGTTCTGGACTCTGTGGGTTTTGCCCGTGACACCTTTAACAGTCGAGAGTCAAAAGTTAAACACATTTTCATTTTTCTAAAGGATTACATCCACACACTAGATGATAAATTTGTCCGGTTTTTATGATCACATATCTTGTTGCATGAGGATAACTCAAGCATCAAACTCAGAGCTTGCAAGAGTGCTAAAAACTGCAGTTCCTGGAGTGTCCACTGGGGGAAGGCTCCAGAAGTGCCAGCAACCTCATTCTCATCCATTCATTAAAGCCCATCTTCACAGCAGGAATAAACAGGTGATGAAGGTGAAGTTTTAACAATTTATTAGTTTTTAAGGTTTTGAGCTCCCAGTTTGCAAATTAGGGGCGGCTAAGAGAATTTTCTCTCTTTTTGTTTCATAGTTAAGGCGAGTCAGCTTTCCCACTATGGCTCCCCTCATGAACACGCTCGGGTCCCTCATGGGTGTGATGGGAGATGCCCTCAGGACTGTGTTCGTGTTTTATACAGTCTCTTCACAGACTCATTTTTGCCTCTTTCAGTTCTCAAAGATACTTGAGTTTGTTTTTAGGAAGAAAACTTGTAAATGAGGCCAAAATTTGACTAACTCTGGTCTGTCTTTTTAGCTTTTAGTAACTTCGTTCTGTCGTGTCAGATAGTTCACGTCAAGTTAAAACGATTCTCTCCAAAAATAAACGATAACACCAGATTTACCGAGAAATACCAGAGTGTTTTAGTTTGAGAGAGGTTTTCAAATGAAACTAAATAAAGAACAAATACTGCTCTGATCTGAGGGGCCAACAGCTGCTGACAACAAAACAACAAAAGACGACATTTTCCTCTATTGTTAAAACGCTCACTTAGAGCACAAGACGGCACTTTGAGTACGGCTGCTTTAAACACACACTCACACAGACACACACACACAGATTTCATTAAGCAGTTTGCGCCTCTTAAACACAGCCTCTCCTGGGTGTTAGTGACCAGTTTTCCGTATTAAACAGAGTCGGAGGTCAAAGGTCAACAGCCTAATGCCTTATCTCTGATGCACCATGGCCAACCTTATTACTGAAGGCTTAAAGAACAAATTCACACACACACACACACACACACACTGCCTGTACTCGGTATTAGTGGAGCTGAAGGTGAGATGATGGCCTCGGGGCATGTTCAGCGTGTGGAGCGGCACACGCCAGGCCATGTACGCCTCTCTCTCTCTCACACACACACACACACACACACATGCAGGCGCACACACACACACACACACGCACACACACACTGAGTTTCAGGGCCACATAATACCAGAGTTTGACAATAAAGGCAGGCGGGACTCAGCAGAGGTTACTGTGCAAAAAGCCTCAGTTAACTTTTATGACTGCAGCTGAGAGTCTGTTAAAACATCATGTTCCCTTTACGGACACGAGCGAAGGCGAGGACGGAGGAGGTGGAGGACGTGGGATAGATTTAATCCCTGTTTATTTTTCAAGTGATTTCCATTCAGGTTTAGCGAAACACAACTGAGGAGAGTTTTGAAGGTACAACACAAGATTCATGATTCATCCTGGTCCTCTCCAAAACCCTGACTCAGATATAAACACGAGATCTGAGTTTGTATAAAAGTATGTGTATTCATTACTTCTAATGAGACAGTTTTTGACACGAGCATCGCCGTTAACTGTTGATTTTCTGACTGAAAACATTGTTTTGTTTAAGGTTTAACTCACGATGATTACAAGTAGTCAAATTTCTAATAACTTCTTGGTGGTAATAAATCATTTAAATGTTTGATTATAGTAACTTATAGTTGACTTATAGAAATAAGTAAAAATATAGAGATAAATAGATAAAATAAGTAAAATAAGTAAAAATATAGAGATAATATTCAAGTATTTACACTAGAACAATATAGAGAGAGAGAGCCGCGCAGAAGGGTTTTTAAAGTACTGAGGTTAAGGAGACTTCCTTTTTATTTTAACTCTATTTAAACTCCAAATTCATAGTTAGGATTTGTGTGAACTCAAAAGTGCTGTCTAAAATTCCTCTTCTTCTTCTTATATCTGCTTTGTATTTTTAGATGCTACAAAACACTTTATTTGTTCCTATTCTTCAATATGAGGGACTGTGAAAAGAAAAAGACAAAAATAATTGATATTAAATAATAAAACAAACAAACACATAAAGGAAAGAGAGTAAAAATGAAATCAATGTGACAATAACAAAAAAATGGGGAGATATCTGCTCATTTGGAAGAAAAGCACAAGAGCTCTGCAGGAAAAACATCGTCTGTTACTTTATAACCTCTGATGTAAAGACAGAAACCCTCAGAGACGGAGACATTACCATAGATTTTGGGAGTTTCAACAGAAACAGAATTAGTAGACAGAAAGAAAAACTATTTTGAATACACAGGTTTTTTTTTTTAACTTTAAAACTCTTTATTTAGCTTATATGTCTCCTGATATTACAAAGTAATGGTTGATGCAGGTTGTACCAATAATAAATGACTTGACTGTGGAGAAGGTCACCTCTTTAAATCTACACAGGGACAAGTTTAGGTTGGAAAAATGGGATCAAATATGTCACACTACTGAGACCTGATTTTATTCAGATATTAATGTCTATATTTTATTTATGTGTTTTTTTTTTAATTCTCTCTGAAAATCCTTTTTACATTTATTTAGAAATATTACGCGGCTGCTGCCTGTCTCAGTTATTGATTTGTTTTCTCCTGTATTACCTTTTCTCCACATGTATATGGTTTTACTATGGACTACTTTAACAGCCATTTCAAAATAAAAGGGTTTGTTAAAAGATGTAAAGAGTGACAGAAAGATACCGTGCATTTTCTCCCTTTTTTTTTCTCAGTTGAACTGAGAGTGTACAAAAATCGCAGATGTATGCATACCCATACATTTTGAAATGTTAAATGTAGAAATGTTCTGATTCTACAATAAAAAAATTAAATAAAAAATAACATTTTTCTCTTTTTTTGACTTTAAAGCTCCTGTGTGGAGATTTTAGCCATCTATAAAGCAGACTGAAATGACGACTTGCAACAAAAGCAGTAATAAGAGGCCATTTTTCCCCATATTGTTATATTTAACAGTTTATAAGCAACACTGTATGTTGGTTGACAAACTGAAAGTTCCTTACTGAAGCTTTAACTAAATGATCCTATAATATGACTGTCGTAGTGAAAACATCTGTTTGCTTTGGATATTAATCTGAATTTAATACCTGGTGATTCCAGTATGGTGACACAAAGTAATAGTTGTGTGTTTGTGTGAATTGCAGAACAAAAAGTGACAAATTTACAGTTTTAAACGACCAATAATTAAACAAAAGAAGCACCCAAAGACAGATAAAACGTTTTAAAACGGTTTTTAAATGATTCTCTCACAGGAATTAATCCACAGTCAGCGTCGACTGGGCTGCGCTGTTGTAAAGTATGTGTGTTTAAGTGTGTGTGTGTGTTAAAGAGTGTGTGTGTAGGTAGGCGTGGTGCTGCTTTGTTAAGGCCTGAATGAGTTGTTGATGGGTACAGCAGCTTGGGTCTCTCAGGGGATGAAGGGGGAGGAGGCGGTGGAGGAGGAGGAGGAGCGGGGGGGAGGAGGATGGGTAAGTTGATAATTGCAGGGGAACTTGGACTCAGTCTGTTCATGTGCAACCCGCCCAGCCCTCTCTCTCTCCCCCCACCCCTACACACACAAACACACACTCACACTCACACACACCAGCGCTCCCTTTGAAGGGGTGGTCCCTTGATTAGGCCACTTAAACACTGAGCCCCCCCACCCCCTCATTTCCTCCCCCCTTTGTGTGTCTGCTCTCAGTGCGTCTGTCACCCACAACTCTCCCCCTGCTCGTCCAGCTCTCTGTCCACTCACTTAAATTTTACACTTTCTCTTTTTTCCCCTCGTGTTTCCTCCTATCCCGTCAGATTTTCTTTATATGTGTGTGTTTGTGTGTGTGCGCCTGTGTGTGTGTGTTTTTGAGTGTGTGTTGGGTCGGGGGTGTCGGGGCTCCTCTCAGGTCTCAGCTGCCGTTGTGTGTGAGGGTGAATTACACGCTGTAGCGGAGTGTTGACAGGAGCAGCTGGACATCAGTGGGCCGTAGCGCCCCGCTTTGTACAACGCTGTGTGTGTGTGTGTGTGTGTGTGTGTGTGTGTGTGTGTGTGTGTGTGTGTGTAGCTGTGGACAGCAGCCCTACACAGAGCTGACACCTTCTGGCCAGGGAGGGCAAAAACAGTCTGCAAGGACAAGATGACAAGAAAGAAGTACTGATTTGGATAATTGTGTTTTTTTTCTCTCAGCGCAGCACTAAACTACAATAACACAATCTGTACAAGTTTTAATTCTGTTATATTTCTATTTCATAACAGTTTGTTTCAGTGTGTTAAAAGCCCCGAAAATGATCAACATTTAGATTAAATGTGGTCAGTATATTTAAAGGAACAGTGATGTGTCTGTGAGTGATTAAGAAACTTAAAGCTCCTGTGAAGAGCTAATCTGTAAACAGACAAAATTGTATTAAAATGACTTTTATGATATACAAAAGCAAATTAAGATTATATTGTAATTTTTAAAGCCTGAAACCGGTGTGAGAGGGTGGGGTAGGTGTCGGCCAATCAGCTGAAAGAACAGCCGACTTTAGATTTTCACATAAAAAACTCACAATAAACTAAAATTAAACAAAGACTGATTTGTCCACAGGTTGACACAAATCAAAAGTTACTCATTGGAGCTTTAATTTTTATGTTTTTTGTGCCGATTTTTACAAGGAAGAGCCAAAACGAGTTCAAGAGATGTTTATTTAAAAGTTAGGTGCTACGTCTATATTATGTCAAATAAAAGAAAATTGTACATAAACTGGACTGTAGTCACATTCTGTTTATGATGACTGAAGTACAAAGAATTTGCATTTACTGTGTGTTTTTTAGGCTAATTCTAATAACTAATAAAAACCTGAAAAAAACGTTGGTCACACAAATAATTAAAAGTTTTGACTTTCCATAAAAAAAAATTTAAAAAGTATTTTTTTTTATTTTACTCTGCATAAAATGTAAAATTTTAAACTAATAGTCTGTTCCGCATAAACTATTTTCCTGATAAATTTGTGGTAAATGTGTTTAACAATCCATCAAATCTGAAATGTTAGTCGACTGGATAAAAAATAAACCGTCAACTTATAATAAATCAAAAACACGAATAACATAAAACATTAGAAAATAAAAGACATCTTTAAAGGTGCAGCAGAAATCTACTATAAAATTCATTATGTTTAAATGAGCGTATAATCCCTTTAATATACAAAGAGTATATAAAGAGTTTGTAGTTTATAGAAGTTTTAAAGGACAAAAATTTGACAAAAGGAGGGTCAAACTTGTCATACATCACAGGAGCTTCTTGTCCTCAAAGGCCACCGTTGCTTCGCCAATGAGAGGGGTGAGCAAGGGAGCGATTTAATCTTAAATCTGACCTCCACATGCGGCTGAATAATCTTAACCCGGCTGTCAAACTCAGCATACAAACTAAACAAACATTATCTCTGGTAAACTTTCTGCATCTCTAAAAAAAATCTGTGGATTTCACCTCATGTTCGCTTGCTGCTGTTGCTAACTGTAGCTAACGTATTCCTTCCACGGCTTCATTGATTTGCTGTTTTTAATTTTTCCCTTTTCCTCATATCCTTCTTTCAAACTTAAAATACTCATATCAGTGCACCAGCTCTACTCTAGTTTCAGCTTCACTCACATCAAATCGGAAGATCTCACACTGCCATCGTCTAAGAATGTAAATTAAAGCGTCTCAAAGCTATAGGCTGTTTCTATAGGATAAAGAAGCATGATTAGAATAATAAATGATGACATTCCTGCTATCAGACGACAATTTAGTGAGCTGATTCAGATCATACAACCCGACAGGAAACAGATTATTTCCCTGAATGTGTGGAGGATCAGATAAACGAGTTAAATGAAAATAAAGAGAGACAGATGAGAGTTAAAAAAAGAGAGAAGAGGAGATATTCAGTAATGGTTGTGGAGAAGCGAGCCGGTCACGAGGCCGGGGACAGAGTTTTGTCACTACAATCTCCACTCTCCGCCTCTGTAATGACTCGCCTGCAGGCAGAAATGATTTCCTCCACTGGTGTTGATATAGCTGGAGTCGCCGCAAATCTGAGGCCGACGCTTGGCGGGAAAGGCGACGGAGAGTAAAAATACAACAGAGACCTGAGTCGCTGTTTTCATTTTGTTTATCTCTAATATTACTCCTGTTTCTTTTTCTTAGTCAGCAAAGTGGATTGGAGATTTTTTTCTATCACGCTCTGTTTGTCCAGGTGGTCTTGCCGTAGTCCTTGTGATCCAACTGTGGTCAATGTGTCACAATTTTCCATCCACAGACCTCAAAAATAACACCTCTCTCCCTCTGATCTGCCCCTCCTCCTGCCCGGGGATGTGTCATAAGGACATCATCATCATCATCATCATCATCATCTTCAGTGTCTGAGAGCGGAGCAAGAGAAGCAGGAGAGACATGACAGCCGATCTACTGATGAAATAAAACAAAAAGGACACTGAATAGATTCAAAAATTCATCATTATATTTGTTTTCCTAAAGATTTAAAATGAAAAAATTGTATTTTGTCGAGTTTTATCATCAACCTTTAACAGTAAACACACTTGGTTATATTTCATTGGAATAAATGCAGAAGTTAAAGCTCCTATAAGGAGTTTTTTTGGCCATTTTTTTTTCCAGTGATGCATTCAACTGTCAACTATCAGTAGGATGAGATTCAACTCTGCAAGCAAGAAGACGAGATGAACAAAGACTGCATTGTCCACAAGGGGGCACCAAAACTGAAAGTTCCCAACAGGAGCTTTAAAAGTGCATTCCATTTGTACCCGGAAGTTGGGATTTCCGAGCTCTGAGTCGGAAATTAATTCATAACCGACCCCCTGAGACGGATTTCCGACTCGAAAAGTCGGATGATCCTCACCAACTCCGACGTGACGACAACGTCAAATTCCAAGATGGCAGCACAGTGCATCAACAGTAAAGTGTAATGGTAAAAGATCTCGTATGTGTTATTTATTAGCACCTCTGTTTTGTTTTTGTGAAATTAAACAAGTGTTATATGTTGTAGTGACCAACGTTTAAGTGTGAACACGGTGCTATCGTGTTTGTAAGATTAAATTACTATATGATGTGTTGTTTACAACTGGTATAGCAATGACAACAACAAACAACAGCTGACAACGGCCAACAGTCGGCGTCCATCTTGGTTTTCCGACTTGTTTACTTGAACACCGTCAACTTGGGTGTAACATCATTCCCAGCTCTGACATCCAACTTCCGAGCTAACTTGAACACAGCATAACACAAAAATTTGAACTCTAAATGCATGCTGGGAGATGGAGTTTCACAGCAGATATTCACATTGGCATCCACGGTCTTTGTTCTTCGTGCTTGGATAATATTAGACAAAGGGTCGATAAACCTCTTATTCAGATATTTTACTTACAATCATGATCGTTGAATTTTTTTTAACGAATTGCATCATTTAATTGCGATCAATCGCAACAGCCAATTAATATTATTAATATTCTCTTCACTTACTCACTTCATCTTTTCCTTTTCTAATCCTACATATAATGTTTAAAAGACAAAAATGTAGTTTGAATACGGTGTCATAAAAATCACTGAAGCGCGTGGCGAACACAACGTGTGACGCCATCGACCTCTCTCGCATTTATTCTGGATATTTACTGTCTATGGCTCCAGCGTATGATTTGGCAGGTGGGCAGAGAGGGAGGGAGACAGAGAGGAAGAGGGGGGAGAAAACAGAGAGAGGGAGCACCAGCATATACATCACTTCATCCTTAATTAGCTGTCATCAGCTTCTCTCCTCAGAGGAACCAGAGACTAATAATTAATGATCAAACTCTAAAGTAGAGTCACTCCCATCCTCTGCCTCCCCCCTCTCTCTCTCCCTCTATCTCAGGAAGAAGAATTAACAAAGACAAAAGATAACAGTTGATTTGGTTAGAGAGTAATGAAAAATGACTGGAGGAAAAGCAGGAAGCCAGCCAGGGGATCTCGTAGATTTAATAAATGAGTCATCCAAAAGCAGCAGAAATGAGGTAAGAGCCATGCACCCTCAGGTTTCAGAGCTCCTTACCCTCCACATCATCAGAGCTTGTTTGGCGTGAAAAGGAGCCGTGAGCGTCCTCTTTATTAGTCCGGTCTGAAACACAGAAGGCCGGGATTAATGAACCCGCCTTATCGTTGATGGAGGATTATGTTTACAAGGCGAGGACATGCCAGGAAAAGGGGGACCGTTTTCCTCTCACATCACGCTCTGTGGGAAGTTCAGGTGTTGTTGTCAGAAGAATTATGGTCGCTTGTCATAACACGGAAAATTACAAGCCAACAAAAACGTTACTCAGGTGAGAGCTACAGTGAGACGGAGTGCGAGTTTGTGAGTATCAAATACGATCTTTTTACATCACACAAAGGTTAAGATGATAAAATTCACCTTACATTTTTCTAGCTAACAGTATTGGTAACTTCAACAAAAGAGTAGAGTTAAAAATAGTGTTTTATTAGCTGCTAACTTTTCCAATAGCTATTAAAGTCCCACTCCAATAATTTTTTTTACTACTTAAAGTCTTCTCAGTGGTCTTTAAATTGTGATCATGAAGTTTTTAACCAAAATCGCGTTAACTGTGTCATTTTAGAGGACTTTTCTTCTGCAGAGCTCCAGTAGATCATTAGCAATTTGCCTCTGAGTCGTGGGCGGAGACAGCGCTGCTCTGCACACTCCTCCTCGCGTTAGCTTGTAGCCTATGTGTTTAGCGACATGATGAAAGTTAATATCATAATTAGCTTTCTTACAAGCATTGCAATCTGCTAACGCACACGCTTCATCCGCGATTGTCCTCTCTATTTCTCCGAGTCTGGCCTGTATAGCAGAGCTCGGGGGCGGAGCTTGGATTTGCTACATGGGAAATCTCACTGAATCTGACCCTGCTGTTTGGATCTGTAAGAGGTTTACAGCGATTTGAATTCAGAAATACTCAGAAATGCAATTTTGCACTTAGTTTTCTTACGATTTATCCTGTAGCATCAGAAAAATGTCATATGAACCCGTAGACAACATGTGTAGTTTGTTTTGAGAGTTTTTCGGGTCGGACAGAATGTCTTTTACATGCTTCGAACTCAGTAAGTCCACATGACACAAACTCAAAACTTCCACACATAACCCCGGACATTTGAAGGATTTTATAAACTCCCCCTGGACGCTATTTTTGTTTTTGTAGGATGGTAAGGGAAGGTCCCACCCAGCACTTTGCCTCTGATTGACTAGAAGTGCTGGGCTCTGATTGGTTATTCCTTGTGGCTGTGAAAGGTCATCGTCTGTCAGGTTAGGGTTAGGGTTAGGAGATTCAAAAGTGCGATAATGTTCTGTAATGTTTTGTTCGATGTACAGAGCCGACAGCTCACGTTTGGCTTGAGTGCTACATTTCCAGCTCTTCTAGCCAATCAGAGGCGAAGGAGGCGGGACTTTCCCCTACCATCCCACAAAAAAAAAATATTGCCCCCCCGGACAGACCTGACAGCCCCCCAAAAGAGGACATGTCTGGGTAAAAGAGGATGTATGGTCACTCTCATTGATACAAATTCTCATGTGCACAACAGCCGCACTATTCTCCTTCATCTTTTTACCAGTGCATTCAACCACTCGCTAAATATATGGTGGTCCAAGATGGCGGCCTCTTTCAACAGAGACCTGTTTTTATGTATCGATAAGAAAAGTTGACAAAACCAGGTGATTATCCACTATTTGAGACATACTTATGACCGTTATTTTCCATTTCTACCTGTCCGTTGGGTTACCAAATGAGCTGCTAGTTGGTTTTATCGGTATTTCAGATGCCAGGACGTCGTCTCTTCAGTTGCCAATCACACAGATAGTGTTTAATGATAACAAGAGCCAGATGCCCAACATTTACATGGTCTACAGCCACACAGTAACAGCATGAGCCTCCCTCCCTGAGCGCGACAGCAGAGCAAACCGGCCACCTTGTGAATATGGTCAGTCGTAATGTTTTAACAAAGCCTGTACGACTGTGTAGACAGGAGCAGCTAATTAGAGAGGAACACAGTGTAAGTGGGCATATGTGCACAAGGGGACCAGTCAGCCAACACTCGACAGGAAAGCGCTGCAGGGGGACAGCAGGCAGGCAGGCAGGCGACTGACCAGCTCTGGAGCCAACATGGAGCCGCCATGGAGGCATGTTATGGTCTCAGCGCCCCAAGCCCCTGGCATGCGTCTCCAGAAACCCTGTTCGCCGTGGCAGGGAGGGGTGGAAACTGCCGGCTTTACAGACCCCACCACAACCTGTCCTCTCTCCAAGACTGGACGCACTCGGAGACGTGTTTGTGTGTATGTGCGCTCCTTCCTAAGCTGCTCTTAAGTGCTTTAATTGGATTATCCTTAATGAGTAAACAAACAACTACAGCAGCTAAATAATAAGCAAATGAATGAACGTGTCAGGAAGCCCTTTGCTGTCTCTTTTCCTCTCTTTCTCTATCCTTTCTTTCTGCCCTGCCCCCTTTTTCAATCATTTAGTCCCTCTCATGTGTAATTATCCTGCTTAAGAATGACTCAGAAACACTGCCGGAGAGGCGAGTGTGTGTGTGAGTGTGAGTTTAAGTGTGTGTGTCACACTCAAAGGAGACAGGCGTTTCTTAAGTGGCTGCTTTGAAGTCGGTGATTAGTCCTGTGATTCATTGACAAGAGGAGGAAAAGGAGGCGAAAAGACGACAGAGAGCAGGAGAGCTCCCGCCGAGGAAGGAGAGCGAAAATAAACAAATGGGGAGTTTTAGAAATGACATCTGTGAATATTATTAGAACATTAATCTGCACTGATGACACAGATGCTTAAGCCATCTCCTTCTGTTAATGCAGGAGGAAGAGGAGAGGACAAACATTTGAGCAGGGGAGAAAAACGAGAACAAATGAAAGACGGAAGAGAAGAGGCCTGAGAAGTGAGAGAGAGGAGGGGGAAAGAGAGGCCGGTAGAGATGAAGAAGGAAGATAGAGATGGGTGGATAAGGTAGAAAAGAGACAGGAAGGATAGAGGAGATAGAGGAGATAAAAAAAAGAAAAAGGAAGGTGAACAAGTTAGCCAAGAAATGAGGGAAGTAGTGCAGAAAAAAGGACTGAAAAGAGGCAAAAAGAACAGAAGTCGCTTAATTACCTTACACTAAAACTGATAATGGGAGCGCTATAAACGCAAATGATGTTAAAACTGGAGTAGAAATCTTTCAGGTCAAGCCTGAAATGCTGAAAATGAGTGATGAAGAGAGAGCTGAAAGTGTTAAAACTGAACGCCAGAAACACGAAGGTGAAGAGTCTTGACCAGAAAGAAGAGGTGTGAAGGTGAGAGGAGGGACTGCTGCACTTTTCTCCTTTGACTCCAGTTTATGGGGTCATAAAAAAGGGCCATTCCCTCAAAATCTATACAGGAAAATCTAAACCGAATCATTTCATCGCTCTCTCTCTGCCCTTAATTGCAGCCATATGCAATTTTAAAGGGCCGTTCCACCTACTAATGGTTCCCCTGGGGAACGAGGGGTTAATTGCTGCAGCTGGTGACGGAGCTCCTCAGTGATAAAAAGGTGAAGTTACTGCCTCCCTGTCCATCACTCCTTTTTTTCAGTCTCTGTCTTTTGGGAATAGTAAGTCGATGTTAAAACTGTCAACGGTCCAAAACCCAGAAGAGTCCAAATTTGGTGGTTTTTGAATTTACAGACTCTACCAAGAAGTTTTACTGACATTTAACACCAAACATGAAAAAAGGTTTCCAAACTGTCTTGGACCAACTTTTTATACTTCATGTTGTAATTTACACAAAATTTAAACCCTTCTGTTTTTAACTCGTGAAGTTGCACGCCACTTGTTGGAGCATTAGCCACAATGGAAGTTGGTCATTTTGGCTGTTTCATGAAAAACTGCCCCAAATACAGGCCACACCCACCCAGCAAAAAGTGGTTGAAAAGGCGTTGAAAAGGCGTTGAAAAGGCGTTGAAAAAGCGTTGTCACCGTACATCCAAACAACGTCTACATTCGGACTGTCTAAATTACGCCCTAGATTTCAGCGTCTTTTTTTGGCTAATTAGTGGCCATGATGGGCCTGATAAAAGACACCTAAATGACGTCTGTGTTGGGTGGGCAGTTTTAGGTAAACTTCGTGGGCAATTCAGCCCAGTCGGTTTAAATTTTTATGACATATATTTTTATAAAACCCTACTTCAAAAATACAGAAATTTTCCTTTAATATCCTCAAAACTAATGAGTGAAAAAGGAAATTCACCTCCTGTACAGTGTACATGAGAAGCAAATTTACCGTTTTCAGAATGAGTGTGTATGTGGCTTTAGAGGTTTTGCAGTGAGCCTCTAGTGGACAGTGAAGGAAGTGCAGTTTTTTTTTTTTTTAACTTTCCTCTTGACTTCATTTCTCAGGACTGGAAATGCTTTTTCTTTTTCATGTAAAACTTGGTGGTCTAAATTCTTTTAAATTAATCGGTTCAGAATAAAATTAAAAAAGGTGAGTAAAGAGGACGATAGAATTTTATTTTAATTTTTTTTTTTACTTTTTATAGATTTTGCCTTTTATTGTTAGGGTAGGTTGGAAGTATGGGGAGATGTGTATGGTTGGGGCTGAACCTGCGACTGCCCATAGGTAGGGTGCGCTAACCCACTCGGCCAAATAAATTAATAAATGAATAAAAAATAAATATTAAAATTAAACTTTTATCTTCTCATTGTGGCAAAGTACATGACATTGTAGCATGCATGTCTTCTTGCAGGGTAAAATAACTACATCTTAAGCTCAAAATTTGGCAAAATGCTGCACAAAATTTTTCAAAAAAGGTCCAAATTCTTTTGTAACTGATGAACAGATCTTCGACATGATTCGTGACGAAACCTTAATCTCCACAGACTCGGTATCATGCGTGAAACTCAAGCCTAGATCAGGACAATAAGCTTAAAAAATGACAGTGTTGGTTGACAGGAAGCTCAGAGTTTGACTAAACTGATCCGGACAGGTGGGCACTGCAGAGGGGGGTTACTCAGGACACTCGAAGACAAGACGAACAGGAGGGGGGAGAGGGCTCCTGAGGTTTCTGAGGGTCAGGTGAAAGTCACGCAGCAGAGAAGACAAGCCGAGGATGGAGAAGCTTTCCGAGGTGGAGGTTGTTTGAGGCCTCCATCGCCGCGACTGATTACGAGACAAACAGAGACAGATGAAGCAGAGGGGCGGCGGCGACGAGGGGAGACAGCAGCGGAAATGTAGAGTGATTACACACGTAGACAAAGAGCAGGAAGTAGGATGTCAGAGAGAGTGAGACCAAGGGTTGAACCCGCCTCAGCTGTGAGGGGCACCTGTTCACGGTGGGACCACATCCTCCCGCCAGCCTTAATCAAATTTACCGCAGAGACAGACTGTGACGACACCCCCCTCTAACAAGAAACCCACTGTGTGTTACATCCAAATAATCCCTACCTCTAGCCAGGCTCTCACTGCGTGCCACTTCCAAAGGTGTCCCACCTCTAATACACACCCACGCCAGGATGTGCCGAATTAATCTTCCCTCCAAACTCTAATTAACTGGCTGGTATTATCATGTGTTCCTACATGGGGAGATTTGGACTGTGTGGTTTATTACATATCACAACATCACGCTTCAGCTGAGCGGAATCCGGAGATGATGACTCTGAAATGATGTATCATAAAAGTCAAGCATCTGCAAAGTGTCATAATAAAAGAGTAAGTAGCCATAGGAAGAATCGGTTTCAGACGATCAAAGCTGGTGCCAACGCCGGTATGAAGGTCACGTGGCCTCCTGAATACGTTGAGCCATAAACATGAACCCCAAGATCCATCAGTCTGGATGATAAATCCTCAGTCATATTGTCTGTATCACAAGTTTGCAGTTTGTCTCAGTCCAGAAGTTTATTTTGGATGCTGTAAATTATGATTGTGGCGCTCCACCAAGGCGTAAATCATGATTGATCTGCAGATTATTCTCGGGCTGGGAGAACAAACCTCACAGAACTGATTAATGCAGTTATGCAGTTTTCTCCAAATTTCAAAATGACTGTTGTTTGCAGAGCATGAGTTGCATTTGTGTTTGTAAAGGATGATGCCGAAGCTTTGATTATTCTCTCAGATTCATAGCTGCTGATATTCCTATGACCCTATATGAGAAGGTCGGTTGGCTGTGTTGCCAACTCCTCAGTAAGGAAAGTCGCTAGTGGCTGTTGTAAAAGTCACTAGATGACGTCATGGCCTAATGTCTGTGTTTTGCTACCTGTTGAGAAGAGTAACATCTATTCCTGCGTTTATGTTGGAGTCTCTAAACTCCAGAAAAAGTCGCTAGATTTGTCGCTCGGCGCTTTTTTGAAATAAGTCGCTAGAGGGGTCTGAAAAGTCACCAAATCTAGCGACAGAGTCACTATGTTGGAAACACTGCCGGTTGGCCTCTTGAAGAGAAAGGGTCACAGACATGGGCGTGGTAGTGGGGGGAAGTGGACCTGACTACCCAGGGCCCGAGTTGGGAGAGGGGCCCGTGGAAATCCTGATTATTTTCTTTTTGATGTTTTTATTTCAAATATTTCAATAACATCAACTGAGAGAACGAACTTCATGTCACAGTCCTCCTAACATATTGGACATTCTGGGGGCCCAAAATGGTTTAGTCCGGCAACTGACAAACTTACGGGTGGATGGATGGAGAGAGATAGAGAGAGATGCAGGTGGTGAGAACATTAGAGCCGGATATTAGAGCCACTCATCAATAAAATCTGATCTGATTGTAGCTGAAAACTTTATTTATATTTTTTTTGTTTTTATCAAATTTGTCCACAGCTCTATAGGGATTGCTGGAGGAGACAGGATTTATGACCTATACTGCAGCCCGTCACCAGAGGGTGCTGTTCTCGGAGTGTCTTCATCCAGCGAGGAGGTATATATACAGTCTATGATAGGAGCCCGCTGACATTGAGAGTGAACAGGATCAAAATGTTCATGTTTCATGTGCGCAGTAGTGTCGTGATGTGCTTAGCTTTTTAGTTTTTATCGTTCTTTTAATGAGTGACTGTCTGTTTCTGGAAAGTCTCAGTTTCACTGTCAATAGTAAGAAACACAGAGGCCTCAATCTGGTTCAGTTCTACTATATGAACCTAAAGTAAGCCCTTCAGTTTCCTCATGATTTACTTGATATGAACAGGTCTTCAGTTGGGATGCAGAAACGCAGAAAAGCAATCTAAGAGTCAGAGTACTAGCTCTATGATAGATTGTCTTTATCCTTCTGTCTTTGTTTTCCAAGTCGAACCCAGAATCGGTCCAAATCCACTGCAAATGGAAACAAGAGCACCTCTCAAACTCAAATCCAAGCCTAACGATTTTTAATTTTTATGTAGGATCTGTAAACTACGATTATAAATAAGTGCCGGTTACCCTCAAAAATCACGTTTCATTAAACAGTGAACATTATCCTCATCTGTCACCCTGATTAATACCCAAGAATCAACTATCTATATTCATACCTCCTCCTCCTCATTTCCTACATAACACGCCACAGCTAACCGCTAACTGTAAATATTAATAATATTTTTCTCATGGATGGGATTCAATCATCCATCATCGCTCTCCATCTCCTTCCGTTTCTCGTTCAATCTGTCGCCGCCTCTCCTCCCACTCTCTCTTACAGGAGAGAGAGGTGTCAGTTTCAGTGAAACAACTTAATTCTGATGTCAATGAATTAATTAGATGTGTTAATGAGCTAGCGACAGCTAACCCAAATTAAATTAATACCGTAATGGCCTCAGACAGCGAGAATTAGCTCCCATTTCAGTAAACGCTTTCTGGAGTGTACACAGCCGCCAAGGATAGACACACACACACACGTAGAGACACAGACACACACTCTCACACACACACAGCTCAAACAGCATCCATCCCCCCGAGCAGATCATCATCCAGATGTAATTAACTGACTAATTACAGGAGCTCTCTCTGGCTCCCTCTCTCTCCCCTCGCTGTATCTCTCCCCTCTTTCTCACACTGTCTGCCTCTCTGTCGACTCCGTTATTTGACCCTCGAAGACTCAACTTTCTCAGACTTCCTCACACTTTAGTTTCCCTTCCTCCTGTTTGTTTTGGTTTGCGTATTTACCCCCCCGACATATACCGCGGCTCTGTAGCAGCATTAAAGAGTCTTTAAATCTCAAGATGTCAGTGTCTCTGTGTTCTTCCTTCCTCTTGTCAACACACTTAAAGTCTCATTACATTCAACAGGCCCGGCTTAAAGGCTGTTTAGTCTGCTATTAGCTCTAATAGTGACTCCTCCACAGCCGCCACGCTCCAGCAGACCTGCTGACGGGAAGCCACCAGACTGCTAATCTGATCTCAGAGGCACAAAATGGCTGCTGTCTGAGCGTGAGACTGTCAACGATGAGGATGCTGTCAGAAGTTAAACACGACTTTTAACTCTTAATTCATGTTCTTTCACACCGAGTTGTGACAGAGGATGAATATGTGGGGATGGATCGTCCCAGCAGCACTTTTCAATAAGGTTGTGAGACCAAGGAGACCAGGTTCTGGAGTTTTAAATAAGATGCTGTCTCATTAGGGCCGCACGGTCTGGGCCAAAAATAAAATCCTTTTTTTTTCTCTGAAAACTTGATTTTCGATTTCAATTTTTTTATTCGGCGACAACTTCACCAAACTTCACTTTAAAAATAAGTTTCCATCATCTCTCAAAACGAAACCCCCAAAAACAATGTAGTGCATATGCCAAGCTGGTAAGTGGCGCTGTAACGCTGCCCAGGAAATGTACAAAAGACAGAAGAAGAGTACAGAGCATGAGTATAAAGGTTGTTGTGGTCGGACACACACAGGCGCCATAAAAGATTTACGCAGTGTGTCACATGATGGTTTCAAGAAAGATGCAGATAGACATCCACACAGAGATGAAATGGTCGTCATTTATGGATTTATACACTCTCAGACCCATTTTCAAAAAGTACTGTTTACAATCACGCCGTTTCCATGTGGATGAAAAGCTTTTGCGTTTACTCCTGAATTCGTTTCCGTGAGGACGGGTTGATACCGCAGTCAGACAGACTTTGCAGGGGGGAGTGGTTTGCTCTTCGTCGGAAACTGTGAAGCTGTACCAATTCCACACGACTGACTTGCTCTTGTCCTTTTTAGTCACGAAATTATCGCCTTCTTTTGCAAACGCCATGTTTGTTTACACTGGTGCGTGTGGAAACTGGAGAGCACTCCTGCAGGAAGGGGGAGCCTAAGGTGGCCTGGAGGCACGAGACGATAGAGAGGAAAATTGAGTTGACGATTTTCATTTTTTCAGCATTGTCATCATCAAATAATCCGATCACGATTTAAAATCGATTAATTGTGCTGCCCTGTGTCCATCCTGGCCTGATACAGGATTGCAGCAGCTTAACCCTTCAGGTCCTCTTTCTTATATGTCTTTAGTTTCATCATGTGCATGCAGACCAGTTTGGCTCTTCTACTACAAGGCCGCGCAGATACTGTCCGTCGTTCTCTTGCTTGGATTTGCAGGAAAAGGTGTCATTGTGATGGAAGCAAAGCCTCCGCATCTCTGAACTCTTCTGCAGACTCATACTATCAGGGATGTTGGTTCTGGTGCTGTGGGCTGATACTGAGCTGGGTGGTTCTCAAATTCAAAAGTCAAATTTTGAATTACTAGATCATGTTTATAAAATGTTTCTTCCTTGCATAATACGGTTGCAGGTAAACTACAGACGGTGGATTTTAGAGGATCTGGAAATGTTGAACAATGTGCTCCCACAGTTTCTCACAGAGTGGTGAACCTCACTGGACTTTGCTCTTTATAACCAATGTTGCGAATCTTTACCAGCGTCCAACACAACATCCCAATTTTTAGGAACTGGGGTTGTAGAGCGAAAACAGTAGAGCTCCTCCTGCTGGCTGTTTGTGGAGAGTCTCAGTTTTATTGTAAATAGTTGGTTAAAAGAGGCTGCGGCTCATGGTAAAGACAGTTTTTGTCGTTTCTGTATCGTTCATGTTTGTCGTAGTTGTAGCTTCATTTCTCTTGTACTTTCTGTTTCCTTTTGTGGTCTGTCTCACCTGGCTGTGCTGTGAACAACACAAATTGAACAGGTTATAATCCACTCAGAGACCTAGTGACTGTGTGTTAGCGCTCTGTGTGTGCGCAAGTATACTTTTGTGTGTCTGTGTGTGTGTATAGTGGGCCTGTCTGCGTTAGCATGAGCGTTTTCCTGGGGTGAGACTCTGCAGGGAGTGAGCTTCTCTCACAAACACCATCTGTCAACAACAGGCTCACCTGCTAGCAAACATTTAGCTCAGGAACCATCTTGCCTGCTCACTCCTGTCTCTCTGTCTCACACACACATCTACACACACACACACACACACACACAGCAACACAATTCAGCAATGTCAAAGCGAAAGATAATGTAATTTCCCACTTAGACGACTTGACAATCTCACCTGCTTTGCAGCGCCTCAGATCTCTGAAGGATACAAGAGGACGTGTGTTTGATGGAGAGAAAGACGGAGGGGTAGAAAGACACCAAGGGGGGAAGAAAAAAGCACAAAACTGAACATTTGACACCTTTTTTTTCTCCAACATGAAAATGGTTAAGGGGGAGAGTAAAAAGCAATATGTAGAGCGGGGGATGATTGAGGAAGAGGGGGGAGACAGAGGGAGATGAAGACAGGAGGGGGGAGACTATTACCTGAGGTGTCTGACTAAATTAACTTCTCATCATCACTAATTAGCCCCTTGTTCCTCTGGTCCCTCTAGGTGAGTGTTACCTATATTATTGTGTTTGCACCAGAGCAGTGTGTGAATGTGTGTGTGTGTGTGTGTGAGTGTGTGCGCCATGTTCATTGTTCTGTTTGGTAATGGTAGACACACTCTTCACTGTTTGTCTATTTTTCTATTATTATCCGTATATTAGCGCTTTAATACATTTAATAAGTAAACCCAAAGTCATATTGATTGACTAAATTAGGTTTTTTTTTAAGCTTATATGTATTAATCACATTCAAAGCAATTAGTTAAAGTGCGCCAATTCGTTGATGACGATGTCCTCTCTTATAACAACTTAATTTGCGTAAAACTGCCTCCAAATGGTCAAGACTGAGTTTCAAGACCCCCTGACACCAACGGATCGAAGTCACAGGAGCTCGCCTAAACTTAAAGGTGGAGGGAGGCAGGATTTTTGTTAAGGAAGCATCTTTTTATTGGTGTATTTACAAAAAAAGCTTTTAATATCAGTCAATAGCTATTAGTTATTGATGACATTTGGGAATATAAGGATATCGCTGTGTTTTTGTCTGTGTAGTCAACATTTTAACTTTTATTGTTATTTAAAAAAATGCTAAAAAGTCCGAAATGTAAAAATTTTTCAAAAGCGTAACAAAAGTGTTGACCTGAAATGTTATAAATATGATGTAATAAAACCCAAAACATAATAACTGACACAAAATTGCTTCATTTTGGGCAAAAAGTTTTGGATTCAGCATTTTCTTACATTATTGATCAGTTATTACATTTTAGATTTTATTACATATCTTTTAATCACATTTCAGGCCATTGTTGCATATTGGGCTCTAACAGTCATGCAAAAATTGAACAAAAGTCTTTACTAAATGCTGTCAGAGCTAAAAAAATTGAAAAAACTTATATTTGTGTTTCAGGTTATCATGTATACAAACTTTGTAACTTATTAAAGCCCAATCATTCAGTCCACTCAAACCGCTGCAAGAGATGTCAGCTAAAGTAAAGGGTTCTCAGTCTTTCTTATGAATAACTAAATCAATCATTTTAAACATTTAAGCTTCGTCTAGTAAGGGATAAGATATTTCAAACAGGAAAAACTAACATATGGACTTACATGACCAACTATAGGGCCATGCAGAAACTGTCCAAAAATCAGACAAAGGCAAAGAAAACTAAAAATGATGTTTTAGGACTTTTTGAAATCATCCAGCAGTAAAGCCACTTAATTAGTTTGCACATCTTTCAGTAAAAAGGAGGTTTAACGTGAAGTATTTTCCATTCCACCTTTGCTGTATTAGTGCACAATGAGGCTATATATTCCTGCTTTCTCACCAGCACATTTCAAGAATGTGGAGTAATCTGATTATTCAAATGGATGTTAATTAGAGCCGTCTCTTCAAAAGGTGGCATTATGCGCTGGAATAAAAGTGAGTCATCTCTGAAGATTCCTCCGTCGCCACAAAAGAACCTGCGTGGACATGAAAAGAACAGCTCTGTGGTTTTTTTTTTGTTTTTGTGACAGTTTTATTTTGCCCAAATTTCCTTTGTCTTCGCTCTGTGTTCCTCTGTTGGGACATCATTTGCGGGCGGAACAATGGCGGCGGATGAATAACCTGATATAATACATATTCATGGCGTCGGAGAAGCAGTTGAGTAGATCCACTTGTTCGAAACACAACAAAGGTAGCTTCCGCTCCTCTGTTATCCTCCCTGCTCCAAATCCCTCCTCCACGCCTCCTTCAATAGTTTCTCTGTTTTTTCCTCCTTAATTATCTTTTGGAAATCCTCCCTCCCTTTAAACCTTTGTCCTTCTCCCGTGTGGAAACCAAACTGAGGCGAAACGCAGCAGCTTTCTCAGAGGGAGAGAGGAGACAACATCGCTCAGGTTAATCTTCCAACGTAGAGGAAGAAGTTTGAGTCATTTCTAGTTCTTCTTTTTTAGTTCCTGGCTTTTACTTTTAGTGGCGTTTAATGCTCTGACCAAAAGAGCAAACATGCTAACGTGAGCAGCTGCATATGAAATAAGACGAGAATAGCTTCAACAGTCTCACTGCTAAAACAATTGTCATTACAATAACATTGTGAGCTAATCCTTCTAAATAGGAGCCAGGAACTAAATCGGTTTGATGACGATGGTGCTCGGCTTAGTTGCCTTTCACCGGTTTACGCAGTAATCCTCATTAACAAAAGGCTAATCCTCCCCTCCATGTTGCCATGTTTGGACCCGTCCTCGCTTCATCTCCCCGACATGTAAAACTTCCCTAAATTTCTCGTCCCACTTTAATAAAGACATGCTAATCAACCTCGTCGAATCAAACCCATGTTAACGCTCCACATGGTGTCCGACGCAGAAATAGTACGACTACGTTTTCTCTCTTTGTTAACAGCAGGCTCACAGATGTTACAGATCATGTTCGTACATTCATGGTAAATCACGGAAAACATGAAAATCTACAGAAGTATGTTGAACAAATGATACAGGAAGCTCTGAGTCAGCCAATGGGCTTTGGCGACTTTGTTGAGGCACTGGAATCCAGGCCTTGGACTTAACTTGACCTTCATCCATCCATCTTCTACTGCATATCTAGAGTTGGGTTATGGGGACAGACTTTCCTTTCCCCGGCCACTTCGTCCAGCTCTTCCTATGGGACATTCCCAGGCCAGCTGAGAAAGCTAGTTTCTCCAGCATGTCCTGGGTCTTCCCAGTGGTTTCCTACTGGTAGGACGTTCCCTGAACACCTCACCAGCGAGGCATCCGAGAGGCATCCAGGCCGCTTGTACCCGCGATCTTGCTCTTTCTATCACTACCAGCAGCTCATGACTAAAGGCTAAAGAAAGAGTTCAGTCAGAAAAACCCGGACATGGGAAGAGTTCGGTGAGACCACGAAGAATGACTTCAAGACAGCGTCAAAGAGGTTCTGGACCACCGTCCGGTGTCTCTGAGAATTTCCCAGTTTGGGATCAATTAAGTCTGTCTGTCTGTCTGTCTATCATGAGGGGAAGCAGTGCATTGTCAGCACTGTGTATGGAAGGTAGGGCTGGGCGATATAGAAAAAAAGTTTATCAGAATATATTTTTTTCCTTATCAGTCGATATTGATATATATCACAATATAAAAAAAATCAAAAAAGTGCTTACTGGGAGGATGTCTGTCGTAATCCAATAAGCTACTGTGAAGTGAATATTAATGTGAAGATATTAAGTTTACAAGACTTGACAGATTTAACAGTCTGCGGTTTAGGAGGAGCTTATTTAAAAACGTGTCGACTCCATACTTAAGAGTGAAACGCCGATCCTCCTTATAATAGATAAAGATATTAATAATGGCAGCTGGACTCAGACTTGATTGGGACTAGTAAATGGACACTCAGATTCGTCACAGACCTGAACACTGAGGATTCAAGACTCAGTTCAGCCTCCATCAAGACTCGACTCCAACACGATGACAATGATGCAGATGTAAACGGACACTATCCAGACAAAACAAGCTCCTGTTTTCCTTTTTGTTGTGGATTTAAAATGAAAATATTCCTTATTTGATTCAATTTTCATCTCTAAATGTGTGACTATAAATCATCTAAAGTAAATTGTAATCAGTTATCAGCGTGGAGCACTGATTAACCCAAGCCAATTATATTGAAAAAGACAGAACAAAACCAACACCGCTATTGTTTGTAGAAGAGCTAATAGAGAGCTGACCTCTATCTGTTTACATTAACCGGAGCAGGCAATGGTCCCTGAACAAGCAGAATAAAATTAACCGCAATTTTATGTTTATTTTGTTTTTTATTGTCAATATAGGAGGTAAACCTGAATCAGAGCATTTCCCTCTGCCTGAAAACATTTGGTGATTCACCTCAACTTTAACCCAAACGTCTAAAAGCATTTTAAGATGAGAAGAAAGACAGATTTTCTAAAGTTTTAAAACGAGATTTTTTTTTTTAACAGATTTTTCTTTTTGAGGTTGTTGAAGAAGGTAGTCGCAGCGACCAAAGGAAAAAATACTGCAGAGAAAATGTGTGCAGCTACACAATAAAAGTCAAAATAAATGTAGAAATGTACGGTGGCCCTGAGGTGCAAAACACAACAGCAAATCAGAAAACACATCAAAAAAGAGAAAAGACAACAGCAAATCACAAAATACAGCAGCAAAAGAGAAAACACAATGACATTAACCTTTGTGTTTTCTCTTTTTATGTTATGTTCTTCGATTTGCTGTTGTGTTTTCTCTTTTTATGTTCCTTTTTTTCTTCTGCCATTGTATTTTTCTTATTTGCCCTGAGTTTTCTCTTTTTGTTTCGTGTTTTCTTACTTGCCATCGTGTTTTCTCTTTTGCCATTGTATTTTTTGTTTCCAGTTGTGTTTTCTGATTTGCCGTTGTGTTTTGCATCTAAGGGCCACTGTAGTAAGACATGCTATAAAAATAAAAATAAAAAATAAATAAAAAAACAGGGCGCTCATTTTTTAACATTTAATCCTTGAGAGTCCAGCCTCACTCCAAAAACACACATTTATAATGACCAAAAAAAGACTCATTCTGACGTCTGTAAAATCCCTAAGTTGAGCACTTTTCAGCCCCCTTCTAAAACGTTTTACTCTGGCTGTATTTCCAGGTTGTGGATGCTTCTTTTTACATAGTTTGGTAGTCGTGAAATAACCGAAAAGTTATGGCTGTAGAGAAACGGTCTTGGGCCGCCTGTTAGAGCCCCCTGAGCTCCACATTCAGCCACATTAGCTTGTGTTATCGTCCCTGCTGTGCCATAGTCGCAGGACTTTGTTTACAAAAGAGCCATCAGTGAAAAGCTGAACAAAACTTTTCTTTTTGCACTTGCCTTCAATGTTGGATTTGCATTGTTCATATAAACATGTATTTGGTGATTAGCATGTGTTTAGGACTTGGACTAGGTCGTCTGGACTGTTGCAGGTCACTGAGCCTCATAGGCCGCCGTAGTTTCAGTCACTTTTGTGTTCTTAGTGTCTAAATACTCAAACGAGAATATCCAGACTACACAATCTGCCTCTGACCCACCTACAGCTGGTGGCTCCTCGCCCACAATCCTTTGCTCTCTAATTATTCAAAACGCAGTCAGGACTGAGAGCTGTGATTCGCCAGCCCTCTTCAATTAGTGTTGTGTTAATTAAAGAGCATCATCAGGTTCTCGTTAGTGATTAAACACCCGAGTGTGATTACTTAACTCCGCAGGACTCCTGACGAATCATCTGCCCCCTGATCCCTCGGATGAGTCTACGCCAGTGTGCGTTTGTGCGAACGTGTTTGTGTGTGTGTGTGCATTTGGATTTTGGTGATGCTGAGGCGTGAGCAGAGGGAACAGATTCTCCCGCTCACGCTGCATATCACTGCTCCGATGAACACTGCATATGCATAGCTGCGAAGACGTGTGTGTGTGCGTGTTTGTGTGTCCGATTAGAGGAGGATTTTTGTTCGCTTGCTGATGAGGTGTCTGAAGTCAGTTAATTGCCTATCAAGAGAGCAAGCCAGCTCTGCCTCGTGTGTGCACTTGTATTTGTGTGTTTGTCTGATGCTCTGTGTGCATGCGTATGTCACTTTGTGAGCTAATTGCCTATCAGAGGACTACTCCGGTCCCTGTCCTTTGTAAGGAGAAAGTCCATGTGTGTAAATAAAAGTGTATATTCAGCAGTGGAGAGCAACAAGTAGAACTTAAAATACCTCCTAAATAACAATGCTGGTGATAGAACGTTTAATTAGCATTTTAAAAAATCCTCCGAAGAGGCTTCAACCAGCAGTAAATTCACTCTGCTAACAATGTTCCTGTGACCACAGCTTCTTGTTTCGTAACCACAGAAACTACATTCCCAAAAGTCGCTCAAATGCACGAGGTAAAAACTAGGGCTGCAACTAACGATTATTTTGATAATCGATTAATCTGCCGACTATTTTAATAACTAATCGATTAATCGGATAAACAGGCTAAATTCATCAATGCAGCTGTTAATAGCAATAGCATAGGGCTTTAGTTTATCATATGAGTTTATCTGCCATGAGGTGTTGAGGTCTCTGCATGTGTAGGTTACTGACTTACTGTAATCATCGGGTCTTTCTCGTCCTTATAAAAACCTGCTCTATTTTGGCGAGTGTCTGTCTTCTTCTGTAGTTAAACCGCAAGATATCAAAATCTACCCGGATACAGCAATGCTGCTTTTTGATTGGCTGTTCAGTATATATACTTTATTTGATTGGCTTGCGCGTGCCACGCAGCTTCTGAACTCTCGGAGAAACTCAGTTGATTTCCACCTGTTCCATAGTTAAAGAAGTGCAACTTGGTGGACATCACCGTGTTCATTTAAATGCGTGAGAAATACAATGTGTGGTGTGTGAGCGTGTGAACGAGTGGGAATGCGTGTGTCACACGCTGAATGCGTGAGACTTGAGAGCCCTGTGCTCACCCATCATCGATGTACTCCCGTGCCATGCAAAATGGGCTTTGCAAATGTTGCACTGAACGCCTTCCTTTTCAGTCTTGGTAAAGTTTTCCCACACCATGGGATGTGTCCATGTTTTTCTCAGCCACTGCCTCGGCCGTGGCTGTTTCTTTTCTGTGCGTCCTGCTGATGTTTACACGCCGGTGTCCGTGGACATATATAAAGACCCGACGAATCGATTACAGAATTAGTTGGCAACGAATTTTTTCGTCACGACGAATCGACTTAATCGATTCGTTGTTGCAGCCTTAGTAAAAACACAGTTTTATTGGTCGACGCAGTTTTTTTACATTGAGGTAAAACAGCGCGCTCCGGAAAAGTTGATTTAAGTTGGAGAAGCATCAAGTCTGATTTGGTCTGAATAGATAACAGCAAGGCAAGTTTGTATATAAAGCGCCATTCATACACACAGCAATTCAAAGTGTTTTACAGATACAAGGAAACACAAAAAGAGAGATTAAAACTATTTAAAATCAATAAGACCATAGACAGTATATAGAATTGACACCATCTGCCTCGTTGCTGGGAGAAGCCACCACAAAAACAGCACCCTCTGGTGCTGAGCTGCAGTATAGGTCATAAATCCCGCCTCTTCCAGCAATCTCTACGGAGCTGTGGACAAACTTTAGAAATCTATTACACAGAATATAAATGTTTCTCCCCCCTGGTTGTGATGTTGACATGTAGTTACTGTCAGACCGGTTTGTGCCCAAGTCCTCTTTTTTTCTGTACAGCTCCGTTTTTAAAAGTTATTACGGGGTTCATGTTTTCTATGATTGACACTTGATACAGCCTACAGCGAGATATGATGGTTGAGCAGAGTGTCATCACAGCGACTCTTCCATCGACTTCGTACAACTCTACTGCGCAAGTGGTGGTTCAGGGACGTGGAGAAAATCCCGAAAATATCGCAAGCAATTCGGCTTCAAATTCGTATAATGACGGGAGGCGGAGCCAAGTTGTCCGTAGTTTATACAGTCTATGAATAAGACAAATTAATAAATTTTTTCATCTGTTCCATGTTTGCCCTAATTATTTATGAAAACCGTTTTTTTCCCAGAAAAATGAAATACGTCACAAGCTTTCAGACCCAGAGCTCCTTAGATGGTTATTAGTTTTCTCTTTGTCCATCTCGGATGATATTAAGAGACTGTAGCTTTACTGACGAGCAAACGACCCGACTTTGTTTCATTTCGACAGGTTTTTGAGCGTATTTTACCACATAGAATCAGTCAGTGAGCACAACAAGTAATCATACTGAAGGCGCGCTGGATTATAAGGAGCACGAAGGATTTTAAGTGCGCCTTACAGTCCGAAAACTACGGTAGTAAGACTGTGTTCACAGAGAGGAGCCAATGCAGTGATTCCCACTACAGAGTCATGACTGTTTTTTGTAAGTTAGACAAACTTTGAAACTTTAAAATAACCCAAAAATACTTTTAAAGTCACAGTAACTCATATTGTACTGTTGGCTCCTCGTGTCCACTCCTGCAAGTTTCTTATACTTCTCCATCGCAGAGTCATGAACACAGTTTTTATATCTCATCAAGTTTGATACAAGATGTCCCACCTATTTCAGTGTTTTTGTTCGTCTTTGTCTACATGTGTGGGTTCCCAGACGAGTTTTTTTTTTACCTCCAGAGGACCAGGATGCTAATTAAGACGAATCCACCTCATGTCCAACCCCCCCACCCAGCACCCCCCCAATTCATCACTGTTATGCAAATATGTGCATGTGTGTGTAAAATGGCATCTGGGGCCCCACAGATCACAGCAACCAACATCCCATCTGACTCATAGTAATATATAGCATTTAATAACAGTGTACACACAAACACACACATATACACACACACACACACACACACACACACAAGCGCGCACATGTGGAAAATCAATATCCATGATTTAATAACCCAATGTACTGATCCAAATGGTTTCACAGGCCTTATTCGTGGCCACAAGAGCATCGCCACGACAACAGGCAGCAGAATAACAGATCTACTGCGAGTGTGCTAATTGAATGCATGTATACAGTACGTGTGAGTGTGTGTCTGCGTGAGTGTGTGTGTGTGTGTGTGTGTGTGTGTGTGTGTTCTTTATTACTGGAGTGATGGAGTAGGATTTAATAAACTAGCAAAAACACACACACATAAAGTCTCACACACACACACACTCAGCAGGTGAGTGCAGCTGAGTTGACACTTTGTCAGCACACTGTAATTTGACATAATGAATGCAAGCATCGTTACTGCTGTTAATTGGCCAGACTAATTATACTCCGAGGACGTCATTAGAGAGAACCTGCCGCTCCAAGTGTGTGTGTTTGTGAGTGTGTGTGTGTGTGTTTACGAGTCAGAGTGGGGCAGACGGTGGGAAAAGTGCAGCAGACTGGAGGAAGAGAGGCTGCTGGTGGAGACGAAGAGAACGAAGGAGGGGAAGGAGGAGGAGTGCAGGTGGTCAGGACTGATGGAGGGGGAGGACAGAGGGGTGCAGGGGTGAGGAGGAAGGGTCCGGGTTTGACGCTGTGGGAGGGGAGAATGAGGGCCAAAAGGTGGTTTTAGGGGGAAACAGGACCATGAAATGTTTGGAAACATGTCAAGAAAAGTTTAAAGACGTTTTCATCAAAGTCAGACGTCTTTTTTTTAGAGGACAGAAATGAAGATTTTATCATTTAAGCCAGTGGTTCTCAACTGGTCTCACTCTGGGACCCACATTTCCGCATAGTCCTTAAGTCGCGACCCACTTTTATAGAATGCCAACCAAGCAAATTCATATTTTATTAAACAAAAAACCTTTAAAGACTCTAATTTTAACATAAATTCACTCGTTTTATTAAGGAAAGTGCATTTCAGAGAACATGAAGGGGACAACATGAGGACGACTACTACTGAAGTTGTATATACAGAAAATATCAACTATCTAATAAAAATTGCATCACATATTTACTTTTTTGACCAGCTGTTCGTGACCCATCCAGAATGTGTCCAGGGGGAAAAAAACGCATGCTGAGGAAGACTTTTCTGTGGGGAAGTCCCGCCTCCTTCGCCTCTGATGGCTAGAAAAGCTGAAAACGTAATCACACGCTCAAGCCAAACAGTAAGAACTTATAGCCAATCAGAGGCGAAGGAGGGCGGGCCCTTCCCTTAACAACCCCACCTTCCGGGTGGAAGCGAAAAGGCAAAAATGGAGTCTACTTCAACTTCAAGTGATGGCGAATTGGTCCTCCTTTTGCTTTCTCAAAAGAAAAAGAAACGTCGCACACGGGTGCATCCAATATTACAAAAAAGAAGAGAACTTGGTGAGTTTCACTGCTGGTTCAGGAGCTGAAACTGTTCCACGGTCACTTCAGAACCTGTTTTCGAATGTCAGTTGGACAATTTGAAGTTCTGCTGAAACAATTAGCTCCAAGTTTGAAGAGGCAGAGGACTAGACTCTAGTGTTGAGATGTCTGTCTGTCATGATAGCATGAAACTATGGTAACAACCGTTAGCTTATGTTAGCACAGATGAAAGTTAAAACAAAGACTTTTAGCAAACTGTTAAAGCACACAAACCATCATTAAATGAGAAATCTGACGCTATGACTCTCCACAAGTTGTCCTTCAGGTCGTTATCTTTGTAATATTATCGTCTTTTATCAAAAATCACTTTGTTCTCCGACACGTAAACAATCAGCTGGTCGGCCATGTTGGATTTATGGGTGAATCAGACGTCTCAACAACACAAAATCTGATTGGTCAGAAGTGGACATACAGTATGCAAAACTTTAGAAAAATCGACCATGATCCGAAAAAAATGCCGCAATATCCTAGCATGGGAAAAAGTCACTGATATGAACGCTTGTATTGACAGGATACAGGTTCGAAAAAAATATTGACATCTGAAATTATCACACGACAAAAACAGTCCTGGTGTGAAAGGACCTTTACAGTCAAATACATGACTTATTGTATATATTTGAACCCTCACACCGGTTTTCATCTTTCAAAACTGCAATATAAAAATCATAAACCTTGTCTCCGATGGTGTCGATTGTTTTTGTGTTTCATTAAAAGGCATAAAAACAAATTTAAGTTGATTTCATGAACCTTAAAAACTCCTCACTGAAGCTTTAAACTCTTGCCTTCCACACTTTCATCCTTCCTCACCGTGTTTGTATGACACTGAGACTTGTGTATGGGAAAAGAGATTGTTAATACAACAACATGCTGATGCCCGGTGGATGAAACTGCATCAGCTCAGTATTTACTTAGTCAGACATTACCGACGAGTGATTTGAGTGAATTCTGAGAAACAGTATCAGGTCACAGTCCGACAGCAGAGCGGGAGGGAGGTGTGAGTCTGCAAGTGGGAAAAGCTTGTAATTTTCTCATTCTCATCCTGCAAGACAATCCGTCCTTATCAGTGTCTGATTCCCACATCGGAGGGAAAGCAGACAGAGACGCTGAAGGCCGAGACGCACTCACACACACACACACACACACACACACAGACACACAAACACTCCACAGAAGACGGGCATGAAATTACATAAAAAGGAAAGGGATACAGATAGAAAGACTGAGAGACTAGTGAGAGAACAAACAGGCCTATCAAACGACCACAGACCTAGATAACAAGATAAGACCTAATCAATCAATCCCTGCACACGGGGAGAGATCGCTCTAAGTGGCTCATGAGTCCTGCTGCAAATTAAATCTGCACACTCCTTCAAGTAAGAGTGAGTGGAGGGAGTGAGAGTTGGCGAGAAGAGGAGAAAGAGAGAGGGCGGATAATAGAGGGTAATTTCATCAGCGCGGCCTGTGATGAAGCTTTTACACGCCGGTTTGAGAGGCCAAACTAAAAGGCTGCAGGTTTGGTGATATTGAATATGAGTGGTGTGTCATGATTCGATTTGTAAAACGATAGCCGTGAATTAGATTACAGGCTCTAATGCGGATATCTGAAAGGGTGTCAGACCTTAAGGGTTTGGTGTGTGTCGGAGTGTGTGTCGGAGATTTTCTTCCTGTGCTAACACACAGAGATTCACTTTAATTCACTCAGTCCAGCGTCATCCATCCTCATCAGCGCTGCGCGAGTGCGTCTGAGTGTGTTGTGTATCCGTTTGTACGGACTTTACACCAGCCGGCAGCGAAAACAAAAATTATCTGGGAAAAAAGCAAAGTAGAGCGCCGAAAAAGAGCATAAATTTATAAAAGAGACAAATGTAGATCTGCATTTGAAACACAACCACGCCAGCGTTCCTCCGCGCCATAAATCTTCTTCATGGTTTTCAGTCCTGGAGCCGGAGCGCCAAATCCTGCTTCATTTGGGTTATTGGAAAAATGTCATCACGGGGCAATAATTAAGACTACGCAGATGTTTACTCTAGCAACTACCCTAGACATGCGGGTGAAGCCGGATTAAGCTCCTCAAACGCGGCCAAGGTAAATGACGAGTCAGCAGAAAATGGTACCAACATTAGCAAAGACGGATTCTCCTAATGACGGACGTGATGGAGCCCACGCTGGAGTTAAATCAGCGGTGTCATCTCGTCCTGGTGGCTCAATGATGGATTAAAAACCGAGGCATGTGGATGGTTTTACCCGAAGTGAACCCTCTGTTCAAAAACTGACAATCAACGAATACGACTACAGGACGCTAACGCACACTTTTGTAGAAACAAACAACAGAATCAACCTTTTCCTGCAACACTCTGAAACCGTACGAAGGATCCGTACAGAGCGCATTGCATATTTGCTCCGTAGAGCAGCATTTGGATTTCAGCCGTGTAGACAACCTCCTGTCAGTAACTCGATTTCTGCCCAGTGCATATAAACCAGTATGTTGGCATCAATCGTAGAAGCATTTTGGCTTCATTTTTTAACAGTATGAGGAGATGTGTTGTCCATCTTTACTTACAGCCTATGATCTGACTCTGAAGACAAAAAAAATCCTGACTGGATACATCAAGTAAGATTTTCCAAACGAACGTGGCAGGTTGAAATAAATCTGCAGTGATTGAGTACAGCAGCATTACGTCAAACAGTGATCTCAAACACACACACACTCAAAAACACACATTAGAGGTGTACACCACCGAAATTAACCGAGTTATAAAAAGCAGACGGTGACGCAAACTCAAGTCTCATGACCAGAACTGGGCGGCAACACAAACACAGAATGAAAACATGAAAACACGAGGCGCGTTTACATCCAAAAATTCAGAAATATGAATTATTGTGAAATAGTAGTGAGGCATGTTTTAAACCTTATTACCAAAAATGGATTGGTAAACACTCACACACACATACACAGACACACACACCTACTAATAAAGTTGTCTGAGTGTTATTTGGCAGGGAGTGCAGGCGGGAGATTCATGATTTTTAATATGCACAGGAACCGAAAAGTGGAAAACCAGACACACACACACACACTGTGCAGTAAGACGTCAGCTTCAGTGATCCACACACACACACACACACATGGATGAACTATGAAGATGTTTTGGTGTTGGTGTGGTGACAGACAGCAGCTAACACACAACAGCTCACTCCCAGCAGAGAACACTGAGCGCTCACATCATTAACACCTCCTGCTGCGTACCGCCGGGCCTCAACCGTCTGGAGACCCAAAGACACACACTCAGGGCACCAACCAAAAAAGGTGCTATAAATGTGTGTGTTTATGTCTCCTCCCTGTTTGTGTGTGTGTGTGTGTGTGTGTGTGTGTGTGTGTGTGTGTGTGCTCGCCATCTCCCAGAAGCCTCGACTCATCTGCTAATTAGTCAGGAGCAATTAAGTCCGCTTAAACTAACCGCACAACAGAGGCAGCCTGAACACACAAGCAGGTAAACAAATAATCACAAACAGAGCGAAAGACTCGCTCTAACTGTATCAGACGGTAAAATAACGCGGAATGAAGCAAAAGAAGTCGTCGAATGGAGACAGGAGAGGATTTAATTGGCTGTAAAGAGACAGAAAAGGCAGACAGAGAGCGAGAGAGGAGTAATAAGCAAGGAGGGAAAAAGAGGAGATAGAGATAATCATAAGTCCCAACGGACAGATTGGAGCAGAGCGGATTCTATCACATGCTATCTCTCATTTATATGCTAATTCACTCTATTAACAGATAGAGAGAGAGAGTCTAATGAATACCTACTGATTGCTGTTTGTTCCTTAGTTAGTTTGTGTGTTTTTTTTTAAAGAAATGTTGCGGAGAGAAACCAGACAGCTGTTTCCTGTCAAAAGACAAAGTGTCTCATATCGTCCTTAGGAACCCATAAACCGAGCAACAAAGAAATACAGTGAAATGAAATGAAAAATATAGAAAATAAAGCCAGAAACAGAGACGTTGTCAATGTTATTCAATTTGGATTAACGCTGTGAATCATCTCTCCCTCCCTCTCTCCTCTCCTCCATCACGTTTGTTCCTTTATGATACCGATAGCCACTTGAGTTTTTCTCTTATTTCCTGCTTTGAGCTGCTGCCGGTCTCAGAGCGGCTCAATTAACAATAACGAAGAGCTCACACATGCAGACAGACACACACTGTGAGCGCTCTTTACCCACCCTACAATATAAACAAGTTTAGAGATCATGTCACAAATGCAGGTGCAGAGAAAGACATGTTTTTCTTAACCTTTAACTAACTTTACCAGCAGACTTCTTAAAGCTCCTGTGAGGAATTTTCAGTGTGTGTTTACTTTGGCGCCCCCCTGTGGACAAAGCAGTCTCTGCTTAAAGCCACTTTAATGAGTTTTTAACTGGAAAAGAGGCAGGATGAAACTGATTCAAGAGCAAACGAGACAATCAGCATCACAGCCGAAGATTTTTCAGTGTTAGTTTTTGACGCCTGAAACAGCTGAAGAAAGTGTTTTATTTTGACTTTTTTCAGGGTAGATACGAACATCGAGCGACAGGTTTCATTGTGTCTGAAGAGACTATTTTTAGGACAAGAAATAAGAGGTTTTACTTTGTCCACTGGGGGGCGCCAAAATTGGCACAAACCAAAAGTTCTTCACTATAAAAACAATACAAGAACTTAATTGATTGAGGGAAATTCGATTGTCTGGAGTCTCATCGACGATCACCGATACTCTGTTTGCTACAACTGTGAACTCACTGGGGCCAAAAACAAAATCTGGATTTTTTTCTCTGAAAACTGTTTTTTGATTTTTTATTCAGTGACTTCATCAAACTTCACTAAAAATAAAACGTTTTTCTATCATCACTCAAAACGAAACCACCTAAAAAGATGTAGTGCATATGCCAAGCCAATAAGTGGCGCTGTAACCCCGCACAGGAAATGCACAAAAAGACAGAAGAAGAGTACAGAGCATGTGTATTAAGGTTGTTTTGGCGCCATAAAAGAGTTACGCTGTGTCACATGATCGTTTCCAGAGATGCAGATAGACATGGAGATGAAATGGTCGTCGTTTACGGATTTAAGGCTTTTCCGTGCGGATGAAATGGCAATACAACAAAAAACTTTAGCGTTTACTCCTGATACCGCCATCAGACAGACTTTATGGCGGGGAGTGGTTTGCTCTTCATCTGAAACTGCGAAGCCGTACCAATTCCACACGACTGACTCGCTCTTGTCCAATTTAGCCACAAAATTATCGCCTTCTTTTGCAAACACCATGTTTGTTTACACTGGTGTGTGTGGGAACTGGGGAGCGCTCCCGCAGGAAGGGGGAGGAGCCTACGGTGGCCTGGAGGCACGAGACATGATAGAGAGGAGAATCGATTTGAAGATTTTTTTTTTTTTTTTTAATTGTCGTAATCAAATAATCTGATTTTGATTTAAAATGGATTAATCGTGCAGCCCTAGATCTCATTCAGAAAAGTGAGATATTAGTTAAATTCACACAGTATCCAGGAGGGTCAGAGGTTCAGTTTCATGAATTTTTCTTTCGGATTTAAATCTCTACATTTTATCTTATTAAGCGCCTTCCTCCGTTTATGTCTTTAAACGTACTCTTCAATAGATCAATATTTGCCTTTCATGAAAATGTTAGTTTGGAAATGTGAGTGTAAATATTCACTCTGACAGATGGAGCTGGTGAGTCATGGAGCGCATCTCCTCTCCGTCTTTAACATTACTCATTCAGAGAAACACAAGTATCCATCCATGGAGGGGCTTAATCTGTCTGCACACACACACACACACACACACACACACACACACACACACACACACACACACACACACACATAAAGATCATTACCCTGCCTTGTCACAGACACTTAGAGAAACACAAAGAGAGAGACCTGAACCAAAATCCTGAGATGATTTTCCCGTCTGTCACCGCCACTACAGCGTGCGTATGATTCACCGTTCACGTGTGTGTTTTTCGCAGAGACCACATGCAAAGGGTTTCCACGGGCGACATACAGGGTTTCTTGAGGGGTTCCCCTGGGCTGTGATTGCTTTTCCAGTGCTGTCATCACAAAGAGTACACTTATACTCAGACAGCGCTCTTTGTCAAGTCAGTGACAGAGGCTGTGATGACAGGATTCAGAGAAATAAATCAGAGAGCGGCACTTCGAACCCAACACTTCTGTTCTGCAAAAATAAAAGAAGATTATAGACTCCTGCAGCGTGCAAACCTCCCTCTGAACACATCCTACAAATTATTGTATCTGGATACAGATTTCTGTATTTCTGCCTCCAAAATAAGGTTACAGGATCTTAACGTCCTCATATGTGCTTTTTTATGACCTCTTCCTGGGTTATAAGATCTGTGAAATCCATCCAAACATGCTGAGAGCGATGGCAGAATAATAATACACACACTAAAAACATTAAACAGCGTACGAAAGGAGAGGAAACCTTTGCAAGCGCCACACCAACACCAACACTAGCTGAGGAATAAATCGGAATAAAACTGCGTCATGTAAACATCTCGATCAGAAGATTCTGATCTAATTCGGCTTAATCGGAAAGAAATTGTATTCCGATCCAGAAGGTTGGTTTATGCTGATCGTTATTCCGAAACGCGTCCACGTAAACACGTACTCTGACCACGACTCTCTTACCTGACTCGATCTTCACTCCTCAGCTTTTGGTTTATTTATTGAGGTCAGTACTGAAGGTTTCTGCGGAGCCCAGGAGGTGACATGACCTTTATTTTTTTCAATTCACACATGCTATTTAGTTTGTCGAACGTGTGTTTTAAACATTTCTCATACTTGTGTTTTATTTGTATCTTGCGTTTCTGTAAATAATTCTCCGTGCGCCTCATTTGTGAGAGAAGAAGGACAGTATCGTGGACAGAGGGCATGTTATCAACATTTTCTTTCATTCAGGTTTGACTCACAGAGAGATGCTTTATAGTTAAGCCACATTTAGTATTGTTTTGAGTAGGAGACACCTCATCAGGATCCTTAAAGCACAGCGACTCTGCCGTCTGCGATATTCGGACTACAGGAAGTGATTTCATTGATTAACGAACAGTTAAATCTCACCTGCGATATAATAAATCACAAGTACAAATTGGAAAAAAAAAAAAAAAGGCAATGTCAGAATATATCACTCTGGCATAAAACACAACCGCTGGAGCCGTGTCTGCTCCTCTGCCGACATAACAAGGCATACATACAGCGTAGTGATATCTACACGCACAGCACAACCTTTGACAGAACAGTAAAATAAGTACACAAGGGCGCCATCTAGTGACAACTTTTAACAGAAGGGAAAATCCTGAATCGGATGGAGTGAGCCACGACCGCGTTTGTTGGTTTGTTGACCGCACAGGCGTACTTCTTCTCGTACTTAACTCTTCTTCTTCTGTGGTTGTTTTAGCGAAATTAGACAACTCTGCGTAAGTCCAAATCAGATCAAGAAATTTTGCAGATGTAAACATGGCTGCTGTGAGCCGAAAAGAGAAGACAGCAGGAGTACAGAGGGTCAAATGGGTGTCTAAGGCTGCGTTCACACTGCAGGTTATGATGCACAATTCAGTGACCCGCATGCACACAAAGCACAAATTGCTTTCCACGCCTGTTTGTGTTGTCGAACAATGGTGACGTTTGTCGCATATTGACGACATATCGGTTGGATGAACGTGCCTGAGCGTCCACACTGTAGTCACATCAGATACATATCCAATTTATATCCACATACAAAAGAGGCCTGGGTCGGATTTGAAAAAACCTGAATTGCACTGTTCACACTTAGATGAAAAAATCAGATATGTGTCACATATGGTTAAAAATCGGAATTGAACGTAGCCTAAGTGACTCAAAGCTCTTTTATGAATCAGTTTATTTGTCAGGATTGAAACCACTGACTGAGCAGCAAACACCTCCACCCTCCATGAAGACATCTTAAAGAGTTGAAGCATGGCAGAGTCTCACCGGCTCACTGAAGTGCGTTAAACTTACACCTTAAATTACAGATTTGTTTTGTTTGTGTTGCTTTGACAAAGATATGAACCGTTAAGGCAAGTCGAATCGCTCTTGAATGTCATTTTTCTCCTCTGCAGGAGCTCCATTTGCAATCAATCAGCTTTTTTACCAGCTAATATCTCATTACAGTCAAACTTATCAAACAGAAGAGAGAGCCGGAGTTAGCATTAGCTTTGTGAAATGTTTTGACATGAAACATGGAAAGAGTTTAGAGTTGTAAGTTGTTAGCTGGACCCTGAATCCTCAGAAATCCACTTTCAAACAGCAGCAGGTAACAGCAGGTATATGTTTCACATGAGCTACACCCTCCAAACCACAACCAGAAAGAAGCTAACAAGCTAACAAACAATGAAGTCAAAGTTTTTATCTGCACCTACCATGAGGAGTGTCTCAGTTTCCAGTTTTGCTGCACGGCTGAGTCCGTTTTTAACAGGAGCTCAAACCTCTCTGAGTCAGATCCATGTGTACGGCGGCCATCTTTGACCTCACTGCTCTTTAGGGGTGAGGCCTGATCAGGGTTTACAAAACAAGGAGGTTTAACCGAATAAATATGGTATTTTTTTCTTTATAAAGCTTAAGATATCTTGGAACGTTAAGATGTACTTTTTTAAGCGTTTGTTGTCAGATTTTCAGGATTTGGTTTCAAAGCGCTGGACTTAAGTGTTTCAGATCTACATGCAACTTTTTTTTTTTACTTGAAGACGCTGATATCAGGCTAAGTGTCTGGTTTGATGTCCAGGAAAACGTGAACATTTATTTAGAGCTTTATTGAGATATTAGGAAGGTAAAAAAATCAAGCAAACTAAAGTATTGAATTCAAACATAAAGTTAAAATAAAGCGACTTTAAAAAAAAAGGCCGTAAAATATCCGAGCTTTGTGTTTAAAGAGCGAGCTTGACTCTTTTAAAGGGATGAATTCAAGCAGTGAATAGGTGTAAAGTGTGTCAAATTATGAACACAGCTTCCTTTTGAACCGTGCGAGAAATGAGTGTGTTGAACAACAATATGAAAAGGTTTAGTGTATGCTAATGTTTGCTCTATTTCGACACAGATTAAACGGATAGAAGCTGCGGAGGAAAGCTGGATCCCATTATTTCAGAGCAGAGTCGAGCTTCAGTGAATCTCAGGGAAATGTTTAAAAATCTGCGCGGAGAGACTGTGAGGCCCTCTGTGTTATGTAGATGAACCACCTCAAAGGTGTATTTACAGGCTCTACCCAAACCTCAGTCCCCCACCTTATAAATGTACCTTATTGAGTCGACTTTAAGGCACATTTTCACCCTGAAGATAAACACCGTCCAAAGTGAAGCGCAGACGTGATTGATTCAGACACACAGCGGCGCGGTGATGGAACATTTTATCATGGTTTAAGGAAGGAGTCAACAAACACTTTCACACATAACAACAGGAACAGATGTCGCCTTTAGAGAAGAAGAGATTACACAGTTTTGTATTTTCACACCCAAAGATATAAAAGAAACAACAACTTGGAGCTAGAAGTCAATTTCCCAGCTTTTCCCCTCTTTCTTATTGTATTATTCCTCCCTGCTCCTCTTCGCTTTAGTGAACGGATATTTTAACAGCAGCGGAGAGAGGAATCGTCCTCTGGTGTTTGCATGAACATGTGTGTCTGTTTGACCCTCTGTGGTTTTGTTTGGACCAAACAGCTGTTTCTGCAACTGTCTTTTTCTGTGTGTTTGGACACAATCTTATTCGGTCTTTTTCTAGGTTTCTGTTTGTCTTTTACATCCTGAGGTTCAGAGAAAAAGATAAGGAGCAAATAATACAAAGATTTATGCCTTTACTGGAAAAGTGAAAAGAGCATCCAAGTCATTATTATAGTTATATTAAACAGATTAGATCAGTGTCTAAATAACGAGACTGGACTGGACAAGAAACTGTTATTCTATGTTCATATTTGTACATGTCGACTTGAAATTAAAGTGTTTCCTGTTTTCAGAGACAGACGTCAAGTATGTGAAATGAAAGGACACTCATCGTTTTCATAAACTGGAATGAATGTAATTGCACAACTTTATGAAATGCGAACAAAACATCCAAAATTATATAAGATGGAGAAACAGATTTATTAAAAAAAAAAGTTTTTAGAAGCATAAATCAGGGTTGGCTCTCTTAATTTGAGTGAAACCTCTCTAGAGCTTAAACTGTGAGTAAATATATATACATGTATAAATATTTTAATTCATTATTAAAATCTATTTGGCTTCTTACTCCCCTTTCTGTGCTCCATTCAGGAAAAGTCTGTAGCTGTAAAAAGAGACTTATTTCTGTTTTGACAGACTCAGATGCCAGACTGAAAACCACCTTAAAATACAGCACGTCTAATTATAACAGTGTTTCTACAGCTGAGATTTATATGATGAACCTGTCTCTAATCTTAACCATTAAAATCATCATGTCTTTAATTCTGTCAGGGTTTTTAAATCAGCGCTACAGACCGAAGATCCTGACCTGCACAGACTTTAAAGTCTCATGCTGCCTCCTAGTGTTCGTCCAGTGAAACTGCACCCTCTCTGCAGCTGTCCTAACACACCCTCTGCTGTGGGATGTAATTAACTTATTTGATTACTAATCTACCTACTATTAGGGTGTATAAGTGTAAATATAAAAGCACAATGAGCATAAAGTTTACATTTTTATTTAATTTCGACTTTGCACAAAAATATACAGCTGAGTTCATTCAGAATTACACAATCAGGAACATTATATACACACACAGAGTTACATTTTGTGTTGCTGTTTTAGAAATGTGAGTGGTTTGGTCGCAACACTTCAACATTAAAAAATTAAGTCTGCTCCAGTTCCTCCCGTTTAACCCTTAAACATTAAAATCATGTACAAATTCAGGTCCAATATGGACCAGCTGGGGGATTTTCTAAAACTCAAGTCATCGTTTTAAAGCCTGGGAGTCCCAAAACCCAAAACCAGATCCACTCAGTCTGCTGATCTGTAGAAAACGAGACTGAGATGGATAGTCAGTAAAAACAGGAAATTGAAAAACCAAAGTTGTACATATTTTTATATATTTACAAAAAAAAAAGTTAAAGTGACTTAAAACGCGTCAGTTTGTCTGCTGTGAAGGGGATCAGTGATTTGTTAAGACCTGACCCTGCAGTTAAAAGCTTTTAATCATCGTTAAGTGAACCTGTTTTCTTCTAAATCTCATCTCTGCAACAGTTGAATCCAGTTTAATTTAATTTGTTTCAGCCATTTGTGCTTTTAATCCGTCCTATCTGCAGAAATTTGAGCAAAAATCTGAAAAAAAGTCTAAATTTTCTGCCACAATAATCAAGTTTTTCTGCCTTTCTTCCTCTTTTCACCTCTCAAGTTAGAAGTCATGTTGTTGTTTTTCACTTCATACATTTTTCTTGTTTTTGACTGTAATCTTCACAGAGACGACGTCCGGATTAAAAAGAGAAACGCAGTAATTTACAACGAAAGAGTTTCGTGTCGAGACCCTGAAGTTATCCCGAGTCACTGGAGACTTGTAATGTGGACTACAACAAGACCAGAGAGCGCCAAACAGCTGTCTGACCTCTGTGCTGCTGCAGCTTGTATGAGCATCTGGAGTGTGTGTGTGTGAGTGTTAAAATATATATATAGGGTGAAAATGTGTGTGTGTTTGACAGCGTTAAGTAGACAGATTAAGACTGGAAGGGTATTAAAGCTAACAACTAGAGCACTGAACCCAATCACATCACTGCTGGTGAGTCATTAACCCCTCAACATCATCTTCCTGTGAGTGTGTGGAAGTGTGTGTGTGTTTAAGAGTGTGTGTATGCAGCAGGAGGAACGTCAGATCTTGATTGATGTCGTCGACAGAGGGAGGGCATTTTTCTATAAGTGCTTAAAATGACAGATCGCTCACGCGCACACACACACACACACACACACACACACACACACACACACACACACACACACACACACACACACACACACACACACACACACTCTCCTCGTGTTATCCCCTGAATCACAGGCTGAGTGCGCTGACATTAAGACTACAACAAGAGCAGCGAAAACACGTCAAAGTGAGAAGACGCAGCGCTGTGTTTCTCCTCGAACATCATCATCATCATCATCATCATCATCATCATCATCATCATCATCATCATCATCATCATTCCTCCTTCTTCTTCCCCCAGTTGAAGAGTTTGGTCACCGGAGACCTCTTCTTTGGTTTCTCTTTCTTCACGCCTTAAAGGAGAAGAAGAAGTTAGTCCATGAACTTAAACTTTGATTATGATTATCTAGGATTATCTGAGGAGACATTTCAGCCTTGGTTTTTTTGATCACAGTCACACAAGCTCCAGTCAGAGTTTGAGAGTGAAATCCTAAAATCTGTGTCTCACAGACTCACAGACTTGGTGTCTGGAGACGCTGATGTGAAGTCTGGTTTTCTGCACTCGAATGTGGGGCCTACTCAGAGTTTCTTGTGAAAGTTTTGTCTTTTAGCCTCCATTTTTTTCTTCCTTCCTTTTTCTTTTTTCCTCACACAACTGGTCCTGTAATACTGCCAAAAAACCCCACTCTGCTGCAGTGTGTGGTTTCTCCCTCTGAAGTTTTGTGCTCTCCAAAAGATTCGACCACAGACTGTATATACTATGGATAACTTAGTTCCGCCTCCCGCCTGTATACGGATTTGAAGCCGAAAAAGCTCTCAGTATATGACCTATACTGCAGCCCGTCACCAGAGGGTGCTGTTCTCGAAGTGGCTTCACACAGTGAGGAGGCAGAAGGCGTCTATTCTGTATACAGTCTATGGATTCGATAATTATTATTATCCCCCACAGACAAGCAGCTGCTGGAGGAGAGTGGGTGAGTTGTGTTCAGTCTCTTTGCTTAAGAAATTAGGCAAAGTTAAAGGAGGTTTGGTGGCTAATACTATGGCTGTGACCCTATATGTCCTGTTGATGAAGTTAGGTGCTGTTCTGAGCATTATTTGTAGCTATAGAGCGGCGTTTTGGTTGAGTTTGTGCGGTTTGGTGGAGACGTAGACTGCTGTGTATTGCTATCGTGCAGGCGATACTAAAGTTGGTATAACTAGAGAAGCAAGCGGTCGGCAACATTCATCTCTGGAGGGGGTGTCTAACTCGGTGTTACGGGGTGTTTGACCAGGCTACATTTCACAGCTACATGCTCCTTACATGGCTTCACTCACACCTGGGAGTCGGTCACAAAGAGTCAGGTACAAACTTTGATTTATCTCCTCCAATCCAACATGAGTGTAAACTAACACATGATTATCCTCAAAGTTGTACCAAGCTGTGAAACTTTGGCATTAACTTTATGAATACATTAAATTAAAATGGCTTTAGCCCACAGTCTGCATGCGCTCGCTGTGGCATAACGACCTTTCACTGAGGTTCAATAAATCTCCTCATTTTCCGGCCCGCTTTTTCAGTCATGAATTGCAAATGAAGCTGGCTTTAACTCTCCTCTATCAGAGGGTCAAATTAAGCAGCCACATGATCCATTTGTCTAATAAAAACAGCGCTGACAAAGAGAGGGGGGCATTTTTGTTTGATGCTTTTTCCATTAGCAGTCATTAGATCAAATGAAGTAAAAACACCGCCCTTAAAAATGCACGCACACACACACACACAGACACACACACACCTATATAACCCACAAAGAGAATTCTATCTGCTTCAATTAGAGGCGTCCATGATGGAAATCCTCAATTGGATAATTTATAAACCAGCTAAGTTGCAGTGACACAGGGGGCTTGGAGAACTAATGAACAGAGTGTTTGGCCTGTGGAGGTGTTGGAGACACTCACTGAAATTCCTCATCATCTTGTTCAGCTCTTTGTCCTCCTCTTCCTCCCTAAAATGAAGCACCAAAACACAGATTAACAACAGTTTCTTCGCACACACTCTGTCAGTCAACAGGTATAAAGTTTTTACCATCACAGGATTTCCAACTAGGGCTGCACGATTTTGGCCAAAAATTAAATCCTGATTTTTTTCTCTAAAAACTCGATTTTCATTTTTTTATTCAGTGACAACTTCACCAAACTTCACTTCAAAAATAAAAAGTCTTTCTATCATCTCTCAAAACAAAACCACTGAAAACGATGTAGTGCATATGCCAAGCCAGTGAGTGGCGCTGTAACGCTGCAGAGGAAATGCACAGAAGACAGAAGAAGAGTACAGAGCATGAGTATAAAGGTTGATTTGACACGCTCAGGCGCCATAAAAGAGTTACGCTGTGTGTCACATGATCGTTTCCAGAGAACCAGATAGACATCCACATAAAAAGTGTTAGTCATTTACGGATTTGTGCGCTCTCTGACCCGTTTTCAAAAAGTACTGTTTATAGTCAACTTTTGCGTTTCCTCCTGAGTTTGTTTCCGTATGGACGGGTTGATACTGCCGTACCAATTCCACACGACTTACTCGCTCTTGTCCTATTTAACCACGAAATTATGGCCTTCTTTTGCAAACGCCATGATTGTTTACACTGGTGTGTGTGGGAACTGGGGAGCCTACGGTGGTCTGGAGGTGCGAGACATGATCGAGAGGAAAATCGATTTGATGATTTTAATTTTTTTTAACGTCGTCATAATCAAATAACGCGATTACTATTTAAAATCAATCAATCGTGCAGCCCTATATCCTACTAAAAAGTTCAAACGACACTGAAAAGTTTTTATTTTCCTCCAGTTAAAGTGTAAACGTTTGGTTGGCTCATCAACATCTTTGCATGTTTGCAGCTCTTTGTATTTGCCCTGGTGTAATCTTGCATTGTTAGTCTTAAATCTTAATTATTGATCATGTGTTCTGGATTATAATTTAGGCAACAAATCACCCCATTATTCAATCTTTAAGTCTCATTATACAGGAGTAAACGATCAGGTGTAGACCCACCTTATCCGGTCCTCGTCCAGACCCTCCACTATAGCGTTTCTGTCATTTACGATCTCCATTAGCTTGTCCATCAGCTCCGCCTCTCTCTTCTTGTCCCATGTTGTTTTCAGATGTTCTGGTGAAACACAAACACTGTTGAGTTTCTGAAGGTTCTTCTATTTTATGTTGTGTTGATTCGGTTTCCTCCAAAACACTCACCTGGTTTCTCCATCAGCCTCCTGAGCTCCTGCTCCACACTGGGCTGCTGTTCCTCCAGGTCCTGGGTTCTTCCACTGAAATTCAATCACATCGTTTTAGGTTTTTAAGATGATGGTGTTTGGAGGGTATTTTGATCCAGATGTGTAGACTCTGTCTGGTTTAACTGAGACAGGATCCTCTGCCCAGAGCTGTGTGTGACAGGTACCAAGGATGGTTCTGAGCTAGTTCTGCAGACTCTGTGATCCAGTGTTCATCTATATCAGATAAAATGAACTCATTTTTGACTGAATTTTAAATCTCTGTTAAGATGACCAGGAAATCAGATGTTCATTTATATTTAACTCCAAATTTTGCAGAAGGTGGAAAAAAATAAAGTTGCAGAAATAAAGTATAAAAATAATTGTCCCTCCAGTTTTAACACTTATGTATATGGAAGCATATGGATTCACTGCAAAAAAAAGCTGTTTTTCAAAGTAAATTTTTTTCTGTTTTTCAGACTAATTTTTTTTCTTTTCTGTTTTCAGACTTTTTCTCTTTTCCGTTTTTTAAACAATTTTTTTTACTTTCTGTTTTTCAGACAATTTTTTTTCTTCTCTGTTTTTCAGTTTTTTTTCTCTTCTTTTATTCAGAAATTTTTTTTTCTTCTTTGTCTTTCAGAGGTTTTTTTCTCTTCTTTTATTCAGACATTTTTTTTTCTTTTATAGCAAGAAAATCAGACAGACGCAAAATAGTACAAAATAGTACAAAATAGTACGTAAAACTGAAAAAAAATTGTCTGAAAAGCAGAAAGAGGGTTAAAAAAATGTGTACATAAAAAAAACAGAACAAAAAAAATTGAAAAAAAAAGCCGAAAAAAATTGTCTGAAAGACAGAAAGATAAAAAAAATTAGCCCGAAAAACAGCAAATAAAAAAAAATTGAGAAAAAAGGTTCGCTTTTCCATACACGTATAACAGGAATAACTGCAGTACATGTGCAGCATCCTGCCTCACTCTTTCACTCCACTGCAGCCAGCAGGGGGGGGTGGAGCTGTCTCTTCTCCAGGACGTCCCGCTGAGGGCCGGAGCAGGGAGGACACTGGGAATTCAAACTGTCAACCTTCTGGCTGCAAGTCTGTTTCACCCGCCGCTAAATAGTGGCATGGCCCTTTAGTGTTTGTGTGTTTGTGTGGACTCACATGTAGACCAGCTCAGACTCCCAGCGCATGGCCACCTGCTTGTTCCTGATCAAGTTGAACCACTCGACCATGAGTTCATCCATGAGAGAGTCATCTTCTCCGTCTGACACACACACACACACACACACACACACAGTTAATCCCACGTCCTCCTCTTCTGGTCAATCTGCCTCTTTTTTGAAGAAGAGGAGGCTCATACAGACGTGTGCGTTTATCTCACCTTCCTCACTGCTGCGAAGTCTCTGCTCCAGCTCCACCCCTCTCTTCTCCAACTCATTCAGGTTTTCCTCAATCTTCTGCAGCTCCGTGAAGATGTCCTCTTTCCGAATTTTTTCCGGTTTAGTCTGAAAATCAGGGACGGGTTAAACAAAATACATGATTTTAACTCCCCACTCTCCACTTTCAGCTATATTTGAGGGTAAAGCTTCAAGGTGTCAGAAATCACCTTGACAGACTTTGTCTCCGACGGGGTGCTGTTTGCAGCCGGGTCTTTCTGGTCACTCAGGAATTCTTAAAAACAAAGAGAGGGACATTAAACAGATGTAGAATAGAGGGGGGAAAAAAGGCTTCAGGTGTGTGAGACCACAGGTGAGCGTGTTACCCTTTGACGCTGGCGGGGAGACAGAAATGCTCGGGGTGAGGATGGCAGGGGAGGGAGATGGCCCTGAAGTCTGCGCCTTTCCAGCTCCATTAGCCCACGGTTTGGTTGAGGACTGCGGGGGCGCAGCTGGTCTGTGGATGAGGCAGAGACAAAGAGAGACAGGGTTTAATAAATGGCCGTATTTCAGCTCATACAGGTAGTTCCTTTCCTGTCTCGCTGCGTTTCTTAGCTCTGATTCATGAAGGTGGGAGAAAAGGTCATCTGGGGGAAGGAGCTGCGAGCACTGAGCATATGCTGCACCACGGAGGACTCTACTCAGTCCTGACACCATTTGGAGATCACATGCATGTGGCGGAAGGAGAGAGACAGAAAGCTCTGACTACGAGTGATGGTGGAGACATTTGGAGGAGCAGCAGGTACAGGCTTCCTGCGGGAGGAGTGGTTGGATAAATGGATGGAGGAGTGAATCATAGGATGGATGGATGGACAGGACATCGAGGAGAAAGGAGCTTTACACGGTTCGCACTTGATCATGTCGATAAGCTGTGAGCATGCTCACCTACAGATAATCCCCGCTGCAACTATGAATTCAGGAACTGAGCCAGTGGAAAGGAATTAACCTGCAGCATAAAACTGTGAGGAAGCTACAGGAAACAGGCGATAAAGCTGGTCTTACTTTGTGTCTTTGGATACAGGCTTCAGCTTTGACCTCCAGTCTGCAGGACACTCGTTCTCTGATGCTGCTGAAACAAAGAAATCGTAAAAACTTTCAGTTTCAGTTCCGTCATCAAACAAAACATCCATTTCAGTTCTTACTTTTACGGTTGTGTCATGAAGAAAAGGAGGATATCAAATGAGTCACATCTCTGTAAAGATAGTCATTACAAAAGATACGTCTGTAAAGTTCAGTGAGTGTGACCCAATTATCTTGTTTAGCTCAACATGCAGCACAATGTTTGTACTAAATGAGGTCATCCTCAGGTTCAGTGCTGTCAGGTGTGAACGCAAAAAACCCAACAAAAAAGGTGGGCTAGTATCTCTGACAAGCTAGGAAGCTGGCCTCTATCGTATCAAATTTAATCGCATCGTATCGAATCAATCGCATCATATCAAATTTAATCCCATCATATTGAATTTAATCATATCGTATTTAATCGTATTGTATCGAATTTAATTATATTGAATTTAATCGTATCATATCAAATTTAATCGTATCGAATTTAACCATATCATATCGAATTTAATAATATCGAATGTAATCGTATCTTATCAAATTTAATCGTATCGTATTTAATCGCATCGTATCGAATTTAATCGCATCGTAACAAATTTAATCTTATCGTATAGTATCCCATCTTAATTGGATTGTATAGCAGCACATCACATTATATCATACTGTATTACAAGACATCCCCTCATTTTATATCGATTATTTAATACTGTTTGGGTTTTTCATCACTTTATATCGTACCCTATCTTATCCTATCACACCATATCATTTCCTATTGTTCTGTTTCTGATAGTGTATAAACTCTATCTGTCAGATTATACTGTTGTTCCATAAAGGATTGTTCCGAATTAAAAATATTTACAAACCAGCACAACACATTTCATTACTGCACACTATATTGTCCTAATCTCATCACATTGTGTTGTATCTTTTTTCCCCTGCTGCGGTGTCCTGTTATATTGTGTCATACTGTATTGTTTTCAATCGTCTTATTGTATCGGTTTGTAATGTATCATTTTGTCGTATAATATGTATTACATCCTTTCAAATTGTATAGTATTGTATCTTGTATCAAATTGCAAAGAATCGTAACATGTAGAATTGTATCATATTGTATTCTATTCTATCATATTGCATCAAATTGTATCCTATTGGATCGGATCAGATTGTATAAAATGATATTGTTTTTGTAATAAATCAAATTGTATCACATTGTGTTGAATCAAATTAAGTCGTATAAAATTGCATTGTATCCTATTATATCATACGGTATCAAAACATGTAGAATTGAATCATATCGTATCACATTGTGTCATTTAAAATTAAATTAAATGGTATTGTATTTAGCGTATAAGTCAAACGGTTTAGTCTGTGACTGAAATACACTCTAGAAAAACTTTGTCTTTCTTTGTCTAATGTTTGTTTTGAGTCATCATACCCTTAATTTAAAATAATATTTGCAAAATGTGTGAAACTGCTCCTTTAAAAGTTCAATCTGGGTAAAATAAAACACAGTTCATTATTTTGACCATGTAAGTATTTAGTATGTGATCTTACATCCTTTTATATAAGTGTCATATTTTAAATAAAATGTCCCTACCTGTTTATTTAAACACTGATCACTCATTTTAATCACACAACCTCCACATGTTGCTCAATAATAAACACATGATTTTAATCAACTTTTGTATGTTTATTAAGTGAAGTGCTCACCTGATCTGTTTGGAGAAACGCTGCTGGGTTTGGAGCCTCCTCCTCTCTCTGGACTTCTGGCCCAGAGTCCAGACCTGCTGGTCGGGACTGGAGGTTCTGGAGTCTGCAGATCCTCGAGGAGTGAACGGTCTGCTTTCAGCTTCACTCTCCCTCGGACTTTCTTTGTCTCCGTCTTTGGAGTCTCTTCTTGAGGAGGGCTGATGAGAGGTTTAAAAAAAAAAGCACTTATTCACCAGTAGGGGTCAGGCTAAAGCAAGATATCAACAGGTGTTGTGTTGTGCGCTTAGATGACTCACTTTTCCGTCTTCTTCAGTGCCACAGTCGTCCATGCTGGTTTACTGCTGTTATTGTTGTTCTCCTCGGTCAGTTTTTTAGATATGAAGGCAGCCGCTGAAGCTTTCGTCTTCCCGCTCTCACTCACCTTCCCTGAATCTCCAGCTGCTGTTTCCTCCTTCCCCACACCTGAGTTTGAGCTTATACTTGTTGCTTTCTTGCCAACATTTACAACCACAGTCACAGCCTGGCCTGCTGAGGCCTCCAGGACCTTATCAGTTACATTCTTATCTTTCTTTATGTCAACGTTTACCACCGCAGTCTTTTTGTCTTTGTCCTTAGCAGTGTTAGCTTTCTCAGCTGGTTTAGTGGCTTTTTTCAAGTAAAAGTTGAAAGCATTTTTTTTCTCTTCTTTGTATGTAGTGTCAGCTCTCTCAGCTGGTTTCATATCTTTCTTGACATCAGTGACTGTGGCTGTGGTCTTCTTTTCCTTGTCATTATCACTCACTTTTGTGTCCTTTTTTAAGTCAATATTTACCACTGTCGTCTTTTTCTCCTCTGCCTTCTCCGTCACTTTTGGATCTTTTTTGATATCAGTGTTCAAGGTCGGGGTCTTTTTGTCCTCATCCTTCGCCGTGTTATCCGATTGGAAAAAGTTGAGTTTGGACTGCAGTGTCTTTGCGGCCGTGGCTGAGGTGCGAGGCGCAGGAGTGGGCTTGTTGTTTATGGATGTGGTGGTAGTGGAAGTGGGTTCACAGGTAGTCTGTGCAGGTGTGGGTTTAGAGACTCCTGAAGACGTCTGATTCTCTTTCACAGCAGGAGTCGTACTTGAGGGAGTTATGGATGGAGAGAAAGCGGAGATCGAGCTGGTAAAGGTGGACGGGGTGCTGGGTTTCTCTGGCAGCCAGGCTGGTCCTGGTCTGGAGGGGGTGTGAGTAGTCAAGCTGGATTTGGGGGTGTCTGGTAGAGCAGAGAATTTAGATACCGCAGTGTTTGTGGGTAAATCTCTGAGAGGCGTCAGTGTGCCTGTAGGAGACAGCGCCCTGAAAGACAAGAAAAAGGAGAAATTCTGTTTCTGTGTACGGTCGGCTTCCCCACTTCATTTTTACATGATCGTCTATCATCAAACAATCAAACAGTCTTTGTTTATATAGAGCCGAGTCAAAACAGATGCTATCTCAAGATAAAGTCCAGCTTTAGTCTGATCTAGCAATATCAGACCCACTCTTATGCCATCTTAATCCACCATGACAGAACACTTTGTAGCGTTTAGTGAGGAAGTGTAGAGAGGAAACTTTCTCTAACAGGCAGAAACCTTGAACAGAACCAGACTCATGCTAGACAGAATCCTTGAGCAGAACCAGACTCATGTGAAACAGAAACCTTGAGCAGAACCAGACTCATGTGAAACAGAAACCTTGAGGAGAACCAGACTCATGTTAGACAGAACCAGACTCATGTGAGACAGAAACCTTAAGCAGAACCAGACTCATGTGAGACAGAAACCTCTAGCAGAACCAGACTCATGTGAAACAGAAACCTTGAGCAGAACCAGACTCATGTGAGACAGAAACCTCTAGCAGAACCAGACTCATGTGAGACAGAAACCTTGAGCAGAACCAGACTCATGTGAGACAGAAACCTTGAGGAGAACCAGAGTTAGGCAGAAACCTGGAGCAGAACCAGACTCATGTGAGACAGAAACCTTGAGGAGAACCAGACTCATGTGAGACAGAAACCTTGAGGAGAACCAGACTCATGTGAGACAGAAACCTCAAGCAGAACCAGACTCATGTGAGACAGAAAAATTGAGGAGAACCAGATTCATGTGAGACAGTCATCTGCTACAACAACAACAACAACAACAACAACAGTAGTTCACACAGACATACAGTGATGGTGCAAACAGCTCTTATCTTGCTCTTTTTGTGCACAAGTTCCTGTAATCTCTGTTTTGGCCAATTAGGAGGAATGTGTGTCACTATGAGATGATCAAGACTAAGCCAACATGAGAAGAAAGGAGCATGATGATGAGACACATATCATCAAGATATGGTGCCCAAACATACAGCGGAAAAGCCAGGTTTATCGATATGCAGATCAGCTCCAACACAGTAGATGCTTTTGACATAATAACAGACTCATTTCATTAGTCAATTACAAATTAAATTAAATTCATGACGTTCACAAACTCAAAAACTAAACCTCTGAACCTGACGTCTGTTAACACATCTCAGCATCTTCTCATAAAAACTGGAGATTTTTCATCGATGACCCTCTTGTCTTTCGACTTCATATACTGCCACCTTTAAAGAAGTTGTAGCTGAGACGTGCCGTCTATTTTAGAAATAAGTCACCTTTTTTTTCCTGCAAAGACTTGTTGCTGCTTCTTTTAAGCCCCTGTGTGACATAAGAGATGTTTTATACATGCATGTATCATCTCAGAGCCTGCACTGTCTACATACAGGCTAAATCACTTTTTATCAGACTTTTCTTAACTTGCTCTCTGGTTGTTTAAAAGCAGTTTGAAGGCATTAAGAGGAAGATGCATCAGGATGTAGATGCTTTGACTGTTGACTTTCTGCTTTGCAATTAAAGAAGTGTTGACCTGTTTTATAACAGTCGTGTCTAACTCTGTTGGAGCGTGCTGCTGCTGTCTTGGCTACGACACTCCAATAAAACCAATTTGAGACTTTTATGGTCAAATAAAATTCTGAAGTTGACCTGCTTCATCCGTATAACCAGAAAGGATCTCCACAGAGCTGGAGGAGATTTTCCTCCAAGGTTCCTCCTTTCCAAGGTAAAAATCATGAATCAGGTTTACTTTGAAACAATCAGAGTTTAAGCTTTTAGACCACATTGTCCAGTCCTACATGATGGTTCCTGTGAGTGTCCAGCATGTTTCTTTCTGCTGCATCCTTTTTAAACCATCATATTTGCTCTAAGTGCTCATTTTAGATACAAAAGGATTATGTAAACACACTTTTGTTGTTGTATTTGATCTAAAAACTGTCTTTGCACTGTGATTGCACACACAAGCCTCCACTTACTTTGCGCAGTGCCTGTGATAGAGCTTCCCGTCCACTAGATGTCTCTGCACTAGGTGAACATGCTTATTGCAAGAGACACATTTGTTACTCAAGGTGCCCGTCTGATGAGGTTTCTCAACAGGAACATCCTTGAAGAGAAAAAAGAGGAAACAGTTCAGAGAAAGCTGAGTAACCGTGTTTGAGGTCATGTGAGGAGTTTTGGTTGTTTTGTCAAATAATTGACTCAACAAATTTCTACATTTCTCACCAAGGAAGACATCTGCACAACATATGTACGTCAAGCATTCAGTCCGCCAGCATTACCTGTTTTGCATCTCTGCTTTGCCTTGGAGAAGGAGGGGGTCGTGTGATGTTGGAGGAGGGGGGAGGGCTGTTTTCCCGAGCGGGCTTAGAAGAGGGAAACACTTTAGACATCACCGGCTGGTTCTTCTTCCCCGACGGTTCCCCTGCAGGAGCTTCAGCGGGGCGTTTAATACCCCCCAAACCACCGACTGCAGCAAACACACAGATGAGCAGAAGAATTAAAACCCCTCAGAGGAGGAACGAGGGTTCAGAGCAGAGCTGGAAACAGTCAAACATTGGGACTCACTCGGGGAGCGTCCGTGGAAGTAGTTGTAGTACTGAGAGACGTATGTGAGGATACTGAGGCGGTCAGGAACCCTCAGAGCCACCATGTCTTCAGCATCCAACAACGCTGGAATCCCCAACTCACCCTCTGCGACGCTGAACGCCTGAATTAAAAAAGGACAACAAATCACAACAAAGTAGATATTAGATTTATTTAAGGCCTCAAGGGCAAATTTAGAGAACTTCAACAATCTCTGACGACTTGATTTGCACATATTTTGTGGATTAAAAGTCAAACAGAAAGTTTTCTTGAATTAAATTTTTTTTTTAAGTTTCTGCTTTTAGTTGTCTTGCAAAAAAAAAAAAAAAAAAAATCCTCGTATAATCCGTGTCTTTTGCCTCCTGTCGTGATGCATTTGTTGTGTAACGTAAAAAACTTTAAATTTCTCTGAACTGAATGAAATGTCCTTGCCTTCAGTCTCCTAAAATGAGGGACAGGTGGTTCCTTTTGATAAAGAAACATTTGACCTTCTTCTGGAAGTACAAATCTTCATATGGGATGGTATTTGTTCATCCCAGTCCCTCATAGATAACCTTGTCCTTAAGTTAATCTTTGCCCAGGTCCATTTCTTGCTTTTGCTTTCATCAAAAGTGAAACTTCAGACCACTTTGAACCTCCACAGCTTGTGCGTTTGGTAAGTAGGGAATTCCCGAACCTGAATCTCATTCAGCGATTCCAAGGAAGCAGAAAAAACAACAAGAAGAGACACGCCAACCTGCTTGGAGAAATAACAAAATAACAGAGCTTACTTCACTGTTCCCCGACGCACTTTCATCTGTTATAGTTTACACCTGCCTTTAAGACCAACCTGCCCCTCCCTCTCAATTAAGATCGTAAAATAACCGCTAATTCAATCTTTGACTTCTTATAAACTAAAGAGTGAAAGTTTATGTGGAGTGTTTTTCAGTCACAGACCTCAGAGTCCAAAAATGAAGCTCCAGGGAGAAAAACTAAAGACTAAGAATGTAACACAGCAGCCAGCATCCAAGTGCCGGGTTGAAACACTCTATATTTGGCAATGACTTCCTCTGTCAGCAGCATATGAACTCGGACATCTTGAAGTGAGGAGGAAGCTGCTGATACGGAGTGATGAACACATTTTTGATTGCTTTGTGTACATCTGTCCGTAAAATCTCAGAAGACAACTTCAAATGTCTTAGAGAGCACATTTCCAGAACTAAAAGTCAAGTCTGTCGTTTTTTATCGAAGCTGTCCTGACTGTGCTTACCTCCTGACTTTAAAGGGATATTCTGGTGTAAATTTAAGTTATTGTCAAAGACGCTCGAGAGATGATTGTTGCCGACTACTTGCTTCTCTCGTTATACCAACTTTAGTAACGACGGCACGATAGCAATACACAGCGGTCTACATCTCCTAGCACAAACCTCAACCAAAACGCCACTCTATAGCCACAAATAATGCTCAGAACAGCACCTAACTTCATCAGCAGGACATATAGGGTCACAGACATAGTACTAGACACCAAACATCTTTTTAGCTTTGCCTAATTTCTTTAGCAAAGAGACTAAACACAACTGACCCACTCTCTTCCAGCAGCCGCTAGTCTGTGGAGGAGCCCTGACGGAAGGGTCACAGGAGCGGCGCACAGAGGGAGCACATAGTGAGAGCTCCTGGCAGGAAGCACCCCACAGTACTGGAGATCTCTTAGCACCTGTGTCACCTCAAGACCTCGGGAGGGACCCACCTAATGCCTCCCCAGAGAGCCAAACCCACCCTGCGAGGGAACGAATCAAATGGCCCAAAATGGGAGATACCCCAGAATGGTACCAAGATCTCGACAAAGTGCTAGAAGCCACACAAGCAGGAACAGCTGAGCAGAGTCATAGATCCTTAAAAAGTCACAGATTACATTTAAGGCTAAAAAAATCTTAAATCACGTATTTTTCCTCATGAAAGATCCTTTATTTTACCAACGTACCAATCCAATCTTCACTGTCTTATTGACATTACGTGATTATTTTGTGCATTTCTTTAACTTGTGATGTTTCATAACATTTATGGGATTTCAAAAGACATGTTTGGGCCCCAAAATCCTTTCAGAGATTTTGTCTCACTGTTTGACGTTTAAAAATCAATGTTGGTATCATCCATACTGACTCTTATGAGTGTTGCATTGTCTTAGTAAGTGTTCAGAAACCCCAGGAAACACACACTCAGAGTGTAAATGCAGAACACGTCTTACCAGTTTGTTGTTGTCATAGACGTTTTCCTTCTTCAGAGAATCAAAGTTGCTGCAACAGAAAAAGGAAAAAAAAGAGTAAGAGAGTCATGTGATCCAGATTCCTTCACTGATTTATTTGTTGACGAGCAGCGTGGACAGAACATGTGTTATTTAGTCATGCAACATACATCCTGACAGACAGTGTGACCGACTGTCACAGAGTTCAGTCTGCAGAGTCACACAGCTGACACTCAGAGCAGCCAGCATTCATAAACTGAAACCTTGAGATGATATTTAACATCTAAACATGAACTGTGCCGTCAGGCTGAAAGTAAAAACTAGAATAGAAACATCTGGAGCAGCTGCGCCTCATCTGAAAGTGAAACTAATGTCGGTTTATCTGCCTCGATGTCCTGGCATGACATCGGTCAAAGTTCAACCAGAGATAGTGAGTCAATCCAATCAAGTATGTGACGATGAAATGAAGGCAGAGCATGGAGAGATAAAACTCCACAGCTGTCAGGGAGAAATATTAACCATCATTCACAGGAGGAATCCCCCTGTTAGTCCAGGGACAGACGCTACAAGAGATCCTGTAGAACTCTGACTTCAAGCTTTGAGTCTGAATCTTCATTTCAAACATCTGAAAACAGTTCACTTTGGAGAGAATCAAACCTGATCACATGGGGTTGTGTAATGGAGGAGACCTTGTACTAGTAATTGGGGTAAACCTTTGGCTCTTTTATCTCACCCTCGACACTATAACACACTGGTTATCTCTTTACGTCTGAATACGATGTTCAGAGTCCCAAGAAGTATCTGCAGGTAGCTGTAGCGGCCTTCTGACACTTTTAAAACTGATGATCAACATTTGTCGTGAATCCAAAACAACGATGGTTGCCGATATATTGGATGTTTACACCTACTGACCGATCAATATTATGAAAATCTGATACATGCGTTTAAAATATTGGTTATTTGTCTTATGAACGACTAACTACAGCTCTGTCATACTTGGATTTTCAACCACAAACTTGAAACTTTCATCTCTGGGGTGTGATGAACAGTTTCCTGTAAGTGCTGTTGGGAGTTTGTTTTTGATTGCTCAAGTCAAGTCTGTCAGTGTACCGGCCCAATAACGCGCCAGCATGCAAGCTGTTTTGGTTGTTATGGAAACAAAGATGATTGCTCTATCAGGGGCTTGATTGCAAAAGACTCGGCGTCCAGAAATTTCAGAGTGATGAAACAGCGCAAACCGCATTTATTCATACGAGCTGCTTTTGAAAACTCACAGCCAGAGGATTTATTTAGTATAAATCAAGTGGATTGCAATACTGAGTAATATACATTTATTTATATTTACTCTGGTAATGTTTTCACCAGGTCAAGTCCAGCTTTTCTTTGTTATAAATCCGTGTATTATTTTTCAGATTGGCCCTTTAGTATATTAAAGGGCTCATAACCCCAGATTTAGGAGACTAAACTAGACGTAGGGGAGACCAGGGCCAGAAAAGGTGGGGACGTCATCACACGCTTAAGCCAAACGGTCAGCACTTATAGCCAATCAGAGGCGAAGGAGGGCGGGCCCTTCCCTTACCATCCAACAGCGTCCCAGGTGGAAGACAAAAATCACTTCAACTTCAAGTGATGGCGAATTGGTACTTCTTTTGCTTAATCAAAAGAAAAAGAAATGTAGCACAATCATGCATCCAATATTACAAAAAAGACGAGAACTTGGTGAGTTTCACTGCTTGGTTCAGGAGCTGAAACTGGACCACGGTCGCTTCAGAACCTATTTTCGGACGTCCATTTGACAATTTGAAGTTCTGCTGAAACAATTAGCTCCAGACACTAGACACTGGTGTTGCGATGGCTTTCTGTCATGATCATATGTACCGAGTCGGGGTCAGTACCAGATAAGCACATGAAACTATGGTAACAACCGTTAGCTTACATTAGCACAGATGAAAGTTAAAACAAAGACATTTATCAAACTGTTAAAGCACACAAACCATCGTCATATGAGAAATCCAACACTTTGACTCTCCACAAGTTGTCCTTCAGGTCGTTATCTTTGTAATATTTGTGTCTTTTATCAAAAATCACTCTGTTCTCCGACACGTAAACAATCAGTCGGTCGGCCATGTTGGATATACCGGTGAATCTGACGTCGCAACAACACAAAATCTGATTGGTCAGAAGTGGACACACAGTATGTGAAACTTTGGAAAAATTGACCATGATATGAAAAAAAAAAAGCCACAATTTCACAGGGACGTCCGAAATGATCGCACGACAAAAGCGGTCCCGGTGTGAAAGGACCTTAAGAGTGTGAAAAGTGTGACAACACGCCCCAGTCTCCCCTATCTCTTGACATTTTAGCTCAGGAAATCACCACAGCTGTTGACAGATGATCAGAACACTAGACCTGGATCTGCTGTGGCTTTAGTTTTGAGTTCTCAGGTCTGAGAAGTCTACAAATCAGACATGACCTGAATATTCAGTGAAGTTACTCAGCAGTGGAGAAACATGAAAACCAAACAGAGCTGTAATGTGGTTTCTGGTCCTCCTGGGGGCCAGTTTGAGCTCCTGCTTCTGCTTTCTAAAAAGACCAGCCAAAGTCAGACCCAGCAGACTTTTCTTCTCCTGAACTTTTAGTGGGTTATAGATAGAACTGAAGCATAATGGTGTGTTCACTAAAATCGGACTTTACAAACTTCCCCCAGCTGCTGCCTGCTGTCTCCGGGTGTTTTACTCACATGAGGTCGGGTCTGTGTTTGTGGATCAGGGCGCAGAAAGCCAAGCCGTCCCTGAACGAAGTGGTCATGTTGGTGATGTTCACATCCCGGTACCCGTCGCACTGGATCCGGCACCACTGCTGCAGCGCCTTGACGGCCGCCATCCCGGAGCTACGAGCCGCGGGTCTGATCCGTGTGTGAGGCTGCTGGAGGCTCCCGGAGATCCCCCCTCCCTCCCTGGATCAACACTCTGACCAAAGTTTCCACAGCAGACCCGCTGGATCCAGGAAGTGACAGAGAGGGAGAGAGAGTGTGTGTTTGTGTTTGTGAGAGTTTCAAGTTTTCATGACTGAGAAAGTGGAAGGAGCGTGGATGTGACACCTGTGAAAGGTCGGAGATGACGCGGCATGGGTGGAGTTCAGATCGTCTGTGTGTGTCCTTAACCCTTTCAGTGCAAGTGTGTGTGTGTGAGTGTGTGTGTGTGTGTGTGTGTGACCTACATGCAGACTCATCACTATAGACCAACAGAGGATCAGCATGTCAGACCAACAACACAATTAAATACAATACAATAACATGAAATGTCTCACAAAACTTAATGGGTTTGTTACATTGACTTTACTATACTATACTGTATTCAAATACAATCTATGGTTTGATACCACAAAATACAATACAATATAGGGGAGAGTGGGGTAAGTTGAGCCCATAGACATTATATATGTAGACGCCTCATTACGTGCAAGAGCGTCACCGCCATAATGGATGGGTCTCCACACTCCAGGTTCGCCCAGGTCGTTTTTTTGCACTCTATGGTTGAAAAATGTAGCAGGGATACGGCTCAACTTACCCCGCCCCTATGGTCAACTTACCCCATACACGGGGTAAGTTGACCATAGGAGACCACTTTTTTTGGCATGCTTTATTATCAAGACATTTATGTTTACACTCATTCTGTTGGTTTACAGGGATGAACAACATCTTGAAATATATGCAGATACACTAGTTAGAGACAAAACTATGATTGCCTTAATGTAGTGATCTGAAATATGAAAAATGGCTCATCTTACCCCACTCTCCCCTACGATACGATATGATGCAGAAAGGCATGAAAGAAACATGGAATAAATGGGATAAGCAACACTACCAAAAATGTAGAACAACTTAGAAAACAATTTAATGACAACGTAATTTAACTAGATACCGTTCAATATCATACAATACGAAATAATATGAAAATATACAAATACAAACATACTAAACAACATAAAGCGATATGATACGATAGGGCACGATACAATTCAGTACAAGATAATTCAGTATGATATAAAACACGTGATGAAATAATACAAAACTATACTATATATACAAAATTATACCTTATGACATGATATGATACAATATGATGATACAATACAGTGTGATACAAATATGACACAATATAAAGCAATAGCGCGTATCGTCATATAATTTAATATGATACAGTACAATAAAATATGACATTATACTAATATACCAATAACAGGACGGGATACATTATAGTACAATATAATATAATATAACACATCACAGCTAGTATACTTATTAAGATAGAATACAATTGATAATACAGTATAATATAAGAGAATTCATGATGCAGAACAACATATGCTGTATTAATCAATTAGACAACACATGATAAGATTTATCTACAGTGACATACATAGATAAAGAAAGGTAGGATATTTGTGGCATTGTTTCACAGAATACAAACAAAGAAAAAAGGGTTTGATATTTCAGTTTTTTAACAAAATAAAAAGACCTTTCTCGTGTGTTGTACTACATGATGGACTTGGTATTGTTCCGACCGAGAATTTCCTGAAATCGCTCGGAAAATATCTTCAAATCCCTTTGTCTGCTATCTGTTAAAAACCACAACGTGATTTGTGTGTTATTATGTCATGTTCACTCTCAACAATGAACCCGGACAAAACAAAAGTGAAGGTGTGTCCTCCTATTCACAGCCTGTTTCTATTTTTTGCTGAGCCATTACAAGAGAATGAAATATTAAAATTAGGGATCACAGAATAGAGCTGTAATGAGGAGTTAAGTGTTAAACCTGTTAACCAGGTGTGGTCGTGTTTTGTGTTAAGTCAGCCTGTCCAGTCCTGTCGGCTGGGTGGTGTCTGTTCTCGGAGTTACTTGACACCTGAACACATAAAGCAGCAGGCCCACAGCAGAGAGTCTTGCTTCACTTATTCCTGCAAATACCTGCACTCTACCTCTTACGTATAAGCGGGTTGTTTCTGTTTTCTGCATTTGTCCGAGTGACGCCAGAAGAGTCTGCAGGTTTTCATAAGCAATAGAAAGTTTGGCAAAGAGAAGACACATGGAGTTCGTGTAGCTGATAGCACCACCATATGGATGTAAATACGATAAACAGCCCACAAAAACTTTTAAGAGTCTTGTTCGTGGTCTTGTTCAGCCTGTTGGAAAAAAAAACAGCAGTCAGAGTTTGTGCTGTTAGTCTTTGGGTGGTGCTACAGCAGTGTGACTCTGCAACTGAGTGAATTTTAAGGTTGCACACTGAGTCATAATGAATTTAAATACATGATGAGTATAATGTAGGGATAGGTGGTGAAAAAACTCCTGATGTTTCTCTACAGTTCTTTGGATTATCTTTGAAATATCAGAACCACACTGCAGACTTAAGTCTCTACAAATACGCTCATGTCAAAACCTGACTTAAACTGACTTAAAGCTCCAGTAAGAAGTTTTGAGATGTGACTAAAATAGATTGAAATTCATCCTGATGCCTTTTAAAGACCCACTCCGATGAAAATCACGTTTTTCTTGTTCTCTACATGTTCATTTTTCTGATGCTGCAGGACATATCATAAGAAAAGTAAGTGCGAAATTGCATTTCTGAGTATTTATGAATTCAAATCGCTGTGAATCTTCACATACAGTGAGATTTTCTATGTAGCAAATCCAGGCTCCGCCCCCGCAGCCCCGCTATGCAGGCCAGACTCAGAGAAGTAGAGAGGAGAATGAGCGTGAGCGTTAGCTGATTGCAATGCTCGTAAAAAAGCTAATTATGATATCAACTTTTATCATGTCCCTAAAGACATTAGTGTCTGAGAGCTGAAGAGCTTCTATGTTACCTGCCACTTCTACTACATCGGCAATGTTAGGCTACAAGCTAGCGTGAAGAGGTAGTGTGCAGAGCAGCGCTGTCTCCGCCCACGACTCAGAGTTGAATTGCTGCAGAAGAAAAGTCCCTGAAAATGACACAGATAATGTAATTTTGGCTAAAAACTTCATAATCGCAATTTAAAGACCACAGAGAACACTTTAAGTTGTAAAAGAAAAGAAAAAAATCGTAGTGGGACTTTAATGATATGCAAAAATAAAGATTATTCACATTGAAGGTCCTTTCACACCAGAAGCTTTTTTTTCGTGTGATTATTTCGGATGTCCATATTTTTTCTTGAACCCGTATCCTGTCAATACAAGCCTTCACATTAGCGATAAATCATAAATTTGACCTTCAAAACCATAGATGACACCATTTAAGTATATAGAGGACAAATATGCAAAAACCGCTTTGTCCACAGGGGGCGCCAAAAATTGTCTCAATCCAAAAGTTTCTTACAGAAGCTTTAATATGACTGTTAATATAGTCTGATAGGTTGAGATTTTGGATTGTTGGATAACAAGTCCCTGTGTTTGTGTAGTTGTGTGCACGATTATCAGCACTAGTTTTGCTGATACTCAGAATAGAACAAAAAATAAACTTGTAGACTTAGTGACCTAAGTGCAAATCTGAAGTTAAGATATAGATGCCCCTACCAAAGTCACAGTATAGTGCATTGGAACTTGTGTTTATACTGTGTATAATGTGTAATTCCTCTCATGAACTTTGTCCTAGAGCTTGCACCTTCTTGTAAATCCATCAGTTACAGGACATCCATGAGATGTTATCTAGGGATGGGAAAAAAAAGAGTAAATTGAAAGTAAAAGAAAAGAACAATGACAACAGGATCAACATTTGGCTGCTTGCTGGATCAGCCTGGGACCGTCTGGGACTTCTGACAAAGACTTCAAATGACTGTCTGGAGGCCAAATACAGACTTGCTCGTCGCACTGCCTGAACACCCAGCAGGATACGAGAAAAACAAGATTCTTCCCCCCGAGGAAAGTGCCTGTCATGCTCCTAAACAGTGTGACATTAACGCTTGGTAAAACATGTCATGCTTTTAGGCTGTGAAATATATTTAAGGTGGATAGAGTTTAAAGGAATCAGGTTTTAGGTCAATTCCTGTGTGTTTCCTTGCAGTGCTGGCAAGTTAAATGTGATTGTGAAAATGAAAACAGGCTGACACTTGCACTCGGCTGGAGGTGCCTGGGAGCTGTTTGATTTCAGACAGGTTTTTTAAAAAAAGATCATGTAAGGTGAGCACAACAAAGTTCATAATGTCTGATAATCCACTTGTATTTGTTTGTATCACTGACAGTTTACTAAAGGACACAGATTAAATGCATTTTCACCTTTTCTTACAGCCGTCTGGGACACCTCAAGAGTAGCTTTGTGGTTCGCAGCTCAAAAAACCCCCCATCATGTCAGCACTTTTCAGCCTGAAAATGTAGCCGTGGGTGTTACTTTTTACACAGCTCGGTTGTGACAGAATGACTTTTGAATGTGAGCAAAATCAGGATGACAAAAAAAGATAGAGAGGATGGAGAAGGAGAGAAAAGAGCAAATTAGGTGATATTTGTTTTTCACCAGTTTAACAAAAACCATGAGCATTATTCACATAGTTCAAAAAGCTAACACCAGCCGTGGCGATCTCAAGTAGGCAGAAAGTTATCAAGATAACAAGATAATAAATATTTACAAAAGTCTTTTTCAGCTTTCATTTAAAGATAGGGCAGTGGACAGAGCTGTGAGTGGTCTGTGTCAACTTTGGCGCCCCCTGTGGACAAAACTGTCTTTTCTTATCTTGTCCTCCACATGCTTGAGTAGTGACTTCAAAATAGGGCTGCGCGATTAATCAATTTTAAATCACTGATGGTTTCATTTGCTTTTAAATATCATTGACAGGCATCACTATAGATATCACTCTGTTTTATGAATGTAATTTCCCTGCCTTTCCTCTGCTGTCCTGACAAATAAAGACACAAATTTCCAAAGAAAACACTTTTGAAAATAAATAAATATCCAAGCAAACATCCCATTGTCTCTTTTGTTACCTAACCACCCACGATGCAACACAAAGTTACAGTCCTGGTTCATTTTAGTGACGTAAAAACCTGTGTTGGGTTATTTTTGGACTGTGGTGGTGGGGCCCACACTCTTATCTTTCCAGGGGCCCCAGAATCTGGAGCAACACCCCTGCTAATCAGTAAGTGGAGGGTGTACTCACCCAGCCAGCTGCAGAGAGGAGCGCAAAGTTTATTGAAATCAGCATGTAAATATTTCCTGCACTTTTTCATCTCCGTAATTGTTCGTCTTTATCCCTAAAAGACTTGACAAATAGGACTTGAATTTACACAGGCTGTACTCAAAGAGAGGAGGAAACACACACAGACTTTTAAAGAGCTCTGGCGTGTGTGTGTGTGTGTGGGGGGGTGTTTCTGTGTGAGACTTCTTATTTATTCCACAGAAAACACCCACACAGAATTGAGAACATTGAAGCTGCTTTAAGCTTTTTTTACAGCCCCCCAGACTCTCCTGAACAATAACCGTCTGTCGTAAAAACTTCAACACAAACTCTACATGTTTCATTTTTGCAATAATATCAAAACAATTCGTTTTGGATTGTTTCATGAGGGATATTGTCGAGCTGTCGGAGCTTAAAGCAAACCTCAAAAAGGAGGCAAAACCAGAAAACTATCAGGCAGGATTAACTCGCACAAGCAGACGATAAATCATGTTTTATTTTGATTTATAGGTTTTCCGTTTTCCCTCATTCAAATCAAACATGCGCACTGAAAAGTTCAGTGGAGTCTTGTCCCTCTCCGCACATGCCGGCCGTACAAACACCCCCCACGCACAAATACTTAATCCTCCCAAATCCAGACAGGAAATGCCCTCGTCAGGAGAGCAGAATGCTTTTGACAGACTCTCTCTCTCTCTCTCCCTCTCTCTCTCCTCCCCCCTCACTGAATGATATATGTGCCCTCCACAAACTGCCATCTGGAAACACTTAGCCTGTGAATATTTGCACAGGGCCAATAAAAACATGTGTATCCTGAGCCTATCAGTACAGGAGGATAATTCAAGCTCGCTCTCTGAAGAAAAAGTTGTTTGCTTTCACTTTCTTCAGCTCATGAGTGTTTCTGCGTCCGTGTGTGTGTGTTTGTGTGTGATAAGTAGATAAAGACGCATCAGGATGTCCGGTGTTAAGATATGCTGAGTCAATCTGACTTACATATATAACTAACATGTGTGAAATTGTTGTCAGCTCTGCCAGAAAACAAACTTTTAGTCCGTGAAGCAAAGAGAGGATCTCATGAGTCATGACAGCAAACAGAGGAGCAGGAGGAAACGCTCTGAAACTCCAACAGAGAAGAGGAAGACACACCAAACAGAAATCTGAGTGTAACCTGGTTAGTGACTCAAAAGGTGGAAGAAAATAAAGAAGTTAAACATCAACTAAAGGTGCAGTCTGTCTACAAAAGGTTTAATTCACTCTCTCTATAGAAAGACACCTGCTGAGGACAAACAACACAGCACATACGTTTATGTACACACCTAAACGCTCGATACCTGTCTTTCTAGAGACAGGCCAGTCCTCCCTCTCACGTCTCCGGCTCTTAACTGGAGGGAGCACATTACTCCCATCCTGGCCTCCCTCCACTGGTTACCTGTGCACTTTAGAGTTCATTTTAAGATTCTTTTATTTGTTTTTAAATCTTTAAATGGTCTGACTCCATCTTACCTCTCTGAGCTTCTCCACCCCTACACCCCTGTTCACTCGGTGCCTCAGGTCAGCTGATCAGCTGCTCCTGGAGGTACCGAGGTCCAAACTGAAGCTCAGAGGGGAGAGATCTTTTTCCCCTCCAAATCAGACGAGCCCCCACACTGTCCATTTTTAAAACTCATTTTAAAACCCATTTTTATTCAATGGCTTTCAACCGTGCAGGAGACTCGGCTCCTGTTTTAGTGTTTTATGGTTTGTTTTTAGTTATTTGTTTCAACATTGAAACTATATTTTACCTTTCAATATCTGATTTTATTTTATCCACTGTTTTAATTGTTTTTTGATTGTTTTTATGTCTGTGTTGTTTTGTCTATTTATGTACAGCACTTTGTTCAACTGTGTTTGTTTTAAAGTGCTTTACAAATAAAGTTGAGATACTATTTCAGATGAGATGCAAGAAATGAAAACATAGTGTTCAAAAGCTGACATATAAAAAGTTTAAATGACGCCTCTTCTCCTGCAGCAGCACAGCGGTAAGATAAGATATACCTTTATTAGTCCCACAGTGTGAAATTCCAGTTTTTTTTATATTAAAATGGACAAAACTCAAATTTAAACCCTTTAAAGTAAACCTGTCTCAGCTCGGTGAAGGTCTTTAGATAACATGAACTTTACAAAATAAGAATATTTACAGAATGTTTCTTTTTTATCTCTGAGTTTGTTTCTCACTAAATTAAGTGGATTTGAATGTGCTTGTTTTTGAGAAATGATGCCCTCCAGTGGCAGGTAGTGTTCAGCACATCCAGTTCAACTTCAATGTTCCAATCAATGCAACTAAAACCTGTCAATTCATAAATTACCTAATAAGACAGATAAAATAACCAAGAAAGCCCGGTGGTTTTGTATTTTCTGTTTAATTAATGAGCAAATGAACAAAAAAACAAAACACAAGAATTCATCGTGAAATATTGCAAACATTAAGCCACATTTTTGACACGAACGGCAGTGAAATAGACTTTACATGCTCGGAAACATCTTCAGCTCTTGCAAAGTTGACAGCTCACATTCATCGTTAAAAGCTCCGAAAGGTGCAAAGCTTCAGATTTTCACAGCGTTATGGTCAAATTTTTAATCAATCCTCGTCAGAGATCATCACTCAACATTGCAAAACAGACACACACTCACACAAAAAAGGATTGTCAGTGGATATTCACACGAAAATGATCACAGGACACTCAGAGCGGATCTAGTTTGCTGTAGGTCTACGTTTAAGTCATCTTCGTGCATAGCAGAGCTCAGGTTTATCATCGGAAACGTAACAAGTTGAACGAACAAACAAATCCAGAGACACTCAGAAAACACACAAACAGGAATCATAAGGCACCTGTCACTACCTTCACAATACTGCAGCGCCGATGAGTGCAAATATCGGCTTTGATCAGCGTTCAAGCACAAACAGTAAATTACACTTGATCCTCCTTTTCTTCTTCACTTATTGCACATCATCTCTCTGCTGATGGAAATACTTCAAACAAAAACAAAGTGAAGCTGGAGTTGAACTATCGGGACATTTTCAATCACAGAAATCTAAAGCAGTGTTCAGGCTGTTTGTCAGTGTGTGCGCGATTGTTTCTATGTGTGTTTTCTACAAACATGGAGGACACAAACAACCGTTTACTGAACAGTTTTTGTCTCAGAGCTCCATCAGGCATCATAGAAACATTTACTTTGAGTCAGTCTGCAGGTCTTTAGCCGCGTCAGGTGAACCAATCCTACACTTCTCAGAGGGTAAACCCCACCGTCTCAACACAAGAGAAAACAAACCCACGGATGAAAACCTCCTGATCACATCCAGCTGATGGTGAAGTTCTGACTGAGGTTGAGACCGAGATCTGCAACCGTCAACAACTGCAGAGAGAGGCGAGAAGAGACGACATCACTTCAGCGTGAATCAAAACCTCAGATCCTGATATAAGAGCTTTTGGGTGAGGCGTATTTAAAAGCTTTCTTTGTTTATTCTTCTGTATATTTTGGACAAATGAACTTTTTTCACTTTCTTTTAAGCTTTCCTTTGAAATAAAGATTTAACATGATATTGATATGATTAAACTGTAAAACATGTTCTATTATTTAAAAGGTGGGGTAGGCAGGATTCTGTTAAAGAAGCATCTTTTTTTGTGGCATATTTACAAAAAAGTTTTTAATATCAGTCAATAGTTATTAGTCATTGATGACATTTGGGAATATCATGATATCGCTGTGTTTTGTTATGTCTGTGCAGTCAATATTTTTAAATTTTCGAGCGGTCCGCTCTTTCTGACTGTAAACAAAGCCATCCTCCACCTCCCCCATCCTGATTGGTTGTGAGGCAGATGCTGCTCCCCCATGACGTTCATGAGCCCAAACAAAGTTAGCGTGCTATAATATCGGACAGTAGAAACCAACCAGAAAGTTTGGAAAATTGTCTGAATCCTCCTTTAGCCACGACTGCCGACACAGACTCTGGAGGAAAAACGGGCGCTTAAAACGGAGGTAGACCGGACAAGAGCTAAAAAACCGGGTCAACATAAACGATGGGGGACGCTTTGGGATCTTACAGACCCTGTAATCTTTCTGCTGGACAGGTAAACCGCTTTAACAAAGTAAGACAAGTGTCTGTAACAGAAGTGTTTCTGCGCCGCTACACTGTCTCCCTCGGGTCCTGGACTATGTCACTTTATCCTCGTTGTAGAAGTCCTGCAAACATTGTGTTTGCTGGTAGTCTGTTGGCATCTACAGTAGCACCAATGCTTTGTACTTTCACCTTGACTGGGCCCCATTTGTAACAATCTGAAGTATTTATCTGCATTATATCTGAATTTAGTTGGAACGATACGAGCGAGCAGGAGCGTCTGTTTGTGGGCGGGGCTTAAGAGAGGAAGGGGAGGAGCTGAGGGGAAAACTGGTTGGGAGGGGTAGAGTTTACATTCAAGATTTCTCCCAAAAACTGGTACTAACTCAGATCCTGACTACCCCACCTTTAAGATTTCAGAGCCACGACATGCATCAAGATGTTGGAATCGAATCACTGCGTCTTCTTGGTGCAAATCAGATAAAATGATAAAAAACTTGTTTTAACCATCTTTAAATTTGATCCCCTACCAGATCTGCGACATAAAACCTCATCACCTCTTTGTAGCGTTTCATCCCTGACCTCACCTGATTGGATTTGTAGACGAACGCTGCCTCCCTGGAGTTCACCAACACTCTGCTCGGCTTCGTCTTCACGCCGTAAAAAGTGGCCGTCTCCACGGTGATGTACGTGGCCTCCACGTTGCTGCGGAGCACCTGCGACGTCATCACGCTCTTCAAAAAAAAAATAGAAAACAGGTGGAGAAGTGAGTTACACAAAATTCAGTATGTCTGTATTTATACAGACATACTCTATCTATCTATCTATCTATCTATCTATCTATCTATCTATCTATCTAAACTAAAACCACCTCAAAGTTGAATGTGAATAACAAACACTGAGGGTGAATTTCTTTTCTGTTAGGGGATAAAAAGTCAAGTTTGAAAGTTTGAGCACCTCAGCGACATTAAAGACGATATAGGCGTATTTTTCAGTCTCATAAGTGTCGATGGTTTCTCCGTCGTCCCAGAACAGATCCCCGCTGGCTGAACCGTCATCAGAGAGAGCGGAGACCAGATGGAGGGGCTGACCGCTGCTCACCCAGAGGGTCAGGTTGGGCGCCTTTAAGGTGGAACAGACAAAAAACAGGACATTTATTGTCATAAGAGTTAGAAGATTCTAGTGCCAAAAACTGGACCAGAATGTGAGGAAACATGAAGTTATTAAAGTTTAAAATGTACGTTTACGTGAATCTAGTTCCTGACAGAACAGAGGAAATGTTCAAGCCTGTAAACCTTCAGGAAACATCAGCTCTAACTGTTTTTATTGACCTGTGTTGGTATCACTGAGCCCTCACGCAGATGCAGGTTGATCTTCTCCAGAGGCGCCCCGAGTCGAAGTTCTTCTCCTTTACTGTGAACGGCGTCGCCCTGAGAATAAAATCACCACATCAGACTTTAAGAGTACCGTCCACAGCCTCTGTGTTCACTACAAAACCAGGTGAGGGTCTTACCGTGTAATAATCGTACCACAGACCCTCTGGGAAGTAGCCGTTGACATAATTGACCCCAGGCTCCAACACCGGTGTCACCAATAAACTCTTCCCCCACAGGAACTGTTTGTCAATGCCGTACGTCCTGACGTCTTTCGGGAACCTTAAGGAAACAGTCAAGTTAGCGCGTGTGTCGATGAGATAAGCTTGAGTTAAATCGAACAGTATGACTCACTCGAACATGAGAGGCCGCGCCACAGTGTGTCCGTGAACATGCGCGTGATGGAAGAGGGTGTAGAGGACCGGGAAGAGGGAGTAACGCAGCAGCAGAGCTTGTTTCATGGCCGTGTTCGCAGAAGGGCTGAATGCAGTCGGGTCCTGAGGCTGAAAAATTCAACAAATCAAAACAGTTTTTTTTTCTGCTTCAATCCTTCATTTTCATTGGTATGGAGCTCTTTTTGAAAATTAAGGATGTTTGAGATAAACTACAACTAGGGCTGGGCGATAAACCAAAAATTTACGTGACTCCACTCCATCCAGGTGACAGGTGAGGAGATGGAGGTCGGTTCAAAAGTTTGAACGGCTAAAGTAGACGAAGTTAATGTTGGAGGGGTGAGCAGCTTCTGGAGTAGTTATCGTCCATTTATCGTTATCGAGGGGAACTGATCAATATATCGTGATATTGATTTGAGGCCATATCGCCCAGCTCTAACTACAACTATAACTCCTGCAGAGTTGAGGTGATTTTCAGGTCGTACCTTCATGTCGATGGCGTTGTGGTTGCGTGTGAAGGGATAGAAAGCTCCCAGCTGCGTCCAGCGGATACAGAGCTCCTCCTGCGGCTCCTCGCTGAAGCCGCAGATGTCCGCTCCGACTAACGGGATGCCCAGGAGGTTAAAGGTCAACATACCTAAGCAAGAGAGAGAGACACACGGTTAAAGGGAAAGTTAAAAATAAGAGACTCTGGTCTGCTTCATGGGGATGTTGCTGACAGACTAAGTACAGAGTAGTGAGGGCAATAAAATGTACAACTGCCAAATAAAAGCTAACAACACATCTTTAAAAATCACACAAGCCTTGAATGATGGGTTACACAGCAACGTCGATGTTTCATAAACCTCTTTAAAAGTCTGTTTCTATCTTGAGTCTGTTTTCTCGGGTTTCTGTCGTGAGAGGCTGGAGGAAGTCAGAGATCTCTGCAGAGTTGGTGAAACTCTTTTTAGGTCCACAAAAGTTTTTAAAAGTTTAACCAAATATTAAAGAGAAACTTCAAACGCTGGAGTCTAAATGAGCAAACCTGCTATAGAGGTGTAGAGATCTTTCCACTGGCTCCTGTTGTCCCCCAGCCAGTGCCCAGAGTACGCCCCCTGACTGGGGAAGGTGGAGCGGGAGATAATGAACGGTCTCTTCGGGATGATCTTCTTCAGAGCGCTGGAGGGGAGGACAGAGACAAAGACAAGAAGAGAGACGAAGACAGTTTGATGAACTCTTTAAGTTTTTAGTGTTCGGTGGTTTCGGGTGTGTCACGGGTCTCTACCTTGCAGAAGCCTTCGCTTCCATGAGTCCATAGAGGCTGTGGATGTTATAGTGGGTGGACTGCTTCTGCTGAGAGGTGGCACACAAAGTTTTGGATCTCAGCAAACCTCCCAACACACCTGAAGGGAAAGATTAGAGATCGTTTCAGGTCTGAGTAAAAGTGAGGTTCGAGGTGTGATGTAGACTTCAGATTCTTCATCTCACCGGGTGTGTAAGGAGGATTTTCAAGACTGTTTGATGGACAGCCATTGGTCGACCCGTCCAGGAAATTCGACGGCTCGTTCATATCCTGTAAACGAACACGTCAAAAGTCACTGACACGATTTCATCGAACACAGGAGGAGCTCGTAAGAACAGTCTGAGTCCACACTTACGATCCACAGCCCGTCAAACGGGACCTTCTCGTAGAACCTCTTGAGGTTGTCGTACCACCACTCGTGTGTCGCTTCATCAGAGAAGTCTGGATATGCTGTCAGACCGGGCCAGACCTGCAGGGGGAGACAAACTGTTTCACCGCTCATACCCTCTTCAGGTTTGAGGAACAAGAGAGAAATCTGGACCGAGGGTTGTTGGAGTTTTCTAAAAACTGATGTCAGTAAGTCTAACTCTGCTTTATTCTCTACAGAAGTGAACTGCATTCACTAATAAAGAAAATTAAAGAGAAAAGGAAACTGTTTTTGAGTATTTTTTTTCTTTCTGTTTTTCAGACTTTTTTTTTTTCTTCTTTCTGTTTTTCTACTATTTTTTTCTTGTTTTTTTTTTTTACTAAAATTTTTTGGACAAATTATTTTCTGTTTTTCATTGGTTTTTTTCTCTGTTTTTTGGACAAATTTTTCTTATTCTTTTTGGATAATTTTTTTTTCTTCTTTCTATTTTTTCATACAAATATATTCCCCCCTCTTTCTGTTTTTCGAAAAAAAAAAAAAATTCCTGTTGTTTTGTACTATTTCAAAATATTTATTTCGTCTTTCTTTTTTTTTGGACAATTTTTTGTCTGTTTCTCATACTGTTTTTTTTTTTCATCTTTCTGTTTCTTGGACAAATTTTTCTTTTTCTGTTTGGATAAATTTTTTTCTTCTTTCTATTTTTCTGACTATGTTTTTTCTTCTGTTTTTTTTTTTTGTACAAATATTTTCTCTCCTGAATTTGTTTGTCAGACTTGGCAGTAGACCCCGCTCTGACTTTGTGTGATTTGGCTTTTCTGTGGAAGTCTGATATCGATGTTAGACAAAGGCGTGAAATCCAGAGTCCGAAGCAGGTGGAAAAATGAGCTTAATGTGGTGATAAAGGGAGGTGCTGCACATACCTGCTGCTGCTGCTGCTCTGCAGTTACACTTCTGCCCCTCAGGCTTCAATGCAATGTTTTATTTTGGCTGTTAAATCATATCTAATCGTAATTGCTAATTATTCACTCTGTCACTCATAAAACCGAGAATGTAAACACGGCATTTATCGGTTAATCCAGCACAGACTGAATGAATTCACACACACAGAAAAGCAGCATTGTGTGGGGATAATCTTGTTTGTGAAACTTTAGACAAGGTCCAGTTTCTCACCTTTCCAATGAGTGTTTTTCCTTCAGCGTCTTTGATAAAAATGTCTCTCTTCAGCCCCTCGTCAAACGGCCAGTACGTCCCCTCAGGCTGGGTGCTGCTGATGCCGGGGTCCTGCAGGAGGAGACGGAGAAGTCACACCAAACAAACCAAAAGAGGGATCACACACAGGTTTCTACTGGTATCTACTGTGTCCATTGTGAGGACAGTTTTCATTTTTGTTCATCTTTATTTTGAGCTGACAGTCACATTTTTTAAGATCTGGGAATTCAATTTGGTGAGAGTTCTTATTCTTAAAAAAGGGTCGCCAAGAGAAAACTCGATCGCAGCATTTCAGCTCCATCCACCATACTTAGTCTACAAAAAGGACAAGAGACCTCCATTAAAAACACATTTTTTGAACATGTGTTTATGGCACCATAACATGATTTTGCAACCTGTTTTTTGCAGTCACTCAATCACCACGGCTCTACATTTTACTTTCGAACATAACAGATAATTTTAACCCTTCAGTACCCCGCACTCAAGTCTTCATTCATGGACTGAGAGTGTTTGAAGCGCTATTTCATTTACGAAACATCATCAGAATTGAATGAAACTTTATGTGCTACAAGTAAGAATTTAAGAATTTTGAGTCAAAAAAAGCAAAAAAAAAAAAGATTATTTTATGAACCCTTATCTGCATGTCCATTTTGAGGACAAAGTCAGCTGGATGGAGCTTCAAATTAACAGGAACCAAAGGGTTAAGGTTAACACAAACTCTGGAGTACCAGCATGATGACGTAGCGTTGGTCATGAGCGTGCAGGTCTTTGACCATGTCCGGCAGAGTGGCGAACTTGTTTGGATCATAAGTAAAGTCCATGAAGCGGTCCATGTAGTCGATATCGTTCCACTGGACATCCTGTAAATGGGAAATGATGAGTAAGCGGTCATGTGACAAACACAAATAAACGGTCTTCTGGGTCGGTTTTACCTGGGGTACCCTGTTATCCCTCAATCTCTTCACGACCTCCAGGGTGGAGTCGCTGGTGTTGTAGCCCCAACGACAGAGGTGGTAGCCTAAAGCCCAGTAGATGGGCATCGCTGGAAAACCTGTGGAGGAAAAAAGAGGATAAAAAAGAAGAAACAAAAACTTACGCTGCGTTCACACTGCAGGTTATGATGCACAATACAGATTTTTTGTTAAATCCGATCTTTTTGTGTGGTCGTTCACATTACAACAACCATGTGGACCATGGGATAGGCATCCTTACAAAGATCTTTCCTTTTAGAGAGAAAAAGGAAAGAAATCTGATCCTGAATGGACCTTAAAGTACAAAAACCTGAAGCTAACACCACATCCACCTTCAAAAACAAGTATTCAAACTTTTTTTCTTCCAGGAAAATCAGCTCAAACGTTTCACTAAAGTCGCTCCTGTGAACTGGAACACCAAGAACAGTTCAGCTCTGAAACAGCCGCTTGGCCAAAAGAAACAAATGTGTTTTTAAAGCCGTAAAACTCTGAGACAAAACCGTCCCACACCCCCAGGATACTGACCTATGACCTCCACATACTGTTCAATCACTGCACCCGGATCAGGGCCGAGGAAAACGTAGAAGTCGAGGATTCCTCCGATCGCACGCCAGGTGAGAGCAGGAGCTGGCTGGAGGGCCACGTCTGATGAAGAGAGGGGGAGATTCAGACACTTTCCTCATAATGAATATCAAATGAAATGAATGAAATGAGACTTTGACCGAGTTTCCAATGAACAACCCTCTTCCTCTGTTCTTATGAAAACAGCCTGAACTCTAAATGAACTCCTGTGAAGTGAAACCGCTCCGATGCTGCAGTCATGCGACCCTGACAAAGCTGAAATTCCTGATGGGAACTTCTGTTTCCATAAATTGCTTAATCTTTTACTCAGAACGGTTGCGACACTTTATTAATCTCCTCGTTTTTTACGGCTCAGACGTGTGAAACCTGAAGCGAAGGTTTCAGGGCGTCCCGCAGACTCACCCATCGCGTTGCTGTTGAGCAGGAAGAAGCCGTGCGCGTTTCCTCCGTCCTCCATCACCAGGTAGAACGGGTGGGCTCCGTACAGGTTTGTCTGCTCCTAAAGAAATACAAGAGACGGATGTGATCTGACATGTCTGAGGAGGGGGAGAAAAACTCAGTCCAATCCAAGTGTGTCGATAACGCACATTTAAAATAAAAGACCTTATATTTGACACTGACTCGTATAAGATAGAACACCATAGCTTGATAAAAATGATCATTAGGCTTTGGTTTATTTGTTTTGGGGACTCCTGCGAGGGGCTCTTCAGGAGTCTAGGGTACCGGGCACTATTATACGGGCTGTTTGTTCCCTGTACTATCGGTGCCAGAGCTCTGCCAGGGCTGCCCTTTCTCACCGATCTTTTTAACAACTTTCATGGACAGAATTTCTAGGTGCAGCCAGGGTGTTGAGGGGGTTCAGATCCCGGCCTAAGTCGAGGAAGTCCTGTTCATAAATGAGGAAAGAATGGAGCGGGAGATCGACAGACGTACTGGTGCGGCGTCAGCAGTGATGCGGACGCTGCACAGATCTGTCGTGGAGAAGAGGGAGCCGAGCCGAAAGGCAAAGCTCTTAATATAACAACTAACAAAAAAAAAGAACATAAATAGTGTTAAAAAAGGTAAATTAATCATTCATAAAAACACCCGATAATCGAAGCTCTTCTTCCTCCCTGTACCTGCTGAGCACCATGTTTTTGTACCGCCAAGATTAACATCATTAACTGCTATTTTTAAGTCTGTGGTTAACCCCCCCTTTAAAAAAACAAAAAGGCCTCATCATACCCGAAAGGTAACAGAGAGTCGTCTCTCATATTGAGGTTGTTGTGGACAAATAAAGACGTTTTCTTGACAGACAGGGTTTCAGAACACAAGGTGGAAGCCGTCCAGAGTTCGGGGTAATTTCCTCCGAGCTTTGACCTCTTTCCTGAGACGATGACCCGGTCAGCGAGTATCAAGAAGAAAAACTGTATTTTATTCATTTATTTAATAATTCTTTTGTTATGTGAAGCAGAGAGCTACTGTAGAGCGCGTGCTCACACAAAATCGAGTCCTCTCCTCATGTTATTGGAAACAGATGTGATTTGACTGTGAGATGCTCCTGGTATTTGGTCCAAATCTTCAGATTAATCCTGTTATTATTAGTGGGATTTAAACTTGTTTGTCATACGTGTGTCGACACCTTCTTGTTCATTTTTACAGTAAAAAGCAGAAGTGAAACCATCTGACCCGACGGTCTGTCTCCATGTTTGTTTTTTTCCTTCGATCACATTTGAGCGAGAGTTTCTGTTTCACTCTAAGATCCTCTTTAAGGTTAGGAATCAGAACAGGAGACCAGAGGCTCATACTAAGGAAGGATTAAGGGTTAAGACCAGGTACAGGTTCATATCTGAGTCTTCTCGTAACATAAATAAACTGAATAAAAGCGATCACCGTCATACCGTCGGAGGCACGTCTCTGGCCCACATGGTGAGCGTGTTCCAGTGGACGTCGTGCAGGAAGGTGGAGCGGTGCTCGCCCAGGCCATAAATGAACTGACTGGGCAGGGAGGTGGAGAGCTGGAGGAACTGGTCGGCGTAGAAGAGTGGAGCCACGGTGGTGTTCAGACTATCAGGAGACATGACATGATGTGGTTTATTGTAAGATTACACTGTGATTGTTTTTAACCATAGCTGACTGAGATCTTTAGCCGCCCTGATGCAGTCAGAAAAGTCAGACTCACAGCACCATCCCCGTCGATTTTCTCCTCACAATGAGACCGAACGGCGTCTTCGAAAGCTCCACCGTGTAATCTGGACTTTCCGCCTTCTTGGTGGCGGTGGGGACCGGGATCGGCACCTCAAAGCGAGGACTGGAGGGGTCAGTAACCTGGAGGGAAGAAGATGACATAAACCGTTAGTAATAAGACAGTTTACAGGCTCTGTAATAAAACTAAATGATCTGATCGAAGAATTTATGACTGCACCTTTACACCCACATCCTGATCAAACAGCTGTGGGTCTGTGAGACCTCTGTACACAGTGACAGAGCTTGGTGGTTAAAATACGACGCCCTCTCTCATAAATGATGACGACGATAGCTTTAATTATGTAAGACTCTCTGAAACACCATAACTTCATTTCATTGGCCAAAAAAAAGATGTTTCACTATTCAAACTGGACATGTAGAGCGCTTAGTCGAATAATCAAACACAAATAATCTGCTTTGAAGAGAGAAAACACGATCTACGTTCACATCAGCTGCATTTGTCTGGTTTTATATGTGGGACGGAAATAAAATCTTGATTTCTTTCTCTGAAGACTCAATTTTGATTTTTTTTTTATGCAGTGGCAACTTCACTAAACTTCACTTTACTAAAAAGGTTTTTCTATCATCTCTCAGAACGAAACCGCTGAAAAAGATGTAGTTCATATGCCAAGCCAGTAAGTGGCGCTGTAACGCTGTAGAGGAAATGCATAAAAGACAGAAGAAGAGTACAGAGCATGTGAAAGAAGGTTGTTTTGGCGCCATAACAGAGTTACTCTGTGTGTCACATGATCGTTTCCAGAGATGCAGATAGACATCCACACGGAGGTGAAATGGTCGTTGTTTACAGATTTATTCACTCTCTGACCCGTTTTCAAAAAGTACAGTTTACAGTTACCCGAAACGCCGTTTCCGTGTGGATGAAACGCCGATACGACAAAAAACTTTTGCGTTTACTGCTGAATTCGTCTCCATGGTGACGGGTTTATACCGCCTTCAGACAGACTTCACAGCGGGGAGTGGTTTGCTCTTCATCTAAAACTGTGAAGTCGTACCAATTCAACACGACTGACTCGCTCTTGTCCTATTTAACCACAAAATTATCGGCTTCTTTTGCAAACGCCATGTTTGTTTACACTGGTGTGTGTGGGAACTAGGGAGCCTACCTTAGCCTGGAGGCGCGAGACGATAGAGAGGAAAATCGATTTGACGATTTTAATTTTTTTAACATCGTCATAATCAAATAATCTGATTACGATTTAAAATCGATGAATCGTGCAGCCCTACATAAAGGTTTTCAATTTTACCGTCACTGCACATATGTCCCCTACAGGAATTATCGATCCCTGATGGTCAGTATCTGTACTGGCCCTGAAAAAAGAGGATCTATTGAAGCTCTGAAGAAGAACATTTCAGCTTAAGGCGACTTTTTCTGTTATTTTGACATTTGAGTCAAAGAGCCTTTACCGTGAAACAGAAACAGTTATTGGACTCTCACTCACCCTGACACGCAGCCGTGTGTCCGTCTCATAGCGAATCTCCAGATCCAGAGTGAGGATGTCTGCCGGGTAGTACGTCTTCACATCCTTCACCAGCGTACCTTTCACTCCCAGGGAGGTGTCGTTTGTTGACACAAGCGAGTAGGAGGGAAAATCCGGAGGGTAGAAACACCAGGGGATCCCATTCCTCCCTGACGCTGGGATAAAACAACAGTTCCTGGCCTCACACAGGTCTTGGGTCACGACCACGCCTCTCTCAGGGTAACAATCAAACCTCCACGCTTCAGGGATCAGAGAACAAGCCTCGCGGCGAAGAGCGGAAGCGGTGTCGTTCAGTCCTTTCTCCTTCTTTTGATTGTACTCGAGTGTCGGTGCAGCGGCTGGTGACGGAAGTCTGTGCGGGTCTTTGTTGGACGGCCTGTGAAGCCAGAACATGGAGCCCAGCAGCCAGCCTCCACAGAGGAGCAGGAGCAGGAAACCCAGAACCAGGAGGCTGGTGGTGACGGAGCATGTGGGCCGCCGTGGAAGCAGAGTAGCTTCCTCTTGCTCCGGCACCTTAAAACATTATCATAAGAGTCTTAGTGGAAATGTTTTCAAGTGTGACATGATAATGACTGAGGCAGGGAATAATCTAGGATTAAAATCTTCCATTTCTACAGAGTTTCTACAGAGTCTACACACACCTTGACGTAGTTTGCCTTAGTAAAACAAAAAGTCCAAATCATACAGCTCAATAAAAAAGAGCTACTTGAGAAATCTCAGCGCATCTGTATGAGAAGGAACTGGAACAATAGACCCATTTCCAAATTAGCAGATTTCTTTTCAGACTATCAGGCAGCTGGATTATCCCTTAAGCTCCTGAGAAGGCGTACAGAGCACAATTGAACAGTGAAAAAGTGAGACTGAGACAGTGGAGTCTGAAAACTTCCCAGAGCTTTGACAGCCGAGATCTGAATTCTCTGCAGCACAGACTGGAGGTCACGAAAAGATCTTACGCTCTGCAGATGGTTCGAGGCAGAAAAAGAAGAAAACATTTGCACTTACTGAAATCTCCTCCCGCACAGAGCGAGGCTCCTCTGACAGCAGAGCGCCGGAAAACTGAATATCTTCAGGGTTGAGCCGCTTGTACGACACCATCCTGACGGTGCGTGTTTGTCAAAGTGAGAGGCTGAACACACGGAGACAGAGACGGTGACAAAAAGCTCAGAATGAATTCAACTCTGATATCCTACAGCTGAGATTTGTGCAGAAACAGGAATGAGGTGAAAATGGTTGAAATGGTTTCAGAAAGCAGAAGTTTTGCAAGATTGTAATGAAATTAAGGAGGGGCTTTTTTCTGTGACTCACAAACTTCCACCTCAAATTCACTCTGACAGGCGATAAAACACCCTGTCCCAACAACACAATCCCACCCAGTTTAATCATATCAAAAATAAATATTTTATAACTGGAAAACAAAGGCACACATGCTCTTCTGCTTCTTCAGTCTGCTCTGAACCTTCCAGGCGAACACAGAAACACACCATAACATGTCAGCGCTTATCTTTAACCTTAAACAATGTTTACTCTCAAATCAATGTCAGTGTGCAACTCCTGTGAAATCCACTCTGAGCCCTGAGCCCCCCATCAGCTGTTTATCCAACTTTTAAGCAATATTTTCTGCAGACAAACATCCATGATTCTGGGACACATTTAGTACTTAAAAGCCAGCAGGATGAGATTTTGGGTCAGGTGATACTACTTGGACATCTTGTAGAAAATTCTGTGAAGGTATATTAAGTACTGCTTTAACCACAGGGGGCCTCTGAGGGTTTAACATGCGAGTTAGGTGCTTTAACTAAAACCATAATTTGATTTAATTTTCATTTTAGTTCCACACATCTTTTCTTCCCTTAGTAAATGTCATGTTTTAAGATTTAGGATCAAAATATTTCAAATGTAAGTGATGCATATTTAATATATCCACAATCCCACTGTTGCCTACTGTCATATTTCTATATCTTGCCTCGCCTATCTTCTTTTAATTCCCTCTAATGTTCAGTAAGACTGTTTTATCTATAATTCCTTACAGCACCTGAACTTGTTCTAATGTTAATGAAGAGACCTATTATGTAAAGCCATTAGATTTCTAATATGTTGCATTCATAAAAACATGTCTTAACTTGATGTTAGTCCCAGACCGACACAGTTATTGTGTTTAATGACGAACGTCCCCGTCTCAGCTCTCAACAAAGGCCCGAGTCTTACATAATTAATAATAACGTAACGATAATGTCAAAGTTCATCAAATAGATCACAACACTTTATTCAGTTTAGCAGTTGGCAGCTTTTTTGTGTATTGTATGATAAAATTGGATTAAGTAGTGTAAAAATAAAACAGTATTTGGTCCTCTGAGGTTGTTAATATGTCCAGAAATACGACATTTGGGAACGTTAGGCTAGCTAACTTTAACGGCAGAGTTAACTTTAGCTTACAGGAGCTAACGTTAGCTAACAAGGGCGTCGGGAACATATTTACTTACCTGACTGATCCTAGTTACGCAGACACACAGAATTAAGATTCAGAGGGATGTTGTCTTCTGATAAAATCCCCGTTTGTTAGCTGGTTAGGTCATTCGTAGCGCCGTGGACCCCGATCGTCTGCATGGTGTGCGTCTGTTTATCTTCATGTCCCCTTCAAGGAACCTCGGAATTCCGATAACTCACCAACTTCTTCTTCTTCTCCGGTCATTTTTTTTTTTTCAATGGGAGTTTACAGACAACTAAATGGCGCATTACCGCCACCAACTGGACAGGGTTTTGTAGGCTATTTTCACTAACCTGTAACAACCTTTACAAAAAAAAAAAAGATCTATTAACTTCGCTTTTCCCTGTATACTGAAGCAACAGTTTTGAATACCTTTTATTAGAACTTGTTTTGAAATAGTCAGGTATTTTATTCTAATTTATTTTAGCATTTCAGCGTCTGTGATCCTCATACTATGGACTATAAACTTATTCTTGTTATATTGTTCCCTTCTGAATTCAATTTTTCACTGACGGTTGTTTCTTTATTTGAAGTACCAGCGATTCACTACAGTGGCCAAGAACCGCCACTGCTGCAAATAAAAAAAAAAGAATGCAAAAAAAAAAAAAAAAAAGAAAGAAACCGAAGCCCACTGCAAAAAAAAAAGCCACAACGGAAGTTAACGACACACAAAAAAAGAGGTGAAAGAATTAAAAAGCAAACAAAAAAAAGGTTCTCACTGCAAAAATAAAAGGATGCAAATAAAAAAGCCACAATGGAAGTAAAACACCAGTGCATCATCAATATTGGTCCCCGGAAACTTACTTCTGTTGCGGCTTATTTTTTTTTTTTTGCATCCTTTTATTTTCACAGTAAGAAACTTATTTTTTTGCGTTGTTAACTTCTGTTGTGGCTTTTTTTTTATCTGCACCATTTTTATTTTATTCGCAGTGGCCTTTGGTTTCTTTTTTTTTTGCATGGGTAACTTCTATTGTGGCAATCCTTTTTTTTTTTTTGCATCTTTATTTATTTGCAGCCCTGGCGGTTCTCGGCCACTGTAATTCACTTCAGTTTATCTAAACTATATTTCTGATGCTACTGTTTCTTCGTTCTTTGAATATTTCTCATCCCAGGACACACAAATAAGCGATCTGGTTTACTACCTTTCTAGGGCCAAAATGAATGCCACACTTGAAAATTGCACTAACTAGATGCTTTCAACAACTTCTTGGGGTTTTGTGTTTATCACTGTCAGTGCAACGGGGATCCTGATCTGGATATTTGTCATGTCTGACTGGCTCACATTGTTTTAATCTGAGAAATTAATTTTTACTCCTTTAAACATTAATCTGGAAGCACACCATTCTTTAGTACTTTCACTTTTATTGTTCAGTATAACACGTCCCATACAATTAAACAGAGGCAGTGCTAGGCCAAACTAACCTTCTACATACACATAAATGCATGTTGCATCCCAGCCTCAGGAGTCTGTTTCCTTTCTTCACCACAGACCTCAAACTTCTCAGAGTCTTACGAACCAGGAGAGCCTGATTTTTGATTTGGTTATTTAAAAACTGCTACACAAAACAGAGATAAGACACACACACTACTCACCACTAAGGCAAAATGGTTTAGGCAAAAAAATAACTGATGAACACCATGACCCCACTGCTCTTCATCTGTGTCTAGATTCTGTCGTTTCATTTCACTTTCGCCTGATTTAGAAATTGCACCTTGGTCATTAAAACCTCAGATAGAAAATCAAACTTGATTTCCACACATGATTGGTCTGAATGAGGAATACTGATGAGAAAGTGAAATCACAAGCCTCAAACGGGTCATTTATTCTACCATAAATATTAACGTGAGCATGATTCAACTAATGTAGTAATAAATGAGAATAAATATGATCACCTGGACACTTTCCCGGATTTGACAGAAGTTGTGTTTGTAGTAAATGTTCGTTTGGTCGTTTTGTCTCAGACACTGTCTGTTTGTTCATTTTTCTGCAGCCTTCTGGGAGTCAAATATTTCAGTTTTAACCCTTTTTAATGAGCACCACGTGAGGGTTCATCTGGTCTATTGACAGAGGTAGTCCCTTTTTCCTCTTCCCCACTGGTTTACTGTCTTTAAACTTGTATTAAAATACTACTACTGGTACATATCTTCATGGTTAATATAAATACATTATGGGTCATTTCTGTCACTTATACACATATTAATCGGTGAGTTATCGTCGCTCTGTGATAAATCTTCGTTCCTAACACTGAGAGCGGACTGCTCTTCAGTCTGAATCACCTCATGTTTACGTCTGTGGAGCCTCAGGCTCTGGGAGCGGCTGAAGCCTCTCCCGCAGATGTCGCAGCCGTACGGCCTCTCTCCCGTGTGCAGCCTGAAGTGGTTCTTGAGGCTTGAAGCTCGCGTGAAACTCTTTTCACACTCAGGACAGTCAAACTTCTCCCCATAGTGGATTTTTTCGTGTTCCCTTAAGCGTCCGGACTGGTTGAAGCTCCTGTCGCACACAGAGCAGTGGTACGGCCTCTCCCCTGTGTGTGTGAGCCGGTGTCTGTTCATGGCTCCTGAGTGGGCGAAGCTCTTCCCACATTCAGGGCAGGAGAACGGTTTCTCTCCTGTGTGGACTTTCTGGTGGCCTTTGAGCTGACCTTTCTGTGTGAACTGCTTCCCACATACAGTGCATTGGTAAGGTTTCTCTCCCGAGTGAATCCTCATGTGGATCTGAAGCGCAGACATCTTGTGACAGTCTCTTCCACACAGCCCGCAGCAGTAAGAGGCTTTTTTCACATTGTTGTTGGGCTTTTTATGCAGCGGTGAGGCTGGAAGAGTGTCTTTTTCACCTCCACTGACATGATTCTGAACTTCTTCAGACACTGTGGAAACAAACACGACAAAACCAAATACTGTAAAACAGTTTTAGGGAAAATACAAACGGTATTTACTTGAGCTAAATAAGACTTTGCCTAACCGATGTAAATTCAGTGTCTGGCTGCAAAAGTCACACTGCAGGACAAAGAATGTCAAGCAAGTGGAACATGTCACATGACCACTTCATTGTTGCTTGATGCAAGAAGAAAATAAAACCACAGTTTTTAGTTTTCCAGAGCAAATCAGAGATAAAATTCAACTGATATCCTGTAGGTACAAACCATCATAAAAATATGAAAATATGACTGAGGAAAGACAGAAACGGCTCAACTGAATTCTAAAGGGTGTCTGCAGTGTTGTAAAAAAAAGAGGTGATGCAACTTGATGGAAACCATGACCCTGTCGAGATTGTTTAGAAACATGAAGCTGACATCAAAATGAAAATGAAAATAAATTTTTCACTGAACAGTGAAAGTTCTGAAGGTTTAACATTTAATATGTTTTCTTTTCTCTCTGCCTGTCTCTCTGGTCCTCCTCTGTCTCTCTGCTGCCTTTGGTTTGACTCCGAGCCCTCTGCTTGTCTCTTTCAAATTTAATTTAATTCTGATTTCTCATTAAAATATTGAAGGTGCACTTAATTCAATCTGACATATAGAGCCACATAAAATTCATCCATGAACAGGTACCTTCCCTGACATTTCCAACATCCACTGGGGTGACATTTATGTTACTGACTGTTTTGTTTTCCTTCTTCACACACACACACAGACCAGACTGTGCACAGCAGCTGAAGGACTGAAATAATGTGTAAAATTTGACCTCAAATGACATCAGTGTGACATCTAAGCTGTTCAGACAACAGTGTGGGTAAGTCTTCAACAAACAGGAGCAGTCCCAGTTTCACCGATGCGGAGAGAGAGAGTCAACTAATCTGTCCATCACAGCTCACATAGTTGTTTTTGACTGGTTTATGATGTATGTTTCAGTTATTCAGCAAATGTACTTTGGCAGCCGTTTATAGACCTGAGACACAGAAGCAGATGAAGTTTTGTGAGTTCATGAGTTTCGTAAAATCATCTCCTTACTGTTCACAGGTTCTTCTTCCTCCTCCTTCACCGTTATCCTCATGTCTGTGCTACTTTCCTGCTGCTGCTCTTCCTTCTCCTCCTCCTCCTCATCCTCCGTGGTGCAGTGTTGACTAGAACCCTGATCAGGAGCCTCACCTGCTGAGGAAAACACATTCAGCAACTGAGAAACATTCAATCATCAAATTGCTTCTTTTAAAATGGGATTGGTGTATACAGACCACATAAAGGTTCCTCTTCTTCCTCTTCCTTCACTATTACATTCATATGTGGACTGGAGGTGACATCCGGTTGGTCTTCTGCTTCTTTCAGGTTATCTTCGCTCTCAGTCGTCCTGTCACAGTTGAGATCCTCTTGGGAGTGAGACTCGGCCACGCAAGGAAAACTCTGACTGTCAGGTACCTTCAAAATAATAAAAAGAAGAGCAAATGTGGGAAACAATAGAGCACAGGTGTCAAACTCAAGGCCAGGGAGCCAAATCTGTGGCCCACAAGATCAAATCATATTTGTATTATTATTGGCCCACCAGAATAAAGTCTGCAGATTTCCTCCAGGATAATAATATAAATTTTAGCACCATTATTTAAAATGTCCTTAATAAACCATGAAAATCTGAGAAATTAAAGAGTAAGGAAGATTTGATAAATAGTCAAGAATGTGGAGGAAAAATATTTGGTGTTTAAATTCATGTTTTTAATTTTGCATCTCAAGATTACAAGTCAAACATGATTGGATTTTTGATTTCATGCTTTGATTTTGTTAAACTCAGTATTTAGACTTGTGTCATTTTATACTTTAGATTCCAATTTAAAATTTTAAGTCATATTTTGACCTTTTAAACCAGATTTCAACTTTCTTCTCATGTATTTGCTCTTTAAATGCATTATTTTTCTATTTTTAATATCATGCTCTGATCTTCTAAACTAATAAATAAAAAAAGAATAAAAAAAATAAAACTTTTCTATCTCAGTTTGCCTTTAAACTTTTCTTTTTATCTTTTTTTTTTGAATTTCCAAATGATTTATAATCATTGCTGTTTTTGTTACATATTTTTTTCAAAAGGAGGTTGACGGTTTTGGTGAGATGTTGACCCTGTTCGGCCCTCAGGTTAGACCTAAATCCAGATTATAGCCCTTGCTGTGGTTGAGTTTGACAACCCTGCAATAGAGGAACCCAAATTCAAATCTATAAATCAGAGGAACTTTGATCCTGGGGTTAGAAACATGAAAACAATTCACAAAACTCAAAGTTTCAACTTTAGTTTTGAAAATGAGCACTTATCGTCAGAGCCCCTGCCCCCTTTTTTAAATCACCTAATTGACAGTCTATCATAATATAATCTACCAACTTTGTCTGGGTTAGCTTACCCGATCTCAGAATAAACAAAGGCCATTCATATTATGTGTTTCAGTGCCTTTAGTCTGGCAGCTCTGCATGTTGTAAACAAACCAACTTTCGGACCGTTTGAGCGGTTTTGGGTTCATAAAAGCATATACAGCACAGGGTTTAGCTGCAACTACCAGCTGAAAAGACAGTTTGTAAGGCCTCGCTAAACTAAAGTAAGTAAATGTGACAAGTTTGGGTTTGCAAATGCACTCTACCTGACAGCTGGATTTCAGGGAAAAGCAAAACCACACAAACTTGACACACAGATCTCTAAATGTCAGTGATGTTGAACTTGTCTTTCTCGTGGTCTTATCATCTATAACTCTGGCAGCGACCATGACACCTTCTAAAGTGGAGCTCCATCATACCAGTAAGCCTCACAGCGTCATCTCTTCTCTGGTAGTGAGTGTTTTCTTTTCCACTTTCGGATGCACACACAGGCGTGGCTGAAGAACTAAAATTAACTGCAGTCAGAGATCCTGATGACTGACATTGAGGGCTCACTCTGTTCAGTTTTCACATGTCAAACTTGGACGAAGAAAAAGCGCACTTATATATTCATGTGCTTTGTTACCTCAGAGCTGTTTGGGTCGTCTGGCACCGGCTGGGATGATTCTCCTTCAGCAGCTGGCACTTGGTCTGCCATGTCACCTGTTACAGACTCATTCTTGTTCTGTGTACACGATCTTTTGTGGTTTCTCAGAGTTCCTGCCAGTGAGAAATGCCTCCCACAGTCTGCGCAGGTGTACGGCTTCTCTCCAGTGTGAATCCTGGTGTGCCTTCTCAGCTCTCCGGGAGCTACGAAAGACTTATCGCACTGAGTGCAGCTGTACGGTTTTTCCCCGGTGTGAGTCCGCATGTGAGTAGTCAGAGTCCACTGCTGAGCAAAAGTCTTCCCACAGTCGGAGCAGTGGTAGGGCGTGATGCCGGTGTGGAGCCGCTCGTGTCTTACAAGTGTTCCTGACAGGGCGAACCTTTTCTCACAGAAAGAGCACTGGTAGGGTCTCTCTCCAGTGTGAGTCCTCTGATGATCTCTCAGCTCAGCGGCTGAGTTGCAGCTTTTTTCACAGTCTGAACACGGAAACTTCTTCCTCACGAAGCCCGCAACGACCTCGCAGTGCATCGCCTCTAAGTGAGTCTTCAGATGCCAGTGTCGGGAGAAGCTCTTTAGACAGATGGAGCAGTGATACGGCCTCTCGCCAGTGTGCGTTCGCCGATGTAGCCTCAGCTCCCCCTGACTGGCAAATCGTTTCTCGCAGAAAGTGCACGGGAACGGCTTTTCTCCAGTATGGACCCTTTCGTGTATCATCAGCAGCCCCTTCTCAGGGAATCTCTTCTCGCACATGGAGCAGGGGAAAGGCCTCTCTCCTGAGTGAGTCCGTAGGTGGCGCTGCAGTTTGGAGGCGTATGGGAAGTCTTTACCGCACACTGAGCAGCTGTGCAGCGACGGGGGTTTCTCATTTTCCCTTTGAACAAATGTCTTTGAGGGGGCTTCAGAAGGCTGCACGCCTGGAATAGCTCTATCTCCTGTGTGAGCAGAAAGAAAAGAAAATTTCTTCAGTTTTTAAAACTTAGACACAAACCAACAAGGATGCTGATAGTTATCAAACTGTGTGGCTTTCGCAAAAACCTGTGACTCAATGACTCAAACCAATTCTTCAACTATCATAGAGGTTGTCAAAAATATCAGCGTCACCTTCATGCACCAACAGGAACTCAAATCTACTGCATAAGTTTTGATCAAATGTAACAAATGATTTGGTGATGCTTTATTTTATGATACACTCATTAGGTAATTAACAGGTAATTACCAAGTAACAACATGAAATTATCTGGTAATTACATGATAGCTACTAAGTCAATACTGTCTAGCTACCAGGTAGGTAATCTTCCATCATCATACAAATTTGAAGCCAAATTGCTCTGGTACTTCCAGGATTTTCTCCGCTTCCTGGAACCACTTCTTGCGCAGTAGCATTCGGCGGGTGAGTCGCTGTGATAACGATCGGCTCAAACAGCGTATCGCTACTCAATCTTCGCACGCCCATAGACTGTATCAAGTGTCAATCATAGAAAATAAGAACCCTAAATAGCTTTTGAAAATGGAGCTCCACAGAAAAAAGAAAAAAGGAAAAACTAGACAGTATTGACTTAGTAGTTATCATGTAATTACCAGATAATTTCATGTTGTTACTAGGTAATTACCTGTTAATTAGCTGGTAATAAGTGTACCGTAAAAGAAAGGGTTACCAATGATTTTCTTTTTATCCTCTGAGCTCCACCACCAAACACAAAACTCAACCCTGATGGTCCTGAAGTTTCACATCATCAGCTATCGAAGACACGACTCCTATTCTCGAGCACATCGCAAAATAATAACTTCATATACTCACTGAGATCTGAGAAGTCAACTTCCTCTCCATCAGAGTTGATCAGGCCTCCAATTTCTTGTGGATCTTCTTCAGCGAGGATCCCAGCTGGTCCATAGTCCTCTGGGTTTTCAGAGCCCATCTCTCAAATATGCAGCCTGGTGGAGGTAACAAAAAAATCAAAACCAATGTGAGTCTTAATGGAATAACACAGAAATTTGACAATTACACAAAGAAGATGATTTAATACAAAACCTCGATATAAAAGTTCCTAATCACACTGCAGCAAATGATGACACGACCTACTGAGTCAAGAGTCTTAGTGGTTCGATATTTACAGTGTGTCTGATAAGGATTGATGTGTCAATATTAGTCTTATTACATAACTGCTGTCACACTCTGATGAATGACTTTGGATTGAAACACTCATTATATTAAACATCATAAGGCTTATGAAATCTAATGCAATTTAATTCTACTTTAGTCATGAGCTCATCCAAGATTTCCTATTTGGGGTTCCCTCAGTGAGGTTTAAGCACCTGTAACACCCAGCTGCCTGTGATTGTTAGTGTACGTGTATTTACAGTCAAACTGTTTCGGGTATTTTAAGATTCAACGTGAGATTCAAGTTATGATCGATGTTTTCACCTCGAAACGCATTCAACAGATTTCTGCCTCCAGATCTTAAAGCTCTTTGGAGGATAAGTTCTTTGGGGTTAGCTGCACAAAAGCACCTCCATCTGTGCATCCTGGAGACCTTTTGGATCTCAAAGATTATGTTGCACTGGGAACTTACTCTTGTGCTTCTAAAGGGATATTCCGGCATAAGATGAAGTTAGGGTCAAACACACCGTAACACAGAGTTAGACACCCCCTTGAGAGACGAATGTTGCCGACTGCTTGCTTCTCTAGTTTTACCAACTTAAGTAACGACCACACGATGGCAATAGAGAGAGCCACGCGTTCAACCAAAATGCCACTCTATAGCCACAAATAATGCTCAGAACAGCACCTAACTTCATCAACAGGACATACAGGGTCACAGCCATAGTACTAGCCACCAAAATCTTTTTAACTTTGACTAATTTCTTTAGCAAAGATACTAAACACAACTCACCCACTCTCTTCCAGCAGCCACTTGTTTGTAGTCAGACCTCAGGCCAGTCCATTACAGACTACAGTGGGGTGACACAGCTCAAGAAAGAACATTTATGATCATTAATGTATAATTTCCTTTGAATAATCATCATAATAATCATTTTGCTCTGCAGACGCTGTAGTTCTTCTGCCTCAGCGTCTCGTTCTGACTGCATTTCCATGAAGAAATGATCATAAATGTTCTTCCTTGAGCTGCGAAACTCCACTGCAGTCCATGGACTCGCCTGGAGGTCTCGCTAAAACAAGCGGCTGCTGGAAGAGAGTAGGTGAGTTATGTTTAGTCTCTTTGCTAAAGAAATCAGGCAAAGCTAAAAAGATGTTTGTGTCTAGCACGATGGCTGTGACCCTATATGTCCTGTTAATGAAGTTAGGCTCTGTTCTGAACATTATTTGTGGCTATAGAGTGGCGTTTTGGTTGATCGCGTGGCTCTCTGTATTGCTATCGTGTGGCCGTTACAACTTGAGAAGCAAGTGGTCGGCAACATTCATGTCTTGACAGGGTGTCTATCTCAGTGTTATGGTGTGTTTGACCCTAAATTAATTTACGCCGGAATATCTCTACTGGTCTAAGGATCCCACAGAAAGAGGGTACAGTCCTTGTTGCAGTGGTCATTTGGTCAGTTCCGGGTTACAACCCTTTGCTGCACGCCTCCCCTGACTCTCTTTAGCTGCTCTAGATAATGCAAAAGCGTGTGAAAATAAGGAATACATAAATAGTTTACATTTAAAGCAGGAATGTACAATAGAGAAAATTATGAACCCATTTTCATTTTTTTCTTTTACTCTCTATTGTTGATATTATCATTATTACCAGACTGATGCTTTATCTTTGTATTTTAATATATTTTTAGGGGGTTATATATACACACAGGTCATTTATCAGTTCCTTTTCCTTTGCAGTGATAATAATAACATTAACAATAATTATTCTGTATTTAAGGTTTTCTCAGAGGGTCTATTCCTGACTGTCTCGAGGTTTTCCTCCTAACAAACATCTGAGCTGAAGCCAGTTTTCTCCGGAGCTTTAGCTCGGTGTCATTCTTTGACATCTCACATGAAGCTGTTTCAGACAGCAGCCTTACTGACTAACCTGTTGGTATTTTTAGGTGTCATGCAAAAAGCCCTTTAACAGTCGGTGCAAACACGCCCTGCATTTGGAGACCACAGTGAGTGTCCTCTGTGTGAGATGTCTCGGTCGTGAGGCGGAGGAGGTGACCGGGCTCCGGGCTCCAGGCTCCGGTCAGCGGACACCCGTGCCTCAGAGGAGAGGCTGTTATTAGCCAGCTAGCCTCTGACATGGCGTTTGCTGCTTTCTCTGGAACCAGCAAACCGCGAACAGTTACGACCTCCCGTGAGCGATATCCGCTAGACATGCACGGTTAATACCAGCCTCGACAACGCAGAGGCCAATAATGAAAATAAACACATGAAGTCTGCTGCTAACTCCCTCTCTCTCTCTCTCTGCTGGCTAACTTAGCTAGCTAACATTTAACAACAGACAATAGATATGTTGACCAACCTCAGCAAAGATTTTCCCTCAGGAAAAAAAAGTAGTCCTCCGACAAGAGTTTATTCAAAGCAGTTGATAATTTTTCTATTTCTCTCTCATTTTGGTGCTTGTTGTGTTCAAACTGTGTGTCAAATCACTGGTAACTAACTAATGACTTCTGTGAAATCAGCGTTTGGTGGTGATGGTGACCGTTTTAGCTCTCGCTGCTAGAGAATCACACTAGTTTCTGTACTTCCGGTTGGCTTTTCAAAATAAAACTAACGCGCTTCAAAATTACCACGGAGTATTAGGGTATTAAGAAAAAAAATTGAGATTAAATATAATTAATTTACGAGAATAAACTCATAACTAACGAGAATAAAATCGTAACAACGTAAGTACTTATGAGAATAAAGTCGTAATAGAACTTTTATCTACGTGAATAAAGTAATAAAACCATTACTTACGAGAATAATGTTGTTAAATAATTCATAATAACGAGAATAAAGTTGTAATAAATCATTACTAACGAGATTAAAGTCGTAATAAAGCAATTAGTTACAAGAATGAAGTCATCATAGAATCATTGCTTATGAGAATAATGTTATTAAATAATTACTCATGAGAATAAAGTTGTAATAAAGTTAATACTTAGGAGAATAATGTAATTAAATAATTACTCATGAGAATAAAGTCGTAATAAATCATTACTTACGAGAATAAAGTTGTGGTAAAGTAATCACTTACGAGGGTTAAAACAGAATAAAGTACTTATATATTAACCTGTTGTTAAGATTATTCTCGTAAGAATACTCTCTAAGTAATAACTTTATTGCGACTTCATACTCGTAAATAAGTAATGTTTTGAGAAGGACATTACTCTCTTTATAAATTACTTCATTACAACTTATTTCTCATAAGTAATGATTTTCTTATGACTTTTTCCCGCAAGTACTTTATTACGACTTTATTCTCGTAAATAAGTAATGATTTTATTACATTATTCTCGTAAGTAACGATTTTAGTACGACTTTATTCTCCAAAGTAACTACTTTACGACTTTATTCTCGTAAATTAATCACTTTAACCCTGAGATCTTAAATTTCTTTGTTTTCTTAATGTGGCCCTAATACTCCATCGTACAAAACAATTCCTGAAGGTTTATTTTATTCTTTTTTTTTTTTCAATAATAATAATAAACACAAAAGTAGCGGCTGTAAATAAGTTGATTGCGAAGACTAAAGTGTTTATTTGTCTTTTAACAGAGTAGATATTTTGAAATTGTGATATGATACAGACAGGGTCTACCATGCAGACAGTACCTTTGTATACACAGGCGTGTATTCAACAGATAACACATGAACGAAGAGAACAACACTTAGACCCAGGATTCTGATGCCACAGATTTCTGCTTTTTAAAAGTCCTAAAAAGTGGCAGACTCTCAGCCAGGTGTGTATCCAGGTGGTTGGCTACCTGTCTCTGTTTGTGGTTGGATCAAACAGGATACCTGATTTGTTTTTTCTGCTGCTGCTTCCGTCAGATGAGTTACGCATGGGTCAGGTTTGGTTGAAGCTCCACTTTCATCATCAGTGGTCATCATGTTTTCTGACCTTTCATGTCAACAATCTTCCCCATGGTTGCGGTTGTGTGTACTAACCCAGAGTGAGAGAATAAAGGCTATAAGGCACATTGAGAACATTTTTTTAAGACTTCGAAAAACATTTGTAAGGACAATCAGAATCTTTTATTTCACTTACGGTTGTAGTACCTTTCAGAATAAGAGAGCCAGGGCAGAGCTTTTCACTATGTCAGACCTTTAATGAAACTCACTGTAGTGGAGATAACCTGGTTAACACATGGGAAACATTTATTTTTTGTAGTTATTTGGTGTTTTGTTTCGATTTAAAAACACCAACACTTACAATCAGTAAAAATTTCACATTTAGAATATTAACAAGCTTAACTAACGTCTTTCCAGCTCAAACGAGGCATGTTAGGCCCAACACTTCAGCATTATCCATCTTTTTCCATCAACGGCTGTTGTTTCGGTCTCCCCAGTGGTTTCGACGGAGGTTTCGGCTTCTTGTCGTGGACCTTCAGATGAGCTTTGTAACCTTGAGAGTAATAGAAGCACTTGCCACATTTGTCACACTTGAAGGGTTTCTCTCCGGTGTGAACTCGCAGATGAACTTTCAGAGGAAACGACCTGGAGTAGCTTTTACCACAGACCGGGCAGAGGTGTGGCCGCTCTCCTGTGTGAGTCCTGATGTGTACGCTGAGGTGGGACGCTTGTAAAAAGGCTTTCCCACACTCGCAGCAGATGTAGTTTCTTTCTCTAGTGTGTGTGATTTCATGCATCCGTAGAGTCTCTGCTGTGGCGCATCTTTTTCCACACACCAAGCAGAGGAAAGGTGAATCTGCCGAGTGAACGCGTCTGTGTATATTAATGTAACTCTCATTCTTGAATGTCTTTCCACAGTCGGGGCATGAATATGGCTTTATATGAGTCTGGCGGTGATCTTCAAGCTGTTGTTTCTGAGGGAACTCCATACCGCACTCTCCACAGAGATGAACTGTCACAGGAGTTTCTTTAGGGGGGCTCTTCTCTTTCACTAATGTCCATTTTGATAAATCCCCTGTGAAAAAAAAAAACAGAAGACACTGATCATCCATTAGCTTTAAACAGTGGGCAGAGTCACTTCAGATCGCTCACTTTCTTTTATGAGCAGCACTTTATTCATACATGTAATAAGCGGATTCGGTTACGCCTAAAACTACAAGACTGGATCAACCGAGCGTTGGCAACTAAGGCCAGCATTCCACCAGAGGACTTGAAGATTTTGAAAAGACTCCTGGAAAACAATCAGCTCACATGTAAAGACAAGTGTTTGGAGTTTTTAGTGACAGCCTAGTCCCAGACTGAGAATTTAAAAGGACTGCGAATCTTGTTTGGTCACTATTTACAAGACTACAACTAGATTCTTTTAGCGGTTTTTGACAGCTCAGTGTTTCCCATTAATCAGCTGTGGATTCGCATGTGACAACTCAGAACTTGCTAATGCTAATACTCGGTACAAACGCCCACGGTGCAGCCAGTGTGTGCTGCATATACTAATACATACTGAGTTGGACGTAGCGTGTAAAAAAACGTTATTGTTGAGGTGTGGCGGCTTTTATTTAGCCGTGGCGGTGCGCCATTACATGTAGGGGAGACCCTGCAGTTGATGTCAACAGTAGACAAGACTGATCTGCCCAAAGCTCCACTATCCGCTCCTTTTTTATTGCCAGTTAAAGTCCTTACTCACCGGGGCGAATATAGAACGCGAAATTATGAAATATTCGGAGGCGAATTTTGACGCATCTGACTAAACACATCAAGCCTGATGTGATTTTGTGACTTTCCAGTGGCGAAAAGACGCATCCCGGGGAAGACTTTTCCCGGGGAAAGTCCCACCTCCTTCACCTCTGATTGGCTAGAAAAGGTGGAAACGTCATCACACGCACAAGCCAAATGGTCAGCACTTATAGCCAATCAGAGGCGATAAGATAAGCACATGAAACTACGGTAACAACCGTTAGCTTACGTTAGCACAGATGAAAGTTAAAACAAAGACGTTGAGCAAACTGTAGAAAAACTTTAGAAAAATCAAACATGACCCGAAAAAAAAATAAATGCCGCAATATCGCAGAAAGGGAAAATTGCGCTGATGTGAACGCTTGTATTGACAGGACACGGGTTCGAAAAAAAATATTGACATCCGAAATAATCATACGACAAAAACGGTCCCGGTTTGAAAGGACCTTAAATCTTTGCAGCCTTGGGAATGTTTTCAATCACTTCAACACGACACTGAAAGGCGTGTAAAACCAAACATCAAACTAATCACTTCCTGATGGTTTCATGTCATTTTGCAGATCACTAATATCCTTCGACGGCTCTGACCTTTGTGAGTTTTCATGTGTGTTTTAAGGTTTCCTCCCTGCGTAAATCCTCTCCCACAAATGAAGCACTTGTACGGTCTTTTTCCGGAGTGGATCACAAGGTGTCGCCGCAGAGCCCCGCTAGAAGGGAAAGGCCTTCCACAGGTCGGACAGTCAAACTTCTTCTTGGGTCTTTGAGGCTCCTGGTGCTGCTCCAGCTCCCTAGATGACTTTTCCTGGTGCTGAATATAAGAGCTGCCATATTTAGGATCCAGCTGTCCTGAAGAGTCTCCTTAAAAGACACCAATAAAGAAATTAAAACATGCACTGGCCTGAAAAAATGATGACCACCTTTATTTTTTTCAAGAAAAGACTATTTGAAGAAGACCAAATCTTGTTTAAGCGAAGAACGTATTTAAGGTAACAGTTTTAAAAGGCACAGGGTTTTGTTTTTAACATCTTTGGAAAGAGAGTTTTTCAGCAAATCGTCACACATTACTGGAATCAAATCACATTTTTAAGGGATTTAAGTGAAACTGACAAAGATCTTCAATCTGAGTCAAGTTTGAACTCAGTTAACCTCACCTGTGGATGTTCCTTGGTCCTGGTCCTGCGTTACAGTCTCGCTCAGGTGAATTTTTTGTGGCCCGCTGAGCCAGAGCTCTGAGGTCTGGTCTGCTGAACAGCTCTCCTCCTCTGAAGTTTCCTGATTTTGTGACAAAACGCATTTCAGTCACTAAAATGCACAGAGTTTTAAAGTCTCAACTGATGTCCTTCATTAACATAATCAGGTTTAAGTTTAATCGTAGTTAAACTGTTTTCCAAGACAAAACTACGACACTCAGATTTGACCTTTGACAGAAATGGTTCACTGACCTGGCACTCAGCTGAGGTGACGTCCTCAAGCGTCTCAGGCATCTCAGGGGAATCTCTGGAAGTCGTATTCCTACCTGAAGAATCTGCTGTGTCCTCCATACTAACAGTTGGAAGTTCACCTTGAGTATGGCAGGTTTTAGTATGGATAGCACTGCTAATTCTGTTGAGAAAACAAAGCACCATCGAATGGCTTTATTGTTACAGAACACACTTCATTACATCCCTCACTCCAACGCAGACAAAACAGAGACAATTTAAAATCAACAGATGCCAGAGAGATGTGAAAAATATTCACCGGACATAAAAAGGAGGCTCGTAATCGCTGCCACTGTCATCATCCCAGCCAACTTCTCCTCTTTCCTCCTCCTCCTCCTCCTCCTCTTCCATAGACGGGACAGATTCTGTCTCTTCATCGGGGCAACAGGCTTCATCTGCCAGGTCAGTGCTACAGATGGGGGCAAATAATAACAACATCACCCTGAGCCATTTAACAAGGAGCTCATGTCCACAAACACAGCAAAGGAATTCACAGACAGGGGCATCTATGGGGGATTCTGAATCTGACTCTTCATCACTTAAAGGTGGGGTCGACAGGATCTGAAGAAGTTCCAGTTTTTAGGAGAAATCTTGAATGTAAACGCTACCTCTCCCAACCAGTTTTCCCCTCAGCTCCTCCTCTCCCCTCCCTCTCTGCTCCAGTAAGCCCCGCCCACAAACAGATGCTCCTGCTCGCTCGTATCGTTCCAATTAAATTCAGATATAATGCAGATAAATACTTCAGATAATTACAAATTTAACAGATTCCTGTCTACCCCACCTTTAAACTGAGACAGGTGAATCAGATTGGATGAATAGTATACCTTTCAGCCAGTTCCTGAGGTGACGTGTCCTCATTCTTGCTCATGTCCTGCTCCCCGACCCAAATAACCGAGTCATCATCTCTGAAAACAAAATGATTACATTCAGACTACAAGGAGCCAACTCCTGGTAAGTTCAGCTGCTTTGTTGTTTATATTTTTTGGGAGAAATTAAAGCAATGAAAATGGCAAACAAAATAAGATCCAGACTCACTGATCAGAGAGAGATGCGGTCCAATCACCTGATGGTTCTGGGTTTGTCATTCTGTCGGAGTATCTATTCTTGGACGGAGTACTTCTTACCTTGTTGCTTTCATAACTGCAAGACACAAACAGTAAGTGTTATGAATAATAATAATAATTATAATACAGGTCACGGTAAACACAGCAGGATATACTGGTGAACAACACGCAATCTGATTGGTCACACAGTATGCAAAACTTTGGAAAAATCGACTATGAGCTGAAAAAATAAATGTCGCAATATCGCAGGACGGGAAAACTTGCTGATATGAACGCTTGTTTTGACAGGATACGGGTTCAAAAAAACATTTGACGTCCGAAATAATCGCACAACAAAAAATGGCACCGGTGTGAAAAGACCTTTACTCTGAATCAAACGGGATTCACTGAGGGATTTCGTATAACACAATAAATCTATTTTATAACTTAATTTAAACTATGAAAACCTCTTCAAATTTAATATTCAATTATTTATTATTAATAAAGGATTAAATACCACCTAGAAATCCAGTCTTGATGTCTTCCACAACAGCTGCTTACGGAGAATCTGTAACATCTTTTGGCCAAATAGGATCTCAAATGAAGAACTCTACAAAAAGACAGGCAGCTTGCATATGTCCCTTCGAGATAAAGAGACGCAGGTTAAGATGGATCAGACATGTGTTGAGGATGCCCAATGAAAGGCTACCTAAAGTTGCCCTGAGATGGACTCCAACTGGGAAAAGAAAGAGAGGCGGGCCAAAGAACACCTGGCAAAGGACGGTAATGATGGAGCTGAAGGAGATGGGTCTTTCCTGGGACGAAGCACAAGCCAAAGCACGAGACAGGGTTCAGTGGCAGTGTATGACTGCGGCCTTATGCCCCAACCGGGACGACGAGGATAAGTAAGTAAGTAAGTAGAAATCCAGTGAAAAGGATCAGAGTGTACTTGAAAGTAGAAAATTATTGAAAATAACATAATTAACTTTTGGATTTATTAAGGAGACAAGCTGCCAAACATATATTTTCTTATTTTATGGGTCATCGATTTTATAGACATTAAAATAATGTTTTTTTTGCATAAGTAGAGTCCCACCTCTGATACATCTGATGGCAGGTTTGGTTATCAACATGTTTTCAATATGGAAACCCTGTTAATGTACTTCTAAACTCTTCTTAAGACACTAATGACTGTCATTACTGAGACTATAACCACCTTTAGTCCAGGCTGTGATGTGCACACAGACCCCAGTCACCCCCGTCTGTTACAGCCCCAGTCAAAACAAGGCTGGACACGCCCCTGCTGTCGTCTGGATTTGGCGTCGATCAGCACAACGCTTCATTGTTTACAACATTCAACGCGGACACAAATCGTCAGTCTGACAGAAAAAGGACCCACAAACAGGATCAACAAACCACTACAGCACAATAACACAGAGGACACTAAGGAAAACCTCACAACTGCGTGTTAATATGAAACAACGTAGCTGTTCCAGACCGTGATTAGCATGTAAGCAAACTCTTCACTCGTCAAAACTCGCTTGATTTTACACCGAAACCACCATAACCTTCCTTTGCAGCCCAGTTTAATAACCGTAAGACACATTTGGATGTATTTAATGAATAAAATGATCGGCTTACCCGTCCAAGAGGAGAATAGCGAGCTCGTTGTCAAACTTCAGACCGATTTTATCCAGCAGCTCTCTCCATCTTAGACACTCTTTACCAATCAATACACGGCTTTTGTTTCGTCCTTCATCCGACTCTTCTTTTCTTTGTTGTTTTGACGCAAGACTTTTAGATTTTTTACGTTGCTTCACGATAAATGCAGTTACTGCTAACCGGGATTTAGCAACTTTTCCCGCCGGGATCTCCGCCATTGCTTAGCTACTTCTTCTGTTTTTCTTATTTGTTGTGGGTGGCGCCCACCTTTGTGGATCACTGCCACCTACCGTACTGGAGTGTGAACAGCAGTATTAAAAAATATAATGACCCACAAACCGGATCAACCAACCACTACAGTACAATAACACTGAGGAAAACCAAACAACTGCATGTTAATATGTAACAACGTAGCTACTAGACCATGTGAAGCATGTAAGAGAGCTCTTTGCTTGTCAAAAATCGCCTGATCTTGTACCGAAACCAACATTACCTTCCTACAGTTCGAGTTACCTTAGAAGTCAGAAGTCATGCTGGAGCATGCCGGATAAATTCAGCACAGATTAACCAGTGCTAGAAAGGAAGTCGGGAACAGACACAAAATAAAACATCCGGCTTCTTTTCAAAATAAAACACTCCATAGTTCACACCATGCAAATGGGGAGGGACGAACTAGTGAAAGATTTTCAGTAAAAGGTTTTCAGATAGCATTTCAGCCCGATGACACCACAGATTAAGAGATGTTGGTTATAGAAGTCTAGAGGTGGATTTCCTCCTCTGAAAGGACACAATCTACTGCTTTTTGTGGTTAGCCTCTGTGGCTCTTTATAGAGACGACTCGTTATTGCGTGACTGCACGTGAATCCGCGGGTTCTTGTGAGTTCTCGGGATTTGCCAATTTACTGATCCACACTCCAGTAAGGTAAGTGGTGGTAATGCACCTTCAAGTTAGTTTGCCAACCGTCAATAAACTCCATTTAAGAAGAAGAAGTTCTCGCAATTACCGCTGTTTGTAATCCGCCATGAAACCTGCTTTAGGTCATAAATCTCGCCTCCGCCAGCAAAGCTTATGGAGCTGTGGACAAACTTTAGAAATTTATTAAACAGAATATATATTTTTCTCCCCCCTGGTTGCGATGTTGACATGTGGATATTGTAAGACTGGTTTGTGCTCAAGTCCTCTTTTTTCTGTGAAACTCCGTTTTTAAAAGTTATAAGGGGGTTCATGTTTTCTATGATTGACACCTGATCCAGCCTATTGGCATTCAGGGATTGCGTAGCTCACCCGGGGAATACACTGTTTGAGCCGAGCATCATCACAGCGACTCTGCGACTGCGCGGCCAAATGCGCGCATCGCTACTGCGCAGCTCTGGTTTCGGGAAATGAAGAAAAATCCCGGAAATACCGAGAGCTTTTTGGCTTCAAATCCGTATACAGGCGGAGGGCGGAACCAGGTTGTCCAAAGTATATACAGTCTATGGTAGCGAGGCTTCGGACGTCATCATTTTTGGCTCCACCCCTACATGGAGCAAGCCTCAATACGCGCTTCGCAGAAACGCCCCCTTCACGGCACTGAAGGACACATCACTACAGTTCCGGATGCAGTGTAAGTTGGGGGTTACATGCAGAGAAAAGCTAACTTTAGCATCGGACTTACTCCTACTACAAAACTTGCTTAATTTGCGAACATTACTTGTTTCCGGGGGGAAAATTCACCAAAGCAAAAAATAATAATTACCTTTTCAATAGACACGCAGCAACCGCTTGATCGCTCTTCAGCTTCTTCAGACTCCTCAGTTGTCTCCACTGCTCGAAGGCTGCCCCGATGTTCACTCTGGTTTGCGCTCTTGCTTTATCCCGAGCCTTCTTCATCGCAGCCTTTTCCTCGAACGTCCTTCTCTTCCTCGGCCGTTTGTCCGGCCGAGCCTTCACAGGTAACGCTGGAATAGGTATTTTCGGCCGCGTCTTCATTGCAAACTGGTCACGTTTTCTCCAGCTAACAAGGTAAACAGAAGAGGAGTGGACCTCCCACCCGTGCCGCGGGGAGGAAGGGTAAGAGGGGAGCGGGCGCAGGACGAGGCTTGAAGGCATCTGATTGGTTCTTTACACTCGGACCGAACGCCATTATTAGACAAAGTTTTTATCGTCCTGCGGCTCCCTGAGATCTCGGATTCTTTTCGTTTCTTTCTCTGAGAACATAATGAACTGACCACTCTCAGGGTGGAGGGACCATTTCATCAACTTCAACAGAAAGTGTCTCTGAACATTATCACCAACTATACCTTAACACTTGCAACTCACCGCATACTGCTCTGTCTCTTCTTCTTTCATGGAGTTGGAGTTGGCAAACCAACTTGAAGGTGCACTACCGCCGCCTACTGGACTGGAGTGTGGAACAGTAAAGTGGCAGGCAAAAAAAAAAGAGAGATTAGATCCTCTCCATTAGCCCTGGATTTTTCAAATATGCCATTAAATGCTTGAGCAGAAACTTAGATTTTAGTCATCGGTACAGGTCCAGAGAGAGAGAAGCTGGAGAACAAACTCCGAGGACTGTCTGTTAGTGCCTCAAAACAAGTTAAAAATCTGGGTGTTACATTTGATTTTAATCTCAGTTTTGAATCACACATACATGATCTCACCAGAAAGGCTTTTTATCACCTGAAGAACATCTCCACAGTCTGCCAGTTTCTCTCTCAAGCCAATGCAGAGACTCTTATCCATGCTTTTATTACCTGCAGAATTGATTATTGCAATGTTCTCCTCTCCGATCTTCAGCTGCTGCAAAATTCGATACGAGCCCGGTAGAGCCCTCAGGTCTTCAGGTAGTGGTCTTTTAAGAGTCCCCAAAGTTACGGTGGGTGGGTGGGGTTTTGCAGTTTGTATTTTATTTTGTATTCCCTGATCCTCTCCCTCTTGTGTAAAGCACTTTGTGTTACAGTTTATGTATGAAAAGTGCTTTATGAATAAAGTGATCGATTGATTGATAATTTCTAACTCTGCTCCTGCAGGTTCCCCATATCAAATGCCATCTTTGCTCCGATCCGCCTGTCGATCTCCCGTTCCATCCTACCCTCACTTGTGAACAAGATCCCGAGATACTTGAACTACTACACTTGAGGCAGGACCGCCCCTTCGACCTGGAGAAGGCGATCTACCTTTTTCCAACTGAGGAGCATGGCCTCGGACTTGACTGACCGATTTGATCTATTTTACAACTCAGACACAATCATCAGTTCAGCAAGTCTTTCCCTTAGTAAGGTGTCAGGTTTTTCTCCTTTTCCCGAATGCTAAACATCGGATTTCTTTTCTTCTTGTCCACTGCAACATGAACAAGCATCAAAAGGAATGTAAAAAGCTTGTCTGTATACATTCTCATCCTTTTCGACTGTTCCCTGCCTTACCCCCCTTTTCTCATTGGTTATCAACTATAACACAACTTTTTTTTTCCATTTTTGATTGATAATGTATCCTCTGCTATTTTTATTTTTAATTTCCAACTGCTGCTCCAACTCCATTTCCACTATCCACTATCCATTTCCCCTCCCCTTCAAAAAAACAAGAAAATAGCGAAACGATATAGTTTGATACGTAAAAAAATCAGACATTTATATGACAAACAATCTGTATTCCATCACAGTGGATTTAAAAATAATAGTGATATTGTGCATATTTTTTTGACATTAAATATGAGTATTTGGCATGCAGGATACAAAGGCACTCATATTGTACAGATGGACTACTAGAGAAGAGTAAACATAAAAACACTGGTACAAAACATGGATACAAGAAAGACAACAGTTAGCCACAGTTACTCTAAGTGGCTCACACTGATTCTGTAGCACATATTTTTCAGACACAGTAACTGTCTTTGCTGCAGGTGAGAGGAACGGAGGGTAAGAGCAGGCAAAAAGTGCATTTTAAACACAGTCATATGTTAAAGAATGTAGCAATAGATCTTCTGTTAGATGTCCAGCCTGGCCTCCTGCTTCGGCCTCCCGAGCTGTCTGGTCGGCCCGATGCGTCTTCCAGCATGTGTGCGCTGATGCTGCCGCAGACCCTGGCGGTAAATGAAGCTCTTCCCACACTCTGTACACTCGTAGGGTCTCTCTCCAGTGTGAAGCCTGTGGTGCACTTTCAGTTCCTCTGCTCTGGAGTAACCTTTCCCGCAGACGCTACAAATGAAAGGCCTGTCTTTGATGTGGGTTTGGTAATGTGCTGTTAGGTACGAGTTTATTCGAAAGGACTTCCCACAGATGGCACAAGCGAACGGCCTCTCCCCGGAGTGCTGCATCTCGTGCAGCTTGAGGGAAGAAGCTGTGTGAAAACCTCTCCCACACTGGGAGCAGAGGAATGGTTTCTCCCCGGTATGTATACGCTGGTGGACTTGTATGTAGCTTTCATTGATAAATCTCTTTCCACAGTCTGGACATGAGTAGCGCTTCTCCTTCATGTGGGTTTTCATATGCTCTTCCAACTTTTCTTTGTCGCCGAACTGAATGCCACAGCGGCGACAGAACAGAAGCTGTGCAGCGTTTTGCTCCGCTGCGTCTGATTCACCGGCTGGGTCCGCGTGTGCGGTTATGTGGTGTGCTTGTAAAGCTGATTGACTGTCGCACTCTTTTCCACATTCAAGGCAACCGAGGGAAGATCTGATCCTGGACTCTCCAGGCAGAGACTTCAAGTATTCAGAGAGTTCTGACGCCATGGGGCTCACCTCATCCTCCAACTCCAACGCTCCTTTACGACCTAGAGGGGGGAAAAACAGACAAATCATCATGTGAGTGATGGAGGGAAGATGATAGCTTTCCTGTTTTAACTTTAACTGTCTGTCACTTAGTGTGGTGTAAAAGGTCAGATATGATAATGAGAGTATTAACAGCCCCATTTTTTCACATGTATTCCAAGGGGGACATGGTCTGGTATTTGAACCAATATGGTTACTTCAGCGTTCAACAGTGCGACTGTTTCACTCGCATGTACGACAAAAAAATAGATGTGTGCGAATTGTAAAATATATTTAGGGGCACATGTGTGCATTAAAAAAAATCTGCCGAGGCGACAAATGTCTTTTTCATGTAAATACCGCAGTGAAGTTAGTTTTAAGTTGAATATTTGACGGACATGCACCGCTGATCTACTGGTGTCTTCTCACTCTCCATAACAGGGAATAGCAAGACCTGCGGGGTAAAATCTACACCGCGGTGAAGTTAGTTTTAGGTTGGATATCCGACGGACATTCACTGCAGATCTACCGGTGTCTTCTATAACTGAGAATAGAAGAAGCAGCAGCGCGGTTAAATCTACTCGGCACCCTCGCTGTCAATGTTGGGTGTTGAATAAGGGACCGTCAATAAATTACCGGTTGATGTTCTAAAAAAAGGCTGTTTTCCTTCAATAGCTTCCGTGTCACGTGACCAATTGACCTAAAATTGATTTCAGATAATAGTACTTATGTCGACCAATAAGACACACATTATTTGATCAATTTTCATCGTGCCCCTAAAGTTCTTTGTGAACTCCTTACTTTTTCAATTTAGGAGCGCATGTGCTTCTTCTGAAACAAGTTAGTGTCAAGCCCTGTACCTGTACTCCGCATTTTCTCATACCTGGCACTTTAGTCAATGATATCTTAATCTGTCAGAAACTGGCGAAGAGTCAGTAGATGCGAGCTAGCATAAAGTCTGACTGCGAGAAATATTGAGTATGGGGGGAATATACAGATTTTCCTGTGAGCAGATATTTAAAACATGAACTTAAATAAGAAATATTGGTCGGTCCTGCTATAAACTTGGACGTCATTTATCAGCTTTTCCATCTGTTTTTATCAGTTTTTGTCATCTAATTAGTGAGGTGATGACAGATGGTGTTATGAGGTGAAATATTATGTAAAATGTGAAGTGATGAGGTAGAAAAAGGATAAGACAAAGTTTGACAGACTTTGCTGACCTTTTCCCTGTCGAGCTCTTTATACTCATGAAACATGGAGCAGGTATTGAACTGCAAGTATTGTACAAGTACATGTTTTGAAGGTTAGGATGCGCCTTAACAAGACTGTAAAGTAGAGCTGAATCATACCCAGATGGACTTTGTAGTGGGTTTTGAGGTTTCCCTTTTGATTAAAACCCCGACCACAGATGGAGCAGCAGTACGGTTTCTCTCCTGTGTGAATCAGCTCGTGCCGCTCCAGTTTGTAGGCGTGGGGGAATTCTTTTCCGCAAACTGTGCAGCGGTACTCTATCCTCTCTTTTGGCTTTTTGAGGAGCTCAGGAGGTATTTCTATTGGATACTGATTCAACTTTCTGCCAGGGCGCTTCTTCTCTGCACAGGGGGAAAACGATCAAATTAGGCCTTTCATTGTTTGTGTACAAAATGAGCTTGCAGTCTAAATAAATCAAGCCACAACAGAACCAGATACAGCTTCTTATATGTATAAAAAGTAGTCACTCAGCTCTGGTATTCTTTATCTTTAAAAAGATATCAAACTTGAATTTGTCCTTACCTGCAGACCCTCCTGTTTTCTCCTCCTCCTCTTTAACAGACAGTTTTGGATCTTTCTTTCTTCTGTATGGTCGCTTTACTGAAAACAAACGCAGGGCCGTTCATGCTTTACAGACACTTTTCTTCTCATTTAGCTCATTTAAATAAGAGAAAGAGGAAGAAAGAAAAGGAGGGAGACGAATTACATGTCTTGTTCACGTCATCATGTGTGTCTATTTACTAGATATTTAATTTAATTTAATGCGGTTTCAGCTGTGTTAATTCGGTCAGGTTGAGTGTCCAAACATGTGCCAAATGCACTCATCAGATCAGAATATATCGATATAGATCTAAATGTATGTGCTGACTCAGATTATTAGTTGTTGATGATTATTTATTGCGCTGAAATGTGCCTGACACTGTGGAAACCTGCCTGTGAGGCATCGGTTACGTATGCGCACTACGCCGCCAGTCTACCAAAACACCACTAGACCAGCTGCGCTCCGCCTGCGCTGAAAGCTGACCAGGTTTGAATCGGCCAGCTTTCAGCGCACTTTCTACGCCACCAACGGGCACGATTCTGTCGACACCTCCCCCCTACCGCGCCACCACACCCAGCTTGGCGGACCTCGGTGCGCCTCAGTCAACAAAAATACCGAACTGGCAGTGCACCGGGCTCCGCCAGACAAAAATACCACTGCGCTGGGTCTGCCACCCTCCGCCGTGCCGCCGGCGGGGACTGAAATAGAGCCCTATATCTTGCTCTGCCTCTGAACATAATTTATTATTGTCTTACCAGAAACATGATAGTCCGTCTCTACGTCATATTCCTCTGGTTCTTCAATAATAGGGGTATTCTTTTTCCCACGGGTTCGCCTTGACACTGTATAACATCAAGAGGGATTTCAATTATAAAAAATAACATTTAAGTCAACGAGGATTTATTCAATCTTCATGAAAGGAATCAAACAAAAAGAGCACTCACTTCCTGGCTCTGCTTCCATTTCTTCCACAGACAACAGAGGAACCTCTGAACTTCTTCGTCTGCCTCGTTTTTTTGCTTTGTGAGGAGGAAGTTAACAGAAAACTTGATTGTGTCAAAAGAAACTGATTTCAATGATGAACTCGCAGTGTTTAAAAGGTTCAAACCAAACCAGCTCCACCGCACACAGAACCAAAACTAATATTTTCAGTGTTGCTACATTGTGGAGGAATCCTCACCAGGAGTTTGGGAAACTTCTGTCACTGTTGCGTCTGTAATTGTCGTCCTCCTTTTTGGTCCCTTTCCTGTTGACAAAGGTGCATAAAGAGACCTGAGACAAAGCTGTGATTTCAAAACGGCTTCAACTCTTTCTTTTTGGCTTCTATTTACCACGATATACAGGTGAGACAGACGCTTTGACTACTCTGTCTTTCTCCTCCCTCTCTTCCCCCTCTTCATCATCCCCCGCAGACACAACTTCCATGATGAGCGTCGGACTACTGCTGTCTCTGCGGTTTTGGCTTTGCATCTGAGACTGAGACAGGACATCACACTGTGTTAAAACTCATCTGAAGACATCAGGAACAACATCACCATCCACAACGACCTCTTCAGTCATCGAAGGCTGAAAACCCTCGTTCTAGCCACTGTTTTATCTCAGTTTCTGTCTCTTTAAGGAACTTTTACGCTCTCTGTCACACTCTTCCACTGTTGCCATTTCATCGTCATGAATTAACCAGTACTCCCAGAGTTAAAATGATCAACTTCTTGGTCCCAAATCTGACCTGGAAAGTTCAGAAAGGCACAAATACGAACCTCGACAACAGGTTAGTGTGACATTTACAACGCCCCGTGAAGGAGATTCACCAATCGTTGATGGGCAAACCTTGTGTCAATATTGTTTATGTTCATATGTGAATCTTTGAACATGTCTAAGGAGCAGCCTGCAGCCTCATGCTGGGATTACTGGAACAACTTCACGTCTAAATCAGTTCCTTCCTGATACTATGGAGTTATGAGAGGCTACATATTCGGTACTGTTCTGTTTTACTAAGGTCAGATATGTAGTACATTTTATTTGGAGGTATCTCTGGACTTAGGAGAAGGAGACCGCCCCTGTCTTGACTTTAGTGGTTCTCAAATTGATCAATCTTAAATAAAGACAACTTACCTTGCTGAGCCAAGGACTTTCTGTGCAATCTGAGCCTCTGTCAGGACTGTCTCCTGGAAAAAACAACAGTCAGCTCATGTGCAGCGAGACCCTGACATAAAAACTCAACATTAAATCAAAATGATATATTATGTTCTCTATTATAACTCTATTAAAGCTCATGAGCTGAATATGAGCAAGTGTGGCGCCTCTTAGTTACGAACGTTACGAAAGTTTTTGAACTGGCAATGCAGTCAAAGTCATAAATCACTCACTGGAATCCCATTCAACCACTTCTCCATCAGAGTTGATTAAACCGCTGATTTCTTCATCTTGATCCTCCTCTCGTGCCTCTTCCTCCTCCTCCTCCTCCTCTTCTTCTTCTTCCTCCTCTCCCGCCTGCAGTCTGACTGTCAAATGGAGAGTTTGATCTTCTATGTTTGCAGACGTCCTCTTGAGTCGATCAGACATGAGGGATTTATGTTCACATGAATCCTGAAAAAAGAAGCACTGGGTAAAAAAATACTGATCATTTTCTGCTTTCTTCAGGAGTCAAATGAAGATCTTGATCTTGTATTTGGGCAGACATGATAACAAGCGGGTTCTTCTAAAAGAGATTTGGTCATCTCTACATTTCTGTGGGAATCGAATGTGCAAAAATATAAAATATAATGGACTGAGTAACAATCGCTGAATAAGAAACAGACAAAAAATTTAAAACAAGCTGAACTTCTGGAAACTAGACGACAGAAAACGCTCTAAAGAAAACCCACTTTTGCTGATTTGTAACTAACTTTAAGGTGATGTTTGATAAAACACACTGATAAAGTTTTTCCACACACTGTTTGGTAAGGTGCTGACTGTTTGGTCTCTTGCAGTTCTGATGTGCTTTGTCTCACGTCCACGCTCTGCTCTTTAGAGTTACATTCATCCCCTGCTCTTGTTCTCTGATGAGACTTCATGATCTTCCTCTCACTGGAGGTGGTTTCTGGTGCACTGTTGTTCCGCTGATGGACATTTCCAGGAGCTTTTCCATGCTTAAAGGAGATCTTAGGTTTCTCATCACAGTCTGTGAGCCTGTGTCTCTGCCACTCCTCTCTCGCAGAGGAGCTCTGTCCAGAGACAGCCGGGTCCACCGGCTCCTCTGGACACTTTTCCACCAAGTATCCTCTCTGCTGTCTCTGTCCTTTGAGTGGAGAAGTGCTGTCTTTGTCGCAGACTGTGACCCGAGGATGACAAGTGTCTGAGGAAGTGTCCTCCTTCCCTCTCTCGGAGCTGAAGCTCTCATCTGTTCCAGGAACAACATGAAAAAACAACAATGTTCAAAGTCAAAGTTCAGTAACTGACTGTAAGTCAACTAGCAAATTGAGATGGAGATTGTTAGGAGATCTTGCACTCACGATTTTCACTCACAGTCCAGCCATCCTCCTCCTCTTTGATGATCACATGAATTTCTGGGGTCTCACAGTTATACTCTGGGCTTGCTTGTGCTTTTCTTGAATCGTGATGGTGGGAACTGTGATCGTCATAGTTTTCGTTCAGACTCAGCGATAACGGATCTTGGAGGTCAGGGTCCTGTCAAGAAAAACAGACATTCAAACATAAGTCTCAAAGCCACGTGTCCATCTTAAGTTCAGGGACCCTGTGAACTATCAATCATCATTTATCTGAACCTGCAGGAAAAATGGTAAAAGTAAACATGAACCCACTTCTTGTAATGCAACATAAGCACATTTATAAAGCCTTATCATCTGTAAGCTTTATAACAACATTTATGAGTGACATGAAGCATTTATGACACTTTATAGGGAATGTTAAAGAGGTGAGTGTGATGCCTTATAAAGGTGTGGTTTATAATTCATTATACTTTAATACAAAAGATATCCATAATTCTAAAAATGTATAATTGTTATGAATCGTTTTGTCAGATACATTATTTTTTATTTAACCTTTATTTAACCAGGTGAGGCTTATTGATATATAAAATCTCTTTTACAAAAGCGACCTGGCCAAGAGGCAGCAAAGTTACAGTAAAATCATTTAAAATAAATAACAATAACTCAAGAAGAAATACAATAGAATAAAATTAATAAAATTGTCAGTGATAGAATAGAAGCAGTGTAACATCTTGTTAAAAACAGTCACAAAGGCCAGTGCCTTCCAGTTCCCTCATTTTAAGAATTTTCACAAAGTCCTCAAAGGAGATCAGATCTGATCATTTTAGTTCCCTCTGTGGTGAATCTGATCATTTTAGTTCCCTCTGTGGTGAATTCCATGCAGTGGGAGCAGCAACGCAGAAGGCCCCTTTTTCCTAACTCCGAGATTCTCTCAGAAACATTCATTCCAGCCACAGAATACTGTTTATAAGTTCTTATAAATGTGATATATGATCATATACAGCGCTGTCACTTTACTTAAAGCACCCAAAGTCGTGATTTAGCATGAAGTAAAACTTAAAAACACATTTTTCAAATTGAAAATCATAGAAACTATCAATTTTTTTCATGAGAATAACTTTTCCCCTCCGTGTTATTAAACTCAGAAATTAAAGATGCTATTTTTCTTTTGCGTTAAGATATAAAGCTTTTTGAACCTTACTTTTATAAGGCGTTACGTGTCTGTTTATACTCAGAAAAGTAAACTATCATTTTTTAGGTCAGAACAGTTTTATATTTAAATCCGTTAAAGAAAAAAATACTTGACAGCACAGTAGGATGTTTACTTTGAGTTTTTGCTCTTTTATTCATATTTGTAATGTAATAACGTGACGTAGAGTCTGTGTCTTCTTTTTTAATTAAGTTGTTGATGCAAACTCCTAAAAACAGCTACGACACATTCAGACAGATTAGTATTTTTCTTGAATAACAAGTCATGCAGTTGTTTTGTATGTGATGTAACAATTTTATTGTTATTTTTCAGTATTCACAGTAGTAGTATTCATGATATATGTTATAAAATAGCTGTATAATACCTCTGGGTCATGCGTTTTATGTATAAATCCAGCATCTATTTGGGTAGAGTGCAGGAGTTAAAGGGTTTATTCGGTTTAAACTTTCTGTCATTTTCTTGAATACTTCTTGAAGTTATTTTTCTTTCTGTCCATCTATTTATGCAAACAGTAACTGATGATGAAGCCTATTTCTAAGAAGTCGAGAGTAGTTTAAAAGCACCGATAAACTTCATTAATAAAATGCTACCTGGTGTTTTTAGAAAACGATCATAAAAGGGTCATAATAACAGACTCTAATGAAAATGATTCCCAGTTGAGTTCGTCTCCTTTCAGACTGACTCACTATTAAATGTAAAAACAAACGCCGCTAGCTAACCAGCTAACAAACAAGCGTTTTTGACCCTATCAGTCCGAGCTGTTGATATTCAACATAAAACGGATTTAAAACAATATCATTCAGATTAACTCGCAGCAGATACGGTGGTTGTTTTCGTCCAGGTTAACGAACTGTATCTACATAAGTTAACTATCATAATTACGCCAAATGCAAAAAAAATCTAACGTCCGCCACTTTGCAACAAAAGCCCCAAAACTGGCCGCTTAACTGTCTCCGTTACCTCGAACATAGTGGGATGTGGTGTCCAGGTTTAGAGGATGACATAGGAAAACTCGGTCTGTGCGGTAAAATGAGCTTATTTGAAGGGTTGTGGATGAGGGTAGCTGTCATGAACTAAACCCCTCAGCTCTTGCTAGCTAGTTGCGCCACCATTTCTTCTTCTGGGGTTATTTTAGGAAGGGTACACACCGCCACCTGCTGGACGAGAGAGAAACTGCAGTGGACTCCTGTATTTTCTCTTCAAGATATTGGATTCTTAATAATCTATAGTTTTCACAATGATTGGCTCTTTAATGATTAACAGTTTTACCATAAGCTAACTGGACACGTTCATCTTCTTATGTTTAAAACATCAGCTGATTGATTGACATGTAGTTTTTAATGTACTGTGTTTATGTACTGCCTATCTATCTATCTATCTATCTATCTATTTTTTTTTATAAACATCTCTTTTATTTCATATTGATATAACAACCAAAAATGAAAATTGTCTGCTTTTTTCTTTAAAACACATAGTTTCCCACCTCCCCATCACTCAGGGACTCAGAACAGAACATAATAATAATAATAATAATAATAATAATAATAATAATAATAATAATAATAAAATAAAATAAAATAAACATACCTGTATACCAACAAATAAAGAGCACAGAATCAGACCTGCACGTTACAAAGAAACAAAACAAGAAAAGTAAGTGAGCAAACAAGCAAATAAATAAAAAGGAAAACAGCAACAATAACAACAATGATCTCCATCCAAGTGTGCATACATATAGGTCACACATGTGAACATATCCATATACATGCTCATACAAATGCATTGATGTTTATAGTCAGGGATTGAATAAGTAACTTTGGGGTGGTTGTGCATACCACTGCCTTTTGACTTACTTCATTATTTGAGTAAATTTAGGCAAACATTAGTTTCATCTTTATTATTATCTGTGGTTAATGTATTAAATTGTGGGAAATCAACATGGGATTTAACTCGCTTGAAATACAGTGTAGCAGCCCCTGTTCCTGCTCAGCCAACGTGTAAGTTAATAGGTTACTGTTTTATTATCGTCGTGCACGGGAATACCTGAGAATCCGAGCTTCATGATGGCATCAGATCTGAACTTTGAACTGTAGCAGCTTTTAAAAGCCCCATGGACTGAAATCAGGTGGCTTTACAACATTTCAGAGGACGAAAATGGACTAACTCTTTATCTTCCCTCTTCTCCTCTGGCCACGGGAGCACGAAACACTTGATAGGTGAGTGTGTGACCCAATATCAGCGGGTATCTGTGTGTGACGTTCACGTGATGCTCGGAAAGTTACCGTTCTGACTTTTGATGCGTTCAAAAGCTTCAATTTGAGATCAGAATACAGTAAAAGGGCGATTGTTGGACGGAAATAAAAAATAAATAAGGTCGTAAAAGTACAAATATTTTTAAAGAAAATAAAGAAATATTTTTAAGAAAGACTAAGAATATATATATATATATATATATATATATATATATATATATATATATATATATATATATATATATATATATAGCAGCAAAAAATAAATATAAGAAGTATGTACAATGCAGACTAAAAATCCTAAAAATCCTAAATATATACAATAAATACAGACTAAATATACTGAACATCCTAAGAGAAAAAAAGTGAGGTATGAAAAACGTGGGCTATGAAATGAGTAATAAATATGAAATGCGAAATAAACAGATGTGGAATATACTATGTATGAAGGTACTATGTATACAAGACGAGAATTCTACAGAACAGTAAAATAAAACGTATGTATAAAATTAAATAGAAAGATAAATACTAAAGAGAATTATCAAAAATATATATATATATATTTAATAATATATAATTTATATAAATATAAATGATTAAGAAATTAAGTAAATTGTCTCAACAGATTTTGAGAACTAGTTTAACAATTTTGTTTGCAACGACTCAAGCAGTGAAATCGGGACTATTAGGGAATGACTATTCAGAATTCATAAGTATGTTTCATTTTGACTGACATGACAGAAGCAAATGATAACTTTATAAAACAGCAGAGAATTGTATGAAAGTAACTGATACATGTCCGAGAGCGTTTGCAATTTGTTCAGAGGCATGAGAAACAAATGACTCCATGTTGAGGAGGTTACGAGAACTTTCATTCTGATCTGAGAAATGCACCAACGCGACAGAGAACAACTGTAAGAAGGATTAGGTGAAAGTTCCCCATGGAGAATCATCTTTCCGATTTTTCCGATGGCGCTTGAACGCGACGCATGACTACGGCGCGTGGGTGGGTGTGTGTTCGTCAGGCATTCAACGGCGGCAGCAGTGCGGAGCCATGGCGACGGAAATGTATATTTTTATAATTTCAAACTTACGATAAAGAGTTTTTTTAAGTGACTGAGGCAGCGGCGTGTGTCTTCCCCTCGCCGTGTCAGGTGTTCTCAGCGACTTCTGAGGTAACCATGACTTCATGAGTAACGGTCAGTGGCAGCTGTGTCTCTAACTTAGCGAAGGAAACGGTCACTCAGCAGTCGATATTAGCCAGAAAACCATCACCGGCTTTCTAACATAGACATCCTAACGCTGGAGGAGGTACATTTAGGAGCCCTGACCGCCTGTAAAGCGCTCTTCCTGCTTCCTTTCCGTCCTCACAGATCAGGAAATGTTGCTATCGACATGGCTAACAGCTAACCAGAAGCTGCACCAGCTAGCCGCATTTATTTTGTATGTCAGTCACTGAGTTGACTTTGTGCTTTCATGGCATTGAGGTCGTGTGTGTGAGACATATCTACCCAACTTAGAAATGAAGCTTGAGGATGTTTAAAGTCTTCTTATCCCCATTCTTTGCTCATGCAGCTCTGTGTCATTCCCGAATTTACTAACTAGTGATGGGCACGGCAGTTCTTTTAGATGTACTGAGTCACTAGAATCGGTTCACTAAAAAGATTCGTTCAGAAGATTCGTTCACCCAGAGTGTTTGGCTGTGTTGCCTTGGCTAACAGATTTGTGAAAATGAGCTTTTTTATAAAAGTCCTTTCACACCGGGACCGTTTTTGGCCGACCGGCTGATTGTTTACGTGTCGGAGAACATAGCCCTTTTTATAAAAAACACAAACATTACAAAGATAACGACCTGAAAGACAACTTGTGGAGAGTCATAGTGTCGGATCTCTCATATGACGATGGTTTGTGTGCTTAAACAGTTTGCTAAACGTCTTTGTTTAACTTTCATCTGTGCTAAGTAACTGAAGCTCGTAAGCTGACCCGTTCAAAATTCGGAAATAGACGCGTCCTGGATGGAGGCGAGAAGACTGACACAACAGCAGACTTAGTGTTTTTCAGTTCTGATTGGACACTAGTGTTGAGATGGCGGTCTGTCATGATAGCATGTACTGAGTCGGGGCCAGTACCAGATAAGCACATGAAACTATAATCCATAAACGTAATTTAACAACAGCGACCTAATGGTGCTGTGACAGCAACGCAATTGAGTTTGAGACAGTGAAAATACATATGGTATGTCGCATCTGAATAGGTTAGCTTACGAGCTAAAGTTACTTAGCACAGATGAAAGTTAAAACAAAGACGTTTAGCAAACCGTTAAAGCACACAAACCATCATCATACGAGAAATCCAACACTATGACTCCCCACAAGTTGTCCTTCAGGTCTTTATCTTTGTAATATTTGTGTTTTTTATCAAAAATCACTCTGTTCTCCGACACGCAAACAATCAGCCGGTCGGCCATGTTGGATATACCGGTGAATCTGACGTTGCAATAACACGCAATCTGATTGGTCAGAAGTGGACACACAGTATGCAAAACTTTAGAAAAATCGACCGTGATCTGAAAAATAAATGATCTAGTGTGTAAGGACCTTTATGGTATGCTATTTAGCAGGTCTGCTCGGTAAATTGGGCTCAGTGAGTGATTCGTTCACTGAACGTTTAGAAGAATTCACACTGAACATACACCGTTCCCTCGCAAACTGCTGTAATGATACAATGCTACAGCTTTTACGCACTACTTGTTACTGTTCTATGCTGTGTCCTATTGTATGCAAGTTGTTGTTGTGGCAATTTAACAGTAAAAAACAAAAAAGAAGTTTTGCTCGAAATAATGATCCCTGATGTAGTTCAATGCATGATTTGTTAACCAAGTGATTCAGGCGTCGGTGCATGCAGTCCCTTGTTCCCTGGCTGCTTGCCTGGCAATGCTGTGTGCCGAACCAGCGGAAAACGAACGAGGAATGAATGAATCACTTGAGGAAGTGACTGTTCAGTACATTCACTCTAAAAGATTCGGTTCTTTTGAACGAATCGTTCGCGAATGACACAACACAATTACTAACTAGTCTCTCCAAAAACTGGTGTAACAGCATGTAAAAGGCCCATCGACACCTCCACCTGTGTTGTTGTTCACTTTGCACGTGTGCTTACCATTTTGGCATGGCTGTTAGCCTGTTTTAAACTTTCAGATGTTGTTTTTCCTTTCATGCGGGTCTCTGGATAAACATGAATATCATTTTGCTTTATTTTCCAAACATTCACAAAAATGAATTGATGCGGCAGGATAGTTTCTATAGAGAACAAGAGCTGCTTTACATAAAAACACACACGAGTAAGTGTCTATGTTGTATTTCTATGATGCAATAAAGTATGACATAACAAAATAGGACAGCATAACCTTACACTTATCAACCCAGGTCATGTGTACATCAAGCAGAATAGCTACAGCCAGATGTGTCTGCCTCTGAATTGTGATAGATCGCAGTTACAGTTACCCTGAAACCAACTGAATGAATTAGCATCAGCTCTGGAATTAATCCCATCTAAATAGAGCATCAGGTTTCCTCTCTGCTCTGATCATTGAAACACAATAAGAAAAAGTTATGGGATCAAATAGCGCAAGTTTCTGTTCTCCGACATGTTCACACAGCAAACAGTGTCGAGTGAGGGCTTTAAGATTTGTGATGAACCTTAGTCCTGCATGGTACACAGTGTCCAGAGCATGCAAACTCCGAGAAGAGGCGTGTATGTATAAAACATCAATATAACCCAGCAAACTGGTGGAAGTTTATGAGAAACTGTAACTGTGCTAAAAACAGTGTGACGGGAATCCTTACAGCAAATAGTTTTCATGTCTTTTTTTTGAGGAAGAAGGGGGGGCAGGATTGTTAGAATTGATCTGCATCATTTGTGCTGGAACAATTAAGCTGATCAGGACAGATGAGAAGAGTACTGCTGTTAGTCATACCTTGCTTTTGTGACCGATATTAGTGGTTCAACTAGTGACTATTATTATGTAGATTAGGTCTTTGTGATCCCCTCTCTCCATCCGTTGGCCGATCCTGTCGAGGCAGATGTTCTGGTTGGTCCGCCTGTCATAAGGAGGGTTTTCTTCTCTGTCATTGCTGAGGTCCTCCTCGTGTTTGACTTAGAAAACGCAACATCAACTATTTATAGAAACAGGATCAGATCTTTTGTACATCAGTTAAACCTTATGGTGTTACTTTGAGAAGAGTGACAGTCAGAATGACAGGCATGCCAAGACTCTCTCTGTATTATGTGCTGGGATAGAATACCCATTCCCTTTCTGTGCTTTTGAACTGTGCACTGATAACAAGCAAGGTTAGGGCGTTCAAAGGATGTGGTGTCCATTATTTCTTACAAGAATGCCAAGTTTTGATTGGTCAGGCCCTAAGGAAGCATTTACCATCCAGGCCCAGGTGTAGAGAAGTTGCCCCCATTTCTGGATCATGTATGGTTTTATCCTTGCAAAGTGTGGTTTGAACTGGCATCTGTGAATATCATAAAAATCAATGTTATTTACTGTTTATTTCTTAAAGGGATTTTCCGGTGGGAAATTAATTTAGGGTCAAACACCCCGTAACAGAGTTAGACTCCCCCTCGAGAGATGAATGTTGCAGACCGCTTGCTTCTCTAGTTATACCAACTTTTGTAATGACCGCACGATAGCAATACACAGCGGTCTGACTGAGGAGCCATAAACAAACCTCAACCAAAACGGCACTCTATAGCCACAAATAATGTTCAGAACAGCACCTAACTTCATCAACAGTACATACAGGGTCCCAGTCATACTAGCCATCAAACATCTTCTTAGCTTTGCCTGATTTCTTTAGCAAAGAGACTAAACACAACTCACCTACTCTCTTCCAGCAGCCGCTTGTTTGTAGCGAGACCTCAGGCCAGTCCATTACTGACTGCAGCGGGGTGACACAGCTCAAGGAAGAACATTTATGATCATTTCTTCATGGAAATACAATCAGACCGAGACTCTAAGGCAGAAGAACTACCGCGTCTGCAGTGAAAATGATGAATAAGGTGATTATTACTTCAAGGAAATGATAAAGAAACTATCATAAATATTCTTCCTTGAGCTGCGTCACCCCGCTGTAGTCTGTAATGGACTGGTCCGAGGTCTCGCTACAAACAAGCGGCTGCTAGAAGAGAGTAGGTTACTAAAGTTGGTATAACTAGAGAAGTAAGCGGTCGGCAACATTGATCTCTGGAGGGGGTGTCTTGTTTGACCCTAAAGTAATTTCACGCCGGAATATCCCTTTAAGAGCTCTTCATTTGTGACACTTCCTCTTTTTTTCTGCCTTAGATATGTTGGACCAGATGGACTGGGATTTACTAGATGAAGGTCTGGGAGCTTCAGTGGAGGAATCCCTTTACTTTTCTGGAGTTCCTAAGTCGAAGCCCCCCACCACTGACATCTCAGAACACGAATTCTCCTGCCACTGCTGCTACGACATCCTAGTGAGTCCGACCACCCTGACCTGTGGCCACAACTTCTGCCGCCACTGTCTGGCTCTTTGGTGGGAGTCTTCTCACAAGAATGAGTGCCCAGAGTGTCGAGAGAAGTGGGAAGGCTTTCCTAAAGTCAACATACTGCTGAGGTATGCTGCTGACAGCCTGAGCGTATCATGAATGAATGTTTGATTTTCTGACCACAGCATTCATACCTCTCACACGGTACAGGAGGAAACAGAGACCTGCAGGCGTCTTCTGAACACCAGGAATGTGTGTGACAGATGAGCTTTGTATTCACATCCTCAGTTCGGCATGTTTTCAAACTCTGATGTCCACCAGAAAGTCGGTCAAAGTTTCATTTGTAGTGCCTTACCTTGATGATTAAATACTTCATATGAACTTTCATTTTTACAGCTAAAGTAGGACAGGAAATATGGTGAGTACAGAGCGGTAAAAGACGTGCAGCACAGGTTGGTGGCCAAGAGTTGAATATGCAAGCACTGCGGCGAGGACTTGAGCTTCTGTAAATGTGCTTAAACTGTTGGCCCAGCCGGCGCACTGCCTGCTTAAGCTAGGTGTCATGTCAGAAGGTCGGGGGGTCTATCCCAGGTCTCGCTGTCCACATGCCAAAGTCTCCTTGAGCAAGACACTTAACCCCGACTGCCTCTGCTGGCTGTGCCGTGAATAGGATTAGAAGACCAGGGAAAGCAGGATGTAAACACAGTCCATTTAGCTGCGTCACTTTTCCCACAGAGTCTTTCCAACAAAACCAACACACTACACCCCTCATTGAGGTGTCCATTGACAGTACAGAATGAACGGGGCTGCAGTGACTGGACAAGATGTAATATCGTGTTTTAAAGCCGTCCTTTCAAGTGTAACTGACCTGCCTGTTGTAAATGTCACTCACTTTTTAACTCGACGCTCTCCTCTCTCTAGAGATGCCACTGACAAGCTGTTTGGAGATGTCGTTCGACAGAGGAGAGCGGAAATCAAAAATGACCCCAAAATCACGAGGAGCTTACTGGCCTTCCAGAGGTGAGGCAGTGAAATCTTTGACACCAGCAGCTTTAATTTAAAGCTGCGTTTACGCTGTAAGAGTTCTCCGCTGATGCAGCTTTTCATTTTCATACCGACGATTGAAGGTTTTCATAATGAGACCTTGTACCTACTTCATCCACCGTGCTGTTTGACTAACTGCTGAGATTTGTGTTTTTTTTGCCTTGTGTCTGTTTGTTCATTTGCGGCTTGAAGTAACTGAGTTTGTCTTGGTTTGTTTTTTAGGTACGGGGACAATTTAGGCAGAACAAAGACAAACCAGCATAAAGGAGCGGGTTTCTTCTTTTCTGGAGTCCTAACTGCTCTCTCATGTGTAGCTGTGAGTAAATCATTTTTGTTTAACCCTCACCTCTTTACGTCTTCTGTTTCCTTTATTGTTTGTGGAGAAGAAACAATAAAAGATGAAATCTTCATCTAAATCTTGGCAGCGGGAGTTTATTTTTAAGTGCATGTGAATTGAATGGATTTTTATTTAAAAAAAAAAAAACTGAGGGGATTCATTTCTGTAGTTCAGGGTCGAATTTTTCAAATGTTGTCAACAGTTGATGAGCCAAGACTGCAGACAGGTCAGAGTAACACTCGGCCATGCTGGTTGTATTTGTGCAGAATGAGTCCTGATGAAATATGCAGAATCTTCCTTGCTGCCATCGTCCAAACTGCAGCATGTGTTGCTCCAAAATTTGTAAATGTTGTTCAGTATTAACGATGCATACTCAGGTGTGTAAGCTATCCATGTTGTGAGCACTTCAGCGTCTCTATACTGTCATAAATGCGCTCTGATGACAAGATGGGTGACTGAAAAACATGATTTTCAAAAAGTTTTCATTCTGGTTTTCTGCTGGACTCAGTCTATCGCGATTACGGATTTGGGCTGTCCCAGGAAAGTCTGGTTTTGGATCATGTTTATACATCTATGGATCTGCTTTTCTTAACAGTGATTTTGACCCCATGCAGTAATTTCCACTACAGAGACATGAATCTGTTCACAGCCTATCAGAGTCAGTTTTCTGCTTCAAGTTTCTTTGAAACTCTTTAAAGCTCCTGTGAGAACTTTTCTGATTCTGCTGCCCCCTTGTGGATAAAATGGTAACCCCTATTGTTGCTGATTTGGCATTAAAAATGAAAATACTGTTATTAATTTTTAAAACCATACCCACCAAGCATTTTTCAGTCTAAAGCCGCCTAATAGACTAAACTACACTGTACATTGATCAATAACTATTGAAAATGTTTAAATCCAACATTTGGCCGTCATTATAACATACATACACTCACCGGCCACTTTATTAGGTACACCTGTCCAACTGCTCGTTAACACTTAATTTCTAATCAGCCAATCACATGGCGGCAACTTAGTGCATTTAGGCATGTAGACATGGTCAAGACAATCTCCTGCAGTTCAAACCGAGCATCAGTATGGGGAAGAAAGGTGATTTGAGTGACTTTGAACGTGGCATGGTTGTTGGTGCCAGAAGGGCTGGTCTGAGTATTTCAGAAACTGCTGATCTACTGGGATTGTCACGCACAACCATCTCTAGGGTTTACAGAGAATGGTCCGAAAAAGAAAAAATATCCAGTGAGCGGCAGTTCTGTGGGCGGAAATGACTTGTTGATGCCAGAGGTCAGAGGAGAATGGCCAGACTGGTTCGAGCTGATAGAAAGGCAACAGTGACTCAAATAACCACCCGTTACAACCAAGGTAGGCAGAAGAGCATCTCTGAACGCACAGTACGTCGAACTTTGAGGCAGATGTGCTACAGCAGCAGAAAACCATGCCGGGTGCCACTCCTTTCAGCTAAGAACAGGAAACTGAGGCTACAATTTGCACAAGCTCATCGAAATTGGACAATAGAAGATTGGAAAAACGTTGCCTGGTCTGATGAGTCTCGATTTCTGCTGCGACATTCGGATGGTAGGGTCAGAATTTGGCGTCAACAACATGAAAGCATGGATCCATCCTGCCTTGTATCAACGGTTCAGGCTGGTGGTGGTGGTGTCATGGTGTGGGGAATATTTTCTTGGCACTCTTTGGGCCCCTTGGTACCAATTGAGCATCGTTGCAACGCCACAGCCTACCTGAGTATTGTTGTTGACCATGTCCATCCCTTTATGACCACAATGTACCCAACTTCTGATGGCTACTTTCAGCAGGATAATGCGCCATGTCATAAAGCTGGAATCATCTCAGACTGGTTTCTTGAACATGACAATGAGTTCACTGTACTCAAATGGCCTCCACAGTCACCAGATCTAAATCCAATAGAGCATCTTTGGGATGTGGTGGAACGGGAGATTCGCATCATGGATGTGCAGCCGACAAATCTGCGGCAACTGTGTGATGCCATCATGTCAATATGGACCAAGCTCTCTGAGGAATGCTTCCAGCACCTTGTTGAATCTATGCCACGAAGAATTGAGGCAGTTCTGAAGGCAAAAGGGGGTCCAACCCGTTACTAGCATGGTGTACCTAATAAAGTGGCCGGTGAGTGTATATAACGTACAGTTGTTTTTTATTTGATATTTAATAAATAACGGATTAAATTATATCGTCTAGTTTCGGGCTAAAATATTGACCGATTATAGACGGGCAAATTTCTGTCTAAACTAGGACAAGACGTCTGTTCGACATTTAAGGCTTTGTGGGTAGAGACGCATCACTGTTCAGTTCAGCTTGTTTCACTACCAACAAAATCTCCTCAAAGTAGCTTTAAGATGTCATGTATCTGAGACAGAATCGTGTCCACATTCTTTGTACTTTTAAACTGAGTTTTTTTTTTCATTGTTTTTATATCTCCATCTCAACTGTCATCAAATTTTAAATCTATATTTTTTAAAAACAAAATAACATCAGTTTCAGTTTCAACATTTGATATGTTTTCGCTCTGTTTTATGTATTTAGTTTGATTGATTTGAAAACCATTACAATCTGTTTTTGTCACGGTTTTATGCAGCATGCAAACTGTAAGCTGCTGTGGACAGATGTGTTTTTAAAAGACCCAAAACGACAAACAAACTAAACTTTGAGCAACGCAGCAACCAATTCAGGCAAAGTTAGAGATGGCACACCTTAAATCAATATGGTTATGTCACGTATCATGTCAGTATTTTCTTCTTCTTTTGTGCCAACTTCCTCTCTGTTTGATATTTGAGAATACGATCGTAAATTTGTAATATGACAGGTGATGTTTATATCACACTCCACCTGTTTAGTCCATATTTGAAGATTTCAGTATTAGACAAGTTGGAGGAATGATTGATTAGACAACAAGCAAAAAAGATAGAAAGACATTTTTAAAGCAGCGTTGGTTATGTAATATTCAGAGGTTACCTCAGTTGTAGCTGGAGAGGTCGGTTGCTCATATCATGCAGACAGACTATGTTTAGTTTGTCCATGTGGCACTTGGGAGCAACGTCAGTGTTTGTCTTGCCACGTGGCAGCAAATTTGTGTGTGTCTGCTGAGAGTAGGTAACAAGATTAAAGCATGGCTCTGTTTCTGACAGAAGTTCATTTACATATATATATCACAGTGATGGAGTTTTAGTGAAGGGGGGGAGGTATTATAATAATCACATGAATCATAATAGAAACTTGACTCAAGTTTATATCTTCTTGTTAGTTTTGAAAATGTCCAACAGACCCTCGGTTTCTTACTCAACAAAACGATCTGTTTCAGGGAATTGAACAACAGCAGCACAGAGCACTGTGTTACACTTCAACTATCTTTGAAATAACTGATGGCTTTTCAAATTCAAATTCAACTTTATTTATATGGCACTTTTCATACAAAAGAAAACGCAATTCAAAGTGCCTCACAGAGGCAAAAAACAACAATAATGACAAAAACCCAACCCTTCCACCCACACTCACACCCATGGACCCACACGAACACAAAGACACACACCCACCCTCACTCACCCACACATACACATACACACAACCGCACACAGTGTGAGAATTTAAGACATATTGTTAGAGAGACATGGCCTGACACTGAGACATTACATGAGGAAAGAGCTACCTTTAGGAAACACTGGAGATAAAAATGGTGAAAAGAGTAAAACCTGATGGACTAAAACAAGAAAATGATAATATTAAATTAACAAATAAGTAAAAGGGGTAAAAGAAGTAAAACCCTGTGACGGGAAATTATGAAAAAGACTAAGAACAGAGATAATAAATAGAATGACATAAAATAAACATTAAGAACTTTGATTAAAATGAACATTTGCAATAAGAGAAATATAAAAGTGAGTCTTGAGCCTCTTCTTAAAAATATCAACAGTCTCTTCTTTTAACTAATCGTGTTTCAGTTTCATATTTTAGATCAGTCATACTGCAGCAGGTTCCTCTCAAAGCCTCGTACTGCCCTCTAGTGGCAAACTGACATGCTAACCCAACGCACTGTGGGCTTGATTTGACTATCAGGATATTTTAAATCGTGCGACTCTGGCAGTTTTATTATCTGAGGAGATGTTTTCTTTACTCCGTTGGTCTGAAAGCTGGTGTGTCCAGAATCTCATCACTCAGTAAAGCAGCTACAGTCTCTGAGGGACAAACCTAAACACGAGGACGACCAGCATCATCTTCATGAAAGCTTCAGATCCAGCTGACAAGTCCCCTCCTCCACCCTTTTGCAGGCTGCTGCTGTGGGTTTTTCATTGAACCCTTTTATCAGCTGTTGTTCATGAAATAAACGTTTGCATCTGTGCGTCCGAGCACCGACAAGTGTTATTAACTTTTGTTTTCAGGTGGTGGTTCTGGTGTATCACTGGAGCAGTGGGGTGGTGGAGCAGCATGACCCTCTGATCAGTAAACCTGTGTCTCGCTGGACGCCCGAGGAGGTCCTCTCCTGGCTGGAGCACTTGGGGCCCTGGGCTCAGCTATACCGAGAACCTTTCCAGCAGGAGAACGTCAACGGGAGGTAGAGACAATGTCCACTCGACCGCCATCTTTCTTCAGCAGTGCTGAGGTCTAGACTCAGTCAGAACAGTCTAAGGTTTGAGAGCTCATTTTGTTGATGACTGCTTGTCTTTGTGCTACAGGCTGCTGTTGATGCTGAGCGAAGAGGAGCTGTTGAATCCTCCTTACAGCATTGAAAATCAGGCTCATCGGAGAGCTGTTCTGGCTGAACTGGACAGAGTGAAAACCCTGGGAGTGAAACCTCCACAGAACCTCTGGGAATACAAGGTGGACTGAAGTCTGCCCTGTAGCAGCGAACTTACCCTGATGAAGCACTTGTGTATCTTTGTGTAACCTGGAGAAGAAGTCTTTTGTTTGGGAGGTTATACCTGACTTTTATCCTCCTTTCTTTTCCTCTCTTTTTCTGCCAGGCTGCCAACGCAGGGAAGTCCCTGTTCTTATTGTATGCACTGAAGCGCTCCCCCCGTCTCACAATCTTCTACTTGTATTTATTCGACTACTCGGAAACCTTCCTGCCCTTCCTGCACACTTGCTGTCCAGCCATCGCACACATCGAGCAGTCAGTGGAGAGCAGCTTCCTCAGCTCACAGGTGACCGTGGACGAAATTTTGATTTCAAACGTGACTTGTGTACTGTTGAGTACTGTTGAGACATATAACCTGGCAAACAGCACATCTCGCACACACAGTAACAGAGGAGGCAATACCGCCAGCGGGGTGGATGGAAGTACAAACCCGATACAGGGATGTAAATGAATGACGCTCCATCTTTCTTCAGTCTCATCCGTTGGAACTCGTTCACAGGATTTTCTGCCTTCATCGCTTGTTTGTGTCCTTGTGTTTGTAGTTGGAGCCTAATTGGCGACAGTGGGCGGAGTTCCTCGTGAAGTACCTCCTGCTCCCGTACCAGCTGATAGCAGAGTTCGCGTGGGACTGGCTCGCCACCCACTACTGGACATCGCGCTTCATCATTGTGAACACCATGCTGCTGTCTGTGCTGGAAGGCTGCGCCCTGTGGAGACTCTGGACCGGAGCCGCCATCAGGTGAACATGTTGTGGGGGGTCAGCTGGATCAGTTTCTGTTTGGATTATAGTCGTCATACGTAAACAACATAAATAAAGTAACAGCATTATAAGAACAAGATGAATTTATCATGAGAATAACGTCAAAGTAGTTAAAGAACAAATATGTAATGTAAGGAGGATAAAGTCTTATGGAAATGGTGTCAGACTACTTTCAGATTAAAATCACAGTACGGGGAGAAAAGAGGCGTAATCTAAGAAGATTAAAGTCGAGTAAATTAGTCTGTCTGTTACATTATTGGTTGTGCGACTACACCAAGTGTAAATATGGGTGTAAATCCTGTGAGCCCGTGCAAAACAGGTGTGACTTTTTCAATCATGACTCAGAGGAACCTTTCATAGCCTTAAAAGGAGCTCCTGGTTGTAGAGAAGGGTGTTTATAAAGATCTTTTCTGCAAAGCAACGATGAGAAACAGAACTAGACTTTGTAAATTCAGGTATTCTGGTTCCTGTTCGCGTCCTTAGCAGTTGCACCTGAATGGGCTTTTGTTGCACGCTGGGTTACAGCTTTTGAATGTAATACTAGGCTGCATAAGATACAGATCCTGCTCACATACTTAAACATGTGTCCTCCACTTTTCTCAGGACTCTGCCACGAAAGATGTGGAACCACTTGTGGAAGATGATCTCTCAGGGGTTTGCCTTCGCCCTCCTGTGGCCTTTTATCCCTCAATTTGTCTGCAACTGCCTTTTCTACTGGGCTCTCTACTTCAGCCCCATCATCAACATCGACCTGGTGGTGCAGCAGCTGATGCACCCCGAAACATAGGCACTGTAACACACTGCATGTTCGCAGTGTTGGAATCACGCCGCACAAATTTGCAGCAAATAAAACAGCCAGAAAATCCTGACGTTGAAGAGGAGAAATGTTTATCTTTGGCAAAAAAAAAAAGAAACTCAAAAGAGACTGGCTTATTTGCTACCGGGAAGAAAGATCTCACCTCTCGCCTCCTGTGTGGTGTCTCTCTACCTGACAGTTGCCGTGTAGAACAAGAGAGGCATTTGTGAGAGAAACAAAAGGAACAAGATGAAGAACAGTGAGATGTCGGAGTTGCTATTGTTTAGATGAGATAACTGCAGTGACATCAGTCGCTGCATGCATAGTGCATTAACAAACCACAATGCCTAAATGGTCCTAAGGGCATTTATGCAAATAATAAGTCATGTTTCAGATCCAGAGGTCATGAAATCCAGCTTCATGAAGTTTTGTTTGATGGCTCTGTAGCACCAAGTTACCTTCAACCCACCGTTCATAAATGCATGTTATCTACAGTCAATGACAATCTGTTGTTTTTGAGCATCAGCTACAGTGGATATAAAAAGTCTACACACCCCTGCTCAACAGTCAGGTTTTCGTGATGTAAGAAAATGACAGCAAGATAAATATTTTCACAACTTTTTCCACCTTTAATGTGACCTATAACCTGTACAATGTAACTGAAAAACAAACTGAAACCTTTAAAGGGGAAAAAAAAAAAATAGAAAAGTTAAAATAACCTGGTTGCATAAATATGCACACCCTTTAACTAATACTTTGTTGCAGCACCTTTGGCTTTTATTACAGCACTCAGTCTTTTTTGGTAGGAGTCTTGCCCATTCTTCTTTGCAAAACTGCTCCAAATCTGACAGATTGTGATGGCATCTCCTATGCACAGCCCTCTTCAGATCACCCCACAAATGTTCCATGGGATTCAGGTCTGGGCTCTGGCTGGGCCATTCCAAAGTCTCAATATTATTCCGGTGAAGCCGTTCTTTTGTAGATTTAGATGTGTGCTTTGGGTCAAAGCTACAAAAATGTCAGGAAAAGCTACTAGAACAGCTGAACGTTATTTGGGGTTGATCAGAGGCACTTTAATTGGTGACAGGTGTGTGCTGACTCCAATTTAACCTGAGTTTGAATGTAATTGGTTAAATCTGAACACAGCCAAATCCCCAGTTGTTAAAGGGTGTGCACACTTATGCAACCACATGATCTCAGTTGTTTATTTTTACGTCACCCCCCTGAAAGATTTAGGTTTGTTTTTCAGTTGTGTTGTACAGGTTATAGGTCACATTGAAGGGGAAAGAAGTTGTGAACTTATTTATCTTGATTTAATTTTTTTACATGACAAAAACCTGGCAGTTGAACAGGGGTGTGTAGACTTTTATAATACATTCCCTGAGTCTTCAGTTGAGCGCTTGACTTTGACTCCAATTTTGATGCCACAGAGCCATCTTGAAAACACACGATTGTGAAATGTGTCAAATGTTGGGGTTCGTAGTTCTGCAGCCTGATGGGAATGTCTGTCTTCAGACGTGCTCGAGGAAGAAAACAACATCCAGCCTCTGTGAACAAATGCTCAACAGTGAAGCACTATCCAGTTAAATTTCTGTTCATTCCACCAAACATGAAGCACTTCAGTTCAGATATGAAACAAGTGCTCCTCAAACATTCTGAGACTTTAAAGCAATTTTTAAAAGGTTTTAACAGGCGGATTTTATTTGCTGGAACTGCAGACTAATATTTCATTGCACATATTTTTTTATTGCTCAAAAACATTGTGTTTGCAGTGTAGATTTCCATGTGGGTGGGTAGAGCATATCAAAGACTCTTTATTTTTTACGTTTGCACTTAATAGTTACACACTGTGATTTTGTTCTTCAATGTTCTCAATGATAAAAAAATAAAGATTTTTTTAAGAGTTACATGTTGTGTGTGTTTATCTCCCTAAACGGTTGTTTGCAGTACTTTGAATGTTAAAAACAGGATCATGATTTTTGTATGTAGAGGCCTGTTTAACTTTTTATAGATTTTGTGTGTAGTTATCCAATTCACAATTATATCAGGTAATTATTGATTTTCCTAGTTTCTGTTTCTGTTATAGTTGCTCTCAGCTAATTCATTTTAGGTAGGTATGCAGGTAGGTAGGTTGAATTTATTGTCCCTGTGAGGAAATTCATTTGCAGTAAGTTAAAGACATACACAAAGACAGCACACATAGACATTTCCATACACTGTCCCATATAAAACAAAACGACTCAGAAAAGCCAATATAAAAATACTACTTTACTGTACTTTGTCAATTCAAAAAAGTATTTCAATAAATAGTCTTTAAATAATGTATCTGTGCTCAGACCAGCTGAACCAGTATCTAAAAATAAAGAATAAAACTGCCCACAATCTATTTTAGTTTGTTCAATTATAAAATCACCTGTGGTACAAACGACCGCCTGGACCTGTTTCTGGTGAGGGCTGGGCACCGGTATCTGCGGCCTGAGGGCAGCAGCTCAAACTCTCTGAATAAGGGATGTTCTGAGTCTGAGAGTATTTTCTCAGCTTTGTCCAGGGCACGAGATAGATAAATGTCCTTTAGGCTGTTCAGGGGAATGCCTTGAATCTTTAATCACAGCAGCTGCTATTATTTCACACTTAGACTGTGCTCCTGGATTTGTAAATACAAAAATGAAAAGCTTTATTTTGATTAAAATTCAGTCTTTTTTATGTGAATATGGAAAAAAAAAAAAAAAAAACAGACATTAATAGTTGTAATATTTTAGGAATTTTTTATTGAACTTAAACAAGAAATTCACAACGAAAATTCGTAAAACAATATAAAAACTGAAAATGGAGACAATTGTGCAACACATTTGTACTATACATGAAAAATTTAAGTATATACATGCAAAAAGATTTGAAATTTGTTATTTTATTGTTTAAATAGTCATTTAAAGCACAGTAACTTAAAACAAGACCATGCCTACATCACTGGATCCTTAAAACTTGTTACAGACAAGAAAGCCCTACGCCTATTCTCTTTACTAGAAATGTTCCAATTGATATGGAACATTAAATTTTCTAACATTAATTTTTTTCTTATTATTATTATTATTATTATTATTATTATTCTACACTTTCTAAATTTCTATGTTTATGTTGGGTTTGTTGATTTCTCCTTATTTTTCTCTTTTGATGTTTTTCATGCTCAATCTAAGGCAAATATTCTATATTTTCTTATGATAAATGAGTGCCTTGTTTGTTTGTTTATAATTCAATAAAAAGAAAAAAAAATATAGCACATTAAAAGAGATGGGTTATTTTATAACATGGAACGACCGCCCTCTAGTGTTTAATAGTTGCAGCAACGACTGTCGCCATAACAACGTAGGGACCGTCTCACAAAAGCGCGAAAGAAAGAAAACGAGAAAATACTAGAGGCATTAATATTTACAATCACGTTCCAACATGTCAGTAAATTTTACAGATTAATTTCGTCTTGAGGGTAAGAATATCAGACTGTAAATCATTGGTAATAGTGTTGTTATCGTGATGTCTTTAAATGTATCGTGAGAGTTCAAACCGCCAAAAGCACTTTACCCTCCGTCCCTTACGTCACTGTTGCGGAAGTGAAAAGTCTACGTGGGGAAGAAAGGTTGGTCTGACCGCGTTTACACACCAACAGTACCGATGTCCAATCCAGGTTAGCTCCGTCCCCGTGTCGAACCACTCTTCCTCCCCGCCCCTCCAGGCAAATGGACGCGCTGAGCAGCCGCCGGGGCGTATAAATGGGACCGGGAGCCGACGACAGCCTGTAATGCTGCGCCGGGTGCGGCGGTCTCTCCGGCAGGTGCTGTTTCTGATGGCCCGGAGACCGGCTCTTCTTTGCGGGGCTATCGTGCTCAGCGTCCTGCTCGTTCTGGCCGTGAAGTTCACATGCAGGTAAGAGTCAAAAACTGTCAATATGAACAGTTTCTGTCCATATTCGGGGACTGTAAGCTTGTTTACTTTGTCAGGAGACTAATGTTTCTGTCGCAGTGTTGTAAACAAGCTTTTAGTGACATGAACCTTATTATCTGTGAAGGGTTAGGGTCTTCAGTTTGTGTGACACATGAGGATTAACTCAAACAGGACTGTTGAAACAGACGTTGTCACTGTCTCCAATACCAGGATTTTATGAAGATTATAAGTCAGTAATGTTTAGTAAACAACTCATATCAGTGATCCCACCTGTGAAGGTTACAGCTGCTTACTTTAAAACTGAGCCAACCTGCAGGCAGCTGCTACATCCTCACCCCTGTCCTGTCAGGACTGAAAATATCCAAGAGTTACTGAAGGTTAGAGGAAGTAGCAGTAGGGGAGACCGGGGTAAGTTGAGCCAAAGGGTAAGTTGAGCCACCCCCTGTTGCTTGGCAATGGTAAAAGAAATTGATCATGTGACCAAATATTGAGGAGATGGACATCAATTCGTGGAGTCTGTGAAGGTTAGAAGCACATTGGTGAAGGGATTAGACATTTATTTACAAAAAAAAAAAAAACACTCTTGAAAGTGAATTTGGTCTGTCATAAGTTTTATTAGAATTGTATTTAGACCAAAAAAGATCATTTTAAATTTGTTTTATACATCAATTGTGGTATCTATGAGCTACAGCATGAGGTAAAAAACCTAATAGTCCACCATTTTAGTTTAGAGGACTATTAAAGTCATCATTGTAGTTCTGGGGTAACTGAGAACGTAAAGGAGTCTGATGAGAGGATCAGAGTTTAAGTTCAGATTGTATAAATATTTTTAATGGGCAGCGTCTGCTTCCTCGCTGGGTGAAGCCACTCCGAGAACAGCACCCTCTGTTGAGGGGCTGCAGTATAGGTCATAAATCCCGCCTCCTCCAGCAATCCCTATGGAGCTGTGGACAAACTTTAGAAATTTATTACACAGAATATAAGGCACTGGTTTGTGCTCAAGTCCTCTTTTTTTCTGTGAAGCTCCGTTTTTAAAAGTTATTAGGGGGTTCATATTTTCTATGATTGGCACCTGAAACAGCCTATGGGCGTTCAGGGATTGCGTAGCTCATATGCTGTTTGAGCCGTGCGTCATCACAGCGACTCTCCAGCCGAATGCGCACAACGCTACTGCGCAGCGCTGGTTTCAGGAAAAGAAAAATCCCGGAAATACTGAGAGCTTTTGGCTTCAAATCTGTATACAGGCGGGAGGCGAAACCAAGTTGTCCATAGTATATATAGTCTATGGTTCTGAATCACTTAAAGACATTCTCATGTTAAAAGTTTTTTTTTACAGAACAGCTTTTTAGCAGTTATATGTAACAATAATAATAAAAAGAATGATTGTACCAGTTGAATACTGTATAATAGATAAAAATACACATGAATATGAAGAAGTGACTGTTATTTAGGGAGAGAGAAGGTGAGAGAGGATACAAGGGGTAAGTTGACAATAGGAGACCACTTTTTTTGCATACTGTATTATCAAGACATTTATGTTTACACTCATTCTGTTGGTTTGCACACGAGTTAGAGAGAAAACTATGATTGACTTGATGTAGTGATCTGAAATGTGAAAAATGGCTCATCTTACCCCACTCTCCCCAGCTGTAAAAATACTCTGTTACTACTCTAAGTCCATTTGTCAAACTATCTCAAAGTCTAGGAGAGGAAAACCTGTAAAGGACAGATTTGACTATTTTCTGAAACTGAGGGATGAAACTGAAATTAGTGGGGATGTAAATCTGCTTTCTTGTCGCCTTAAACCAGCTGGGGTTTCAGTTGGTCTTCTGTGAAACAAACAGTGAGGAAATTTTAAAAAAATGCTGATTTCAAGAAGACCCAAAGTCTTGAGGTCAGGGTATTCAAAAGACGAGAAAAAGAATAAAGCAGCAACCCAACAAGTACATTAGATTTTCATAAACATACTATCAAAACTTCTGTTTATTTTCACAGTTTGTAAAGATTTTCTTCCTTCAACAATCGAAGTGTTTGAGCACTGAAAGCAGCTACTTCCAGCAAATGTTTACATCAGCTGAGGATTGAAATTTGAGGCAAATTGTAGACAAATGATCTCGGTCACACCCTGCCTTTTACCCATGGCTGTGTTTCTTCTACTAAGAGTGGAAAGAGTTTCGTTTGATGCAGGGAAAGTGATTTTGATGTGTTATAAGGTTTTTTCATTGAGCTTTTCTCACTTTGCAGCCGTGCTAAAAATGTGGTGGCAGCAGCTCGGCCTCCTGTGCGGTTCTTCTCTGCCGAGGCCCCAGTCGTGGACCTTTATCTGGGTCAGCTAGACCAGGTAAGAGTCAGACACCTGCTGTTAATCAGCCTCACTGCTCGGTCATTAAGTGGTGCCTTGTTTTGATTAACTTTACATCAACTTACAGACACAATCACATGGCCCGGTTTTAGTCTACAACTGTGAACATTTTCTCTGCAGGTGGAGCGGATCAGGAGTGTGGCGGAGGTGTCTCTTATCTTCTTCTATGCACCCTGGTGCGCTCACTCCATGGCCGCCCGGCAGGAAGTGCAGCAAGTAGCCAAGAAGCTGGCCAAACAGGTACAGCACACTTAATCAAACAACAAGCGCCCTGGATTGTTTAAATGCCAAATAGCAGCTTCTATTGACATGCATGTGATGTGGACGAGTTTTCAGCAGCAAAGAGAAACTGACTTAATCTGGTAAAGTAAAACCCTCATTCTGCTGCATTATACCTGGACTAAAACAGATTTTGATGGTTTACTGATCATCCAGACCCAGTATTTAAACAATAAGAGGGCAAAGAAAACTATTAAAGAGTTAAAACAGAAAAAAATGATAAAAAATTAAGGATATCTTTTTCATCCTAAGAGGCGGTTTGTTTCCCTGCGTACTCAACAACAGCACAGTTGATTAAATGGAGTTAGTAAGGCATTCATAAGCAAGCTCAGTTGCTCTTTTACTTCCAAGATGAAACCAAAACTTAAACTGACCTGACCTGGTATTTTGTGCATGAAACAGATCAAACTGACAGTTTCAAGAGGCAAAACAAACAGATCCAGCAACCGCAGTATGTTCTGCTGTAGGATTTGACTCGTTACTTCTAATTGCATTTAGTCTAACCTCTTTATTTGCTTAAATTTCCATTAAAAGGCAATGATGGCTATCGTTGGCCGGCAGTGGTGGACAGTAACAGATGAAATTTACTTGAGTACTGTACTTAAGTACAGAGTCTGAGGATTTTTACTCTTACTCCAATACATTTCCACTCTTACTCGAGTAAATTTCTGAGAAGGCTCATGAGTACTTGTTACTTTTGGTTTCGCTGTTTTGTTTTTTTCTTTCCACTAAAACGCAATTGGCCACATGCAGTGTTCGTCAAAGAAGGAAACCTATCACAGTACACGTTCTCCACTGGGATGTACGTAAAACTGGAAATAAACGCTCTCTTGTTTATCAGCTCAAAACAAAACCGCGGTGGCAATGGTGGCGGCAGGAGAAGAACGCCACGTTGAATCCTCAGGCTCAGAGTCTGAACATGATGAGCCGGAGTTGAATGAGGCGGAGGAACTTGAAGAAAACCCGCCTTATCTGAAGGCTATGTTCGAGTTTTCAGGAGTAAATAAGAAAAACGCGGACAGACAAGAAAAAGTACAATGTGTGTATGTGTATGTGTGTGTGTTCAAATATTTGAACTTTGGGAGCGACTTTTCCGCGACTCCGTGCCACGACAGCCAATCTCTTACTTACTCTTACTTTTACTTACTCTTGAATACTTCAGTACATTTAAAAGAAAGTACTTTTTTACTCTTACTCGAGTAACGTATTGACTGGGATACTCTTACTTGTAGCGGAGTAAATTTTGACCAGGAGTATTTGTACTCTTACTCAAGTACTCAGGTCAAGTACTCTGTCCATCTCTGTTGGCTGGTAAATGCTGTGCACTAAGACTACAAACTTCTGTTAGTTGTTGGCTGGTGTGATAAGAAAATCTCAGTTTTAAGGTAAATTTCACTGCTTGGTCACTTGCAGGGTTAGTTGAAGTTAACTAAGTAAGGAAGTAACCCACCACCAGCACTCTGCATCATTCCCGTTTCCAGAAAGTTCTGTTTGTCTGATTCGTTTTAGACCTCATCTGGAATGAAAATGACACAAAATCACTGAGAGGTATCCGACACTAACCCCTGAAACTGTTTTGTTTGTTACGCTCCGTTTCTTTATTTCTCGTACAAACACAGGTGCAGTTTGTGGCTGTTAACTGTTGGTGGAGTCTGGGGAAATGCAGGAAGCAGAACCGCTTCTATCAGTACCCGATCATCCACCTGTTTTATAGAAGGTGAGACCGAGAACTCACAAAGCCATCTGAAGTTTTTTCAACTGAAAAGTAAACAATGACTAAAAAGGTGACAAACTGGAACCTCTAAATCTTTGTGTTATAGCCCCTGACGTAAAGAGCTGTGACATCAGTTACACTCTTTTAACTATTTCAGCCTCTAACATAAAGTAAGGGCTCATCTCATTTATCCATTATGTGTTTATTCTTATACTTTCTATGCTGCAGGTTCGGGCCCATCAAGTACAAAGGTCCATTTGTGGCTCCTTATGTGGAAAATTTCATCCTCCGAGTCATCACACCGCTTACTTACCTCCCATCTAGAGCCACTCTTCAGGAGTTCCTCTCGTACCACGAGGTAAAATAACGGCGGCGAGTGAGCTGTCTTTAGATTAAGTGCGATTTTCTGATATATTTTAATTTTCTGTGTCTCTTTTGTATTCCTAGTCTCGAGTGGTGGGTTTCTTCCAGTTTAACTCCTCTCCTCAGCCACCGGGGTACATCACATATTTGTCCTCTGCCCTGCAGGCCCTAAAAAGAGGTGAGGCATGAACATTCAGACTCTGAACTGTGGAATATTAATACTGAATTAGATATCTTTAGTTTTCATAATAAAGGTGACTGAAGCTGGATTGGTAGTTACTAAGGCTGCACGATATTGGAAAAAAATAATATTGCGATTTTTTTCAACCCTGCGATATATATTGCGATATTAAAAATATAGGAATTTTCACCAGATGACCTGAATAGCATTTAATGTAATGCTGCACTGCTGAAGTCTTGAGGACAGTTAACCTGCTCTGATCTTACCTCTTTTTGTGAATGTTAGAATGGCTTCTGTCTGTCTCAGAGATATTTTTAGGTTTTATTGTTCTGGGACGTTATTGTGGCAACAGATTAACACAGAACACGTGTTTTGGTCAACATCATCCTTCTTTTAACCGAAATGATTCCAGATAACTGACTTTCCTTTTCTTTTTGGCAACAAATTTCCATTTTCGGTGTTTTTTTCTTGTTCGTTGCTCATTTTGCGATCGTTGTTGTTAGCGGTGTTGTGCCGAGAAACGCATGTCCTCCGAGAATTGCATGCACCTCGCAAAACGTGCACCGCTTATAGTAGAGTGGTCCACGGAAATGTACAATTTAAAACCCATACAGTTCTTATTTGTTGGGCTTAACAGTCATGAGTAAAGTTCCGAAAGTAATTCTCAGCGGACACGTGTCTCCCTCCATGTGCAGAACATGTGCAGGGGTGGGTTTCCTCCTCTCTGATTTTGATTGACAGCTGACAGGGTAGTCTGATTGGCAACTGAGAACTGAGTCTGATTGGCAACTGAGTTAAGGATGAAGGTGATTGGTGGATCGCTGCACACACGTACATCGTGATGACGATATTCAAACGATATATTGTGCAGGCCTAGTAGTTACCTGATGTTTCTGTGTGTCGTGTGCGCTCCTCCTGGATTGTTTGTCTAATGGGGAGTGGCTTTGTCTCTTTGAATTGTAAATAGTAGAATCGCAGTTTCCTGGAGTCAAAAGGCATTTAACTTTGTGTGTGATCCTGTTTTCATCTCACTGCGAATGTCATCCAGTGTGAATCTGATAGCTGATAACTGCACAGCTATAAGTGTTTGTGTGTTTTATGTAAAAATGTGTGTAACTCTTCATTCGCCTCGGGCTGCCAAATGAAGCGCGTTAGCTCAGCGGTCACAGACAGACCTTGGTGTTCAAAGTCAGCTTCATATTCATGCAGACTCTTCTATCTTGCATCTTTCTTTCCCCGTTGGAAGCATCATCAGATACAGAGTAAAAGAAGGCAGAAGTTCAGCTGCTTTTCAGCCGTCAGTTCTGACTCTCTCTGTCTCCGGTGCAGATTTCCGTGGTGCTATACGTTTTGGGGTCGTGACCAACAAACAGGTTGCGGAGGCCATCTCGCTGAAAGAAGATGAAACTGTTTATCTTTATAGAAGATTAAACTCTTCTTTGGTAAGTGAGTTCACCTGGTATATGCATGTATTTGCAGTATACGCATGCATGGACAAAAATAAAATACGAGGCCGCCCTGACACGGTGTTTCATGTTTCCCCTCATTAGATTTTCCCTCGAAGGGAACGTAACTTCACATCAGAGGCCATCTGTAGCTGGGTGTTCGAACACCATGAGACCGTCCTGCACTGGCTGCAGCCTCCGGGCACAAAGTCCCGCCTCCTGGAGCAAGAGCTGACTAAAGGGCCGGCATTGCTGCTGTTCCTGCCTCACAATCCTCTTGCCTTACAGCCCAGTCCAGTTCTACAGCAGGTAAGACCATTCCAGATTTTATCGGAGACATCTTTCCTCATTCGTTGTCTTGACTTTCGTAGGATTATGTTATACTGCCACACTCTGGGTAGTTTGTTTGTCTTTACCTTTGCGTATCCCTTTCTGTGTCTTGTGGTGTGCCACAGGGGTCTATTTTAGGTCCCCTGTTGTTTTCTAATAACTCAAATGTAAGACCGATTCAGTGTTTATGCATCAAATGAACACGTAGAAACATTTTTATACCCCCTCTGATCTTTAGAAACATGGATTAAAATGTATTGGGTTTTGTCTTTTATAGCGTCGCGTGTCTGACTTTTACTTATCCTTGTACCTCCCTGGAAATGCAGTATGTTTTTATTCCAGTGTTTGAATTGTCTTACTGTATTCTAGTTTATTTTTATCCTCTGATAATGTTTTCCTCCTTGCCGTTTTAAATTGTCTTGCGATTCCTCGTTGTAGTTTTTTTCTTTGAGCTTTACTCTTATTAAAAAACCCGAATTTCCTCATCATTGGTAGATGCCGTGTGCGACACAGTGTGTGAAGCTCAACTTTTATGCTGCTGACTCTTTATTTCTAAGACTTGGTGATAGCAGAAACTTTCATTCATTTCATTGTTTTTGAAAGATTTGGGATTTTTCATCATTTCCCTGTGCCTGATGCTGAACTTTGACTCTGCTCTGAGTGTTTTTCTTCTCCTCTCACGTCATCACTCCCACTGTCAACACACCTGTAGCATAAAACCTGGATGTCCGATTTTCTTGCAGCCTCAGTTTTGATTCCTTAGCCAAGAGGTCTTCTCATTCCTGTCTTAAAATCTTAAGAAGATCTTTAAGGAATATGCTAAACAGGAACTTTTCAGTCAGCTGCTGAACTTCCTCTGATGCCACCATGTTCTACCTGCTTATAAAACCAACGTCTGATCAAATCTGTCCGTCCCCTCCCCTTTTATACACACCGGTTCCTTCATTTGTCAAAAACAGGTCTTCAAATCAGTTGTCGTTTCAGATTTGAGTACTTAATATTTTAGCCTTTTCTTGTGATTGCAGTCCTGTTTGAATACCATCCTTGTTTCCTTCTTTCAGGTTGCAGACATTGCTGTCCGTTATCATTCCTGCGGCAACAATACCCACTCCAGCTCGGACGACAGCCTCACCTCCCACTCACCGTGCTGCCAGTCGGTTCTTCTCTCAGAGTCCAGCTCAAATGTGTGCGAGGTGTGCCTCAGCTTGTCACGACTGAGCCTTACCAGCTCTCCTGCACGCTGCTTGTTCCCCTCAACGGCTCAGGAAGGAGATTTGTTGCAGCCTCGTATCAGACACTGCTGCCTGCACCATCTCCCTGCTCCCGTGTCCATAAAAACCGCCATGGCTTGCACAAACTTTTTGGACAGCTACAGCCCGTTCAAACAATACAGTGCCTGCTGCAGAACAGTGGAACCTCAACTCAACAACGAATCACAAGCCAAAGAGGAGTCAGACGTACGAAGAGTTCCCCTCACGCCTCATCCCACGTCCGTCCCTCCGTCTTCCGTCCCTCTGCAGGACGGAGACGGCTTCACAGGGCTACGGTGTCAGACAAACAGGACGCTCAGGTTTTATGTTCTGGATCTTGCTCTGAACTGGCCTCTGGCAGAGAGACTGGGGGCAACACACAACAGAAGTGCTTCTCTACACCGGGAGGAAGGCGCGCAAGGCGATGGGAGCGGCGACGGTTCGTTTGCAGCCATCGTGAACCTGAAGGATGAGGTTCATTACGTTCTGCATCGCAGCCCGGCGGCCACGCTGACTGAATCTCTGGGTAAGACTCAGGTCCTTTGTCATCTGTATGTGAGCTTTCCTGTAGAGGTCGATGATATGACAGATATTAGTCATGCAGGGCTTGACATTGCGACCATTTCACTCCAAACAGATGTGTGCGAATTGTACAATATATTTAGGGGAACATGTGCGCATAAAAAACTCAGCCGAGGCAACAAATGTTTTTTCATGCAAATACTACGGTGAAGTTAGTTTTAGGTTGGATATCCGACGGACATTAACCACGGATCTATGGGTGTCTTCTTACTCTCCACAACCAGGAATGTCAACAGCAGCACTTTTAAATCTACTCGGCACCCTCGCTGTCAATGTCGGGTGTTGAATAAGCGACTATCAATAAATTACTGGTTGATGTTCTCAAAAAAGGCTGTTTCCCTTTAACAGCTGACTAACGGCTCATTTTCTGATTTCTGTTGTCCTCAGCTCAAGTGAAAATGGGATAAATAGGTAGCGACAGTTTGATCTGGTTTAAACTTTTGCGTCTGTAGAAAGTTTCGTGACCCGGAAGTGAACCTTACTCAGACAGATGAGACACAGATTCTGCTCCTCTCCTCTTTTACAACAATGCAGATTAGTTTTCATGAAAATACCCCTCAGTTTAGCTCCACACTCACTTTGTTTGGTCATGTTCATGTATTCATGTCTTCTCTGCTTGTTGTTTGCGGTCTCTTTCTTTCCTGCTTTTCTTTTTTTGGACACATAACCCCCAAAATCAAACAAATCATCACAGTCCAGACAAAAGTTGTTTCTTTTGAGTCTGTTCAACAGTCCTGCTTTCTTTGTGTGTCTTTCTGACCTTTTCCTTCTGATATTTCCTGGAAACCTTCCTGGTGCCCATGAGTACAAATGTAATCCAGTGCAAAACTGTCCATCATATCAAAAACTGTCTCGGTAGAAAGAGACGTGTAGGAAGAGGAAGAAATCCAGCGTTAAACTGAAGTCCTCCGTTAGTCGCGTAGTTCTTTCTTTTAGATACGCAACCTGTTATCCGGTGGTAAATGCACAAAGTTGCTGAATCCGGTCCAGATTTCTGTATCATAGAGTCACATCTTTTTGGTTGAAGTCTGTGTCATGTGATCCTGACAGCAGCTCTTTGTCCTGTTTGTGTTGGTGTCTCATTAAAGAGGCCTTCATCAGGAACTTCAGCGCTCCATACAGCCTGCTGCAGAGGCATTTAGTGGGAGAAGGCAGAAAAGGAGAGGAAGCGGAGACTGGCCGTCCGGATCAGCACCAGCAGCAAACAACCAGACCCCTCCTCATCGCAGAGCTGACCACTTCCTCCTTCCTGCCCTCCGTCATGGACATTCAGAAGGTAACTGCTTTCACAAAACCTGATTCACAACACTTTAATTTAATCGAAGTTCAAGCACGTCCAAAACTAGATTATGAAGGAATGAAGAGTGAGCTTCAAAAATCTGAACATGTGTTTTGTCCTGCAGGATGTGCTGCTGTTCTACTACACTCAGTGGTGTGGATTCTGCTCTGCTCTCAACCACATCATCATCCAGCTGGCCAGATTACTGCAGGGAAACAGCAGCATCACTGTGGCCAGGTACACCAGCTTTTAGCAGTTATTAGTTTTATTCTGTTAAATCATCATTTTATACCGACTTTAATATCGGTCATCTCAAGAGATTACGTCACGATCATTAGTGAACGTCTGCATGTTTTGTGTTTAGGGTGAATGTTGCGCGTAACGACCTTCCGTGGGAGTTCATGGTGGATCACGTTCCCTCCATCCTCCTCTTTCCAAAGTACAGGTAAGAACGACGCCACATGCATCTATGATATTTCAGTTTGTGTAAATTTGGCGCCCCCTGTGGACAAATTAGTGTTTGCTTTACATCACAGGGACAAATATTTGAAGACATAAGCACACAATTGAGAAAAAGTAATTTAACAATAAGCCTGGGTGATTATATGATAGTGATTAATGATCGTGATAAATTTCAGTTTGATCACGGTGATCAGCAGTGAGCATATTTACTCGATGAAACATAGCGGAAATGTGCGTGACAACAGCCAATCAGAGGCGAGCTTTTCCTGCTCACTTCAGTTTAACACGGAGCTGAGGGCAGCAGGATAGATGTCAGCCGTGACTTTGAGTCATCCTCCAAAGATGTCATTGTTGAGAAGGAAAGTTATTCAGCGTCGGTTGTGTGGCGGTGGTTCGGGTATCTCCAAAGTGATGTTGAGCAATTTAGCCGACGTGCAAGTTATGTTGGCTGTTGGTGCCCTCAAAAACCAGCAACACAACAAAATAATAATCAAGATCAGACATTCATTTTCTTCCGCCCAGACGGCCCTCACCCCAGCCACTTCCACCAGCTCCTCCAGGGGGATTCCCAGGCCAGGCAAGAGATATAATCCCTTCACCTGGTCCTGGGCCGGCCACGAGGTCTCCTCCTGGTGGGACATGTCTGGAACACCTCTAACGGGAGGCATCCAGAAGGCATCCTAACCAGATGCCCGAGCCACCTCAGCTGACTCCTCTCGACGTGGAGGAGCAGCGGTTCTACTCTGAGCGCCTCCTGAGTGTCCAAGCTCCTTACCCTATCTCTAAGGCTGAGCCCGGCCCCCCTGCTGAGGAAACCCATTTCAGCCGCTTGTATCCGCCATCTCGTTCTTTCGGTCATTACCCAGAGTTCATGACCATAGATGAGGGTCGGCACGTAGATCGACCGGTAAATCATGAGTCTCGCCTTACGGCTCAGCTCTTTCTTCACCACAACAGATCGGTTAAGAGTCCACATCACTGCTGACGCCGCTCCGATCCGCCTGTCGAGATTGGACGATATGACAAAATATATTGCGATCAATTTATTTGCCAAATCGCCCAGTCCTACTTAACATAATTTTGATTTAATTTAAGCAGAAATATTCTAACTCATTCTTTTTGATTCTTTGTTTGTTTTTTGGTTTGAAGGAAACATTTAAGCGTGAAGTTTCCTGAAGACCTGCCCATCACCTTACCCAACCTCCTGCACTTCCTGCTGCAGCACTCTGGCTCTGTGCAGTACACAGACAAACCAGCGACAGCCCCCGGCGAGGCCGAGGGCCCGGGAGCAAACGCCGTCCTTCGAGCAGAGTTTATTGCTCTCCAGCGCGAGGTCCAAGCGCTTCATCACGCCCGTAAATGTCTCTCCCAACAGCTGGCGCAGCTGTGGCGTGAAAACCGCAGACTAGCGTTTGACGTTCACAGCTTGGAAGCGCAGAACGCCGAGCTGCAGCGGGAGAGGCAGAGCTTGGAGGAGCAGCATCGGGAGAAGAGCCGGCAGCTCAGGGAGGCGGTGGGGCGTCTGCAGGAGCTGGCAGAAACCTCTGAAAGCCTGCTGAACGAGAACACCCTGCTCAGGGTCCTGCTGAGGGTGCTGAAGGACAGGACAGAAGCGAAAGAGCAGGCAGAGGTGGAGAGGAAAGAGGCGCAACAGAAAAGCAGCCATATGGCCTCCTGACATCAAATCTGCAGGGAATCCTGAGGGGGATGCAGAGGAGAGAGGACCAGGGTGGGGGAAGAGTGCTGAGGTTAGACCCAGCTGAAGTAAAAAAAAGGGGTCTTTGTAGAATCCACAGACCTCATAAATAATGTGATAGAGGAATTACAAAGACTGCTGCTAAGTCTTCAAACACATAAGGAAACAACCAAGAGACAAAGATGGAGGAAAAGTAGCGAGGAAGGACAGAAAATACTCTAAGTGCTGTGATTACTGTGGGCCTGTCCACTCAGATGAACACACTAGTGGGGGAATTAAAAGTGCCAACTGTCCGATTTTTAACTCCTCTTTTTCAGATGCCGTGCTTGCAAAATGTCGTGTCTGTTGAATCGTGAGGAATTAACCTGCGCTAAATGTACTTCACAGAGCCTGCAGCTAAACTCTCTGCTCCCCCCCTGTGGACAACGAAAAAACAAAGAAAGTCTGAGTGAAATCAAACATCAGGGGAGGAAACCGCCCCAAATCTCTCCAGCTGTTTAATATAACGCACACAGTCGGAGCGAGAGTCAACTTTTTAGGGCTTCCATAGTTATCGACACGATACTTTGCTGCACTTTGATACAGATATAAACCTTTTTATCAGGTTTGTATTTGTCATGACTGCAAACACTTTCAGGTTGTTTATCAAGAACAAATAATCCAGTTACACCGGCAGAAAAGAAGTCAAAGAAAATTCAGTTTGGCTCTAATGAAGCAGTTTCACTTGAATCATCTTAAGCGGCTGTGAACTGAGCTGCTGCGAACTTTGACTGATGTTAGGATTTCCTCGGTTTTCACCTGTTTTAAGGGTTTGAATGGGAGCAAAAGAATCAAAAACAAGTGTCCGAGGAAACTAAAGCAGGTTAACACACTCTGTCTATAAAGATGTCCTCTGTCAGAGAACAGTGTTAAATGATCTGATTTGTACGGAGCCCCTAAAGGGACATGAAGGAATTTTTTTTTTTTAAAGGATTATCTCGAGATCTTGTGCGTACTCTTGCAAAACTATTGTGAGATCTCACAAAGCTGTCAAAGGGTTATAAATAAAAAAAGATTATAGATCAGTGTATTTCTTGCGTGTCGAGTCAACCCAGACGATGGATGGATGGAAGAGGTTTATTGTACCTTTTTTGAGATTGGCCTTGGATAAAAATATATTAAATCTTGATATAATTCCTACAGTCTAGGGACGTCCCGAACAAAGACATTACTAGCATGCAAAGGGATAAGGTGGGCAGAAAATGAGTTCAAAATAAAATTAAATGAACCTTTCCCACGGCTTCGTAAGTTCCAATATTTTTGTTGAACTTCTACAGAAGTAATACACCGACCAATAACTCCTAAGGTAACATTTTCAAGATCTTACAAAAAATCTCGAGAAAATTCTTCTTTTTTTTCATCCATGTCCCTTCAGGGCCTTTAAAGGTCCTGAGAGAAATTTTCTTTAAAGATTTATAATAATGTTTCTGGTCACTTGAGCAAACCAGATGTTCAGATAGATGATCATTTCCTTTTGTAAAGATAGATTATAAAGATAATTTAATTTCTAGTATATAAGTCCTGCTGGTGGGTGGGTAGGTGTCAGATGAAGAGATGAATATCACACTAAACCAGTTTTTTTATTTTGTTTAACATTTCCACAGAGGATTCTTCAGGAATTGTTTGAATTAAAAAAGGATAAGTTTTTATTCATGTATTTCTTTATTTCAAACACTACGACTATATTACTTTGGTAAAATTAACAAACAGGCAGAAGGTGTTGCTTTGTCCACAGGGGGTTGAAAGAACAAAAACAGAAAGCTCCTCACGCAGGATGAGTGGTTTAAGATTCCTGTTTTTCCATACCGGTATATTGATCATCCCAAAAACCAAAGCAAAGAAAAGTATTCAAGTTTCAAATCAAAAATGATGTTTTCATCCCATGCTCCAGAAAATATAAAGAAGTTAATGCCACATGTTTAAATTAATTGCGCAAACAAGACTAACTAACTGTTACTAACTCGTCTGGGTGTTTGATTAAAGGTTAGTGAAGTAGAGTTTGGCTGCAGGAGACAGAGAGGGCTACTACTAATGAAGCTGAGACTGATCTGATGCTGAAGATGTGGCGCCTGCTCACTGATCTGCAGGTGAGCCAAAGAGCACTTGAATAATCAGTAAGAGGTTTTTTTTTGTTTCGTTTTGTTTTTTTCGAGGGGGATAAAATTCTTTTGTTGTCTATTTTTTACAGGAATCAGTGACTCACTAAAAGAGTATTTCTTTGTAACTATTCAGGAATTAAGAATGAGATGCTGCAATTGTTTACATGTGAAATATTGCACCTGTTTTTACTGATTAAAAATCTTTCATCCTGTTGTTCTTCTGTGTGATTCTGTGGGTTAAAGTTGAGGTTTGACGTTTTCTTTCAATTCAGCTTTTATTTTGAAGGAGTCAACAAAACATCTATAGCAGGGAAATCAGAAAGTACGACACTCTGTATCATCATTTTCCCACAAGAGGTTTACAGAAGCTTGTCCTGCTTATATAATTGCTCCACCCACCTTAATTTTCTCAGGGGATACTCATTTATCAAATCTGTTTAATATGTATGCCTCAGAGAAGAAAGCAAGTAGGGCTGCACGGTTTTGGCCAAAAAAAATAAAATTCCGATTTATGTCACTTAAAAGTCAACTTTCAATTTTGTTTATTTATTCGGTGACAATTTCACCAAATTTCACTTTGATAAAAAGTCATTCTATCATCTCTCAAAACAAAACCACTGAAAACGATGTAGTGCATATACCAAGCCAGGAAGTGGTGCTGTAACACTGCAGAGGAAACGCACAAAAGACAGAAGAAGAAAGTTGTTTTGGCTGGACACATGCAGGCGCCATAAAAGAGTTAAGGTCCTTACACACCGGGGCCGATGCGAATATAGAACGCAAAATATTCGGAGGAGAATTTTGATGCGACTGACTACACATCAAGCCCGATGCGATTTTGTGACTTTCCGCGGAAGCCTTTTCCTGGGGTTCTTCTGTGTGATTCTGTGGGTTGACGTTTTTGAGGTGACAAGATAAGCACATAAACTATGGTAACAACCGTTAGCTTACGTTACCTGAGATGAAAGTTAAAACAAAGACATTTATCAAACTGTTAAAGCTCACAAACCATCATCATATGAGAAATTCGACGCTATGACTCTCCACAAGTCGTCCTTCAGGTCGTTATCTTTGCAATGTTTGTGTCTTTTATCAAGAATCACTCTGTTCTCCGACACGTAAACGATAAGCCGGTCGGCCATGTTGGATATACCGGTGAATCTGACGTCACAACAACACGCAATCTGATTGGTCAGAAGTGGACACACAGTATGCGAAACTTTAGAAAAATCGACCATGATCCGAAAAATTAAATGCCGCAATATCGCAGGATGGGAAAACGTCATTGATGTGAACACTTGTATTGACAGGATACGGGTTCGAAAGAAAATATTGATGTCTGAAATAATCGCGATTTGATGATTTAAAGTTTTTTTATTGTCATAATCAAATAATCCGATTACGATTAAAAACCGATTAATCGTGCAGCCCTAAAAGCAGGACAGCATTTATGATACAAGTTTATGATTTTTACATGCCGACTGAAGGCTCACAGACTTGTTTTTGGACCAATAAGAAGTGTAGGAGCCAAAATATATTTATTAAAAGTTTTATTTCTGTAGGTATGTCACTTCTGGGATCGTCACTGAGGGGTGTGGTTTTGGGGTGTTTGGCAGGTTATTTAAAAACTCACAGGTGTAGTCAGACAATGGGTTTGGTAAGCTCTGATCATTTTCTGTTGACCGTTTTTCCGCCTCTTCATTCATACATCCTGTTTTAACCTCATTTCACCTTAACAGTTAAAGACAAAAGTGTTGGACACGGATCTGCGTGTTTTCTTTCCCTTTTTTGAACAATAAATCATTTTTTCTAACACTCAAATCGGACTGATCATTCAAGCGAGTCACAGATGCAAGCGAACCTAAACCCCAGCGGCCTTGTTTTGTTGAAGGAAAGCAGTTGCTACAAGAAGTAAAAACGCATTTTAACGGGTGTTAAGTCTGAATACTTGAGTTGAATATATTGTCCTTAAAAATGTGGAATTTTCACTTTCTCTAGGAAGGTAAAAAAGTGCCGGATTGTCTCTGTGAGGACAAGAAGAGGAGACTGGGTTGCCTCTTTGTCACTGTGACCTGCTCGACCATGTTCAGATCTAATTTGGAGAAACGGGAGCATGTGCTGTTCATTTCAGCCGATGTGAGGGTTATTTATCTTTGGGGGGAAAAAAACCACAGGGAGACAAGGATTCACGTATTGACAAGGACTGACACACATTCACGATGAACCAACAAGAAACAGGGGAAGACGGGGACTATATACACGCTGGGAAACGAGCAACAGGTGAGGCAAACGAGACACAGGTGAAACTCAAGGGTGATTAAAAAAAAAACAAGGAATCGACAACTACAAAATAGAACAGGAAACACTGAAAACTGATCTAAAGAATAAAACACTGAGAACAAGAGGGAAACAGGGTCAAACACAAACTGAAAACTGGATCACAGGAACAGAAACACGAGGAAAAACACACAGAAAATACACATCAATAACAAAACCAGGGAAAAACTACATTAACAGAACATGTCATGACATAAATAGTCACTAGAATTGATTCCTGGGTTAAAGTGAGCACCGTTCTCAGTGGTTATGTTGACATATATACAAGTGAGACGTAACTGAGACACATGAGGAAAAAAGATAAGCAGTAGAGATGTTTACTAATTGATAAACAACCGTCATATGTGCATGGACGCACAGATAAATTAATCTCCTCACTCTCTCGGTTTGTCGCAGGGGTGGGTCAGCCCAGACTGCACAGCAATGTCAGCGATCTTATGACTTGTGGGGCAGTAAACAAGGTTGGCAGGGACAGTGAAGAAGACGCACTGGGAAACTCTCCTCCTTACATGCAAACTGACTCCTCCACAAAACTGTGAGTATGAATTATTCTGCAGTGTGTGTTCAAAGAGATTATTTGCAGCATTTAGCGTGTTAACCTTGTTAAACGTGGAGCTTGTTGGCACTATCCGGCTCTGATGTTGAAAGTTTAGATTTAAATGCATGTTCAGTGATGCACACAAGACAAACAGGTTTAAAACATTCACAGGATTTCCCTTGTACACTGTTTTTACGTGACTTTTTACATGTTTTAAAACGACTTGTTTAACTAATAGTCATCTTCAGATTGAGATGCTTTACTAATGATCACTGTTAGTCATGTGAATAACGCCAAATGTATTAAATTTCATAATTTTTATCACATGAATTCATCTCTTGTGTTCCCATGTTGCATGTGTGACTTGTCTGCAGGAAGAATGGCGAACACACAAGTGCCTGTTGGTGAGTTTGTACCGCCTTTAACCACAGACATAGAGTTTGTCTTTTCCACCTTTAACATAAATCTGTAACCCCTTTATGTTATAAAGGCCCAGTCGGCCCACTGGGAGACGGTCCAGTTCAGGTTCCCTGTCCAAAATGTAAACAGACAGTTCTTACCAAAGTGGACTACACCTCTGGTCTGCTCACCTACCTCTCCTGTGGAGGACTCCTTCTCTGTGGGTAAGAAGAGGAAGAAACACTTTATCTGTTTAAATACACGGCTTTAAATCCTGGTTAAAGCTGCAAAAGTTTGGGTTGTACAGAGGATGGGCATGTCAAGAAAAAAATCATCAAATCGACAAACTGATTTAAATTGATATATATCTAACTTAGCTTTTTTAATGATTTGATAAATTAATCTTTTAAAATGATAGATCAACACATACTTAGATGATCTGTGATTCTTCCCAGCTTTGTCTTCGGCTGCTGTCTCATCCCCTTCTGTGTGGACCGGCTGAAAGATGTGCAGCACTCCTGTCCGAACTGCAAGACTGAATTAGGCATCTTTAAACGCATATAAACTGATACTCAAGAAGATAACTTGCTAGTTACTTGGTTCATTTGGTTTTTATTTTGGGACATTTGGCATCACCACTATGAGGTGCTTTTTTCACAATTTTATGTCATTTTTAAGTCATTTCTTATACCAAAGGCTAATTTAGTAAATATCAAACTAAGCTCTGACTAAATCGTTTTCTTCCTACAAACATATTTCCAACACACATGGATAACAGATGCTAGTTTGAAATAAATAAATAAAAGTACCTTTTTTCAGACTCTAAAGAGTATAGCAGCGCCAACGTCAGCATGGGGGACGTGGTGTGTAACGTGCCAGCGCGGCCATTTTGACAGACATAACAACACTATTAACATTGGAATGAATGAAATTAGGATGAGGTTAGGTTTTAAAAATCAACTATTTATTAACTGACTACACAGTAGTGAAGAACGGAGTGTAGAGAGCAAAACTTGGACTCAACATTCCGTGCAGGGACAAGCTGAACAATGAAGAAAGAGAGCGTTACCTTAGCAACATTGTGGACATTGCTGGACTCGACCCATATGAACACACTGTCTATCCAGGAGATGATTTCGAGATGCCAGGACCACTAAACCGAGTGCATTTGATGCACTCGGTATGATAGAGATAAAGTGTTGAACCAGCTTTTTAGATTAACAAAAGAACATGAATAAAAGAAAAGAGAATGTGAGGGTCTTATTTTAGGATAGTACATAAGTCAAGTAAAGAAAAGAATTTTAGGGCTTTTTTGTTTTTCATGTAGTTCCAAGATTTTTTGTATATTCTGAGTTTGTTTGTCCATCCATTGAAGTGATTCAGTGTATTATCCATCCATTCAATTATTCCATTCAATCTAGTAAATGAAAAATGAAAAAAAACAAACACTATTTTTTGATCTAGATAACCAAAAAATAAAAAAATAGTGTTTGTTTTTGTATTTTCAGTTCAAAACAAAATATATAATAGAGATAGAAATGAAAACAAGATAATAAATCTACCTTCTGTTTTTCGGGTTATTGATGTCCCCATTTCCCACGGTGCCACATGTGCAACAAAGTCACCAACAACGTGGACCAAAAGATTTAATATGTTTTTGTTTCCATCTCTATAATATATTTTGATTTGAGCTGAAAATATGAAACAAACATTTTTTTTATTTTTTGGTTGTACAGAAAAACAAATAAACAAAATATTGACTCGTTTTTTCGTTTACTAGATTGAATAGAATAATTGAGTGGACGGATGATACATGGACCCATCCATTGAAGTGGGGCTTCATTTTTAGGTACTTAATCTGTGAATGAAATGTTTTACACATGGGGTATTTTGGCTCCATATTCGTACGATGTACATTGTAATTTTGCATTTTTTATTGTTAATGTGGAAAAGCATAATACCCCCCCCCCCCCCCCAACTGAATTTGATTTAAAAAATCATTCTGGTGTTATCTACTGTCTGTCAAAACAAAAGTTATCAAATCATATTTACTTACTTCTAATTAGGTCTAACATGCATATTAATGATCGAGCTGTGTGAGTTTATGTAACTGCACAAATAAAACAACTCTTTGTGAAAATGTTTCCTTTAAAATAATGTGACCAAACTGATTGCTCAGCTACAAGTGCATTTATTAATGATCATACATATACAGGTATGCTGAATTACTAAAGGTAAGCCCAGCTGAAGAAAGTGCTTTTGAACATAAATATGATTCCAAGAAAACAGACAAGCTTCCACCTTAAATCTTATTATAAGTGCGACGAAGTTACCACACTAAAGAAACATTTCTAACTATTCATAATGTTACATCTACTTCACAATCTAAGACAAATAGTTTGTTTCCAGTTCTAATTCTTTTTTTTTTTCCCAAGGCACATCCATGGTTAAAAAAAAAAAACAAAAAAACAAAATAAAAACCACAGTCTTTTTTTTTTTTTTTTGTACATTTGGACCCAAAAGCCAAAGAAGTTGGTCTATCTCACACAATTCAGAAAATGACCAAAACAAAATCCCACCAGGCGTGATGACTTTTGGATTATTGAACCACAAACTGTAAATGAATGTTTGTGATTTCAAAAACTATTTAAATCTAAAATTAATAAGAAACAGTCAGCTGGAAAAAAAGATGAGTAAAAATATGAGCCTTCATGTTGTAGGTTTCACATCATAGAAACTTATGACTAAAGGATCCAATGTGTAGATCCAACTGTATTATTGTAAAGAGATTGCACTTTTAATTTTTTTACACATTAACATTAATCATGGTTCGAGGTAACCTTATCCGTCTGTATCATCCACATTGCTATTATCTCTCTGACACTTCTCGCTCTGCTGGTGGACACATTTTGATCATCACAATCTATGTTTCTTCAAGCAAAAATGAGCTGAGACGTGAAAAGGAGCGTGAGGAGGACAAACAAGGAGAAGCCAGCATCTGCTCGTGCGTGGAAGCCGCTGCCACCTGAAAACAGAAAACAAGCAGAAACTCATTTTAGAAAACCATTCAGAGGCACCAGAGGTAGTCTGTAGTGGCTATGACCAAAGGAGTTAATTGATTGTTTTTGTTGCTTTCAACTCGTCACAACTCACCTGAAGTGGAGTTGGTGGTTGCTGAAGGAGCAAGAGTTGTGGGATTATTTGAGGCAGTAGTTGCTCCAGCTGCAGTAGTGGCTCCAGCTGCAGTGGTTCCTGAAGCTGCAGTAGTGGCTCCAGCTGCAGTGGTTCCTGAAGCTGCAGTGCTTCCTCCAGCTGCAGTGCTACCTCCAGCTGCGGTGGTTCCTGAAGCTGCAGTGGTTCCTGAAGCTGCAGTGCTTCCTCCTGCTGCAGTGCTTCCTGAAGCTGCAGTGCTTCCTCCTGCCGCAGTGCTTCCTGAAGCTGCAGTGCTTCCTCCTGCCGCAGTGCTTCCTGAAGCTGCAGTGGTTCCTGAAGCTGCAGTGCTTCCTCCTGCCGCAGTGGTTCCTGAAGCTGCAGTGCTTCCTCCTGCCGCAGTGGTTCCTGAAGCTGCAGTGCTTCCTCCTGCCGCAGTGCTTCCTGAAGCTGCAGTGGTTCCTGAAGCTGCAGTGCTTCCTCCTGCCGCAGTGGTTCCTGAAGCTGCAGTGGTTCCTGAAGCTGCAGTGCTTCCTCCTGCCGCAGTGCTTCCTGAAGCTGCAGTGGTTCCTGAAGCTGCAGTGCTTCCTCCTGCCGCAGTGCTTCCTCCTGCCGCAGTGGTTCCTGAAGCTGCAGTGGTTCCTGAAGCTGCAGTGCTTCCTCCTGCCGCAGTAGTTCCTGAAGCTGCAGTGGTTCCTACTGCCGCAGTGGTTCCTGCGGTAGTAAGAGAGCTGTTGGAGCCAGCCCTGCCTCCTGTTAACCCAATGTTAAGTGTGTCAAGATCCTCTTGAAGCTGGCTTCGGACCCAGTTCTGTACCACGGTTTCATTTTCATAGGTCTTCAAATTTGGCAGGTTGTCTCCAAGAAGACCCTTAACCTCAGTGACGTCTAGTGCCTGGAGAGAGCAGAGAAGACATATATACATCTAAATTGATTTACACATCCGTTTAAAAAATGAACTTTTTCGACAATTATGGAACTTGGAGTGGACAAAGCGTTAAATGTTGTCTCTTTGCTGATCCTGACTCTATAACGTGACAAAAGTTGACAGAAAGTTGCTGTATTTTAACATTCAAGTGTTTTACTGTCCCTGAATCAATACACTAAATTAACTAAATGTAGCAACAGCCAGTGATTGTAGACACAAAAGATAATAATCTTTCAGAACTCTTTTTTGAGATTGACTGCAGAACATGCAGGTGTGCGCATTACTGACCTGTATTACATTCTCATCCAAACCAGTGAAGGTATCCAGGTCCATGTTGATATCTGAGGCTGCCAAGTTCTGGACATATCTTAGATCAGCACCCCCTACAGGCCAAAGTATAGATTAGGTATTACAAATCAAGTTCTTTCACAAGCTGTATAATTGTGTGTGAATGTTTCCTTGCCTGTGTATGGCTGTGTTAGTTGATAGGAAGAAGGAGAGATAGTTGTTGTTCGGGTTTGGGTGGCAAATGCTGCTTCAGCGATCGTAAATAGGGCTTGTTTTTTATCCAAGGTACAATTGGATATATCCAGGGCGTCTGCGTCTCTGTAGGGGACATGAAAAAAATGAGGATGAAATGAGTGTGATCATTTATTTTCAAGGCAGCACCTAAATAATATGTTGCAACTTAACCTGCATGCCTGAACTAGCTCCACTTGGGGTACTAAAGAGGTGGGACTACTATCAAGTCCACTACCACTAGTAGTCCAAGATTGAAGAGATTCCTTTAAAGGTGGAGTAGGCAGGATCTGAGGAAGTGTCAGTTTTTAGGAGAAATCTTGAATGTAAACACTCCCCCTCCCAACCAGTTTTCCCCTCAGCTCCTCCTCTCCCCTCCCTCTCTGCTCCAGCAAGCCCCGCGACGCTCCTGCTCGCTCGTATCGTTCCAATTAAATTACGTATAATACAGGTAAATACTTCAGATCATTACAAATGGGGCCCAGTCAAGGTGAAAGTAAAAAGCATGGGTGCTACTGTAGATGCCAACAGACTACCAGCAAACACAATGTTTGCAGGACTTCTACAACTAGGATAAAGTGACATAGTCCAGGACCCGAGGTCAACAGTTTAGCGATGGCGCTACAACACGCTACAGCAGGTCCGTTTGACAAGAAACACTTCTGTTACAGACACTTGTCTTACTTTGTTAAAGCGGTTTACCTGTCCAGCAGAAAGGTTACAGGGTCACCAAGATCCCCAAGCATCCCTTATTGTTTTATGTTGACCCGGCTTTTTAGCTCTTGTTCAGTCTACCTCCATTTTAAGCGCCCGTTATTCCGCCAGAGTCTCCGGTATTTACTTTTTCTTACTTGTGTTGGCAGTCGTGGCCAAAGGAGGATACAGACAATTTTCCGAACTTTCTGGTTGGTTTCTACTGTCTGATATTGTAGCACGCTAACTTTGTTTGGGCTCATGAACAACACGAGGGAGCAGCGTCTGCCTAACAACCAATCAGGTTGGGGGAGGCGGAGAACGGCTTTGTTTACATTTAGAAAGGGGGTAAATCAGTAACTAATAGCTATTGACTGATATTAAATGCTTTTTTGTATATACACCACAAAAAAGATGAGTCTTCAACAGATTCCTGCCTACCCCACCTTTAAAGTGTATAGAGAACTAATTTGCTGGACTCAAATATTATTATATTAACGTAACAATCCTCCAGATGAACTGGCCCCTAAAGTCTTACCCGAGGGCTTGAACTGTTATGCTCGTCAGCACATCAACATTCAGCGTGCACAGGTTTAGTCCCCCGATGGAGTTGAGTTCAGCACTGCCCAGCGTGTTTCCGTCATGACTCAGATACTTGGTGATGATCGCCTCGGCCTGTATGTACGGGAAAAGAAAACCTCAGTTAAGAGGACGAACAGAATCATGCGCGGACATCACACCTTATACTTTTACTGAATTGCTCACCTGGTCAGCGTTCCACTCCCCGTTTGACGTGTCCATTAAAGAGGCGAGGGTGTCGATCTCAGTGACAGTCCACATGTTGATGTCTGCAACAGTAGCCAAACGGGACACCAGACCTAAGAGCTGAACCTGATTCTCTGGGATTGTAGAGCTGTTAGCGTAGGCCTGAAAATGTAGGAGGCATAAGAAATGAATAACATATAATTATACTATTCAGATGTAACCTGATGAAGATTTTTTGTTGTCCTGTTTGTACGCTCTGATGAAAACATCTATCACCACATTGGCCTCCTCTGTTATCTCTGGTTTTGAATCAGGCTTATCTTTAAAATTTGTTGCACGTTAAGTGTTATTTGCAGCATTTATCTATTGACAAAGGGCCCTTGCTAGCCACCATACTTAAGCATAAACTCCAACATACAGTATTGAAAAATTAAGAAAATGCTAACATACAAAGAAAACTGCAGTTCCTCAAGTGTCCACTCGGGGCCTACTCTTCGATTCTTTTTATGACATTTTTAGTTTTTATCCTCATCTCTGTGTTCTGCATGAGAGGAGTCAATCTTTTATAACTAATGGGCTTTGGTTACATTACAGCTAATAAGTGCTAAGCATAGACTGTATATAGAATGGACGCCGTCTGCCTCCTTGCTGGGTGAAGCCACCCCGAGAACAGCGCCCTCTGGTGACAGGCTGCAGTATAGGTCATAAATCCCGCCTCTTCCAGCAATCCCTATGGAGTTGTGGACAAACTTTAGAAATTTATTACACAGAATATAATTTTTTCCCCCCCTGCTTGTGATGTTGACATGTAGTTATTGTAAGACTTTTGTTTCTATGATTGACACTTGATACAGCCTTTGGGCGTATGAAGATTGCGTAGCTCACCCGGGGGAATACGCTGTTTGAGTCGAGCGTCATCACAGTGACTCTCCCGCCGAATGCTTACAACGCTACTGCACAATATTGGTTTCAGGACGTGGAGAGGAAACGCTGAATTACCGAGAGCTTTTCGGCTCCAAATCCATATACTGCTGGAAGGCGGAACCAAGTTGTCCATAGTATATACAGTCTGGTATGGTGCTAAGACAGTGACTTTTCTCCCCCCTTCTGCTCGTCCCTCCATTAGCCAGAATCCCTCCCCTCCTTTACCTCGTTCAGCTTGTTCAGAACAACCCTGAGGTATTCTTCTTCGTCAACTTGCTCGCTGATTGCAACCAAGTTGTCTCTGACAGTGGCGGGGCTTAGGCAAAGGTTGAACTGTGTTTCATCGTAATCGAAGGGGAACGCGCCATCGCTGATGGTCACTTGGGTGATATTTCCAACAGAGCAGTGGCTTTCTGAGACACAAACAGAGAAAGTTTACAGAGGACGCAAGGGATAAAAAGAGGAAAAGGAGACGAGTAGATGACTATGGGTGACTCACCTGGTGAGCGCTTCGATCTGATGGATTTCCTTATCGCCCTCCTAAACCTCCTCCTCTTCTGTCTGCCCACTCTGTTTTCTCGAAGTACTCGCCTGAAGAACCTCAGGAACTGCCGTTTGGTCCTCTGCTCATAGGAACAAAAAAAAAAAGAACAAAGATTATTAAAACAAAAGACACAATCCAACCTCAGCTGGTTTTGTTGAGAGTTGAGAATCTTAACCAACTACAGTAGGCGCTGATATATTGTGCGAGTGAGACAGGATTTAAGTCACATGTCTTCTGCAAACCAAAACATCCATAAGATGCCAAATATTGGGGTTTAAAGAGTCTGAACTAAGAGATCCAACCGACTGAAGCTACATCCTGTAGGTGCTATCGGCCCCAGGAGCCCTATTCGTCGCCAGAGTTGTCAATCATGACCTCATACCTTCTTTTTTCCAGATCAGGTAACTGATTAAAACTTAACTTTAGACCAAAGTTAACACTTGAACATAAAACAGCATAATAGGAACTAACTGACGGCTAAGAAAATATATATTTGTATTTCAACTTCCTTATTCGGCCTTTGTCGTGTTTGTTATAATGTTTGACACACCACATATTTTGGCTTCACTTCTGGAGGGCTAAAATACTTTCAATTTTTATGCGATCTAGGCATTTTAACAAATAAATTTATTACACTCTTCAATATTTGATTCCTACCCTGTCAAAGTTCCCAAAGAAGCTTGAAGGCAGATACAAGTTCAGCAAGCCAAGGCCCTTCAGAGTCTGTAAATCCCATCTTTCTGGAGCTCTGGTTGTCAAAAACAATGAAAAAAAACAATATTTTAACCTCTCACCACTCATATTTTTTATTTTATTTTTTTCATAGAGAAAAATAGATGTTGTTGACATACCCAAACTGTGTTCGTCCACTCCGTAGATTGGTTTCGATGGCAGCTCCTTGACTTGTAGTGAGGTCTGGGCAGGATTGCAGTTTTTCCAAGATGGCCGGATCAGAGTTCTCGATGTAGGAACCGTCGAGAACGCAGCACATGTTGCCCAACACTCTTACGTTATCCTCTGTGAGGCTTGTGTTTGTGATGCCCTTGGATAGAGAAGAGATAAATGCATTTAAAACAAGAGGCCACACAGGACTTGAATATCTAAATGTGACGAAACAAGAACTTCCATCTGGGACATTTCTGTAGTCAGCTGTGAGATTTAAGAGTTGCATATAACCCTGATGTAGCAACTTAGTAAAAACTTACTAAAAAAAATAAAATAAATAAATGAATATATATATATATATATATATATATATATATATATATATATATATATATATATATATATATACAGTTGTCAAACATAAAAAATAAAAAAATAAAAAAATTTAAAATAAAACAATAACAATAATAATAACAACAACAACATCAATAATAATAATAATAATAATAATAATAATAACTTAATAATAACTATTTTTCTTTATAGCACCTTTAAAAACAGATGTTTACAAAGTGCTTTAACAGAAGAAGCCAACAAATGCAAAAACAGACAAAGGAAGATTGACAGTTAAAAAAGCACAGTTAAAAAAGGTAGAGATTGGTAGTTGGTTGATGGCATCACTTCAGGATGGTGAAAAGGAAAAAGATGGATAGAAGACATATAGAAGAGGAAGATAGATAAAAACATAGATAATTTAATAAGATAAGGTAAAATGTTCAAAACAGGACTATAAAATAATAACAACAAGGTTAAACAAGAGGTAGCAGGCAACAAATTAAATACGTAAATAAATCATACATCAAGTAAAAGCAAGTCTAAAAAGTGAGTTTTAAGAAGTGATTTCAAAGATGTTAAAGTATAAAATATAAAGCCTCCCTGACTAGCTGGTTGCGGTACAGGTGAGGAAGTTCTGCTCCTCCATGTTAACAGATGGGACATTTAACACCAAAAAGATGAACTAAATCTTATTAAAACATGATCATTATAGTTAGTTTGCCCTGTTTCATATCCATGTATTCTTCCTTCATCAAAAAAGTTCTGCTGCGGTAAGCTCTCTGTCGCTAGCAGAATCCCCTGGTTCTGTATCATATTCTGACCTCAGTCATAGGTTAGGGGTTAGGTGGGAATCCCCGATGGTTAGGATCAGGGCAGGACTGCAGGCTAGAAAGATGTCAGCTGACCTGAACGGGGGGTCAGGGTTAGGTATGAAGCCTGAGTGGTTAGGGCTAAGTCAGGGAAACGACAGGACAAAAGGTGACCAACATAAACAGACTGTAGCCTGCACTGAGTCCAGGGACTCCGGTCCGAATCTATTGGTAAATATTTGCTTTGGTAAGGGACAGGACTGGGGTGTCAATATGTCTGCTCCAAGAACTGATCAGTCTCTGGCTTCAATGTCAGCACCTTACTTGCTTGAAAAGCACCAAAGCTGGACCTCAATGAATCTGGTTCTTGAGTCTACAGTCTCGATTAGGAAAAGAAAGATCTGCTGTTGGGGGACTCACAAGGCAGCTTCTCGAGTTATCAAACAGCTGGGGCCGTAGGTAACTGAGGGCAGAGGAGAAGACGTAGAAGTTCGCCTCAGCCAGCTCCTGGAAATAAGACCTGCAGCTGTTTGTCGGCACCAGAGAGTAACTGTGGAGAAAAAAGAGGAAGAAGTCAAAACACACCGCTTAGAGGTGGATTTTATTTAAGGCTTTTAAACCTCGTTTAGACATGAGTAAAACTCACTCATAGTACAGCAGCATATCATGAGGATACAGGCTGAAATCGCTGGCATCTGCTTCTTGTTCAATAAGGCGGTACATGCAGGTTAGCTGTTGGTGAGAAAAGATGTAAACGTCCTTGGTTACACGACTACAACTGGTTTCTGTTGGTTTGCTGCTGAAAAGACGGTGAGTTCAAAATCTGACATTTTTGATCTTTTTTTTTTTCTGTTGATCAACCTTTGCATTGTTTGCTGTTATGATGCAACGTCATCTATCCACCAATAAATTAAGATAAGAGCGCAAAACTTAACTGTGACTTCATCATGATTGTATTCTTATGTTATCAAGATTTTATCGTGACTTTACTACAATCATATTCTCATAAAATTATGACTTTATTGAGACTTTATCATGACTGTATTGTAACGATATCATGACCATACTGAGACTTTATTACAATCATATTCTCATAATATCATGACTTTACTGTGACTATATCCTGGCCCTCATACCCTGATGAAGCACTTCGAAATTTCTCCATGTGTGATTTGTTCTTCCACGTGTTTAAGTTCAATTCCCCCCCTTTGGCCTCTAACCTGCATGTCATTCCCCACTCTCTCAAAACTTGATCGACCCTGTAGGTTTTTTTAAATTTATATCTTATCTTACAAAACAACACGACCAAATCCCCAAAAGTACATATGCCGGCACCGTTTTTTCTCAGCTCAATCCAAAGTGAGCGACATCTGAACATCTTTATCTAACTTCACTGTAAGAGCTCAAACACAAACACTCACCTGAGTCTCTGTCAGCCGGACCCTCCTGGCCCCCCGTCTGCGGCTGGCTTTGATCAGCTTTCTAATCTGCGACTTTTTCAAGCCAGCTACTGATGTACATGTGAAGCCTTGGAGCACTGAAGACGACAAACTACACAAACACACACACAGAGAAACACCATGCGTTGAAACTCACATGCAGGGTATTTCCTGATTGGCTACTTTCTCTTGACTTAAGCGTTATAAAACTCACCCGCTTGGACCTCCAAACTCTGCAGTTGATGTTTCAGAAGCTATCGTGTTGAAGAACAACTCGCACTGGGAGAAAAAGGTAAATATTGAGATATCATACACGTGTCAGCGCAGAAGTATTTCAGCGTCATACCCTCCCCTACCTGCTGCTTTTTCCATGACTTCCTGTTAAGCGTTGTGAGGACGCTGGAGCTGCTGGTGAAGCCTCTCATATGTATACGGGGGATTTCTGTGGCCAGTTCATCTGCAACATTTTCGATGATCGCCTCGTTGTTGCCATTTACAGAAATGATCTGAGAGGAGACGTAGGCAGGGAAATGTGAGTTTTAGTAACATCTTACATGAAAACTGCAGATCAAGAAGTCAAGTTGTCGTACCTGAGTAACAAAGGTCCGCCGGGTGATTATTGGGGCGGTGATAAAGTTCCTCCGAAATGAAGCACTTTGACCGGCAGCTATGAGCTGAGGGCCGCTGATGCCTCTCAGAGTTGTCGAGGAGATCCCAATGACAAGAGAGCCCAGCATAAGCAAGGATGAGGAGCTGTTGATCTGTCGGGATGTGAAAAAGGGGAAAACGACATGAATGAGTCTGAAAACACAAACAAAATCGAGGACAAATTGATCATACTCTGACTGAACAACTACCGTCATCATCTGTGAAGACATCAGAGTGGAGATAATGGCCTGGGCCTGCCCTACGTTCCAGTCCATCACTGAGGCCAGAGTGCCGAGAGAGTCCACAATTTCTTGGGGATTTATATTCAGGAGCTGCGCCGTTGACAGGCTGGCGCTTTCGTTGCCGAGGACTTCGATGATGGAAGCATCAATGTCATCACCAAAGTTATCCGCCAAAGCTGCAGAAATCTAGAGGAGACACAGAAATCTATAAACTCTGTATTTTTAAGACAACGTGAAGAAAAATGAAAATAAATCTTACTTAAAATTAAACTTATCAAGGAGTCAGGTTTGTGTAATTTCACAAAGGTAGATTAATCCCAATCTATGCTTTAAACTGTTTTCATCAAGTACAAGGAGTCACATGACAGCGCTCTGCTGCCCTCCTGTGCTGTCTTGTTTGGTGATGATGATACGCCCTGAAAAATTCATCTTTTTTTCTGTAATATTTATGAGATATAAACTGGTTAAGGGTTAATAAGATTAATTATATTTATATACTTAAGATACCAGCTCTCAGAAGTCAACACTCAGAGTAGGGCTGCACGATTTTGGCCAAAAATAAAATCCTAATTTTTTTTTCAGAAAACTTGATTTTCGATTTTTTTATCCAGTAACAACTTCACCAAACTTCACTTTGAAAATAAAATGTTTTTCTATCATCTCTCAAAACTAAACCACTGAAAATGATGTAGTGCATATGTTATGCATATATTTTTTCTGATCGGACAGGTTTCTGTGGACACTGTCCGCCTCCTGATGAGGGAAAACAATCCTCTTTGATAAGGAACGACGTCATACCTCGATGGTTAACTCTGTTGTTTACAGTTTCTTACCTGTGAGTCTAGATCTGTGCAGATATCTGTCACGTTGGCCAGGACTGTTTTACTCTCTGCTTCGTTCAGTTGGCTGAATGCTGGACCAGGAATTTCACACCAGCCCATTGGAGGAAGCCTGCAGAGAGACAAAGAGTCAGTATACAACTGTTAGTTATTCTTTTTACCAGGGAAATTCAAAATCACCAAATATACGGACAGATTGTTTTATCAAACAAAACGATAACAGGCATTATAGACTCACAGTAGAGGGTTGAAGTTGCCGTCCTGCGAATAAAGAAGCTCGATGTAGTAGTTGGTGAAGCTGAGCGGTAGGTCGTACTGGTGGAGGAGAGCGATGTTCTCACGGTTCACTGTGAATGACTGGATAACCTACAGACAGGAGAGAGGAGGACGAGGAGGTGGTCTTAAAGTTTAGATCCATCCGTCTGTGATTTTAGCTCCATCTCTTCTCGTCTAGACTCCCTCAGTACCTGTTCAGATCCAAACGTCTGCAGAGTCTCCACAGACAGGTGGGGCATGAAAGGGCCGATGTACTGCACAAACCAGGCGGTGGAGTTCAGGTCTGGGTTGTTGGGCTCGTAGCACCTCGGAGATGAATCTGAGGACAATGACAAATATGAATATAAGAGAAACTAATTAAAAGGATACTCCATGGGGAACTGCTACAATCCAGACAAACTGAAACAACTGGACACTGGCGCCGAATCGATTATGTTAGTATTGTTTCAACCAGGGGTCCTCCCAAGTGATTTATTTATGCGGGTTGCATAATCCTTTGGCAGACTGAACACTTACATCTCTCGGTAAAACTCAATGAAAAATCAGTGGTAAAGAAGTAATAGTGCGTTCCATTTTTCCTCGGAAGTCGGAGCTGGGAATGATGTCACACCTGCGTTGTCAGCGTTTCAGTTACAAAGTCGGACAAAAAGTAGCCAGCAGCCAAAAACGGAAGCGGAAACAAGATGGCTACATCTACGAAAATTATTCTCAAATACAAACTACTTCTGGCCAAATATGCCGTCCTTCTGCAACCTGCAAACACGGTGGATGAAGAGGAAACACAAAGGTGCAGAAGGTAGCCCTTATTGTTTAAAAAAAGTATTGATCGCTGTTTGATCGGTCATCAGTTAATAACGGGCGATTGCTCTTAACAACTGCATACATGTGTTTTGTCAGTTATATGTTGATTTAAATCAATAACATCAGCTGTTGTCTGAAAAGGAGCTTCTACTAATTGTTTACAACCGGCGCCGCCATCTTCAAATGTCAACTTGGGGGTTGTTTTGATTGTCTGACTTTCCGAGTGGGAAATCCGACCTCAGGGGTCGTTTCAGTTGAAAGTTCCAAATCAGAGCTCGGAAATCCCGACTTCTGAGTCCAACAAGAATGCACCATAAATATGTAAAGATAAAGTTGGTGTCATTCTAAAGATTCACCTGTGGCGAGGTAATCTCCAATGGTGGCAAACACATCTGACTCATTAAAGTCTGCAGCAGCGTAGTTGAATCTTCCGAGAGTCACGATGCTGAAGGACAAAAGGAAAACAAAATCACGCCTTCGAAGGCGAAACATCTGGATAAAAGTGATGTTGAAATGTTGTGGCATCTCTACGTACAATTTCTGGAAGGAGAGGCAGGAGGCGTTATGCACGAAAGCCGGGCTGACCAGATTCCTTGTGAGTAAGGTTGTGTAATTGTGGAGGCTTCTTTCGAACCAGCGCTCCACGTCTTCTCTGTTGGTGCTCATGAGCGCCGTGGGCCAGACGCAAGGCAGTGTTTGCTCTCGCACCGACAGTGACAGAAACTCCTGCAGGGAATGTAGAGAGGAAGATCAAGATGCCTGATGATCACAAATGTTCGCACATTCACGTGTTTGTGTTTTTGGGTACGGTACGTACCGTCTCCAGGAAGTCCTGTATCCGTGCATACTCGCTGTAGAGCTTACAGAGCATTTCATCGTCGTCTACGATATCAGTGTGGCGGAGATACTCCCCAAGATGTGCTGGAGGAATGGAGTTCACCAGCTAGAGGAAGAAAATCCTGTGAATCCCAGTCTTACAAAACCCAATAAGCAATAAAACTAAAACCGTCATAACCGAATGCACACCTGGTTAGTCCTGCCCGGAGGGATGAGGGACAGGAAGGTGGTCACATTGGGGAACTGGAATCTCAAGAAGGAGAACTGAAGGAAACTGTAGAAGCTGCGATTGAGGTTGACACCATAGCACTCGAGAGGTACGGGTCCTGGAGAGATGTGGAGAATAGAAACAAACTTTTGAACTCATAGATGTGGTTTTAAAGGTGATTCCTCAGAGCTGATGTGCATCTTAAGGTTGTGAATTTACTCCTGTCATAAACAAACACCAAAAGAGTCAGGAATCCGGCGCTGAAATCTCATACTTGTGATGAGATTTTGGACTCAGAGTCAGTTGGTGAAACTGTGGGATTAATCTCATGGATTATCCTTTGCTTTGAATCTCTTATTCAACGTACCAAGAACACATCGAGGACTTTCTCAATCACCACAGTCCACGGCAGGACAGGTTCTGGTGTTAGTTTTAAAGCTCAGTGACTCTTAAGTTAGTGTTTGTGTTTTCGTTCAAAATGCTGCTGCTCGTCTTTTAACAGGTAAACGAAAACATGATCCCATCACTCCAATTCTGGCGTCCCTCCATTGGCTTCCCGTTCATTTTAGACTTCATTTTAAACTTTTATTGTTTACACATCTCTGACCTCTTAAAGGTTTATTACCCCCCATGTTCCTTGAGGTCTGCTGATCAGCTCCAACTCATCCTTGAAACTCGTTTAAAACACCGTGGCGATCGAGGTTTCTCGCCTGTAGCTCTCTAATTGTGGAAGATTTGCCACTCGAGATTAAAACGCCCCCACTCTTTCTACTTTTAAATCACGTCTTGAAACTCATTTTTATTCCTTGGCTTTTAGTTCAGCGTCAGAGTTGTGCGATCTCTGTCCTTTTATCACTTCTATTTTTTTTTGTGTTTTTTATTTCATTCATTTTATTTCATTTCAAATGTTTTTTAACCTGCTTTCATTTGTTTCCTCTTGATTTTTTTTACATCGATGGTGTTTGATCTAAATGTAATATATCAATAAAGTGGATTGTATTGGATTTCTTTCTCCAATCTTCAGTGTCTAATGCTTCAGGAGTCTGATTTGTCCACAAAACTGGTAGCAAGTTATAGATAATCCCAACTCGCATCAGTGTGAAAGGTGATGTCCAATGTTAGTGTTTTTCCACCGTCAGGCGCTCATTAACTCTGTGTGTGTCTGACGAGCTTTGTGATGCATCCAGTACTCCAGTTTATGTTCATTTCACCATCTTTAATTTCTACAGCAGCATTTCTATTTCTACTATTGCTGTAAAAAAAAAAACAGGTTTTTCCATGACTTCCAGGATCCTATCAGATCTCAGAATAGTCATCTTGGATCAGCTGTTTTGGGCCTGTGATAGAAGCCACCTTAGGTCCCACAGAAACATGTCTGACTCTTGAGAAAAAGGGGCGGCGGTTGTAGTCATGCTTGGACTCTGATCGTCCACATCTCTTTGTTTTTACCTCTGAGAGACTGAACGATGTGGTTGTGGATTTCTCCTCGTGTAATGCCACCCAGCGTTGGTACGACAGCGTCCAGAATCTCCACTCTGAAGAAAAAAAAAAAACATGTAAAGATACTTGACATTTATATTCAGAAGCAGCTGAAGACATGAGATCAGTCTCTGTCAGTCCTGTGTCTCTCTCCAAACTGACCCCAGGTGTTGAATGCTGCAGTTCCTCCCAACCAGTATTCTGAAGAACAGTGGGACGTGGTCGTGTGACATGTTGACCACCAGGGGGCGCATTCGGTTGTGGAGCCAAACCCCTGCTGCTCTATCGCTGACTGAGGGCTCTGAGAGGTTGGCACGGTCAAACACGACTTGCAACATGGCTGACCTCGCCGTAAAGGGGAAAGATTCGCCGTGATCCTGCGGAGAGAGGAGAAATGATCGGAGAGAGAGAGACAGACTTAATTTGTCTTTGAAGTTTCTACAGTTTCAACTTTTGTCAGGACATTTTTCAGGGAAGTAAAAATTATGATTTTATTCTTACACATAAAAACAAGACAAAGTAATGGGGGTCTATCGGAGAGACTATGTCCTTCGGCTGGCCTGGGGACGCCTCAGGGTCCCCTAAAGACTGAAACATACAGGGTCTGTATTGAGCGTGTAACGTCAGCATGGGTTTTCATTCTAATTAACGCAGCATCGCATACAGGACGCGGATCAGCTCCGTGTCAGAAGCGTATCGAGCGCAGCTCTGCTAAAGTTACGCAAAAGTCTATTTTTGTTGCTCTACGCTTCCAACTCGTGTCAATCTACACAGAGAAGATCGTTCTAGACAGGATGTCAAGCACAAAAACCGTGCATGTCATCCGGTAAATTTCACAATAAAATACCATATGCAAACTCCCGACTGTGTAGCAGTTCGTGTAGGTGAGAAATACTTCCTGATTTATCAGTAACACAGAACAATGCGATGGTCAATCCCTGATCCATGTGAAACATAAACATAATTTACTTTATTTAACACGAGTAAACCTGCAAAAACCGAAACTGTAAAATCACTTAAAGCTTTTTCACATACAGTAGAGGCTCAACAGTCACTGAATTATATCCAAATTCGCAGGAAATAGACCACAGAAAAACAACCTGTTGTGAGTGTGTTGTTTTCTCTATTCTGAGCCCAGCTGACCAGCGCTGCACTACGCTGCTGTCACGCTCCAAATACGCTGATCCTGTATGTTTTGGCTAAAGAAGAGCTGGGAAAAGTGGATGGGGAGAGGAAAGTCTAAGCTTCTCTGTTTAGGCTGCTGCCCCTCTAGAAGATGGATAGATGGATAAGTTTAGTGGTATCAATTTCAGAATTTCTTAAAGGTTTATTGTCACCCATCTCTGGCACAAACGTTGTTTGATTTTCTGGCACCTTTTAAGGAAATCCAACTTAAAGGGAAACTGATCCGAGCACTCACCGTTAAAGCAGGTGAGAAGTCGTCAAAAAAGGCGGCCAAGGATCTGTCTGGGACGTGACGCATCACCATCTCAACGTCCTCTGCAGTGTTGAGCACTCCAGGAGTGGCTGCCACTGTGGCCAGCTGTTCGACTGACAGCGCGGAGAGAGCCTCCGTCTGCATGTAAGAAAAAAACATTCATAATCAAGAAAACTGGAAATACAAAAACAAGAGAATGAACCGGAGCATCAACGGCTGGAAAAGTGGAATATGACGTACAGGTCTGAAGCCCGGATAGAGCATCTCAATTTCTCCCAAAGGTGCAAGGAAGGCAAAGCCTCCTAAGTTCCTCTCCAGCCATTCGACACTGGTGTTGATCTGGGATCTGCAGCCTGGGTCTGAACGACACAAACAAACAACCTCATCTGTGCTGCAGGAGGCATAGACGCACAGAAAACCAACTCTGGCATGCAACATCATGAGCTTCTCTGCTGGTTTACACTTTCTGTTTCTAGAGAGAAGATGTGAGGACCTACCTGCTGTGTCATTCAAGCTCAGGTATCCCCGAATGAAGTGCCTGTAAACAAACATCTGCGTGGACGGTGACATGCGGGGCAGGAGACCGCTCAAGAACCGCACCCTGAGGTCAGAAACGAAACCCGACATGATACGCTGAACACACTCTGAAATCAAGAAGTTTTAAAAAAGGTTTCTTGTTCATGTTGATGCTTACAGAGACTGGAAGGTGTTGCAGTTCAAACCCCTCGTGATCAGACATGACAGGAAGTCAGGGGTAACAAAAGGCAGGAATGGGCGGAGCCGGTGTAACCACCTCCGAATGACCGAGGGGTTGTTGATGCTGATTGTACCGAGGGTATCCAATCGGATTTCTCGTATGGAGTCTAGTATCAGTGGCAGTGCAGGATCTGTGGGGTCCAGAGTCTGTGCGGAAAAAAAGAAAAAAGAGTCAAGCGTCTTATTCTGATCGGGAGAAGGTGGAACGAGGAGTGAAGCTGAATCGTACCTTGTTGCTCAGCTGGTCCAGAGCCTGATCCAGAACATGTGAGGCTCTGGAGAGGAGAAGCTTCCAGACGGGTCTGGAGCCGCTGTTGTTAGAGTGATCACACATCAGCAGCATTTGCAGATCCTCTGCTTTTAGAGCCGACAGCTGTGGGAGAAAACAGACGGATGACAAAAAGGAGGTCAGGAAATACTTCTGACTGATGCTGTTTCATGAGACAGCTTCCAAACGGCGGCTGCTGTTACCGAGGTGCACGCATACTCCTCCAGAGAAAAGTCACAGACACGTCCGCTCATCTGTCCGCTCTGGAGGTGACTCTGCAGCATCGTGCTGAAACGTTCAAATAAAAAGAAGAAGAAGAAGAAGAAGAAGAAGAAGCGGTCATTTCTAGTCATGAAACATAAATTTATTAAAGGAGTCTGAGAGTGATTTAGAAAAAAAACATACCTGTTCACTCCAGAACAGATGTCTGTTTCTGTGAATGAAGACGTAACATGGAAGATTAAAACTTTAATTGTCAAATTATTTTATTTCTCAGTTTTTCTCATTTAAAAAGAAATCTTACCGTTTGTTACGGTGACGTTGCACTTAGAGAAGGAGAAAGAGAAACATGGTTAGGAGACTTTTATCAAACTGAGACTGAGAAATACTGAAAAAAGGACAATCACAGGGAGTTACCTGTCCACTGTATATGATACAACCTGAAAAACAAAAACGCAAAGTGATTAGAAATGAACGTCATAACTTATTTGAGCAAAAGAAGAAGACGAAGAGTATGAAGAGGAAGAAGAAGGAGGGAGGAGGAGCAGCGGAAGACAAAGAAGAAAACAAAGATGTACGTGGAAGAAAAAGGAGACAAAGAAGACGAAGAAGTAGGAGAAGAAGAAGAAAAAGAAAAAGACGACAAAGAAGAAGAAGACAAAGTTAAAGAAGAAGACAAAGACGAAAATTAAGAAGAAGGAGAAGAAGATGATGATGAAGAAGAAGGAGGAGGAGCGGAAGAAGACAAAGAAGAAGAAAAGTAGAAGAAAAAAGAGACAAAGAAGACAAAAAAGTAGGAGAAGAAGAAGACGACAAAAAGAAGAAGAAGAAGAAGAACAACAACAACAACAACAAGAACTTTTTTGATACCTGAAGGAAAATTCAAAATAGTTCGTGTCGTGTTGACAGAAAAAAATAAATCAACGTCTACACTGTAGACTGAGACGCCCCCTTGCTCCTCCCTCTCTCAGCAGTAAAGTGACTTTGAGGACCAGAACCCTGTAATTCCTGACTAGTCTGACCCTTTATAAACGTCTATACGAATCCTGCACCCACAACATTCACTTTTCTCCCACATGTTTCAGCAGATTTCTAACCCTAACCCACTCTAGTTTGTCCCTTGTGCGTACCGTAGAAACATAGCTGTGCTGTCGTATAAATATATAAACATACGAATGAATCTATCTGTATGATCGTCACTGAATACTGCTGAATATGCACAATATTTACGGTCTAAGGCCAACACAGAAACAAAGAGAGGCATCATAAATTAATTTACTTTTTTTCACGGTTTAAGAAAGTAAAAAGCTTGACAAAAGTTTATTTATCAATTTTTCATAAAGTGTGTTTCTTACCCCGAGGTATGTGCTTGGATAAGGCCACTTTGGTGTAGGTGATAGTCGCTGCTACATCAGGAGGAGCTGTACCCTGAGCCAGGTCCAGTCTGGTGAACCTTTAAGAGCAACAGTAACATCACGGTTTAGAGTTTCAATTCTGGTTCATAGTTTGGTTATTTTAAATCTGACAGACACACCGACAGTGAACTCATGAACTCACAGTGTTCTGTATGAGGGACAGGACAGATCTCCCTGTAATGAAAACAAACAAAGAGGATTTTTTTTACAACTCGTGACTGATTTTTGAAAAACAAACAAACAAAAAGAAAAAAGTGTGGGGGGCCATGCAGCAAAGGATTGTGGGCATAATTCAAACCAGCGGTCTTTTAAAGCAGTGTTTAGGATGTTTAGACCGCTCCACAACCTCATACATCGAAGAAAAATTCATTTCTAAACAGAAAGACGTCTGTGTCTACCACTTGGAGGAAGAAAACGAGGTGCATCAGGAACTCTTTGACGTCCTCGGGGTCGGAAGTTTCAGCGTGATCAAAAAGCCGATTTATGACTTCTTCTTGATCGGGTAGATTGGCAAAAGTCGACACAAGCAACTCTGCTCTCTGCCCTGGAGTCAAGAGTTGAAGGACATCGAGCTGAAAAAAGAGAAGAGAGAACGAAAGTTACTTCCTCAGGTCGGAGCTAAACAGGTAGGTCCAGAAGAAAAAAAAAAAGGTGATCTAATCTTGGTAAAACCCTCAGATTGTGCTGTTAAAAATCATCATTCAGAAACACAGACCAATAAGAGTTTGTAACTATAAAAAAAATCTAAGTTTGTGTGGATTTTGGCGCCCCCTGTGGTCAAAAAGTGCAGTAGAGTCCTAGCAAGGCATTATTTAGTGTATATCTGGACAAAAATGATTCAAAAACCAAAACAAAAGTAAGACGGATTACTAGTGAGGAAAAAAAAAAAAATTCCCAAATCTAGATTATAATCCAGACTAAAGCTTCTGAACAACCGGTCTGTGATAATGAAAAAAAAAATGTTGATAGTACAAAAATCTTACAGGTATGAAGGTTGGGTTGAAGAGAACAAAGTCACCGACGGTCAGAAGCGCAGAAAACGGACCCAGATTCCTCATCAGCCACTCTGCGCTGTTGTTCGAGATGAGCACACAGCTGAGACCTGAACAAGATACAAGGGGGATAATGAGACACCTGTAAATACTGGACCAGGTTTGAGATCACAAACACCTTTCAGATTGTGCAGCGAGTACCTGACTGCCGCAGATACGGGAGGATGAACTCTTTTACGACCACGTGCTGTTGATTTACAGTCATGTTATCAAAGCGCTGGATGAATCCCTGCAGTCTGAAAATAAAGGAAGAGTTCAACTCATCGTTTTTAATCTCTTTGGAGGCAAAGTAGAGTTAAAACTGTAGAGGTTTAAAGTCAAACAGTCTCTTACATTAGCTGGTAAGTATGGCAGCTGAAGTTCCTCTGGGTCAAACAGTCCAAAAACCTCGGCGAGGCAAACGGCAGGAAGGCGCTCAGACGGACTGAGAACCACCTCATGATGATGCTGCTGTTCATCAGCTCCTCATCCGTCAGCAGAGACACTCGGATCTCTCCGATCACATCCAAAACCTCTCTGGCTGCTGGGATGACCACGGTCTGTCGAGAGGTTAACTCATCGCTTTAGACATGAAGCCGCGTTCCTCTTTAATTCGATTTACTCACTGAGAAGAAGTCAAAGATGTGTAGGGGTACTGACCATGTTCGCGCCGGCTAGTATGTCCAGAGCTGGGTCCAGGACGTGGGAGACTTTAGTCAGCACCATCTTCCACAGCATTTTAGAGTGGCTGCTGTTTCCGGGCAAATCACACTTCAGGAGAGACACCAGCTGATGGGCGGTGAAGTTATCCAGCTGCACAGAGGAGGAAACACAGTCATATCGTGATCCAGTGAGTTGGAGATGAGTCCTTCAATGTCCAATCTGATTTTAGTCACCTTTGCGCACGCATAAGTCTCCAAAGGCAGACTGCAGGACACCCCCATTGCTGAGCTGAAGTGAGGACGGGGATTGGAGCTGTAGATACGAGATTAAAAAGACAGAGAGTGAGAAGGACACGATCCAGATAAAGACAGGATCAGGAAACTTTGAACAATCAGCTGATCAACAAAAGCTCCATGACGTTTCTGACTGAGGAGTTACCTGTTAAATCCTCTGCAGAGACGAGCATCTGTCAAACAGCAGAAACAGATCATCGTCACAAAGGGAGTTAAAGGATCGCAAAGCTGATAACTGGACTTATTTACCTAAATGAGACACTTGAGCATTAATAAACACTTCTTAACTGAGTATTGAAAATGTTTCACATATGTGGTTATAATCAGTGTTGGGGTAACGCACTAGAAGTAACAGATTACAGTAAACATATATTACTTTTAGGGGGTAATGAAGTACAGTAACGCACTAACCACACAAAACAATCACAAACTTAATTCTTTTACTAAACAATAGCCCTCATTTGGATCAAATTTATCTTTTTTTATTTTTCTTGATATTGAGCGTTTGGACCGTTGTTTTTCTTTCGCAGAATTTATTTTTCTTGGGTGTTTTTTTCTCACTGTGTCGCTATCTCGCCGCCTCCCTGTTAAATGTTGCCTGCGAAGATGGCGCTTTCCAACCCAACATGCATCGTGCAATCATATATGGCTTTTGAAAGTCCTATGGAGAGATCGATTTGAGTGATGTAGCTGCTGACGCGAAAGAGAGACGGAAATGGAGACAGCAGATGACACAAGGGCTTTCGGCAAGTGGCGATACTCGCATTACTTTCGCTAAATTAGTCAAAAAGACAAAAATATTCATGTGAAATTCACTCCATGTCCAGGCAATAGACAATAGACAAAACGATGCGGACTACGATGACTGAGCAATGATTTTTGTCTGTGTACCTCTACATCAAGAAACGGGAAAGTGAAGTATTAGGTAGTAAAGCTACTTTTCAAATGCAGTAACTGGTTAAGTAATCGCATTACAATTTACAGAAGTAACTACAGCGAAGAAGTTCAACAGAGCACTGAAATCAAAAACAAACTCTGTGACAGTCACACAAGTTATAAAACAGGACACTGATGTGCAGCTCTTACCGTCAAAGTGTGTTACTGGACACTGTAAAGAGCAGATTGAACACATTTCAAATTACACAAAAATAACGTTTTACATTGAAGATGAACAAGTTTTGGAGATACAGAGTTGATCGATCTTACCGTGATGTTTTTGGGCACACACTCTGTTCAAAAGAGAAACACAAAAGTATGAAATCAACTGTTATCAGGAGGTATGAGTAAAAAGTCATCCTGCAGTGAAGGAGAGACTGACCTCTTGGTGCGATGTCTATCAGGTCATCAATGGTTGCCCAGGTAACAGGTTCCAGTTGCGGGGGCACTATCGTAACGGCGTCATACAGCCTCTCAAAACTGACAGACAAATGAGGACACATCATTCAAAGAGGGCTGTCTAAAACTTTTCAAAACGACAGTAGAGTCAAAATAAAAGAGTAAAACGACAAATAAAAATCTACAGGGTGAAATTTTTCATGAAATTTACCACAAACTAGTCAATTTACTTATTTAAAAAAACCGATAAGAAAGAAAAACCAAATACATCACAGCGTAAAGTTCTGTTTTGATACATACAATGATGTGAAAAAGTTCAATAAATGAAAAATAAAGTTTGGCTGGAACATTTTAACCAACACGACAAAAATCTGAAGGTACTCACATCTGTCCGTAGACTCTGCAGGGCACCTCAACCTGAGGAGTCACAAATTTAGAAATCAAACATCCATAGTTTTACTTAAGCGTTCATCTCATCTGCACCAAGCTGCTACCTCTTTGGCAAGCTCCACCAGGTGGTACAAGACTTCAGGGAACTCCTCAGGTGACTCCAACAGAGAGTGAAACACCTCGTCGATGACGACGTCTTTCTCAGGCGGAGTACGAAGAGGCAGGAGCAGCATCTCCGCGATCTGCCTGGGGGTCAAGTCGTCAAGGACCTCCAGCTGAACGGAGAAAAAAAGAAACAGGAGAAATCCATAAAAAGATGACGTTAAAGGTTCAGGTGAGTCACCTGTCCGGTTTTCAAACTCACCCCAAAGAAGTTCGGGTTGAGGTCGTAGAAATCTTTGACAGAAGCAAACTGTGAAAAGTCTCCAAAGTTTTCATCCAGCCATTCTGCGCTGTTATTGGCTGAGGCGACGCACTGAGGGTCTGCAGCAGAAATGTAGAGTATGTTTGTCAAATGAAGTTCACGTATTAACCCTTTAATTTGACTGAATGTTTAGCTGGCATTTATGAATAAAAACGTTAAATACAAACCATAAAATGTTTATGAAATCTAAAAACGTTCTCCCTTGTTTTGGATTGATTCCACCTCTCTTACCTGTGGTGGTCTGATGCAGCAGAAAAGGAAAGATGAAGTGCTCATGGATGTTACGGCTGTACATCGGGTCAGCGTGCATGAAACTCATGTCGTCGCTGAGCGCTGCCACGCTTAAAAAAAAAAAGAGATTCACGTTAAAAAAAGATTGTAGAAAACGATCCCACCTCCTCAAATCTGCGCCCTCTCTCACATGGTTTGGAAAGCTGGGCAGGAGAAGTTTCTGGTGCTCAGGCAGGACAGGAGGCCTGTGGGTACATCAGGGAGGAGGGGCCTCAGTTTGAGCTGAAACCACAGCTTGATGAACTTGGGGTCCTCCAGGTGCTCCTGGGCCAGAGCCGGAGGGTCGGGCTGACGGAAGATCTCGTGGAAATCTTTTGCCAAGTGATGAAAGTTCTAGAGGAGGACAGAGTGAGAAAGACGGATTCGATTTTATTTTTTTACATGAACGAGCGGACAGACTCCAGATACCCTAACTGATGTTTTAAAACTATGATTGGCAGGTTATCGAGTGAAATCACAGTTCCTCCTCCAGAAACTCCCCGGCTCCCTCCCAGTTTGAATCAGGTTTACCACAGTTAGTCTTTTTTCTCAAGTTTTAGCTTTAAGTTCACAGGAGTATCAGCTAACAGCAGCTGGGGTGTATCGTGTGACATAAACGGAACAAAAGAGAGAAAATAAAAACTCTGAAACACATCATTGGAAGTTAAAGGTTAAACACACTTATCTTTGGCGGTTTTACTCACTGATTTGGACAACTCTTTGATTAGCGAGTTCACACGTTTCAACAGCTCCATCATCAGCCTGTGTATCGTCTTCTCCGACATGTCAAGGTGAGTGCGAGCGGCACAGTGCATAACACGGGCGATATTTTCCACTGCGTCGGTCAGCTGGTAGGATAAAACGAGAAAAAAGCTCTTTAGCAAAAGTTTATCTCTGTTTTAATCAGATTTAAAAATTCTTAAAAACTCCTCACCCCACATGGGCTTCTGTCGAGAGTGATGCTGCACACATCGGGGACTTCAGAGGGTTCATCGTCCACGCCGTGGTCCAGGTAGCTGGCACAGGAAACACAGAAACACGTCAACTGACTAAAGCTGCGATTATTAAACCTTTGGACAACTGAGCTGAGATTTTTTTCTCTATAAACTAGATTTTCAATTTGGATTTTTATCCAGTGACAACTTCACCGAACTTCATCTCTCAAAGCAAAACCACTGAAAACGATGTAGTGCATTTGCCAAGCCAGTAAGTGGCGCTGTAACGAACGCCGTGGAAATGTACAAAAGACAGAAGAAGAGTACAGAGCATGTGTTTAAAGGTTGTTTTGGCGCCATAAAAAAGTTACGCTGTGTGTCACATGATCTTTTCCAGAGATGCAGATAGACATCCACACGGAGATGAAATGGTCGTCGTCTACGGATTTATGGCTCTCTGACCAGTTTTCAAAAAGGCCCTTTTACGGTCTGCTGAAATGCTGTTTCTGTGCAAATGAAACGCTGATACAAAAAAAACATTTGCGTTTACTCCTGAATTGTTTCCGTGTGGACGGGTTGATACTCGGGGAGTGGTTTTCTCTTCATCTGAAACTGTGAAGTCGTACCAATTCCACACGACTGACTCACTCGTGTCCTATTTAACCACGAAATTATTGCCTTCTTTTGCAAACGCCATGTTTGTTTACACTGGTGTGTGTGGGAACTGGGGAGCGCTGCTGCAGAAATGGGGTGGCCTACGGTGGCCTGGAGGCACGAGACATGATAGAGAGGAAAATCGATTTGACGATTTTGATTTTTTTAACATCGTCATGATCAAATAATCTGTTTACGATTTAAAATCGATTAATCATGCAGCCCTATGATGAAGGTGAACATAATATTTACTAATCTTTGTAGCTCAGTTTTAGTCTGAAGGTCTTTGTTTCAAACACAAATGGCTCGATTCTCAATTTTTGTCAAATTATCTTTTCCTGGAAACAGTTTCACACTTTAATTTTGACTCAAAACAGACAAAAAAAGTGACACCTAAAGTTGGCCGATCGATGTTTTTTGTGACCTTTTCTTTTGACTCCATAGTTTACCACTTTAACGATCTGATCAAATGTAGAAAACGTTTAGACGTAAAGTGACGTACAACACTTCATGGAAGGCCAGTTTGATGCTGTGATGTTGCAGGTAGTCTCCATTTGGCAGGAACCTGAGTAACAGCGGTACGACGACATGGTGGTACCAGTCCTCCACATTTGTCACGTCAAACGCCGGCTTCGTTGGAACCAGGGGCGTTTCTTCTGGCCTGTAAAAGTCTGCCAGCTCACCCAGAGTCCAGTTCAGCAGGAACTGGGTCACAACGTTTCTTTTCATGTTTGACTCGTGTTTCTGGGGGAACACAGCAGGTCAGAGGTCATTTCACTCGGCTGGTGTAATGCATGAGCGCGCTTTATTGAGTGTATGTGTGTTCGCACCTCATGAACCAAAGAGACAAAGTCGTGAACGAAGCTCCCGATGGGTCTGACGACACTCATGAACCCCTGTACAACCTGTCACAGCGGTAAAGAAGGTAATTAGTCCAAAATAAGAGGCCCCACTTTCATATTCAAAACCTCCAATCATCAAAAAAGTTCAGTTAATGTTTGTGTTTTCAAAAGTCACCCGTGATTTGTTACTGTACCTCTCTGAGTTGGTCGTGTGGGGATGGAGGTCGGTAAGGGTCGTATGTGGGTCCTGGATGATGCATGGGTGGGTATCCAGGGGTTGTCCAGTTGTAGCCCGGTCCAGGAATGGCTGTTGGGTGAGGGCCGGGGCCTCCTGTCAACATACTGTGGAAAAGCAGAGTGAGGGTGCCGTTGTCTAAACTTTGAACCCCGGGCTGAAGCAGCAGCTCAGCCTTCTGCGTTTGAGACAGCAGGTGGAGAACCTCCAGCTGTAGAGAAGAGACACACACACAAATGGAAACGAACGTCATGGACTGTGTCTCCTGGTTTTGGTGTTTTGTGGGTAAGAGCGTGGAGCTGGAGTTCACTCACTCCACTGAAGACCATGTTGAGTTTTGAGAAGTCCTCCATCCTGGCCATGGCTCTGAAGGAGCCGAAGTTCTTCATTAACCACTCCTCGCTGGACTCCTCCTTACTTACACAACCTGGACGAAAACAACACACACAGTTTACATGAACATCAGTTAAAGGCATGGTTGCCGATTGGAGAGATTGCTAATTATTATGAACCTCGTTTCTATGGCGATCATGGTCCTGTAGTGCGATCTCCACAAAGCGAAGAGAAAAAAAGAACGGAAAAAATCTGTTCACCCTATCAGGAGCAGGGCTGCAAAAACATTAACCAATGGGAGCCTTCTGTTCCGGACAGCTCCTATTGGTCAATCTCCTGCTCCGCCTCTGCATCCAATCACCTCGCTGTATTCGACACACCCCTCTCCCGTAGTTCTGACTCGTCCCCTCCCACTCTCCCGGCCCTCCTCGGAGCTTAGCTACAGGAGTTGTGATGGAGAGGGATGGAAAAAAAACCCTGCTGCTCGCCTCAACGCTAAAAGTGGGAAGAAAGGGGCGGAGTCGAAGAGGCAATGTGACCAAGCGAGGAATCTAACTCGAATAAATGCCGGGTCATCCTTTGAGCGGTGGAGAAAGCTCCGCCAGGATTTGGTCCTGAAAACAGACGCCGTGACAGCAGCGTTTTTGTTGAACAGGTCATTTTTATCGCCTTTTATCATGGCTCATGTTACATAAATAACTCTTATTAGTCTCTGGCAGCTGCAGACGGCGCTCGCTAGCAGAGCTGGTGTTTACTGCTGCTCGTCTCTAGAATTCCGACATGGGGAATCCTATTTGAAGCTAGCGAAGGATCTTCTGCCGGCCGGCTTCTTGCTCTGCCAGAAGGAGTGTGTCACGGGGAGGGCGATACAGGTTTAGGGGGGAGTTATCGGGGCGCACAGAGGGGTGAGGTTTGTGTGTGGGGGGGTTGGACGCTTTTTTCAAATCTGCCTCAATGGCTCACTTTTTTTCAACTGCTTCTCCAATCGTCAACCATGCCTTTAAGTTTGCAGTTTGGATACTGATCTGAAGATATCCTCCAGTTTAACTTTATGATGTTTTTTTTACTGAAGGTTATGAACGTCCAGCAGACAGGGAGGGGGGTTCCTTTGACTTTGAGAGCCAGACTGAAGCGGACACTGCATTTTTTTTGGTAACACATTAAAGATTTCACCTTTGACTCTGTCTCCGGACAGAAACGGGTACATGAAGAATGTGTAGATCCACTTTTGTCGATATGGATTCAGGTCGGCGTAATAGATGCTGAGATCGTGCACTCTGCAAAAAGACAGAGAGGATGCTGAGAGATCATGTTGAGATCATAGAAACGAGCTGACAGACGGAGGGGCGGACTTACACTCTCTGGTAGGTGGCGCAGCTGAAGTTTCTGGTACTTAAGCAGGACAGGAAGTGCTTGCTGATGGATCTCAGCAGGGGTTTCATTTTGACTTGTAACCACATGTGGATCAGGTCTTCATTCTGGTAAGGGTCTGCTTTGAGGTTTAACTCCAGCGCTCCCTCCAGGCTGAGGAGGGGAACACCTGCCAAGCTGGACTTCTGTTGGAGGGACAAACAGGCGAATAAAATGGACGGTGAGTATTCTGTGAGTCAGAGGAAAATTACCCACGATGCACATCTCTGACAGTCTGCACATTTTCTCCATGAGAAAAAATAAACACAGCTTTGAAACCAAACAGGTCCGGTCGGTATTCAAGACAACATTCCTTCCTTTGTGCGTGTCTACATAAAACATTCCTGTCGTCCTGTTTTAACTCTCAGCCGTACCATGAAGGTGTACACGTCCATCGTTGCCTCCAGCATGCCTTTCAGGTTCTGCAGATCGTCTCTGCCGGTGTCTGTCTCCCTCAATCCCACACACTGGAGGAAGCCAGAGGTCGGATCTGGACCCTTGAGATTAACAACAAAGGAAGTCAGTTTAATAGTTAAAGAAGCAGGAAAGAGTCTTTTCCAATTTTAATTCAAAACATCAAAAACTGCACCGATGTAAGAAAAACCTCAATCAAACAATCGGTGTATAACATCAGGAAATAAAGTCGACTATTTAAAGCCAAAGTCAACAGCTGGATGTCATTATTTTTGAAGCAGTGCTGAAATTCTGTTCACGTTTTGTTGCTGCTCAGCTTAATTTGTAATGAATGATTGTGTTTATATTTTAAGATCCAAAGGCATTCTGGGTAAAAGCCAGTTACTGATAAAGTAAATCAGCATCATTATAACGGCTCACTTTAATCTTAAATCTTATATAAGCGTGTTAGAAATCAGCAAAAGCAGAATGTAGGTGAATGTTTCAGGGATTTATTTTCCAGGAGTGACAGTTTGGTGGTTTATTTAGTTTGTTTTAGTTTTACTTTGTGGTCCGTATCGGAGTTGTTTTGATGAGTACTGTAAAAGTTCTGTTAGTTAAACATTTGGGTCAACCTTAGAGTGCTAAAAGGGAAAACCTGGTTCTGGGTTTGCTGGATTTGGACCTCTTTAACTGAATCTACATGAACGCACAGGTACAAAACAAGCTTTTTTTCGGCTACACCAGCAGATTTAGTCTGTGTTCACACTGCAGGTCAATTCCGATTTTTTAACCATATGTGACACATATCTGATTTTGTAATCTAAGTGTGAACAGTGCAATTCTTATTTTTTTTAATCCGACCCAGACCTCTTTTGTATGTGGATATAAATCGGATATGTATCCGATGTGACTGCAGTGTGGACGCTCAGGTCGCGTTCATCCGACCTATACGTCATCAATATGCGACAAACGTCACCGTTGTTCAACAACACAAACAGGCGCGGAAAGCGATTTGTGCTTTGAATGAAAATTGTGAAAAATCTGTCTGATATAATCATTTTTAAATGATATGGGGAATTAGATGACAGATTGTGGGAATCACTAGTAGCCCTACGATACGATATTATTTCGATTTTTAACATTTTGCAATAAAGTGAGTATTGCAATACTATATATTGTGATTTATACTTTTTTTTCCAACTGTTTAGCTATTTTAGCATTTGGCTTTCCTTTATGTTTGTCTTATTTACACTGTATTTTATTTTCATGTAGCACATGAAAACCTTATATGTCAGGTCCATCTTATTTGTTCCCTGTTTGCATTCCTCATGTCTTTCCCCAGGTGCTGCTATATTTGTTGCTCTAACTTTCTCCTCCTCCCAAACAGTTGATTTTATTTCTCCATTATCATATATTTGACTTCATATTAACAATTAATTTGAAAAAAATCGATACTTGGTCAGTGAGACGATACGATATATCACCAGACAAAATATTGCGATACTATGATGTATCGATTTTTTCTCCCACCCCTGAAATTTACGATATAAGTAAATGGTTGGCCTCGTCCAAATCATCTCTGAGTAACTGAGAGAAAAGCAAAAAGTGTAGCAACTGTCCCCAGTCTCCCCTATTTAAATATGTCACTCAGGTGTAACTGAGAGGGCGTGACACATGAAGTTTCAACTTCACATGGGGATAACTTTCTCATTTTCAGGCTCATCGAGATGCCTTCGTGATACTTGCTGAAATGAAACACACCTGTGATCAGTGGTATCAGTTACACTCAGTTACAAATCAAAATATTTCAGGAGGTTTCAATTCCCCATGATCCTCTCTAAGTTCAACAAAATTGTAAGTGTCTTTGAGCGAACACTCCCATGCAGCAGCACTGATAAACTCTGATAAACTCGAGACAAGTTTTGTTCGTCCACATGTTTAGAAGATTTGAAAACAATGATCTCGATCCTGTTGGCATGTGATTCGGGCAGTTTAGCAAGTGGAAGTTCAAGCGTCCTGAGGATGGAGTTACAGACAAGGTTTTATCGCATCTAATGGTAACCAAATCCTTCCTATGTAAGCATCTTTTAAACTTAGGTATGTCTGGTTGAGATTAACCACAGCTGTTTCCTGTTTCTGTGAACACACCGCAGAAATCGGTAAATTACAGATTCAAATAATCTGCAGGGATGTGATGTCACACTGAAGCTGCTCTGACAACATATTCGTCTTTGGTTTCAACTTTAATCTGGTAATAAAAACACTACAATCCCAGTGATCACATGCACATTTTAGAAGCACGTGTGTACATGCAGATTACAGACCTGATCGCATTGTTCCTTTGAAGTGCAGGGCTTCTTTCTGCAGATTAAATCAGTGAAACAACAAACAAAGAGAAAAAGTCAGGAAACAAACAGTCATCAGAGGAAAAAAAAACATCAATGTTTTCCCAATTTGACTCCCTGTTCTTACTTTTGTTTAACTGATGCCTCTGCTGAAAGACAAAAGGAGACAGTTCATTGTTAGATCCAGCAGCTGATATAAAAGAAGATTTCAGGAGCATTTCGACCACATCAGCGGTCATCAGTCACTTTTCTGATTCTGAACATTACATTTCTTCACAGTCAGACTGTTGTCAGAGGTTTTTTCTTTTTGTTTTACACTTTTTGAAAACTTTTTGCCCCCTTTACCCTCCATTTTATACTTTCCTTTGGCTGCATTTCGTGGAGAAAACGACTCCTACTGCTCTGTAACCCATCCTTTAGAGACCCACTCCAATAAAAATCATGTTTTTCTTGTTGTCTACATGTTCATATGTTCATATTTATATCTTTCTGATGCTGAAATAAGTGCAAAATTTCTGCATTCAAATCGCTGTGAATCTCTTGCAGACCCAAACAGCAGGTTCAGAGAGAGAGAGAGAGATTTTCTATGTCACAAATCCAAGCTCCGCCCCCGAACCCCCACATACAGGCCACATTCGAAAAAGTAGAGAGGACGATTGCGGAACAAGCATCTGCGTTAGCGGATTGCAATGCTCGTAAGAAAGCTAATTATGATATTAACTTTAATCATGCTTCTAATGACATTAGTGTCCTATGTTACCTGCTTCTTCTACAGCACCAGCAATGTTAGGCTACAAGCTTGCGCTGTTCCCTGCCCACGACTCAGAGGTGAATTGCTAATGAGCTACTGGAGCTCTGCGGCAGAAATACCATTGAGAATGACACAGGTAACATGATTTTGGCAAAAAACTTCATAATTACAATTTAAAGACCACTGAGAACACTTTAAGTAGTAAAAAAAAAGGTCGGAGTGGGACTTAAAGTTTAGTCTTTGTACGTGATTTCCTTCTATCTCATTATTCACACATATTTAACACATTTTCCTTCTATATTTATTGGTATTGTTTTTTTTTTCTTTTCTTTTCTCATTAGTTATAAATGCAGTTATAATTCTTGTCTCGCCTGCGTACTGTAACAGGACTATTCTTTGTGTCTATAAAACACTGTAAAAAAATTGTTGCTTTGCCCTGCTGGTCCACACATACACTGAAAAGTGCAAATCTCAGAGAGTCACAAACTCACATCTCAGGGGGCTCTACCTAAAATGACGAGGACTACATAATTTGAGTTTGCTCCTCAATAGTTTGAGTTCACCTATTATGATTTCTCCTCCCTGTGGAAGAAGCCTACAGAGACCCAGTGGAATTATGGGTCTGTTAAATGCTGACAGCAGTAATACAGATAGATGTATCTCTTTAAATTTGTGTTAATTTTGTTTTACCTTTATTTTATTCATTCATTATAAATTATAAGTGTCACCTAAATATTTATAAGGCTATTAAAACAGCTGAATGATTACCCGTCGTGGTCATTTACAAACTTATCATCTTAGCAGCAAACAGATAATCTATAGGTGACTTTTTCTGCAGCACTACAAATGCAGAAGGTGTAAAAAAGTCAAGATTTAAAAGCATTTTATATTCAAAGCTGTACCTTAATGGATAGTAGAGTGTATAAAACATGGCTGTAGGTTCAGTGACTTCACACATTTGTTTCTGGAGAGCGGTTCAAACGCTGAATGACGATGGAGATGTAGACTATAACAAATTTTTGGTCAAGCCAGCAAGAGGCACAGCGGTGGAGCTGTAAGCCTCTTGATAAAGAGTGAACTCAGCCTCACCCCTTATTATATAAATCTTTGAATAACTCTGAGTCATAATGGATGGGTTAAAAAAACACTTCCTGTATAGTGTATATGAATTTAGAAATAGACTTTTAAGACCAAAGCTGTAAACATTTGTAATTTTAATTTCTAAAAATGAGCATTTAACACGGACATAAATACGATTAACTTCCTTAAGAGGACACTTGGGAAAACACTCTGACTTCACTGAATACATTTGGTAATAATGATTTAACAATTATAACTTTTATCTATATAACAAGGTGTAAAAGTAGAAGAAGCCCCAACAGTTTAACCCTGAACATCAAGTTTAAACACAATTTAGTTCATCATCACAGAAGAACCAACAAGAGCCAAGGCGACATAAAACCCAACAACATGAGCTGAACCGACACCAAAAGGACTAATAAAGTGATCCCTTTATATTCGATATATCAGCAATCACCAACATGATCCGTCTAAGGTGGAAATGTGAATCGTGACACATGCAACAATAGAAACAAAATGTTCTCATACCGCTGCAGCTCCACAGAAAGTAAACCAGCAGGAACAGGTTACGTGATCTCATGATGTGACGAGTCTCATGGGACGAGGCGGCTTTATGATGAAATTCACTGGGGAGACGGTTGGAGAGGAGATGGGGGCTGTTATAGTCAGCCACGACACAAAAACACACATTTGATCGTCTGAATTACACTGTATGTACAGATAAAGTCAAAGACACAGACAACAAAACAAACACATGCTATCGTCAAAGATCCTGGTGTGATCTATAACCATCAGAGAGTCGACAACCCGTTACATCTGATTTTATCACACAGCTTTGTCGTTGTTAAATCACTAATTACACGTCTCTTTAATTGCAGTTTAATGAACTTTTATGAGGTGTTGCCAAATCTGTGGGTGTGTTGGCAGATAAGAATCAGGGAGTGTCTGACAAAAGATTTTCTCTCAGTGGCGCAGAGTGACCTTTAACATAGCGGTAACAAAAATGACGAGACAATAGGTGCATCAGTGGAAAGAACGCTGAAACTCGACACCATTCAACCAGTAACAACAAAAGAAAACAGAGCGCTTTACCTGCCAGAAAACAGACGTTCAGGTAAATCTGAGCAGAAGAGATATATGACAATTTTTAAGGGCTTTTTAAAAATATCCATGTGTTTCATCTTAACCAAAGTTAACAATTAGTATCTTGGATTGTTATGTTTTTTGGAGGAAAAGTCCAGGAAATGTCTCACTGAGAGCCTCATAAAGGAAAAGTCGTTGCGGCCCTCACATAAAAATAAAAACAGATCTCTTTATCCAGTTTTTAATCTGCGTACGGACTCTAATCATGTCCAACATCAGGTATGAATCAGCCGGGCAGACCCAGATGACTGTGACGTGTTAAAAGGAAAATATCTGAATGTCTTTGTCAGACGGTTCATGGATGACTGGAGCTTCGATCGCACTGATGCTTCATAAGTGACAGAAACCCTGAAAAACATCTATAATTAGATCCGTGCATGAGAGCAACATCGGTACAGGGTCATCAGTAAACCTCCATAAGGTTTGGGACCGACGTTTCCTGACGCAATGTTTTTGTTTCTGTTGAGTTATCCCCGTCTGGATCAACCAATCATGAAGTTTACAAGACTGACATGTGATTAAAACACGTGAGTGACAAATGCAAGAACAACACTGTGACACCGCCATGCTTTGATTGTAAATGTACGTTTAAATCTGACCTTGAGTGCTCAGAAAGGAACTTATAAATAACATTTATTATTATTATTATTATTATTGTTGTTTTTATATGTGGATCTCAGGAAGACGAGCAGTGCTTTGAAACACAGCTAACAAATAAAAAATAAACCACCAGCCGCAGATAACTAGTCTGGAAGTTATCTGAAAAATACATTAATATCGTTTGAGGTTGTGCATGATGTATGATCATCATTCAAATTGATTGTTGAAGGCCATCTAGGTAGGACGGGTCAAAACGAGACGTTGATGTTGGATGATAAACATCTGCTCTGACCAGGCGCCAAGGCTCACTCGTCATTTTCCGCCAGGTTCTTTCGTCATTTTTGTTGGCGGAGTCAGGCGCAAAGATAACAAGTTACCATCTTACAGCTGTGCCTCAGACCGGAAAGATCTGGTCTCAAGTCTCAGGTCAGCTGCTGTGTGTATAATGGCTCAATTAGTGAGATAGTAAGATGGTCAAAGGAGTCCAAAACCGAGATCCCTTTGCTTTTTACACACAGACAGAGATGCACAGAAGACCCTCACTCAACGTAAAACCAAGTTTGATTTGATTGAGTGAGATTCAGAGGCTTGGAGACACTGAGATGTCTTTCTCCTGATAACGTCATCTGTCAGAAGAAGAGGACAGTTTCATCGCCATCTTCTCACGGCCTAAAAAAGAAGCTGTCTCGTCTTCAGTTAGTGCAAAACTCTGCAGTGAGAATTCTAACCCGCGCTAATAGGAGGACTCACATATCCCCTATTCTTGAAGCTCTTCATTGGCTGCCTGTGTCCTCAAGGATCAATTTTAAAATTCTGGTCCTAACTTTTAGAGCCTTGCATGGTCAGGCTCCATCCTATATTTGTGATCTGATCCAGCCTTACACCCCCTCTCCGGCTCTGAGGTCTGTGGATCAGAATCTGCTGATGGTTCCGCGCACTCGTTTTCGGACCAGAGGACACCGATCCTTCCAGGCTGTTACCTCCAGGCTTTGGAATGATCTTCCTCTCTCTCTGCGCTTAATTGATTCTGTTGACTCCTTTAAAAGCCGACTCAAAACTTATTTATTTGCTCAGGCATTTGTTTAATTGTTTTTGGGGCTACTATGACTGTTTAAATGTTGTTGTCTTGGCCTTTTAATTTGTATGTACATCTTTTTATTTTTGTCTATGTGAAGCACTTTGTGACTCTTTTGTCTGTGAAAAGTGCTATACAAATAAAGTTTACTTACTTACTTACTTACCTAAAAAAAAAAAAACAGTCTGTGGCAAAAAACTAGGCCCTCAATCATGGGAGTCAGCGACAAATACAGACTAGAAAACTAGCAGGGTACACAGCACTTTATCACAAATACATAATGGATGGTCACAATTTTCAGCCTGTTTCTCAGGTAGAAATGTCAAATATGACAAATTTGAATATCATAAAGATAGTCCGACCCGTCATGAGCTAACTTGTGGTATCTCCTTCACAATCGAGTCGTTAGCTAAAGCTGTGTTTTGATTGGTGCTGAGGAACAGGTGCACAAAAAATCATTGAAACTCTGCAGATTCTCACTGAGTTTGTAACAACGGAGAAACTCCTTTCAAACACATGAATCTTTAGTAAATAGGAACATATTTACTACTTATTTATGGCTAAATGACATAAAGATCACAGTCATAAAGATTACAGCCACACACACACAGATTAGTTACCTTTCATCTCGTCCCTCTTATTGCAACACAGCTGTTTGTGTTGGAGGACTCACTTTGTGTGAGAGTTTGTTCAGGATTGTTTCTCTTCCACTCACATTTGTATTTCTGACAGGTCGGTGAAAGAGAAACTCTTTTCAGAGTCTTTGTGACTCATTTCAAAGACCGGAGGGGCGTAAAACTAATATTTGTATAATTAGTCTGGTTAAAAATTACTACAGTAATGCACACACACACAAAAAAACATTTACTCTTTTAATTCATCTCTTTAAAATCCGGATAATATAAGAAGAGTTGAGTTTATATTCACTGTCACAATAAAGAGGTCACAGTAAAGTCATAACATGATCAGGTAGTTTTGGTTTATGACGAGCTGCCTGTGCCAAAATGAGGAATGAGGAGCATCCGGTTGAACCGTACCAAAGGTTTTGGCTCATCAACATGACTCTGAAAAGACTGAACAAGAAACTGAGCCGTGTTGTATTCCCCTTTAAATAAGCATTTTGTGTAACTAATATTTGTACAATCAGGCTGGTTAAAAATTACTACGGTAATGCACACACACAAAAAAACATTTACTCTTCTATTTCATCTCTTTAAAATCCGGATAATATAAGAAGAGTTAAGTTTATATTCAATTACTTTCACTTAAATACCAGGATGTCTCTACCCTATTTTCTCACAAGAATAAAGTCACAGTTAAGTTATTTAATCATGAGAATTAAGATATAAGAAACTCTGAGATTAAAGGCATACTGTCACAAAAAAGAGGTCACAGTAAAGTCATTACATGTTCAAGTAGTTTTGGTTTATGACGAGCTGTCTGTGCCAAAATGAGGAATGAGGAGCATCTGGTTAAACTGTACCAAAGGTTTTGGCTCATCAACATGACTGAGCGAGAAACTGAGCCGGGTTGTTTCCCTCTTTAATAAAGCATTTTGTTGTTCATCATCGGTTGGATCTTCAAAGAGGATTTTTTTGTCCCTAATATTCAGTCCAGGTGATCAAATATGCTGATTGACACCAAGAATAACAAACAGAGTGACCAAATAACAAAGAAACCCAAATCAGACACCACAGTTAGGTTTAGTTTGTAGGGAGAACACTATCTTTTTTTTTGACAACAAAAACACGGAGGCGTTACAGTGAAAGAGATCTTATCTGTGTGTTACCAAATCCAAAACACGACGGTCCATAAGTATAAGTTTAATAAAGCGACTCTATCTGCTTTCCTGTTCTTTAGATAAAGGTGTTCAAATCCTAAAAGAAGAAAATCACTCTCTGAAAAGAAGCTTTCTGCATCACAAGCTCCTTTACATTTTCTGTTAAATGTGACACTTATCGTGAAGCTGGATGAATGAACACTTATTCCTTATTTTATTTTTATTTACTCGTTTCGCCATCTGAGTTTCCTTATTATTCTTAAATACCGCTCTCACTCTTCTTAGAAAGCTGATTTTCTGTTTATTTCACATGAGGCTGTAGCCCGGTTTAATGAGGCAGCATGTATTATTCCCATGGCTCAAATCCCTGAACAGCATGTTGTTGCCAGAGGTACACGCTCACAAAACGAAGGACCGGATTTTTATTTTCTGCCTTATATTCATTCTTGTTATTTTATGACTCACTAGTATTCACCACTAATTTCCCATGGCCTTATTCCATCTTGTTTTTCTTTAAAGAAGGGTAAAAATAATCAAGAATAGGTCCATTAATCAAGAATACAAGCAGACACAGAATTAATCACATATAAAGGGATCCTGGGGGTTGTGTTCACAGACTTAGCCAGTAAATAAAAATCACACAATGACATAAAATCAAAGCTGATTCACTTACCTAATAGTCTGTGGACCTTTGAGTGCCGTAAAGTGCAGGTGTTTAACTCCCTTTCTCTCTGTCACTTGAGACACAGGTGCAGCAGCAAACTCCTGAAGGGTGTGTTGTCTTGTGACGGGGACACAGGTGATGAGGGCTGACTTCTCCGTGCAGCAACAAAGAGGAGGGACATGGCCGGCGCTTCTGCTTTAGGCGAGTAGTGTGAATTACTTTGTAATGTATATGTACTGTTTATGTGATCAGACTCGGCTTTTTTGTCCATAATAACCTGTGTGAAAGAGATCCAGAACAGAGACAGAGACACTAAGTTTAAAGTTACACACAAATCATGTTCAGCAGGTTACACCCCCCTGGTTTTTGTCATCTGTATACAGTAAGCTGCCAGCTCTGTGTACAGTAAAGCAGTTTAGACCTTTTCAAAACAAACAACAACAAAATACAGGTACAAGTAAGGATTGATTTGGAGTTTAAAACAGCTAGTCAAGCAAAGGTTATACCCCACCCAACCCAGTAATCCTGTGCAGAGTATGAACATAGGGGTTAAACACAAACAAGCCACTGCAGAAAAAAAGAGTCTGTTTTTATGATTATTAATGAAACAACTTTTCAAAATAAAAGCCGTCTGTCCACAAATAGCAAGGTTTCAATTTCCAAGATGTAAATGTTAATTTCTAATGATAGATGTGACAGATATGAATACAGGGTGAGAGCTGGGAGGCTTTGGTATTCATGTGAGAGGGCACACACACACACAAAAGCACACACAAACGCACACAAGCACACCATGACAAAGCATGCACCGATCAGGTTAAACTGGTTTGTCATTCATACACCATGAGAACTAAATTCAGTATTATGGAAGGAAATCATTCATCATCTCTTAATGTTAAAGAGCTACAAATCACAGCAGAACAATAAGAAAGTGAGTAGAATATACAGTGGATATATAAAGTCTACACACTCCTTTTCAACTGCCAGCCTTTTGTCATGTAAAAAAATTCAATCCCAATAATACCCAATAATCTGTGGACCCTCAGGTGCTGTAAAGGATCCTGTTTAAGGATCATTAACAACTTCTAAGGTGTTTATTTCTTTAAAAATATAATTGAAATGTTGTATTTAACTTTTTTTATTGGTACTAAGAGCTTTATACTACACAGAAAAATGACAATTCTGACAAAAATCTGACAATTTAGCCACTCATGTCCACATGAATACTCAAGCTTTGTTCGCATAGACAGACAGATAGATGGCGCTAACTAAACTAGGTTGACGGCTGATACATGTAAGCTGTTGAAATAAATAAATCACAAACATGAAATAATTTAGATGAATAATATTCAGATTCTAAAACTGTTTATTTAAAACCCCCTGAACTATGTCTAATTACTTTTTTTCCTGTATTATCTCCCCTGTATTTTATTCCGGCTGCTATTTTCCATGCAGTGGTGTCTCCTGCCACCTATTGTCTGTTTTTTTTACGTGTTTGTTGTACTTACCGTGAGTTTGAAGCTCTAAGGCTGCTTGAGAGTTGTCAAACCATCAAAAAACATCATTATTTGACCTTCCTCTGAGCTTTCTGTTGTCTTTTTCAAGGTAATCTCTAAATTTTCCCTCCTTATTCACTCTGCTTAACTTCAACTGCGCAGCTGCCAACACATTTTTACCGTGTAAAATCTCTTAAACTCGAGAGTTTCCACCAAATTATTCTACAAAGTGGAAATTGTATCATACATTGACAGGGAAAAAACACAAACTGTTTATTTATCGAGTAATATATGCTCGAAATCGTCGTTTTGTTTTATTTTAGTTTTAAAGGCAGGTCTCTCCATTAGGGGGCAGTGTGGGCTATGAACGCGCTCAGCTCCTCTTCCGCTTTCCACAAGTAAAGAAACTTCGACGACTGTTCGACGACCAATCGGAGCCCAGCACTTCTAGCCAATCAGAGGCGAAGGAGGGCGGGACCTTCCCCTTCCATCCTACAAAAAAATTCACTAAGCTAGTAAACATATCGACATGAGGGTCAAATTTAGAGATTCGCGTTTACTTGTGTTTTCTTCTCGTCTTTAAACAAAATGCAGTTTCATTCACCGTCGTTTGCCCTTCCGTGTTTAGATTGTTAACTAGCTATGTGAAGATGAAAGATGCTGCTGACATTACCTTAGAGGGTCTGTCAGGTAAAACTCCACCTGAGCGCCGCCGTCAAAGGAGGAGCTGCTCCACTTCCAGGGGGGCGTGAGGGTCAGGTTTGCACCACAGGTAAGACCCTCCCTTTATATGCTTGACATTAAAAGTCAAAAAGTTGATTCCCACTGACTTTACTTGAACTAATAGCTTGTCACATCCCTGTTAAATATGAAGAGCCGGGCCTGTACTGTCTAGTTGTCCTATCAATCAACCAGTCAATCAATCAATCAATCTTCATTTATATAGCACTTTTCATACACAACCATGTAGCACAAAGTGATTTACACAGAAAAAGGAATAAAAGAAACAAAGAATATCCAAATCTACCCCAATCCAAGATTAAAAGAATACCCAAGTTAGTTTGGTCGTGTATAAAGTGTCTTACTTGCAGAGATCTAAAGAAAAGTGTTTGAGGTAGATCATATTTTTGTCGTAATTGCTCAAATGACATCATTTTATCCCCTTCAAAGAGATTTCTCAGAGTTTTTATACCTGCATCTCTCCAAAGAGAAAACCCATCATCACTCATACTTGGAGAAGAGTCTGTATTTTTTAGTATTGGAGTGACCGCTGATATAAAGTCTGCTCTTTTCTCCCATTTCCTATTTCTGCATTTTTTTATGAAGTCACATAATGCAGCAAACGCAGCCTCAGAATCAGGAAATCTTTCCCAGACTGTTACCGTACACGTGACCCTTTCTTTGCTGTACAAAGTCTGACTTGGCAAAAAAAGTGTAAATCACTGATGACTAAATCCTTCATTGACTCATTCGCCACAATAACCCTGCCGATATTCAGAGCAGAAAGAGGAAGCAGATTCTGATTTCCTTTTTTTAAAGAGGTTACTGTCTGTATTTTTTCTTTCCGTCTGGTTTCACTGCATGACTTCCTCTGCCCTCTGACTTGCAAGAGGGGCCCAATGTAATGGCGATGATGGTGTCTTTGGAGCTTGCGGAGATCAGCCATCGATTACAGGAACTTCTGTCGTCTCCAGAGACTAGTTACTGTACAGGAGCCTGATTCAGACAAGACCTGCTCATACACCCATCAACCAAACTGTGGTGTACTCAAGGTTCAGACACTTTTCCATCAGAGCCAGTTTAAACTTTTTAAACTTTTCTTTGGGATCAGACCAAGTGGACCTGCTTTTGGGCAAAAATGAGTTTTGGCTGCCTGTGACCTGAGCTGCAGTTTTCTTCTCAGTCATTTAACCATCCCACCTTTGCCTGTGTGAGAATTTCTTAAATCCGTCTACTGGCTAATTTTTTTCTGCTTCCATCTCATCGACTCCAAAGACAAAATGCTCACTTGTGACCCAAATACTTGAATTATAAAACATATTTTACATAAAAAAGGAAATCTGGCGGTTTTATTTATTCCTGACAGGTGTAGTGATTTGAATTTATAATAAAGTCCTAAGATTAATGTTTTTTAATAATCTTAAATTATGACATTTATGCACTTGTTGGAAGGGGCACCATCCACCTTAATGGCGGGAAAATAAAGAAAAACTAAAGTTTAATTCAGAAATCAAACATTAAAGGGATATTCCGGTGTAAAATTAATTTAGGGTCAAACACACCGTAACACCGAGTTAGACACCCCCTTGAGAGATGAATGTTGCCATCCGCTTGCTTCTCTAGTTATACCAACTTGAGCAACAAGCGCACAATAGCAATACACAGCAGTCTAGCGTTTTGGTTGAGGTTTGTTTATGGCTCTTCATTCTATAGCCACAAATAATGCTCAGAACAGCACCTAACTTCATCAACAGTACATATAGGGTCACAGCCACAGTACTAGCCACCAAACATTTTTTTAGCTTTGACCAATTTCTTTAGCAAAGAGACTAAACGCAACTCACCTACTCTCTTCCAGCAGCCGCTTGTTTGTAGCGAGACCTCGGGCCGGTCCATTACGGACTGCTGCGGGGTGACGCAGCTCAAGGAAGAACATTTATGATCGTTTCTTCATAAACATGCAATCAGACCGAGACGATTAGGCAGAAGAACAACCGGGTCTGCAGTACAAAATGAATAATATGGTGATTTTTACTTCATGGAGATGATAAAGGAATGATCATAAACATTGACCAGATGTAAGCCTTACATTCCTTTGGGGGTTGGGGTGAGAAATTGCCTGTCTCTGCTGGACAGTCAACACAAGAGGGAGCTGTTGCACTATGTTCATTAAAGTGCAGCTCCAGAAACTTGCTCAGTGCAGAACAATTGAACAGTTTCTTGCAGTTTTCCTCTTTCTAAAACACTTCATCCTATTTTTCTGGACTAAACAGTCAGAGGTCTAAAGCTCCGTAGACAAAACCTGAAACACATCCAGTTGTTAAGACACACTTTACAGTATTCAATATACAGAATTTCACACTCGTACAGTTCAGGCCTCAAAGTTTATAGGCTACAACTCAAAAACTTGCTGTGAGTCATTGATATGAACTTGTTCTAATCAACAGGCTCACTGCGACATGTAACTGATGATTAATCAGGTAGCTTGTGACCATCTGGCACGCCTTTAAGAGCTGCCGGGTTTCCTTCCTGCTGACCTGACACTAGAAGGAAACTGAGACATGAAAGACAGATGCACAGGGAACAACAAAAGACATTATCAGATCATTCAGACTCTCAGGAAAGCCACTTACACTACAGGCCAAAAGTTTGGAAGCAAGGCCATTACAGGCTGAACAGTTGGGAGTAACTTCAAGTTTTTGTTCACAACGCTTTTTTTTTAAAATCCAGCATGAGTTTTATGTATTTTGGGATGTATTTACTCCATGATCAGATGTTGCTTTCATGGAAATGCACCATTTTACTCCATTTACCAGATAAACATTGATGTTAATAGACCATTGCTAAATATATGTCAGCAAAAGTTTTAGGGTTGAAAACATTTGCAAGAGTCATAACTTCAGTGCAAAAGCAAAAAAACTAACTGCGTTCAAAACTACCGCAAAAATGGCTAGAAAGAAGCAGCTGAGTAAAGAAAAAAAAGTATAGATTTGTACATTGAGCAATGAAGAATACACAGAAAGAGAAATTGCAAAACACCTACAGGTCTTAAACAAAGGAGTCCACTACACTTTGAAGAGACTAGAGGAACCTGAGATTTATGATGATAGAAAAAGACCTAGACAAAAGAAAGTTACTACAAACGCAGAGGATAAACATGGCATTGTCACCAGTAAGAGAGATCGGCAAAAGACAGCACCAAAAATAAGGGAGGAAATCAACATGACAAAGTCGAAACCCATATCTCTGACAACCGTGAAATGACGTTTGAGAAAGGCTGGTCTGAAGGGTTGTGTATCTGCAAAAAAACAGTACTTCGTCCACAGAACCTTGAAAAAGAGATATGAGTGGGCAAAAGCTCACAAACACTGGACTTATGATGACTAGAAACAAGTTTGCACTGTTTGGTTCAAAACGCAGAGTCTATGTCTGCAGACAAACTGGTGAACGTCTGAAAGCTCCATGTGTTACACCCACAATTCAGCATGGAGGTGGTAGTTCCATGGTATGGGGATGTTTTGCAGGTGATGGAGTAGGAGATTTGTTTGAAGTAAAGAGTATCATGAAGAAGGAACAGTACCACTCCATCCTCCAGCACCATGCTGCTCCATCTGGACTCAGACTTGTGGCTCATAAGTTTATTTTGCAGCAAGACAATGACCTTAAGCACTCTGCCAAGCCCTGTCAGGGTTACCTAGACAAAAAAGAAGAGGAAGGTGTTCTTCAAAAGATGGTTTGACCCCCTCAGTCACCAGACCTTTTTCCAATTGAGCTTGTGCAAGGCGAATTGGATCGATCGGTCAGAAAAACACGTCCCACAAATCAGCAGTCTCTTTTTAATGAACTTAAGAAAGCTTGGAATGCAATCCCTGGAACATACCTTAATTAAAAACTTATGGAATGAATGCCTGGTATATGCCAAGCTGTTGTTAAAGCCAGAGGAGGTTACTTTAAAGAAAGCTATGAATGCTATGAAACTTTTTTTTTGGTACAAATCTGATCTTGCTTCCAAACTTTTGGCCTGTAGTGTATATTTGCACTTATGTGACGAGAATTAGCAGTTAAAGCTGTCCAACAGCATTATTTTGAATCTCTGCCAGGAATTATGCCAACAAAATCTCTGTGCTTCTGCCTGCTGTGAATGTAAGGGGGTTTTCAGACCTGCTACTGATCCACTCAAACGCTGAGCATCAGCAGGACTAAATTTTTCCAGGGACAGAAACCCTACAGTGAAAGACTGAGCCATCGCAGAAGGGTTGCTCTTAGAGACATGCCCTCAGGCCTTATCTGGGCTGTGGGCCAACAGCGTAAACACTAAGTGGGTGCTTATGTGGTAAGAATGATACAAAGGGCTAGTCTTTGTTTTCCTCCCCAGAACTGATGGCGGATGAGAGGTCATTTGTCTGAAGCTTCCCGTCCTGAAATAACTCAGTGATTACCTATGTATCAGCTTCTCAGTTGTTGTTTCAGATCTCATAAAGGAAGTTAATAAGACTTTCACACGGAGCGGTGTTTCCTGGTTTAGAGCCTTTGAATAGCGGATGAGTTTCTGAATAGAGATGGTCCCCTTTTTTCATGATTCCTCAATGCAATGCTAAAATAAAACTGTAAACATACAGAACAAATTACTAGAAAATGACCAAGTGGGATTTGATGCATGTGCAGACACAAATGGCTGGATTTTTCCACCCTGCGTTTCTTGCTAGAAACTCAGGGTGAAATATCTGAATGAAGTCAGAGGGAATCAGCATGAGTGTAGAAAAATGAAGCCAGTTCAGGAGTGCAAAAAAAAAAACAACACACAGTTCCTGGAGTGTCCAACCCTTCTGTCTCCTTGGCAATACAGCTCCTGGTTGAACCAACATGTGCAAACTCAATTTTTCATTTGTATAAAAGGAGGAACAGACTTTGGACACTTGACATGACAAAGCAGTTTTTCTTTTGCAAACATCTGCAGCTCAACAGACAAGCTTTAAGACCTCCTCGAATGAACTTGTTTTTAATTGGCAGAGTGTTTAAAACCGGCAGCATGACCTTCTTTGGTTGACCTTCCTGCTTGCTTTGACAGAGAACATTTAAATCAACACATACACAACATTTCTGCAAGTGACATACAGTGGAAATGCAAGAAAAAGGGGAGCTTCCTGGATCATACAAGTAGTTCTAATGAAATGCCTCCGATTGCAGCATGCAGGTTTAACAGTAGCGAAAAACAGACTGTCTTATCAGGAATATTGTGATTATCTAAACCAGCTGGAAGTCGTTTGGAAACTACTTTTTCTAAAAACATGCAACCAAAGGAAATTTGGAAACAAGACCTGAAATTTTAGGGCAGGGAGGGGTCCAGATTAGATTTTTGAGAAGTGGTTGAAGAACAATTACAATGCCACTGTTGCAAGTCTGAGCAGAGCCTCCTTATGCAGAGCTGATGCAGACCCCCGGTATGTCTGGTATGCAGGGGACGCATGGTGCAGACAGCTGTTGACAATGGTCGGAGATCAGTGAAAGAACCGGTGGGCTGACGTCACTTTCACTACATCCTCAATATTTCCACTGCTTTGCAACTATTACCCTGCATAAGTACTGTTCTCAAACGTTCACAGCCCCAACACCTCCTCAGTATCCACCTGCAGGCTGTGCAGGGTTTAGATCACTCTTCACGTCTGCATGAGCCATAAATCTGCAGAGAGTGAGGAAGTCAGAGCAGAGATCCCAGACGCCAAACGCAGCGTCCACTGCTGCAAAAAAATAAATAAACAAACCATTGAAGCATGACTTGTCTGACCGGGCTCTCTTTACTTTCCTCACTTGTCTTCATTTCTCTTTTTCTCATCTAGTCTCTGAGCATAACAACAACAGGAAACTATCTGAGCTTTTACCGACACACACTGACCTTTGTGTTAAACCTCTGAATCCATTTCTCATTTGTGAAGCTTTTTTGTCAGATTTTAGGGTTTCGTCTAATGTGATAAGAACTTTTCTATTCCTGATAAGAGCAGACCATTAGTTATGATCTCTGTAAACGTGATATAAGGCTGTTGTACCTTATCTCATAGGCTGTGGTTTAAGCTCCTTGACATAGCTCTGAACTCAAACAAAACATACAACAGGAAGGATATGGGCAGAGATGAATGACAAGATGTCCATTTTTTTCAGAGAATGTGGGTTGATTCACTCACTGTGCATAAAAGAAAAACTTAGTGAATCTTAACAGGAAGTACAGATTGCTATGCACGATCGACACATCGTATGATTATCCCACATTTAACCTGTCATGTCAGTTTTAACTGCCTGAGCTACCATGCAGTGCTCATCCAGGTAATAGTCATTACCTTTTAAATGCAGAGTTATGCTGAGCTACAGCTATAATCTGTTCTAAGTGGACCTGCTCCGACTTTTATCTTCACTTCTGATAACATTAAAGGTGACCTGCCTCCCCATCAGACATGGAAAACTGTAACTTTGCCTGACTCTGCTGCTACCTGGTTAGGCAAGAAAAAAACATCCGGAGTCACTACAGACAAAAGTATTATGGGCATCGCTCCTGAAAAACATGTGCAGTAATTAATGAATACTTCGCACACACACACACACACACACACACACACACACACACAGATCACTGGGGCTGACTTCACAAAGGTGGCAGAAACTCCCAGCAGCTCAGCAGCCATTAGCTGCATTTACACGGGCACAAATATTGGAGTAAACGCTCGATCGGATTAAAAATGCGTTATGTAAACACGTCGATCTGAAGATTCTGATCCAATTCGGCTCAATCTGAGAGAAATTGTATTCCGATCGAAAGGGTTGGTTTAAGCTGATCATTATTCTGAAAGGTATCCATGTAAACACTTATTCCGATCGTGACTCTCTTACCTGACTCGATCTTCACTCTTTAGCCTTTGGCTTATTAATTGAGGTCAGTACAGGAGGTTTCATTATTAACACAACCACCAAGCCGTGTCTGCTCTTCCGGTAACATAACAAAACGTACATACAGCATAATGATGTCACATTTACACGCACAGTACAACATTTGACAGAACAGTAAACTAAGTACGCAAGGGGCACATTCTAGTGACAACATTCAACAGAGGGGAAAATGGAGTGAGCCACGACTGCGTTTGTTAGTTTGTTGACAGCACAGACAGCACAGTTGTTTTAGCGTAATCAGACAACTCTGTGCATGTCCAAATGCTTCTAATCTGAATAAATATATATGCACATCATGATCGGATTATTTGATTTTGCGCCCATATAAACAGTGGATTCAGATTATCCAATCCCTCAAATTTTTAATCGGATCAAGAAATTTTACACATGTAAACATGCCTATAGACTGTCAGAGGAATTCAAGGTCAGCCTTTATGTAAACTTTCATAGTTGGGATCTCCTGCCAGAGGGGAGGAGCTCCAATTCTGCTTTGGACACTGGATGATGTCTTTAGCTCTTGATGTTTCTCGCTCACAAAGCCAGTCCAAAGCTGATGATTTTTCTAGTGACCTCAACAGTGTAGTCCAACTTTTTATTGTCTGTCAATGAAAGGCTACCAAACCAGGTGATGATGACGAAGGCGAGGGCTGATTCAACACTGAACTGTAAAAAAGTGTGTCTCAAAACCGTTTCAGTTAATAATACAGATTATCCAAATGTGCTCTTTAAAAATGTGAGATTAAACGCACTTTACTAATATAGTTAGAACTCCCCTCGCATGAAGACGATCAACAGCTCATAAAGGAGGCAACATAAACCAGGTGTTATAGACAAAGAAGGGTTTTAATAAAATAAGGATAGATGTGTACAATTTCAGGATTTGTCTCGATCTAAGTAAATTTCCAAAACAGAACAAACTAAGGTCTTCACAGGCTTTGAAATATGATGATATATATTTTTTTAAATACACAATTCAAAAAGTTAATTATAACACATTTAGGAGAACCTGCTCCTCAGTGATGTAACTATTTTCTCAAAGTTTTTTTTTCTTAAATCTGTGCTTTCAAAGCTGTTTTCAACAAGTTACTTAAAGGGATATTCTGGGGTACCATTAGGTTATGGTCAAACACACTGTGACACTGAGTTAGACACTCCCTCGAGAGATGAATGTTGCTGAGTGCAGCGGATCATTTCCATGAAGTAATAATCATCATAATAATCATTTTGCACTGCAGACGCGGTAGTTCTTCTGCCTTAGCGTCTCGGTATGATTTTATTTCCATGAAGTAATGATCATAAATTTTTCCGCTGCGCTAGGTGATCGACTCGTCAGGGCTGCCCCCACAAACAAGCGGCTGCTGGAGGAGAGTGGGAGAGTTGTGTTTAGTCTCTTTGCTAAAGAAATCAGGCAAAGCTAAAAAGATGTTTGGTGTCTAGTACTAAAGCTGGGACCCTATATGTCCTGTTGACGAAGTTAGGTGCTGTTCTGAGCATTATTTGTGGCTATAGGGTGGCGTTTTGGTTGAGATTTGCATGTGGAGACGTAGACCGCTGTATATTGCTATCGTGCGGCTGTTGCTAAAGTTGGTGTCACTAGAGAAGCAGGCAGTCCACAACATTCATCTGTCAAGGGGAGGTCTCTAACTCAGTGTTATGGTGTGTTGACCCTACGTTAATTTTGTGCCGGAATATCCCTTTAAAGCACCGAAATATGCAATATTTAAAAACCAATATTAACCCTTTTCCCGACATTGACGAGATATCTCTATGAATTCACAGAAAAAGGTATTAAGACCTTGCAGTCAATGTTATCATATCAGATAGGTACAAAAGTGTAAGTAGCCTATCAATTCTCTGCTTGGAAATGACAAAAATACATTTTTCTTAGCTCTTTGAAATGTGGATTTTTTTGATTTTGAAAAAAACACGTTTTCAAAAACGTATAAAAAACAAATGTAATAAGTTGGAACAAAATGGGTTTCTTCTTATGAAAACGTACTTGAATTTTTTTGTTGATACCTTTTAATAATAACATACACATTCAAATTTGACCAAAGTTGGTCAAAAAGACTGGCGGTGGCAGGCCACTGGTGGGGAAAGGATTTAGTATCAAACACCCAGACCCCAAATTCCTTCCTTAAATTATTTGGAATACAAAAATTTTAAAAAGGGTTTCAGGAATCGATTTATCAGCTTTTTCTGCTTAAAAAAAGGAACCCCCCCAGGATGATCAGCCTGCTGTTGATGGGATGGTGACACCTGTGCTGATTGACCCTCGGGACCCAGCATGACCCCCCCCTTCCTCGCTGTCATGCAGATTCTCTGCCTCCAGTTGGTGCTCAGGGCGACTACGCTTTTCTTTCTGGCAACAAACAACACAAAAAATAACGGGTAAATAAATGGTCTGAGATATTGACATTTATAGCTCATCATAAAATATGACAAGTGGGGAAAAAAGAAGTTGGTTTCCTTTGCTCTTTTAAGAAGTAAATAAAATAGTTTAGCTCAACTTTAACTTGGCTAACAGTGTACCCTACTTGAAGATGAAGCACAGTCTGTAGACTGAACACGGCCAGCTAGCATGACCTAGAAGTCTTATTACCAACCTGAGATTTCTGATGTCGACATGCCAAAAAGAGCAGCAGTAAGAAGACAATGAAGCTGATAACGATACAAGGGATGATGACTTCCAGGTGAGACCTCTGCATTTGGGGGGGGTCTGGTGAAGGCTCTGTGAAATAAACACAAAAACAGCAACTTTAGAAATTAATGACACAGAACATAAAATTTTCTTCCCCCCTGCTCAGTGTTGACATGCAGTTATTGTAAGTCTAGTTTTTGCCCAAGTCCTTTTTTTTCTGTACAGCTCCATTTTTCAAAGTTATTAGGGGGTTCATGTTTTCTATGATTGACACTTGATACAGCCTATGGGCGTACAAAGATTGCATAGCTCACCCGGGAGATATGCTGTTCGAGCCGAGCATCATCACAGCGACTCTCTCGCCAAATGCGTACAGTGCTACTGCGCAAGTGGGGGTTCCAGGAAGTGCAGAAAATCCCGGAAATACCGAGAGCAATTCGGCTTCAAATCCATATAATGACGGAAGGCGGAGCCAAGTTGTCCATAGCATACACAGTCTATGTACCTACCCTTTTTAGAGTTGCATTTAAGTTAACCCACTAAAAATACAACATAAATATATCAAAACATATGTTTTTCAACAGATAGGTCCTCATTTAAAAACACTTTTGATGTAGAATAATTGTAAGAACAAATAGATGATTTTGTACATTGAAATATTTTTTTAGAAAAAAAACAAACTTCCTAAACTTCCTTAATAAGTAAAAAAAAAAAAAAAAAAATCTAAAATTAATAATAACATCTTGTACAAACATCGTATTCTTGTTTATCCCTACTTCACCAACAGAAAGTCAGCTCTCATCATCATAAAGGGAACAAAAACACTTTACATTTATGGATCTGTGTTCAAAACAAGATTTAAGTCAGTACTTATTCTGCATCACAGACACAACTTGTCTTCAGCACTGTAGGTCAACATCACCTCATTTTGGCAGATTTGAACACTCACCAGTGACAGTGACTTCATACGTGTATCTGCGCACTTTGTTGTCTCCATTGGTGATTTCTGCATTATAAACTCCCTGATCTTCAATCCCGACTGACTTGATGGTCAAAGCGCCAGTTGTCGCATTCAGGTGGAGATTTTTGTGGGAGTACTTTGGGGTCTCTCCACTGTCATAAGTAACGAGCTTCACTTCCTCACTGCTGTTGCTGAACGACCATACCACAGAGAATTCACCGTGTAGCTTGGTGGATCCAGCCGGCAGAGTGAGATCTTTTCCAGCAACGGCTGTTTGGTTCTTGATTTCTTCCCTTCCAAAAGGTGAAGAGACCCCGACTGAGGTCAAGACAGCCACTGCAAGAGAAAAACAAAGAGGAAGAACTGAGGATGAGTAAGTCATGATATAAACAAAATTGAAGAGATTTCAAAAAGACATTTTATTCAATATAAACTTCATGTTTTTGTAGTGCAGTTTTCTAACCACAGAAATAGTCTGTAAAGTTTTTATTACAGCAGTATGTTGTTCATCAATACAGTCACTTCTTTGTCATTTTGCTAGAAGTAATCCTTTAGTTTTAACACTGAAATACTCTGATTATTTTTTTCCTTTTAATCAGCTTGTAAAACAAGTAAACTTCTCTGATAATCACAAACAATAAATCTTATCTTTTGAACCTTCACCTTTTGCTGATGGATTTTACTTTCAGAGTTTTATTTTGAAGGAGACTGGCACCGATACAACACAAATAAATGCTGTTTCTCACTGGCAAGTAGGCCTAAAACAGGAATTTCTTTGATAATGATAGAAAAGGACATTTAAATCCTCCTGTGCTCACCTAAAAAACTAAGCTTTGAACCTGCCGCAGGCTTACAGCGCCATTCACAGAAAGAAAAAAAAATTACATGCAGGACGTCCTGAAACCACAGGGATCAGACTCATGTCGAGGCATGCATGACCTGGAGTGACCTCAGATCTGCTTTCAGGCAGGATGATGACGACCTCCAGACTGCCTGTTTTTTTTTTGTTTTTTTTTTAGCAGGAAACCCCTGTTCTTCATCAACAGGTTTTTAGTAACATCCATTGTACACAAGTATTGAAACAAAGTTCCCCTATCAGACATCATTGAAACAAAAGTTTGCTAGTCTCTGGGACCAGGACCAGTATAGACCTCACAGAAGACTGGACTGTGAAGTTTCAGGTCCTGATATATAGAGCCTACGGGAAAAAAAAAGACCTAAAGACTCAGGACAGCTCAGCTCAGCAACAGGTTTCAGGACTAGAGCCTGCCTTCTCTTCTCTCTGTGGACCTACATGGACCCCCTGTAGACACATCTGATCCAGTACTGTTCTTAAGATCCTGCATTAAAACAAGACAACAACTCTTGGGCACCAGGATGGTAAAAAAAGAGAAGCTGAGTCCACTAAGGTCTAAGAGAAATCTTCTGATTTCAAGTCCATGATTACTCTAACTAATGTGTGTGAAATGTGTTTGTGTGTGTGTGCGCAGCGTGTGCAAAGCCCAAGTGTGCAGAGTTCAGTGCATGTTAATTGATGGGTTGGTAGCATCAGTATCAATATCAGCCTTAAGGATGTGTGTGTGTGTGTGTGTGTGTGTGTGTGTGTGTGAATGCAGTACTTATAACCGAGTGAATTGCTGACTGAATCCATGTAGGAAACATTCAGAGTGACAAGTCTGTCCTTGAAACTTTTGAGGGATAGGGGAGAGTGGGGTAAGATGAGCCATTTTTCATATTTCAGATCACTTCATCAAGTCAATCCTAGTTTTCTCTCTAACTCGTGTATCTGCATATATTTCAGGATGTTGTTCACCCCTGCAAACCAACAGAATGAGTGCAAACAGAACTGTCTTGATGATATAGCATGCAAAAAAAAAAGTGGTCTCCTATGGTCAACTTACCCCTTGTATGGGGTAAGTTGAGCCGTATCCCTACTACCCCCCACTCTCCACCCCAGCCCTCCCTCACCTTCTCTCTCCCCAAATAACAGTCACTTCTTCACATTCATGTGTATTTTTATCTATTATATGCTATTCAACAGGTACAATCATTTATTATTATTATTGTTGCAAATAACTGCTGAAAAATTGTTTTGTAAAAAGACATTTTAACATGAGAATGTCTTAAAGTAATTCAGAACATTCACAGCTGTATTTTTGAAAAGAAAAAGTAAAAACATTTCAACAATCTGAACTGAAACTCTGATCCTCTCATCAGACTCCTTTACTTTCTCAGTTACCCCAGAACTACTATGATGACTTTATTAGTCCTCTAAACTAAAATGGTGGACTTTTATGTGAGGTTTTTGACCTCATGTTGTAGCTCATAGATACAACAATTGATGTACAAAATCATTTTAAATCATCTTTTTAGATCTGAACACAATTCTTATCAAACTTATGACAAACTAAATTCACTTTCAAGAGTGAAAAACGTTTTTTTTATATAATAAATGTCTAACTTCTTCACCTATGTGCTTCTAACCTTCACAGACTCCATGAATTAATGTCCATCTCCTTAATATTGGTCACATGATCAATTTCTTTTACCATTTCCAAGCATCAGGGGGTGGCTCAACTTACCCCTGTCTCCTCTATTGTACCCACAACTTCCTTCTAAAGCGATAAGGTTGGTCTTTGGAGTCGCTACACTTGTCTTGGAGGCGACCAAAAACCACACGCGCTTTTCTGGTTACCAGAGATTACCTCCGGTTACCTCAGACCTCCACAGTGCTCCTGTTTGCTTTTTGAGAACCCGCTCACTCACTACAACCGAATAACTTTTAGTGAAGAATGACAAACACAGCGATGAAAAGTGGAAAGCACTAAAGCTCGGAACAACCAAAAAAAGAGGGAAATTATGTCACTGTAGTTTGCTACATGAATCAAACAGATCCAGAGAAAGAGGCAACAAAGTTTAAAGCGGTGCGACACATTTATCCTATACTCCTTTTACTCCTAAAAACATTTTTTTCTCGAAATCATAAGTACATAGAAGGAACTTACAGATTAACAGCGTCCATGCAAAAGTCCAGATGAGGTGCATAGCTGGGTTTACAGCAGTTGGAGAGGTCTTCGTCAAGCTGTGTTCAGAGGAATGAACGAGGGGCAGTGCGGCACGATTTTATTGCGGCTTCCTACTTTTATAGTAGGCGTGGAAGCTGTCTGTCTCTCTTCCTCCCTCTCTGTCTCTCTCTCTCTCTCTCTGTCTCTCTGTCTTTCTCTCTCTCCTCCTGTTTCTCTCTCTCTGTCCCTCTCTCTTTCTCTCTCTGGCTCTCCCTCTGTTTCTCTCTCTCTCTCTCTCTCTCTCTCTCCCTCTCGACCTGGCTCACATGCGCTCCCTGCGCCTGAACCTGCACCTTTGATTCTGTGATATCTTATGTCAGTGCACTCCTCAACACCCATCACTACACCACGCTCACACAGTCACATGCACCTGACTGATCCTACAGCCTTGTAATGATTGTTTATCTGATTATTTCTCTTAGTTTGTAATAAATCTTATTGATTTTTGGCACCGTTGTTTACTACCGTCTTTTTGTCATGGCTCATGAGCTGGTTTATGACCAGAATATTCAATGTTCTGTTTGACATGTAAGATCGTTGCTCTTAAAGCTACAGTATGTTTCACGGATGAGGGTTAATGAAATCAACATTTCTGTATATGCATAGACATTTATACCCACAAACAAGAACGTGTATTGAGGTCACTTTAACCCCTTCCTCCACACAATTTCTGAAGCAAGCCAGTATTAAACAGCAGTCCAAGAAGCAACATATTATTCACACTCACCTGCATAATCAACTGGTTTGGAGTGACGGACAAGGTTTATAGGAAAGGCAGCCAACATAATCAGATGAAACATATTGCCTTTAGTTGATTTTCATCAGAGAAGTCACCAAAAATAAATAAACAGGCGTGACTCTTAAGTGGGAATCCTCACATGCACTCAAAACCGCTTGAAAGAAACTGTAAACAGTCTGTCACTGCATCTACAAATACATGCTTAAACTGTAGGCTACCGTTCAAAGAAGAAAGCATATATAAACTTTTATTTTCCGGAGGTGTAGCTTGATGAAATGCACAAACATTTAACTTTAATTTTAGGATCCTCTGTCATAGAGAAGGTAACTAAAATATCCTATATGCATGACTGAAACTCAGGAAGAGTGAAACAAGGACCATTTCCTGTGTGAGCAGTAATGTCATGTGTCATTTCAAGAGCAGTAGACCTCAGCTTTCTCATGTCATGTCACCACTGAGTGAAATCAGAGGTTCCAGTAACCACAAAAATGGTCATGCCTATGAATAACAACCTGAGTGTGTCAGAACAAGGTGTTTTGTTTCCAAGATATGGGTTTCTAAAAACACTTTGTTACCGCAAGAGAGTAAAACTTCCTCTTATTTCAAGGACATCAGTCATATAGCAGTAGAGAGGCTGTCACAAATGACAGCTTCAGCTGTGCATCTCAATTCAGATTATTCAAGTCAAAGTGCAGCCTGAAGTCCTGGAGGTTGTAATCTTCTTCTCAGAGGCTGAAGAAACTTCTTTTGGGAGGAAAAACCAGCCGGTGCCACAGCGCTGTCATAAAATGTCGAGTGTCTGCGACTTTTTCATGAAAAATTTTAACTAAGACTTATCCTGTTAATTCAGTTCGATGTGTTACCTTTGTTTAAACATGATCACCAAACTGACATGTTTTTTTTTTATCCGTAGTGTTCATCATCTCCTCTTTCAGCTCGTCTTTCTCATGTTGTCAAACTCTCATAGAAAACATTTCACTAAAAGAAACAACACATCAGTGGTTTTGGAAAGATAGATTTATTAATTTCATTAGTCAAATCCTAACACAGCATTGTTCTTGTTGTTGTAACATTATTATAAATAATGATAATAAATTCATCTCTCTGTGGATCTGTAGAGTACAAAGGCAGCTCGATTACTGTAAATATAACCGGCTAAATTTGACATCTGCATCACAAATATTTACAAAACTGTAAAAGTCACAAAACATAAATAAAAGAAAATAAGAGGCACTGTAACCCAAGGATGCCTGTTTGTTTAACTAGGGTGACTATATTCTGAATCCCCAAAAAGAGGACATGACTACGCGGGGGCGAAGTTATGGAGTCAGACAAAGTTAATTTTGAGAGTTTTTCAGGTCGGATCGCGTGTCTTTTACGTGCTTCTAACTCTGTAACTCCATGTGACACAAACTCAAAACTTCAGTATAAAAGGTCCTCACACACCAGGACCGTTTTTCTCGTGCGATTATTTCGGACGTCAATATTTTTTTTCGAACCCGTATCCTGTCAATACAAGCGTTCACATCGGCGACATTTTTCCGTTCTGCGATATTGCGGCATTAATTTTTTCTCATACTGTGTGTCCACTTTTGACCAATCAGATTGCGTGTTGTTGCGACGTCAGATTCACCGGTATATCCAACATGGCCGACCGGCTGATTATTCACGTGTCGGAGAACAGAGTGATTTTTGATAAAAGACGCAAACATTACAAAGATAACGACCTGAAGGACAACTTGTGGAGAGTCATAGCGTCTGATTTCTCATATGACGATGGTTTGTGTGCTTTAACAGTTTGATAAACGTCTTTGTTTTAACTTTCATCTGTGCTAACGTAAGCTAACGGTTGTTACCATAGTTTCATGTGCTTATCTGGTACTGGCCACGACTCAGTATTTGCTATCATGACAGACAGACATCTCAACACTAGTGTCTAATCAGAACTGAAAACAATCAGCGACCGTGAAACAGTTTCAGCTCCTGAACGAAGCAGTGAAACTCACCAAGTTCTCTTCTTTTTGGTAATACTGGATGCACCCATGTGCTATGTTTCTTTTTCTCTTGAGAAAGCAAAAGGAGGACCAATTCGCCATCACTTAAAGTTAAAGTAGACTCCATTTTTGTCCTTTCGCTCCCACCCGGGATGCTGGTTGTTCAGGAAAGGTCCCGCCCTCCTTCGCCTCTGATTGGCTATAAGTGCTGACCGTTTGGCTTGAGCATGTGATGATGTTTCCACCTTTTCCAGCCAGTCAGAGGCGAAGGAAGCGGGACTTTCCCCGGGAAAAGTCTTCCCTGGGATGCGTCTTTCCCCCCCCGGAAAGTCGCATTTACATCGCGCTTGATGTAAATAGTCCGGCGCGTCAAATTCGCCTCCGAATATTTCGTGATTTCGCGTTCTCTATTCATGCCCCCAAAAAGAGGACATGCCCGGGTAAAAGAAGACGTATGGTCACCCTAGTTTGACTAAAAGTTCTTTGCAGAATCATAGGACTGAAAAGGACAATGCGCCTTTTTCCATTTCACTTCATTCTAAAAAGACTGACTTAAAGCTATGGTGTGTAATTTCTAGTGCTGGTAAGAGCACTATTGGTTGAAAAGTAAGAGGAGGAAAAGCAAGGTGGAATGAGTTCAAAGGTCACTTAAAAGATGAGTTTACCCATTAAAACTCTACCCAAGGGGAAATCCATGAAGTACAGATTGGGAAAGAACAAACAGTTTTCAGATGTCGAGTCCATGCTCATCTCAGTGAGATGAGGACATAATCCCCTGAGTTGAAAGTTGGCAGGAGTCACTGGCTGCAGTGGTGCAAAAACAAGAAGCAAGACGGGGAGATTTTCCTGAAAGAAAAAAAAACACGATGAATCACTTCTGACAAAACTGGAACACATGGTTAAAATGTGAATGAAACACATGCTGACTGTAGGGAGTCTGTAAGAATCCACCGACTAGAGGGACCACCACAGAAGACTTTCCCTTTGATATTGGACCTGGCAACACCACAAAATCAGCATTTTGAATAAAGTTTACTAGAGGTCGGTCAACACAAGACCTGCTCAGTTATGGTAGAAATCATAATCATGAATATTTAGATTGAGATTGAGACCACAGTTATGAAACACAATTAGTCTATTCATAATATTACGACCTTATACACTTCAAAAATTCAATATTAGGAACCTTTGAGGTGGAATAACACTGTTTTCTATTTCTTGATTACCAAAGCATGCTGGTCCGTCTAACAGGATAATATAAATAAATGTTTTAGTACTGAAAGGGACCACACATCAGTCCTAACTCAGTCAAGGAGCTTTGACTTGATTTAATAGTTACTGTCCCTTTAAAAAAGATCAGACAGACAAGAGTGATGTTTACATGTACAAAATTTCTTGTTCTGATTAAAAATTTGAGGGATCGGAAAATCTGAATCCACTGTTTACACGGGCGCAAAACCAAATAATCCGGTCATGATGTGCGTATACATGCACCGAGTTTTATGCAGATTAGAAGCATTTGGACATGCACAGAGTTGTCTAATTTCTCTAAAAGAACCACAGAAGACAAAGAGTTGTATTTGTCTATGCTGTCAACAAACCAACTAACACGGTAGTGGCTCATCTCATCCAATTCAGGATTTTCCCGTCTGTTGAATGTTGTCACTAGATGGCTAGATTTTGCTGTTCTGTCAAAGGTTGTTCTGTGCGTGCAGATGTGACATCATTACGCTGTATGTACGCCTTGTTTTGTTATTGGAGGCGCAGACACGGCACCTGCAGTCGTGCGAATAATGAAACCTCCTGTACCGACCTCGATAAATAAAGAGTGAAGATCGAGTCAGTTAAGAGAGTCACGATCAGAATAAGTGTTTACATGGACGCAATTCGGAATAATGATCGGCATAAACCACCCTTCTCGATCGGAATACAACTTCTTTCCGATTGAGCCTAATTGGATCAGAATCTTCTGATCCACGTTGACATGACGAATTTTTATTCAGATCGGGCCTTTATTCCGATTATTTGTGCCCGTGTAAACGCAGCTAAAGAGGCCTTTGAGACTCTGACAAGTTTGGAGCTTCTTATTCAAGCTTCTTATACATATTCTTATATGGTTTTCTTGCTGTGTCCGTTCCCATTCTTTTTCCTGCATCATTTTTGATTTGTACACCGTGGAGTTGGAGCTAAAGGTTGTTTTGTGTTGCACTATACAACGACTTGGAGTGGATAATTGCAGTGGGCAAGAGGGGAGACACGTGTAATTTAAGACAACAAGCTAGGAGCAATTTTGTTTGTAACACCTATCAAAATGCAAACATATCATTGCATCCTTTAAAAAGAATAAAAACCCACCCTGCAAAAATTTGCTGTGTTTTTCTAACTAACCTGAGAGTTTCCCCACGCTGGCCAACTCACAAGAGGAGTACGAGGAAGACAACAGCCAACACGATCGTCAGGTCAAACCTCATGGTACTGGCGTTCGCTCGAGCTTCTGCGGGACACATAAGAGCCAACAGGATGCTTTAGCAGTTGGGATGCAAAGGGACAAAAGCAAGACCCTCGACTCAAAATTAATTCACAAGTAAATTCCCAAAACCTTAAAGTGATAAAACACGCTGACATTTAAGCTCCTTTCACTCATGCATTGCAGTCTTGAAAATGTCCAGATTTTACGGACTAGAAGAGTGTAAAAATAAACATCTAAACCCATTCATCCTGAAAATAGTCTGAATTTTAGCAGGTTATAGTCTCAAAGACTCAAAGGTTAGTGAAGTGCCAAGTTAACCAGTTAATAAAATACATGATATATCAAAGGCTGCAGGAGACTAGGCAGTGAAATAGTCTTGTAAAATGAGTAAAACAAAGAACCTGAAAAAAAAAACACAGAAATTCATGAAGTATATCACCTGTTATTTTAAAGATTAAAAAGGCACACACACATATTTTTGGGAGTGTTTGAACACTCACCAGACACAGTGATTTTATACTTGTATCTGTGCACACTGTTGTCTCCATCTGTGATTTCTCCCTCACATACGCCACTATCCTCAACTCTGAGCGGCCCGAAGGTCAGAGAGCCGTACGTCGTGTCTAGGTCGAGGTTTTCTTTGAAGTACTCGGGCGGCTCTCCGGCATCACAGGTGACAAGCTTCACTTCCTCGTTGCCATTCTTCAGGGACCACAGCACCGAGTAATCCCCCTGTAGCTCAGCAGATCCAGCCGGCAGAGTGACTGTCTCCCCAGTACTCACTGTCAGATACTTGATTTCATCCGTTCCCAAAGGTAGAGACACACCGACACCGACTAAGAGAGACACTGAGAGAAAAAAAGAGAGAGAAAAAATTGAGGTGTTTGATGTACGTCTTTTGTTTTAATTTACCCTGCATGTTTTTAAAGCACAAATAAATGCCACCTACTACCACTAGAGTTATTTCCTACAGGTTATGTATCCTAGATTTTAAAAAACTGAATTAACATGGAAACCAAATCACAACGTTCACATTTTATTTTATTTTAATCAACAAGCAGCACACATCATGAAAACAACAACAACAACAAAACTTAACTGAAAGGTGATAATACACATTAAGCTAAAAAACACAATTTCTGTGATTGTAAGGTGTCTCGCAAATAACAATGTAGAAACACAATCACTGTTCAGTAGTCTCGTTCTGTCTGTCCGTCAGCTTGGAGCGAAAGTGAAAAGAGATCTGAGAGTTTTAGCTCAGTATTGAACGTAAAATGTTGCTGCCACAAGTAGTTTCCTGAGTGAAAGCAATATTTGTTTCAGTAGCTGAACCGGAGCTTTACCCTGAATTTGGAGACCAAGCCTGCAATGTGTGCTTTAAAGGAAATAAAACCCAGGTACTGATGGTTGGAGACAGACTTGATTTTTCAACCACATACAGTCACTCAGATATATGAAAACCTGCCTGTCAAGTTTCTGCGGTGAATTCTGACTCATCTATGAAACACTGATCCTGGAAGTGTAGACCCCTAAGGTTGTAACACTTGTAACACCTAAGGTTGTACATAGATTGTTAGGTTTGTGGGCGGAAGCTGGAGCTTTCTTTCAGGGTATTCTCTACTGCTACCACGGCAACCCTCAGCTATAACTTTGCAGTTTGCTGGTTTCTGTTTCCTGTTCTGTTTTTTTTTTCTCAGGGGTACTTTCTTAGAAAAAAAAAAAAAAAAACATGACGAGGTCCTTGTCCGAAGTGAAGTGAGACTCGCTGGTTTAGTGCGGTCTCTCGGTAGTGTAGTGCACTGCGCTGTTATGGAGGTGAGAGGGAAGACAGGATCAGAGTCATAGGAAGAGTGGGGGCTAGAGCTGGAGAGGCCTTTGCTTATACTTCAGTCCAGTCTTTTATCAAATGTATGAAACGTCCAGTTTACAACTACCAGGCTTTGTTGGGATGGTAAGAACCGACAAGTCAAGCGTGATGGAAACGGTCAGAAAGGTCCAGGCACACGCTGAACCAAACCTACCCAAACGTGCTCAGTTTTAAGCATACATGGAGTACATTCACACATCAAACTCATTAGCAAATGAATAGCAACTAGGTAAAAATGTATGCAGAGCAGACAAGGGGATTGATATGCTGTTGTGCTCCTTATAGTGCCTGGGATCTGACAAAACATAGGCCTGTCAAGATAACAAATTTTGCTGGACGATAATTGTGCTACAAATTATCGCCGATAAACGATATTATTGACACCGTTTTTTAAATTATAGATAATGATATTATATGGCATAATAATGCGAGTACACCATGTCAAAAGTGATAAACTTTAATTTCCACACGAGAACAACACTGGTTGTTTTCGTTGACTAAAATATTTCCCTTTTCTCCCACGACGAAGACGTAACGTTGACGAGCTAAACATAAGTCGGAGATGACTAAAATGTGACGAGACGAAAGTGCGTTTACGTTGATGGGACGAGACGAAAATGACAAACAGAGTTGCAAAACTCAGTCAGTTAAACGCTAAACATATAAGAGCAGCTTCAGTCCGCTCTGACAGCTCTCATCAGCCTGCTGTGCTCCTCCAACACACACGCGCGCGCGCGCGCACACACACACACACACACACACACACACGTGGAGTTTTGTGGTTGACGAAAACAAAACTGGTTTAAAGCCGAAATATTCCTACACTTGGGCTGTTGCGTTCGGTTTAGACACCAAAGCTGTCGTGTTCATTCTGTTAGCTTGCTTTTCACTCACGACGCTCACTTGCAGCACTGTATCCAAAAAGTCTGTGTCTGTGTGCCTGTGCGCGCTAGCCCCCCCGTGACAGACACTGAATGGCTGACAGGAGGGTTCACTAACTCCGTTCATTCCGCTATAGAGCCAACGCCTCCAGGTGCCGAGAACAATGCGCAGAGTGAGACCTCTTCTCTCATCCAGCGTGTTTGGTAGCGAGAGAGGAGGAAAACAAACGCACGTCAATTATCGAGGCTGGCAAAGTTATCGTTTTTATTTATCGAGCGATAGGGCGATTTATTGATTATCGCGACAGGCCTAACAAAACAGATACAAAATCCATATTTGTGCAACCTAAGGTAAGGTAGACTTTAGTGATCCCACATGGGGGACACTATTTCACCACCAGGACAAGAAGACTCATACAGACAACAAACAGGATGGACACATCAGAAAAACAGACTCAACACCAGATACACAACAAACACAGTACAGGCCAATGAAACATGATTTTAAAGTGGTACAATAAAAGATAAAGGACATGACTAAATACAACAAAAGCCTGATAAAAATGAATAAATACTAATATGAATACCTCTACATACTATGCAGCAGTGCCAAGTCAGACCCTAACATACACTGTTAAAAATATCTCACTGCTGCTGAAACAAAAGACTTTCTCAGTCGTTCTGTGGAGCACCGAGGCAAAACAAGTCGCTCACTAAAAGAGCTTTCAAGACCTTTGAAGACAGTGCACTGAATGATTTTTGAAGCCCAGGATCAATTTTAATTTAGACCTGGTCCACCTTTCAACAATGGCCTCAAGAGACTCTGAGACTGAGCCAGCTGTCAGCTGTTATTCAGCTGTATCACAAAATGAGCACACAGGTTATTTCAGATTGATATATTCTCTCCGAACCTCTTAAAACATTCAGTTTAAATGAAGTAATGACAGTGATTATGTTTGTGTATTAATTTTACATTAGCCTTTTCCATCAGACGGTGCTGAATCCCTAAAGACCTCACACTGCCTCGAGCCTCCACAGCCAGAAAGAAAAACAGGAGGGAGGGCAAGTGAGTGAGAGAAATCTTTGTCCCCGAGCAAGTTGAGACTTCAGCCCGGTGCAGGAAACGCTCTCACAATTATGTGTCAGACCTTACTAACCCCCCTTAACTCATTGGTCTACCCACACCCAACCTCACAGAACTGAACAACAGGTCCATCACACGCATAGCAAACTCCATAGCACAAGACACCACTCACCCACTGAAAAAATACTTCAACCTCCTACCCTCAGGCCGCAGGTACGGAACCCTAAGGTTTCGCAAGGCCCGCTGTAGGAAAAGGCTGGTCCCTGCGGCTACAGGTGCCCTGAATAGTAGGCCCAGGTGAATAATCTGTCCTGTTGCCTCCTTGCTGCTTGTGGCCGATTGCTGGACGTTTTATGTAATGTACAGTTAGTGAAGACAAATTTTCCCATGGGGACCAATCAATCAATCAATCAATCAATCAATCAATCAATCTATCTATCTATCTATCCATCTTAACTTACAGTGTGATGGCATTTTTACCACACCAAGGCTTCACACCAGTTCTCCTCTCTGATTTAACTACTGAAGATTATTTCTTTTACCTTTAACCCTAGAACACAATCACTAAAATTTGTAACACCATCCCTATCGCTGGGTGATTTTTACCCGGAATAATATACCCAAGAAAAGGTTCCTGTCATCAAAATATATCAAAATAGGACAATACATGACAAATTAAGGTGGTTGTTACGGCTGTGGGTGTGGGTGTGTCCTGTGTCTTCTTCCGTGTCTGTCTCTGCTAGGTTCTTCCCCAGGTGTGTCAGGTGAACCTGCTTGGAATGATGAGTGGGGCTGCGCTGACTCTCTCTCTCTCTCTCTCAGCCCTCATGACTATCACTCTTGCTGCAGACTTCCCCATTGCGTTTCGGTGTTTTTGAAGACCAGGTTTCCCAGTGGCAGGAGCCTGTGGTGTTTCTTTTGTTTGTTTAATTAGTTGACAGTGGACTTTGGTTTCTGAAGAACGTTATTGATAATCAGCCTCGTGCTCGCCTTTAGTTGTTATATCTTTTTGTTATGACTGTAAATAAATCACTCGCTTATTCTGATTTCCTGTTTCCTACACTTCATTTAGTCTCCCCTGCCCGGTTTAATTGATTGTTACTTCCCATCTTCCCCTAACCATCCTTGCAGGTTGTATCAGCAGTTTTCTTTTATTCTTAACTGTGTAATGTCCAAAGGGACGGAAAAAAGTGCCATGAGTGGACCATATAACAGTGCAACAAAATAACTGAAAGTAGGCATTCATGAACTAAAAATTTCCATACACACACACACACACACACACACACACACACATATATATATATGTATATATATGCGTGTGTGTGTGTGTGTGTGTGTGTGTAAACTGTCAGATTAGTTTCTTTTAAACTTATTCCTGGGACATGTGAGTCATCCCAGGTAAAGACTCAGGGTCCTTGGCACAATAACAGCTGCAGGAGAGAGAACCACAATATGGTCGATATTGAAAATGACCAGCTGACTTAGATATTTCTTATCACTATATGAATTCCCTTGAAAATCACTACTTTGTGATAGTTATTCAGAACCACTGCGCTAAATAAAGACAGCATGCAAATTCCAGGACCACTCTTACTGACCTTATTTCCCTACATGCAGCTATCAAATTCACCCAAACCTACTTTAGCCTCTATCATTATAGACTGTAACATAATGAAAATCACGTTAACATGTTTGGTCGGATGAAAATCACCCAGCGATAGTGTTCTAGGGTTATACCGGGCTCTACAACACAACCCCACACACCGCTGTCAGACAGCATCCCACACCGCGTGCCACCAACCAAGCCCGTAAAAGACGCTGAGCTCGGCTACAAACCACAACAACCTCCGGAGCGGTAAAGTAATGCCTCTGAGGCCCTACAGGAGAAGGTTTACTCACATGCCAGCACTGTCTTCCAGACTGAAATGGTAACAAAGCAGGTCGCCGCGGTCCACAGTCTGGCAGTCATCTCCACGGAGGTCTGTGAGAGCGTGCAGCCGGTGAAGGGGGAATGTGGACTGAACCGCTGTCCGAGTCGGTGACTAGGAGAAATATGCGGATGGATACGGCATTATGCGGATGGATACGGAAGTTCTGATACCAGCTCTTTATGCTCTAAAATCGACTCTTAAATCAAAATATCGATACTTTTGATACATAAGTCGTTTTAGATAACATATATAATTGGCAGGAACACACTTAACTGTCGAGATCTTGTCTAAATATCATGCGGTTGGTGGGAACCACTTTCTCTTCCGCCTGAGAGCAACGGGACGCGTCTCAGACAGAGAAGTGTCACTAAGAAAAATTGGCCGAACTGGGACATATGTAGGACACCACACATCTTTAGTTAAAGGTGTGTGACCACTTTGAATCATACCTGAAATTACAATTTCCTGATAGTCATCTTTGCTTTCGAAAAATGGAGGAACTTCTTCTCCAAGTCATAATAAATATCCTTTTGAGACTCTGGCAAAAATAGACGAGCTACCCTTTGAGGAAGGAAGCAAACGTGAAAGTGTGGGAAGAGGCTGGCGGACTTCTGCATTTGTTACCAACTCAGATATGGGTTTTTGTCCTGGTCACTGGAAAAGTCAAACTAAAGAGGTTTATCTTAGATGCACTGAAAGTTTTCAAAATATATACATGCATAAACCCAAATCAGTGCGATAAACAGAGATGATGTAACACTGAAGAGTCAGAGATGAATTTTTCCTACTTTCCAGAGAGCTTAAAACACATATGCTCTGATAAATACAGTGTTTTTCCAGACTATTTGTATTTGCAGCAGATTTGAGCTGAACACCACCTTGTAGAAGCACTCTCCCTTGTCCAGCTTTTCTACATTCTACCATTCTCTATTGTCTTGTCACTGACAGTTTTTGTCAGGTTTTAATCACATGCAAAGGTACTTCAGTGTTAGGAGTCGATGACGTGTTCACTCATTTTAGTGCGACCTTTATTGAACAAACTCTGTGTGTCAAACTGCAACAAGGTAACGGGACAGAATTGATCAAACTCAAACTGCAGACACTTTAAAAACGATTTTATTTCTGTTTGCAAAAACAGCCCAAGAGAACAAAAAATATCATACAAATACAACATAAACCCAAATCAGTGCGATAAACAGAGATGATGTAACACTGAAGAGTCAGAGATGAATTTTTCCTACTTTCCAGAGAGCTTAAAACACATACGCTCTAATAAATACAGTGTTTTTCCAGACTATTGGTATTTGTAGCAGGTCTGAGCTGAACACCATCATGTAAAAGCACTTAGTGGATGAGCTGTTGGATGCAGACTGTGAGATTCGTTGAAAGCAAAGAAAAAAGTAGGACAAACAGTAACAGACATATGTTGAAACTGTGGTAGCAAATGTTTGCTAGAAATACAACTTTGTTGTTTTAGTGGTTCAATTTAGGAGTCATTACAGTAGACGTCACTACAAGGAGTTCCAGCATATTCACCATGAACTAAAAACACACTCTCTGTCGTACGGACATTACACACCAGGAACGACGCAAATATACAACGCGAAATTACGAAATATTATACACAACAGCAGACTGAGTGTTTTTCAGTTGTGATTAGAAACTGTTGAGATGTCTGTCTGTCATGACAGCATGTACTGAGTCGGGGCCAGTACCAGAAAAGAACATTAAACTATAATCCATAAATGTAAGGTAACAACCGAGACCTAATGGTGCTGTGACAGCAACGCTGTGACTGAGTTTGAGACAGTGAAAATACATATAGTATGTTGTATCTGAACAGGTTAGCTTATGAGCTTAAGTTACTTAGCACAGATGAAAGTTAAAACAAAGACGTTTATCAAACTGTTAAAGCACACAAACCATCGTCATATGAGAAATCAGACGCTATGACTCTCCACAAGTTGTCCTTCAGGTCATTATCTTTGCAATGTTTGTGTCTTTTTATCAAAAAGCACTCTTGGTCAGAAGTGGACACACAGTATGTGAAACTTTAGAAAAATTGACCGTGATCTGAAAAGATAAATGCCGCAATATCACTGGACGGGAAAACATCGCTGAGGTGAACCCTTGTATTGACATGATACGGGTTCAAAAAAAATATAGACGTCCAAAATAATCGTACGAAAAAAAAACGGTCCCGTTGTGTAAGGACCTTTAAGCTGAATATTTACAGGACCCGTATTGAGCGCGTTCCCTCAGTGTCGCGTATCTGCTCCACTGAGCAGCTCTGTCTACCGCCTACAGGATGCGTATTTGGCGCTTGCCAGCAGCGTAGTGCAGCCTGGTCAGCTGGGCTCAGCACAGAGGAAACAACATGCTCACAACAGGTTGTTTTGCCTTTCTTTGGTGGAGTGTAGCAGATCTGCATGCGGTGGAATCTCAGCGTTATGATCTGATTGTTGAGTGAAGCTGTCTGCTCTTTCACTCCCTGCTTCAGTGCTCTGAAATGCTCTGTCATACTGTCTGTGATTATTTGCCCACAGGTAGAAGGTGAGGCAGGAGAGGAGTGGGGGATTTTGAAACTCAGATTCCACAGATATGACATGTTGAACTGTACTGCACTGTAAAATCTATTTACTCAGATTGTCTTCCCGCAGAAAGAGGTTGCTTATGCAGCAGACAAAGGCTGAAATGTAGCTTAAAAAACTTTAAAGTCAGGAGATGATTTGAAGATGATGGTCCCCTTTGGCCTCAATGTCACTGGTTTAGGTGCTGCAAAAGCTGCAATGTCTTTCTATTCCTTAAATTATTCTGTAACGTGGTGAAGGCTACATAACAGGGACATTTCTACACTTCCTCCTTCTTCATCTCACACAGCGATCAATACAGAGATCAACTCTGCATGACAGGAGAGACCCGCTATGGAGGGGAGCTCTCTTCACTCATATTTTGGAATAGTTGGGGACATGACGTACCTCAATATAAATGCAAACCTGAGTTTTGTACCAAAGTGAGATGAGAAGTTGCTACAGCTGCGCTAAATCCTCCATATTTACACCTCAATAATGTAAACTCTTCATCGTACTGGATGTGCCTCCTTCTTGAAGCTTAGCCAAACTTTAGGTCGCCTGCCACCACCCTTCTGTACAACTTAAGTTATGTTTCAAGTAAATTCGGTACATAAAATTTGATTCAGACTCCTCTCTACTGAGGTTTAATCCTAAAAGATTTACAAAATGATGAGCAGAACCAAAATTCATGTACCTAAATTTAGAACCAACCCTAAAAAAAAAAAAAAAGGTGGGAACTTTTCTGTCCTTTTGACTTGCAAATGTGGATCTTCTCTCGTCTTTATCTGCAAGGTGCCGTGATGCAGAAGACAAAATCCCTCATCAGACGGACTGAGCGTTAACTGTGAAGAAAATAAAAAGAGAATTATCACTTCACCAGAGCAAACCTTGGTTCACATCATCAGTCAAACATTACAGATGATGCTGTAAAACCAGCATTCAGGGCTTACAATAAAAGTCTAAATAAATTTAACCTATTCTCATATATAAACTTTTAACAAGATACACTTAAGTATGTATTTGTGCCTTAGGTTTCATGTAAGAGTACACTTTTATAGAGTACACTCATAAAAAAGACAATAAATTCAGTGTGTAATTTTTTAAAACTACAAAGGGGACTAAAAGTTTATTACTAGTAAACTAACAGTAAACCACTTTCAAGTACGCTTCAAGTGTACTTTAATAAACTAAACTGGGCCGATCTAGTCCCAAAGTTTACTTGCAAGTACACTGTGGGTATATTTGTATCAGTGTACAAAGTATACTTAGGGAAGTATCCTTAAATGAACTGTAGTACTTTATTTGGTTATGGTAACACAGAGATGATTCATTTAGTTGGGGCACACTTTGAATCCATGTGTATTTTGTGCATCATAAAGCCTGATGTGTGCATTGATATGATGTCTAAAAATGGATTTCATGTTATTTGGTTTAAAGGAAGGAAATTAATGTGTTATTTTAAGCTAATTCTTGCTAAAGCACTCTGATATGTATCTGATATTCACCGTTTTTGAAGGTTTATAGGAAACATAATTTCTAAGAGGCTTTTGAACACATAATTTAGAGGGCTAAAACGATCTTGTCAGTACAGAAAGGGTTAATACTGCTCTTGTTTTCTTTAGCTCTAACGGTGTGTTCACACTGTTCATGGATGTTGCAAGAAACTGCTTTGAATATAACTTTGTGAACCATCAGACCATTAATCTACCGGAGATGCTACAACACCAATGAAATGAAACCATCTGTGCTTGAGAACTGTGTTGATACGGACCTTTCTTTTTCTCCAGGGTCTTTGCTTTGACCCCCAGCAGGATAGCAACCAGCAGCCCAATGACCACGAATCCAAAAAGGCCGATTGATACGAACAAAGCGTTGTGGTTCCTGTGGTTTTCAGTAACTTCTGGTGGTGTTTCTAAATTAAAAGACAAGAGCAGATACTAGATGTGAGCAGTAGTATAACATATCAGACTCTCTGCTGACTCTGAATTAAAGGAAACACACGGATTGGTCTGATTCATTATGTTCTCAAAACATATGAAGTAGGGTTGCACAATTTTGGCCAGAAATAAAATCCAGACTTTTTTCTCTGAAAACTTGATTTTCAATTTTTATGTAGAGACAACTTCACCGGGTGGCACAATGGTGAAGTGGTTAGCACTGTCGCCTCACAGCAAGAAGGTTCTGGGTTCGAATCTGGGTCAGGGAGTCTCTGTGTGGAGTTTGCTTGTTCTCCCTGTGTCTGCGTGGGTTTACTACAGGTACTCTGGTTTCCTCCCACATTCCAAAACACGTATAAGTGGAGTTAAGTTAGTTGGCCACCTTTAAAATGCCCTTAGGTGTGAATGTGGGTCGTGGATGGTTGTTTGTCTTGATACGTCATCCCTGCGATCCACACGGCGATGGAATGGTCGTCGTTTACGCATTTCTTCGTCTCTGACCTGTTTTCAAACAGTACCTTTTACAGTCACCGGAAACGCCATTTCTATGTGGATGAAACGCTGACAAATACTTTTGTGTTCACTCTTGAATTAATTTCCGTGGTGACGGGTTGATACCGCCTTCAGACAGACGTTGCAGGGTGTGGTTTGATCTTTGTCCGAAACTTCGTCCATATCAATTCCACACGACTGACTTGTTCTATTTAGCCATGAAATTATCGCCTTCATTTGCAAACGCCATGTTTGTTTACACTGGTGTGCGGGAACTGGGGAGCCCACGGTGGCCTGGATGTGCGAGACATGATGGAGAAGAATCGATTTGACTATTTTAATCTTTTTAACATCGTCATAAATCATCCGATTACGATTTAAAATTTGTTGATCGTGGAGCCCTACTATCAAAAATCACTTGACTTATTCAAATCTGTTTGTCCCCTGGGTCTCATTTTGTGTCATGACTGTGCGCCTCTTAAACAGCAAAGTACGGTTAGACCTGCCTTAAACTACACTTCAGACCCTGCCTTGTAAATGGTTCAAATCGGACCCTTCACATTATTTTAGTAAAATGCCAACCATCTGGGATGACGAGGAGTAAATGACAGTGATTTTATTTGGTATCTTGGGAAAACCCACCTTGAACGGTGACATTGTAGATATATTGGTGCACATTGCTATTGTCCTCAGTGATGAACCCCACGTAGAGACCACTGTCAGCAGGGCTCAGCAGCTGGAGAGTGAGAGCCCCAGATGTTGTGTTGAGGTGCAGCTTGTCCTCAGGCCCATTTGAGGGGGCGCATTTGGCATCGCAGTCAATGAGGGTATGATCCACCGTCTGCCCATTTAATCTGCGCGACCACTCAATCTGGAAATCCCCATGCAGGTTGAAGGGTCCAGTCTCCAGCTTGAGCTTTCCTCCTTCCCTCCCTGTTAGATACTTGGTTTCTGCCCATCCTCCTGGCAGCGAGAACCAAACTAAGAAAAACAAAGAGAAAGAAAGAAAGACGATGAGACATCTGTGTTGGTATTTCTTCTTCATGATCCTGTCTTTTATGAAATGTTTCCTCCAGTCTCTAACTTTATTATTATTCCACCACGAGCCAACATAACATGCTTCCTTGCAGCGCGCGTTTATGGCTGGGTTTGTAGCATCACTGTCAATATCAGCCTTGGGGATGTGTGTGTGTGTGCAAACCATAGACTGTATATACTATAGACAACTTGGTTCCGCCTCCTGCCTGTATACGGATTTGAAGGCAAAAAGCTCTCGGTATTTCCAGGATTTTTCTTCATTTCCTAAAACCAACATTGCGCACTAGCGTTGTACGCATTCAGAGGGGGAGTCGCCGAGAGTCGCTGTGATGATGCTCAGCTCAAACAGCGAGCTACACAATCCCTGAACGCCCATAGGCTGTATCAGGTGTCAATCAAAGAAAACATGAACCCCCTAATAACTTTTAAAAACGGAGCTTCACAGAAAAAAAGAGGACTTGAGCACAAACCAGTCTGACAGTAACTACATGTCAACATCACAACCAGGGGGGAGAAACATTTATATTCTGTGTAATAAATTTCTAAAGTTTGCTCCATAGGGACTGCTGGAGAAGGTGGGATTTATGACCTATACTGCAGCCTGTCACCAGAGGGTGCTGTTCTACCGATGGCTTCACCCAGCAAGGAGGCAGACGCTATCCATTCTATATACAGTCTATGGTGTAAACACTTCAGTATTAAGGATCCTTTCACACCGGGAGTGTTTTTTTTGTGCGATTATTTCGGACGTCAATATTTTTTTTCGAACCCGTATCCTGTCAATACAAGCGTTCACATCAGCGACGTTTTCCCGTCCTGTGATATTGAGGCATTTATTTCTCAGACCACGGTCGATTTTTCTAAAGTTTTGCATACTGTGTGTCCACTTCAGACCAATCAGATTGCGTGTTGTTGCAACATCAGATTCACCGGTATATCCAAAATGGCCGACCCGCTGATTGTTTGTCTTGAAAAACAGAGTGATTTTTGATAAAAAGACACAAACATTACAAAGATAACGACCTGAAGGACAACTTGTGGAGAGTCATAGCGTCGGATTTCTCATATGACGATGGTTTGTGTGCTTTAACAGTTTGATAAACGTCTTTGTTTTAACTTTCATCTGTGCTAAGTAACTTTAGCTCGTAAGCTAACCTGTTCAGATACAACATACCATATGTATTTTCACTGTCTCAAACTCAATCACAGCGTTACTGTCACAGCACCATTAGGTCTCGGTTGTTACCTTACGTTTATGGATTATAGTTTAATGTGCTTATCTGGTTCTGGCCCCGACTCAGTACATGCTATCATGACAGACAGACATCTCAACACTAGAGTCTAATCAGAACTGAAAACAGTCAGTCTGCTGTTGTGTCAGTCTTCTCGATTCCACCAGGGACGCGTCTTTCCCCCCCCGGAAAGTTGCGAAATTGCATCGCGCTTAATGTGTACAGTCAGGCGCGTCAAAATTGGCCCCTGAATAATTTGTAATTTCGTGTCGTATATTTGCGTCGTTGCCGGTGTTTAAGAACCTTTACACTGAGGCAGGATATTGCAAGAACACCTATATGCTGTTAAAGACAAACTTCCTTTATCGACTTGTGAATTAGCTGCTTTCACTGAACAAGTCAATAACACACCAGATAAGGGGCAGGTATATTATCTAAGAATTCCAGGCTACGGAAGCAATCAGAATTACTTCACCGATGCAGTCACTCAGTAAATCAGTCACTTTTAAAAGGAGGCTGGAGGCAGAGATAAATAATATCTTTACAGTCTGAGATCAGCTGCACATTCAAATCAAACAGAAGGAAAGATGAGACTTTTGAAAAACTTCAGAGACTTCCGAGAAAAAGCTTAAAAAACAAACAAGGATCCATGTGGAAAATGTTCATTCAACTTAGCAAATGCATCCTTATGTATCTGTTGTCACACCTTGTATAGTATATGGTGCTAAAGTAGGACCACAGGAACGTGGTTCTCATTCACAGCAATAAGCCAACCAACCCCCCTCCCTCGGAGAAAGCCTCGCCAGCCACAGCTGCTCAGAGGGATTGTGTAAACCGCCCAGGACAAGAAACACCTCGCTGAACTTGTGGACACACACAAACACACACATACCACAAGCACCACACAGCCACTGTGGTTGGGAAAAAGAAGTGACACAGCTCGAGAGAAAGACGAGCTAGTCCAGGCGGCAAGTTATGCAGTCATGGAATAATCTACATGACTGTCAGATACAGAGTAATGCGTTATTTGATCCAAGTGACAATTATGGGCTTGTAAGCAGTGCTGATCATGACAGAGATTTAAATGTGGGTCATGTGGTTTTTATGGTTTAAAGTGAGCAACCCACCAAATAAATCTGTCAACAGTTTCCAGACTCAGAAAGTGTTTCAGTGTCAGAGAAAAAGTCAGGTAAGCAAAACCAAGTAGGGGTACAAGCAGGGGCGTCACTCGACCTAATGCTGTACTGGGGCACAGAGAATTCATGAGAGCGCGCAAAGTGCGTGAGAAAAAAAAACATATTCAGCACTTTATTTTATTTATCATAAAGAGACATAAATAGTTCTTTAAACTATTCGATCATATCAGACTATGTTGTTAAAAAAATCTAATTGAGGCAACAAAACCTGATATTGTCAGACATGTTTCTGGCAACAAAATCAGATGCTTTAGCTGTAGCCATTTTTCTGGTGACAAAACAAGATTATCTTAGCCAAAGGCAAACCGATTTACAAGACAAGTCTACTGTGTTATTTTTCTGAATGGTTTAAAAAATTGACTTGATGACAGGGAAAAATGTTTTTCTTTCTGAAGACAGACCCTTTGTTAACCACTGCACCATTCATAGGCTTTATCTGTCAACTAACACAAGCTTACTCAGAAAGCTTCTGGTCGGCTGGGTACAAGTACGAGGAAGACAATCAAAGAAGAACTGACAGGCTGACTGTGGTTTCACACCTGGAACTGAAACTTCCACCGAGGAGGCAGCAGCTCCACTCAGGATGGGTGTCGAGTTCATCAGCCGACATCTATGCACATTTGACACACGAGTGGAAACGTTTCTTTACGTTTCTGTATGTCAAGCCTGTAGAAATATTCACAAACTTAACCGGCGATCTGTGTTACACCAAGAGATGATCCAGTTTCATTGTTTTTCCTGTCACAACCATGTGTGTGTGTGTGTATTCACTCTGCCTTATTCTCTCATCTGTCTCTCAAAATGAATGATAAAGATCTGTAAAGAAATTAACAAGAGCTCCGTCCACACCCGTATGACAGCGCGCTGCATCTTGCTGCTCCAGCATCGTGAGAATTGACTGTGACCTTGAGCAGAGTAAAATCATTTGCCTCGTCTATATCTTACTTCCTTTTAAACAGGGTCATTACATGTGTATGATAAGGGTGGAGAGGACACTTGCAGTAACTTTTGCTTAACACCTAACATGTCAACCCACAGTCTCTCACTCTCTCACACACACACACACACACACACACAGAATCTCGGCAAAAAGAGTTACTAACAGTCATATAATCAGTTTGAGCCAGTGATATTCATCCTGCACTTCGGAGCGGTAACTGTTTGAGCCTTCACAAGTGGCAAGATTAAGGCTACTCAATAAAAGCAACAGATGAAAGAAAAAAGTGAAGTCATACTCACGGCCAAACACTGCGAACAAAAGTACAGTCCTGAAACACATCGCTGAGGCAAAAACAAACAAGAAACGGCGAAGTAGCAGCGGCAACTCAAAGAGCGTGTTCTCTCGTTCGTGAGCAAACGCAGTCTGCTGCTGCAGAAGGAGAGAGGGAGGGAGGGAGGGAGGGAGGGAGGGAGGAGAGCGGGAGCGGGAGCGCTGCACCTATCACATATTTCTCACCAGCCCTGTCCCTCACACCTCATCATACCTTGTATAGAGAGTCCAACTTGATATGTGGGGTTTTCCAGCTTAATCTTTAAAGCTGAAGCGGTCACTTCAGTCAGTTTGCCATTTCTATTTCTACCCCAGTCTGCAGCTCAGAGTGAAAACACATCTGCACAAAAGAGAAGTCAGCTGACTCCGTGTCCTCACTCCTGCAGAAGGGTGAGATAAAAACCACAACTCAGGAAATGACTCTGTCATGCCAAACTGATGAAGACAAAAGGAGACTTTGGTGCCGACATTATCTTCGTTTATAGTCATTATTACCCCCAGTTAGTCCTGAGCAAACAAACTAAGGTTACACTGTACATGTTGTGACCTCAGCAGAGAGGTAATGAGGGGAGGGCTGCAGCAGCACATGCCATATTAGGAACAATGCCGCTCAGCGCCTCTCACTGTAATCTTACACTAACAGACCAATCACTCAGTCAACATTTGTGTGTCTTCAACTGGTTTTCCAAATTGGACTGAATAAGATTCTTGATAAACCCTTTTTTATTTTTGGGGACATGAACTGTTTATCTGATAAAGTGAAGAGGGGGTTATTATGTCAAAAAGAGGAACAGTGAAGCAGTGATGGATGAAAAGACAGCCCCGGACTCTGACCCAGCACAGCCCACAACAGTTGGTGTATTATTAAACACACGGACCCCTGACAGCAGACAGTCATAATCTCAATTCAAGAAATAACCCTGGATATCACATCGACTCTGATCTTTACATCCAAGAATCCTGAACTGAACAACATGGAGTTTCCAACACTTGAGGTTTGGAATGACAGCAAACCCCAAGATGATTTTTAGGGAAATAAGAGCCTGTGTGCACCTTTTACCGAGGCACCATTGAGAGCATCCTGACCCGCTCTGTCACTCAGTATGTTTACATGACAAACCGAATTATTGCCTTACTCCGATTAAGACCGGACAACTGAAGTGCATGTAAACACCTTAGTCTGACTATAATCAGAGTTTGAGAACTCCGATTAAGACACCCAGATAATGCGATTGGAATTCGATTTTCTCTACCATATAACCAGCGTAGTCAGAGTATGATCGGACAATGCATGTGCGCCACGCCTCTGTACCCCTGGAGCAAAAACACCAGAGAAGAAGTGGCGCTATCACTTAGAGAACTTTTGACACAGAAGCAACTGCAACATGGCTGAAGCATGAAAGAATGTCCACTTTTGGAAAGACAAGGAGAGCGTCGTTGTGCCATTGCCGTTTTTAAATATATGGATGGTCGCAAAACGAGGAACGGAGACATCTTTAAAAAAGGTCCGGAAACATGGCTGCTGAAAAGACCCATATTGGAGACCCACATGGAGTGATGTAATTGTATTTATTTATGTGTTTATATATGTAAAGTGTAATCTATTATATAATGTAATCATGTTAATGTTGCTTTTATGTGAATGTGCTTTTAATTTTCATGGACTCCATGAAGACCCCAGAAAACTAAACTTGACTGAACTAAACATGGCGTACCTCTTCTCTCTAAGGTGTTTTCAATCAAACCCCCACCCTGTTGTCTTAAACAGTAAACTTCATCACTCACTATGAGTGTTTTCTATTGAAAAAGTTTTAAAGCAGACTATTCTCCACCCTGATGTCACTCCTTTAATCTAAAAACACTCCTCACACAAACACACAGCAGGTTTAGCACTGAAAAATTACAACAAGGATATTATCAATCTTGGTCCTGAGTTAGTTAGTTGAGTCTGTTTCTGAACCAGTTAGATGCTCCCCTTTATTTGGACATAATGACAAACAGGAAATTTAGCCAAATCTACCGTGCAGCAGCAATAAACAGAATTGGGTTATGATGTGAGCCTGACTAGATGAGCTGTCTCCTGAAAAGCTACTGCAAATGCATCATATCATCATCATTTATTTAGTTTATCATCATTTACATCAGGAGGTGTAAATGCACTGACAACAGGGAAACTCTTCTCCTGCTAGAACAGTATCCTGGTATCCTGGTTTGCCTCCACAGAGGTATACATGAGACATTATAACGGCATTATTTTGACACTGCTGAAAAAGAACAGCAAAGTAAGTAAAGGACGCCTTTCATACAGGAGACTCAGGAACCAAAAATAGCTCCTCTGTCTGAGGAGCAGAGCGTGGGTGAGGTGTGGGTGTGTGTTTAGTGTGTGTGACTGGGTTGTTTGGCCAGAGAGTGGAGGGTGTGTGGGGAAATTTTACACAAAGAACTGGCACTAAGCTGGCAGCTTGAGGAATTCCTGATCTGTTTCTGAAGTGCTGATGACCTTCTTAGAGTCATTAGGAGATAATTATAGGAGTGTGATGAGCTGTGAAACCCTCTCTGCCTGTGGTTTGTGCGGGTGTGGTTTTATACAAGAAACAGTTTTTGCTCATTACAGTCTCTGTGTTTTTTTGTTCAGCTTTCTCCTCTGAATACCCTACATTTTATTATTCACTTATAAATCTTTAAACGGGCTTGCTCCTTTTGATCTCTCTGACCTTTTAAGACCCCATATTTCATCTCAGACTCTCAGATTCTCTGACCAGTGTCTTCTGACTGTCTCTAGGTCAAGATTAAATTTCAGGGGTGACCGGGCTTTTCCCGTTGCTGCGCCTCAGCTCTAAAATGCTCTTCCCCTTCATGTGCCACTGTCCCCCTCACTGCCTGTTTTACTCCCTAACTTTTAACTCCTGAGAACTTGGCCTTTTAATCACGTTTTTACTAAACCATCTATGTCCCGCTGTTTTTTTAATGTGTCCCTGTATCTTTGTTTTATTGTTCATGTTAATTGTCTGGCTCTTTTTTATTTTGTTTTTAATTTTACCGTACAGCACTTTGGTTAACGTTTTGTTGTTTTTAAATGTGCTATATAAATAAACCTTTATTAGATTGGAATACCCAACCTTAACGCCTATAGTCCTTTTGGCTGTTTTGGGTCTATATTTAAATTTTTCTCTTCAGCTGCAAAGATGTAGTTTCAAGTTGTTGGCTCTAGGACCTCGGGTTTCCTGTGAGGAGACTTGCAGGCAGCAAGTTTGCACATGAGGTGCTGCAATGGAAACAGTAAACAGGATTGGCATGTGAAAGGGATGTTGAGGTCACAGACAGGTCATACTGTAGGTCAGAGAGGGGCAAGTATGGCTCGCCTAGCAGCAGGGACGACGGCATGCTAGGTCAAAGTCTCAGTGTGTTAGAGGATTAACATGTTTATCTCATTTTATCATCCCTCCATCTTTGAGAAACATGAGGAGGAAAAGTAGAGTCAGAGGGAACCAGTTTTGATGAGCTGTTAAAGAGGTATTAACTACAGGTGTTATTGTGATATCTATCTTTATCTCTGCATCATGATACCCATCATGTCATGCCTTCTGTATCTGATATGTATCTTATCTTGGACAATCTCAGCCTCTGAGTTACGATGTTTTGTATCTTTGTAAGTGCTGTATATAGACCTCAGTGTCGTACTGTGTGGAGTTTCTTTATTTCATTCCTGTCATGTCCCTTCATGAGGTGTTTAGAAACACCCCGCCCTGCCTCCTTCGCTGCCTTTAACAGGAGCACATACACAGAAGGTGAGTTTCAGCTGTTGCACTAACTGCTGAATATTTCCTCCTCCCCGCCCCCCAACCCACATTGTCACATACACACACACACACAGCATGTATGTGCATGCGCATTCTCTGTTTTTGGTACTTTGTGGCAATTTCACAGTGTCACCTTTAGCCCGGGCGTATGTACTACAGGATTTTGCGTTGTCATTTAAATGCACTAAGCCTATGTAAGATACGATGTGTAAACAGCGCTACATGTTTTGGTGCCGACGCCAAGACAATACGGGGCCGTCCTCGTGTGAGGAGAGCCTGAAAGAGTGGTCTGGACTCCAAATAAGATATTCAAACATGTCCGAACTTAGTGTGTTATTTTCAGAACGAATATTTGAACGTCATTTCGGGGTAATTTTGACAGCCCTACTGGCCATCAAACTCGATCACCGAGTGCAGCGGAAAATTTATGATTATAACTTAATGGAAATGCAATCAGACAAATTGACAGATCGTCTGCAGTGCAAAATGATTACTTTTGATGATTACGACTTAATGGAAATGATCCGCTGCACTCTGTGATCGACTCGTCAGGGCTCCCCTGCAAACCAGCGGCTGCTGGAAGAGAGTAGGTGAGGTGTGTTTAGTCTCTTTGCTAAAGAAATCAGTCAAAGTTAAAAAGATGTTTGGTGTCTAGAACCATGGCTGTGACCCGATATGTCCTGTTGATGAAGTTAGGCGCTGTTCGGAGCATTATTTGTGGCTATAGAGTGGCGTTTGGGTTGAGGTTTTACACGTGGCTCCATAGACCGCTGTGTATAACTAGAGAAGCAAGCGGTCGGCAACATTCATCCCTGTCTAACTCGACGTTATGGTCAAACTCTTTAAATGAAATCTCTGATTCATGCAGAGGCTATGCAGTCATGAATAGATGAAACACTCAGAGGTGGTTCCTCTGTGCGGCTCTCTGGCTGAAATCCAATAACTGTGCTGTAAGTGGAACTATGACCAACAGATGAGCACAGGAGGCATCTGTCATGGGCTGAGACACTTCAGTGTCCAGGACAGCAAACTTATTAACCTTTTCTGGCACCAAGAAATGAAATGACTGAGACAAACATCAAATGTACAGGAATTGGTCCGTTTTTCCACCGTAGGTCTATTTCACTTCTGTTTGTTGTCCTTTTTCTCAACACACGAAGACCAGCAGTGTGACATTTTCGGACGGGTCTCTTCACCCTTCGGGAAAAAGATCAAAGAGCTGGTTTCTACTTGTCAAACACCAGTGAATCACCGCTTTGCAAAACATATGGCGTTGTAATTTAACTCTGTGTAAACAAGCTAACTTGTCCTTACACTGGTGTGATGATTGTCTTGGAAAGAAAGTGTAATTTTCTGCAGTCAGACCTGTTTGACATCCTGTGAGCTGGATTGATACGCTGACATAGAAGTCACACACCCTGCAGAGGCCGCTGTGTGCATCCAGCCATGACTGATAGAAATCTCAGAGCTCAATCGGCTTCATTGTCCTTTTCTGCTTCATTCATCCCTAAATAATAACAAACTGACTCTTCACTAAATCAGATTATAATGTCTCAATGTCCAACTCAAAAGAAGCCCATGTGAATGCTGAAAAGACACACCAGGAAAGACTCCTCTGCACCACAGTTATGAACAGTTAAAACTTCACCGTGAACAGGCCACTCTCCTCCTTAACCGTTAGTTCAAGTTTTGTAAAAGAAAGTTAAAGTTAAAGCAGCAGCCCTGCAGGACATCTCAGCAACAAAAGGACTGAGGAGCTCTACAGAGAGAAAGACTGTCACAGAGTCCTGCTGGAAGGGGGGAAAGGGAGGGATGAAATACCTGGACTCAATCTTGCCCTGTACCTGGATTCAGTTTGAATCGGACTGGATCCAGTCCTTTGACACAATCTGGATTAGTATTCCGTTTAACAGAACCTAGTCTTTCCTACAATCCAGTCCAAAAGTCCAGTTTATTTCGACTATTTGTGCCCGTGTTAATGCAACTACTGTGTGGAGAGGGTGGTGAGTGACCGCCTAACTGCTGTGGAGGCAGACAGACTAGACCCACTCCAGTTCACCTATAAAGCAAAGCGTGGAGTGGAGGACGCCTCTGCATGCATGGCTGAGATTAAAAATAATTTCCTGTTTTTGCGGGCTCACCATGCCCGAAATTGTTCCTTTCTTTACGAAAATCCCCCATAGCGCACCATGCATTGTTGCAACTTCTCAGTAGATAACCCAATGAAAATGAGTCACACTTTTCTCACGTCTAAAAATCGTGTTTCACCGCTGATGAGGCACAAAACCACCTGACTTTAAAATGATTCATTCACTTCTTACTTTGACTGACCTGATCGCACACACCTTGCAGTACTGGCAGAGAACTCAGAGCTCATATTACATTTGTCAACTGACACTAACATGCTCCCACTCAGTTTTCATTCACTTTACAGCCATGAATGTGATTCTCTTTCTTTTTCTGCTCATTCTTCACAGGAAGAAGATTTTCCTCTTCGTTACAGAAAAAGATCTGTAGGGAGTTTCAGGCTGCACAGAGGACACAGAGGAAGAGAGGCTTTCCTTGCTGAGTAGCTCTGCTGACAGTGATGATAATGTGACATGAGACAAACGTAGTTAAACACTTAAAGAGGGGAAGGATCAACAGGAGCAGAAATCCAAATGGGGAAGTACTCCACACACAGCTGGCATGAGAACAACCTTCTCCATTTTTTTCTCTCTCAGTCTAACATCGAGTTAGACATCCACTCAAGACATAAATTTTGCCGACTGCTTGCTTCTCTAGTTATACAAACTTAAGTAACGACCTCATGATAGCAATACACAGTGGTCTACATCTCTACGTGTAAACCTCAACCAAAATGCCACTCTATAGCCACAAATAATGCTCATAACAGCACCTAACTTCATCAACAGGACATATAGGGTCACAGCCATAGTACTAGACACCAAACATCTTTTTAACTTTAGCAGAGAGACTAAACACAACTCACCTACTCTCTTCCAGCAGCTGCTTGTTTGTCACGAGACCTGAGGCCAGTCCATTACAGACTACAGCTCAAGGAAGAACATTTATGATCATTTTTTTCATCATTTCCTTGAAGTAATAATCATCATAATAATAATTTGCATTGTAGACGTGGTAGTTCTTCTGCCTTAGTGTCTCAGTCTGATTGTATTTCCATGAAGAAATTATCATAAATGTTCTTCCTTGAGCTGTGTCACCCCACTGTAGTCTGTAATGGACTGGCCCGAGGTCTCACTACAAACAAGCGGCTGCTGGAAGAGAATAGGTGAGTTGTGTTTAGTCTCTTTGCTAAAGTTAAAAAGATGTTTGGTGGCTAGTAAAATGGCTGAGACCCTATATGTCCTGTTGATGAAGTTAGGTGCTGTTCTGAGCATTATTTGTGGCTATAGAGTGGCGTTTTGGTTGAGGTTTACACGTGTATTGCTATCATGAGGTCGTTACTTAAGTTTGAATAACTAGAGAAGCAAGCCGTCGGCAACATTCATCTCTGGAGGGGGTGTCTAACTGTGTAACGGTGTGTTTGACCCTAACTTAAATTTATGCTGGAATATCCCTTTAATGCACTACAAAAAAAGCAAGGGACATTTTTTACTTGTTTGCAAAAAAGCAGCAAAAGCGCCCTTTGTCTACATTTATGCTCTAAAAAGCGACAAACAGAAGAGCCATACGTTCATTTAGAATCCATTCAAGGATCAAACTGGAGTTTCAGTTTTGTTTAATTTGCGAAAAAAGCAACTATGGAGTGTTTCTTTGACAATTGTTGCTCAAAAAGCTACTACAGGACATTTTGTTTACAATTGAAGAGAGACCAGAGGACAATGGCTTACATATTAATTATTTAAAGAGCAGCCAGAGGGTACTTTCTCCACATCTTAGATTCTTTAAGGGCTACCAGAGGCCACTGCATATACATTTAATTTGCTTCCTTTACATTTTTATTTTGTTAGATGCTGGACTCTGTAGTTGTGGTTGCTCTTTTTGCCTCCTTCTTAGTGGATCACTTCTTGTTCTTGATGAACAAACCTTCAAAGTACAACAGGGTGTGTCTTTATCTATTTACCTGGCAGGTTAAGCAGCCGTGACCGTTCCACACTGGCAACTCTTTGTTCTCACTGGGGCCAGATGAGCCTCATCACCCTGTAGCATGCATTTGTATTTTACTTGTTGTGTCCCTAGAAACAGCCCATATGCAACATTTTAAAGGTTAGGTTCTGTGAGAAGAAGAAAAGCATGTTTAAACTTCTTTAGAGTTTTGGAGAGACATCTAGCATTGGCTGAAGGAAGAAATGAAAGCAATCAGAGGCTGAACCGCCAATGTTTCCACATCACATCTGCCTGCAATGAGCCGCTGATAACCTCAACCACTCTTGCAAAGTGTTTGAACATCATAGATTAGTGTTGTCACTGTAAGTGCACAATTATTAATAGGTTAACCTTAAAAATCAATGTAACAGGAGAGCTGTGAATCACAGAGTTTAGTGTCTAAGAAAAGGGAGTGTGGCTACAGCATTACTACGCAGACACTGTTGAAGTATATGAGGTATGTAAACTCAGTCAAAGGGCTGAATAAAATCTCTGATGTTCATGTCAACTGTCAAAGAGGAGTTTGATCGTATCACATGACTGAAGCAACCGTCAGCAGCCAAACACTGTCTAATATCTGATACTTAATCTCAATCTCTGAAGAAAACCTCTCAAATGAAACGGTCACAGCTGCAGTCTAATCTGATTACAGTCACTCAACAGCAGCCGACTGACTGTAATCAGTCTCTAATTGTAATTTGCTATAAAACTGTAAATATTAGGTGTTAAGTGTATGTTTGGTTTTGCAAATTGAGTCTTATTAAAGCCTCTCGATCACTAATGCATGACTTAAACTGACTATATCAACCATCTGCTTATGGGGTGCCGTTTGTAAAGCAGCCCATTATAAAAACAACAGCAAGATTTGGTCACATTTAGCTTCAAACAGCATTTAAAAACGTGATGTGAATTTTCGGCAGTCATTTTTTTGCACATTTACAACAACATTTAAATACTAAAACTAAATGTTAAATGTTAAATCTAAATGCTAAATATAAATCTTAAATATATATGTTAAATCTAAATGTTAAATCTAAATCTAAATGTTAAATCTAAATGTTAAATCTAAATGTGTTGGGCGAAACTAAATATTTAGCTAATATGCAAATTCACGGTCGGAAACCGGAAGTGCAAAAATAAAAGCTCCAGAAGGTCATATTGATGATTCTTGTGTCGAAGAAAACGAATTAAAACCAATTTAAGGGGGGAACAAATACTTGGGGTGACGTTTCGTGTTAATAACTACCTACAATAGCGACAGCAACAACGAAAACTTTATTAGAAAGACTCGAGTTTTCAGTGTCGCTTCTCCGTATGGCGCGGACACTGTACGAACACACGCACACACACATGCAGGCGCACACGTCATACTACTCCATGGCACCTTATCTATTCATGAAGTGCTTTGGCCATACGGGTAACGCGGACGACTGGGACGTAGGAAGCCGGGGTTCGAAACCATAGACTGTATATAAGTTTATATGTATAGACTATATATATGTATCTTATATACAGTCTATGGTTCGTACAGTGTCCGCGCCATACGGAGAAGCGACACTGAAAACTCGAGTCTTTCTAATAAAGTTTTTGTTGTTGCTGTCGCTATTGTAGGTAGTTATTAACACGAAACGTCACCCCAAGTATTTGTCCCCCCCTTAAATTGGTTTTAATTCGTTTTCTTCGACACAAGAATCATCAATATGACCTTCTGGAGCTTTTATTTTGGCACTTCCGGTTTCCGACCGTGAATTTGCATATTAGCTAAATATTTAGTTTCGCCCAACACATTTAGATTTAACATTTAGATTTAACATTTAGATTTATATTTAACATTTAGATTTAACATATATATTTAAGATATATATTTAGCATTTAGATTTAACATTTAGATTTAACATTTAGATTTATATTTAACATTTAGATTTAACATATATATTTAAGATTTATATTTAGCATTTAGATTTAACATTTAACATTTAGTTTTAGTATTTAAATGTTGTTGTAAATGTGCAAAAAAATGACTGCCGAAAATTCACATCACTTTTTTAAATGCTGTTTGAAGCTAAATGTGACTAAATCTTGCTGTTGTTTTGCTAAATATGACCAAATCTTGCTGTTGTTTTTATAATGGGCTGCTTTACAAACGGCACCCCATATCTGCTTCTTCTTTTAACTCATTCAGTGCCATTGACAGATTTTGACGGATTTTTTGTTTTTTTGTTTTCTGCCATAGGGCGCTCCTCCCTAACATGCGACTAAGTTTAGGGTCGTTCTGAACGCAGAAAAGCCGACAAATACATCACAACCATGTTACAATAACAAAAAACAAGTATTCGAGGGTCAGAAGTGTGCTATCAAGTGTGCGAATTAGCCTAATTGTGGAGTGTTTTTTTCTCTATGAGGAGAGTACGAAAATGCTGAAGTCATTAGCCAAGAGCTAACAGTCTCAGCGCATCAGCTCCCATGGGCGCAGTGCTTCTGTCTCTGGTACCGGACCTTCACATCCTCAGGCGAAAATCAAAGAAACAATTTCCCGGCCATGTTGTTCAGCCGCCAGTGTCGGTACTGGTGAGCGAGACTGAGCTGGAATTCAGCAACAGTCCTGGCGAGGAGGACGCGAGCAGTCCATGCGGTTTATGCATAGACTGTACATAGAATGGACAGCGTCTGCCTCCTCTCTGGGTGAAGCCACTCCGAGAACAGCACCCTCTGTTGATGGGCTGCAGTATAGGTCATAAATCCCAAAAGCTTATGGGGCTGTGGACAAACTTTAGAAATTTATGACACAGAACATTAATTTTTTTCATGACATGTAGTTACTGTCAGACTGGTTTGTGCTCAAGTCCTTTTTTTTATGTGAAGCTCCATTTTTAAAAGTTATCAGGGGGTTCATGTTTTCTATGATTGACATTTGATACAGCCTATGGGTGTTCAGGGATTGCGTAGCTCACCCGGGGGATACGCTGTTTGAGTCGAACGTCATCACAGCGACTCTCAGTGACTCTCCCGCCAAAAGCGCACAACACTACAGCGCTGGTTTCAGGAAATGAAAAAAAATCCTGGAAATACGGAGAGCTTTTTGGCTTCAAATCCGTATACAGGCGGGAGGCGGAACCAAGTTGTCCATAGTATATACAGTCTACGGGTTTGCGTCACAGTGTCAGATTTTCGAGAGCCAATTTGACTCCCAGCCATCACAAAGTGACCTATCACAGTCAGATCTCGAAATTAGTGAGGAGTGGTGTCCAAGGAGGGAGGACCTTGATGCCACCGGTAAAGTAGTTAGATGTGAAATGAAAAAGACGATCAGAGTTCTGCTTGAAAATTTCTCCTTTGTAAAAATGCGTTTTTCCAGGTTTCTTTTTCCAGATCGGCAAAGATGATATGACCACGCTGCATTGAGTAAACAATAACCAAACACAAGAGTGGGTTAGAGACTAACTTTTTTTTTCTGGTGAAAGAAGAGAATCACCCCTTTCTTTTGAGATATTTCACTTAATTCTAGTCCAAGCACAAGATATTCTGTGGGTCCTGAAAGATACGGAAATTTCTATCGCAATTAATGGTGGCACTGGGTGAAAATATCATAAATGAACCTGGCACTGAAGGAGTTAATATGATTTGTTGCACAGATGTACTTTTATACAGCCCTGGCTTTGTCAAACACACTTATAAAGCAACAGGTATAAATGCAAATACTGTAAGAAGGGTGATCTTTAAGTAAAACAAAGCTGAGCTCAGTGGCACCACTCCAAACCGCAGAGTTAGAGATACTCAACGGCCGTTTTAATGCCTCTGATGACTCGTAAACACTCAGTGGTTTTCCAACCAAGCAGAGAACAACAGAAAAGAGTTGACTGGACTGGACTCATGGACTGGATCAGGGCTGTTTGGATAGCTGGCAGAGTTCATGGTATTTAACAACAGACACAGTCATTCTCACATCTCCTCAGCTTTTGTGACTCATGTTTTCTTCTTGTTAACCACAAAGCAGCAATACAAAGAGATAAACATCTGGACCGGCCTCTTTGAAGAACCTGAATGATCTTCACTCCATCACCTCTTTGCTGAATTTAAAACAAAAAAAGAGTTCTTGTAGAGAGCGCTCAGACTGGTGCAAGAACTGGTGCACACAGCAAGAGAGGAATTCTGCAGAAACTTTTCCACCATTAGACTCATTTTTTTTAGGATTATTGAAGCAGCTGATGAGAGACGATTCTTCTAAAGTAAAGAGAGCAGCAGACTAAAACGCCTTTTCCCCACATTTCAGCTCTGACCTTTGGAACCAGCTGCAAAATCTTAAGGCCTTTTTAGAGCTGAGGCAGATCTCGATAGAAGTAAAGGGTTATTTTGTGCTAATGTTGCACCCTTCAACAGTGCACATGAGGGCTTTCTCCTTCTGGAGAGTTAACAGGAAGGAAGAATGCTGGAGAAGGATGAGCTCACACGTGACGGGTGTGCCTTGCATACACGCCAGCTGCAGGGGCTGATCACATGAGGTATAGTGTACGTGTGCACGACCATGCCTGCCATCGTGCTGAGTCATTGCTACATTCACCTGTTAAAGTATCTTACTTGTTGATGTTACACATTGAAAATGAGACTTATCTCAAATTTCCACACCATACAAGCAGCACTGCAGCAGAATTGGCTGTGATTTTCCCACGAGAACCTGTGGATTCACATGCAATCCCACGATAATGAGTTGTCTCTATAAAGACAGACTGTGTCCTTCCAGAGGAGGAAATCCACTCTGTCCAGACCAGTAGATCAGACACTTTTGTGGAGATTGGGAATTAACCATGGGTACCTGCAATATTTATCTTTATCTACAAAACAAAGCATGTTTGCATGGTATGAAATATGATCCACCTGATATATGTAGTGTTTACTTTAGAAAAGAAGCCGAATGTTTTTATTTTGTGTCTGTGTTCCTTTCCAGCACGGGCTAATCTGTGCTGAATTCATGCGGCATGCTACGAAAAAATAGAAACCTGGCGATTGGCTACAAAGCCCACTGAACCGCAGGGGGCCGGAAAGAAGCCGGTGGAATTTGACACATTAAAAGTCCTTTCACACTGGGACCGTTATTATCGTGCGATTATTTCGGACGGCTATATTTTTTTCGAACCCGTATCCTGTCAATACAAGCGTTCACATCAGTGATGATATTGCGGCATTTATTTTTTCGTATCAGTCGATTTTTCCAAAGTTTCACATACTGTGTGTCCACTTCTGACCAATCAAGATTTTGTGTTGTTGCAACGTCAGATTCACTGGTATATCCAACTTGGCCGACCGGCTGATTGTTTACGTGTCGGAGAACAGAGTGACTTTTGATAAAAGACACAAAAAAATAGGACTTGAACACAAACCAGTCTGACAGTAACTACACGTCAACATCACAACCAGAGGGGAGAAACATTTATACACTGTGTGATTAATTTCTAAAGTTTGTCTACAGCTCCATAGGGATCGCTGGAGGAGGTGGGATTTATGACCTATACTGCAGCCCATCACCAGAGGGCGCTGTTCTAAGAGTGGCTTCACCCTGCAAGGAAGCAGACGGCGTCCCATCTATATACAGTCTACGGTCCACATCCACCCTGAGATAAGACAAATCCACACAGCCCTGACAACAGACTCAGTGTGATATAAACAAAGTGTTCCACTTAAGTCCTTGTTTAGACACTCACAGGCTCAGATAGTGCGCCGGAGGCCTGACATACCGAGGGATTACTCCGCCATTGTGCCGCTTAACCTCTGCCAGCAACACAGAGACATACTGTGTAATCTGTGTAAGGCAAAGCACACAGTATCAGCCTGCAGCGATATTGTCTGCAAACATTTCAGTGAGACATTATGAAGTCATTTCGGGGGAAACAGACAGGGCTTTAGAGCTTCTGTTACACCTGACAGTCGATGTAAATGTCTGGATAGAAAAGGAGTGAAAGAGGCGCATAGAGGGGGAGAAGCAGTGCTGCAAATCATCATAACCAGCAGCTGTGTTTGTGTGTCTGAGTGTGTGTGAGAGATCTTGATGTTTGTTCACTCTCTTCCAAGACAGAGGTCCTGGTGTTGGCTCAGGGCCGGTGCTAGTGCTGGTTCAAACTGTAAACCTCCTCAGGGCCAGTTTGGTTTCCCACCGGTAAGGGCTGCAGGAGAGCCGTGCCTTAACACACATTGCGCAAGTGCGAAGTGTTAAACTCACATGCAAATACAATGTACACTTCTTCTTTCTAAACCACAACAGAGTTTATGACAGATGACTCATGAAGAAAGGACGTCAAAAAGACAGAATTTTCCTGTGATAGAAACAAGCGATGTACGTCCCGTAAGCCTCTTGCTGATGCATTTTGTCATCTACTTTGTAAGGAGTGGAAGGACAGTGTCTAATGATCACACCAGGCCATGTGTGTCTATTAAACTCAGGTCAACATGAAGACTGTTTTATGGTCATGACAGTTTTGCTGCTGTAAATAATTTCACATCAAACTGTTTTCTTTAAATTCATCTTTAGGATTTTATCTCCCAGTGCGTGATAATCATAACCATGTGTCGGCTGAGCAGCAGATGTACAAACACAGAAGGTGAAATGAATCACCTCTAGCCAAAACACATTTTGGCAGCCCGAGCAGAGAAGCCCGGACATCCCTCCTCCCAGCAACTTAGTCCAGCTCTTCCCGGGGGGACCCCGCGGCGTTTCCATGCCAACACGGCCTCTCCAGCGTGTCCTGAAGCTTCCCTGTGGTCTCCTACCGGTGGAGACAGTCATGTCTTTCAAAGCTCCCCTCTTTTTAAAGGGGTATTTCACCGTTTTTTTTAAGTGAAGTTCTACGACACGATCTAAGAGTTTAATCCACAAAGGACGCGGGTCAGCTCGGCACTTAAAATAGGAGCTCAAGGGAACCAGCGGGCCAGCCAGGCAAAGACGGGGTCAACTCTGTCACGTTACGCAGCTGATTTTGAGACACTTGGACCCAAGTGCTTTAAGTGAACTGAGAAGTTTACTTTACTATCACAAAGCCTGTTTGTTTTTGCACTATTTATGGAAGCAACACACACAGACATGCTCTTCCTCCTGCAACACTGACTGGCTGTTCAGTCTGCGGCCTTTAAAGAGACAAAAATGTGACCAAACTTAACGATGAGGGACTGTGAAAGAGCCCCCATAGCGTGCTGTTTATGGCGGCGACTATATGCACGGAGGGAAAAAGCGGAGAAACATCTATGTAAACTAGAGAGCGGGAGGTATCCCAAACTACCTTCTGGTGCAGCGGTGTAAACTGGGACTACCACAAGGCTGCAACCATCACCATCCAGTCCACCAGTCCACTGCTGTACTGAAACCTAAAAACACGGTTTGTTACCCACTGTCTTTAGCTCTTCAATCAGGAAAGTGTTCAGCACTCAGGTTTGTTTGTTTGTCATGTTACAGAATAATAACTCCACCCATGGTCCACAGGATGTCATGATATGCTCAGTTAATTTAGTTTTTCCCTGGTAAAATGAAAAAACAACAAACACCTTCTTCAAAAGGTCCAACCAAAAAAATCCAAAGGGCAAAATCGAACTAAAGACACTGGGGAAAAAATCACAAGGAACAACTGTGGACACAAGCATACGCACACAGCGACATACAATGAACCGACGAGGACAGAGGGGGAAGACAGGGGCTTTCGAATTGGCTTACTGCATATACTCCTGCTGACTGAGTACTGTGTTCGATAGTAGGATGCAGTATGACTGCAAGTCGGCTGTTATTCTGTAGTATCCTTGGCCTAGTATAGCTGGTTTCCGGTATGAAAAAGTAAATTGTACCCTGGTAAATTGCAACAACACTACAGCGTTGCCCATTCATTTACGCACTGAAAAAAAACTTTCATGTGTTTTCATTTGATTTCTTTTTGATCTGATGGGGAAAAAAATATCTTCACTGAGAGTGTGAAACTGAAAGCTGTGGTTTGGTTGAAAACTGCGCACAGATGATAAGCATCGGTATTGGAGAATGACTTCTGTGTTATTATTAAATACTGCTGGGACACTTCATCCATTCAGGTTCTCCAGTCAGAGAGTGAAGCCAAGACACAATTTACAGTTAGCCCTTTGTATTTTTTCTCTTTAACAGTATAACAGCGTTTCAGCAGTGCTCGTCTTTCACATTGATCGTATATGGTCTCTGTAAATAAAATTAACACAACGCGTGAAATTAAAGCAATGTCTAACAGACATAAACACAGTATTAGCTTCGCTAGTTAGCTTTAGTAACACGATACAACAAGTATGCTAACTTCGGCAAATATAAACAAACTTTATACAAATCACCAACCATCCTTGATTGAAAACACACACTCATTTAGCATATACATCGAGTTTACAATACTCACTGCTTCACGAACGCACAACAATCAACTTATTGATCAACTAATGATTTGATTGCAGCATTTGGCGGTAATCTCCGCTATCGCAACAATGCCTGAACAAAAATGGGTTAAATCCAAAAGGACCCCGGGCTGCCCAAACAGGTGCTTGAACAAAACCTACTTAAAGTGGTTTCAACACATAGACAGGAAAAAAAACATAGGAAATTTATAATAATGGGTTTGAATTAGTTTACATTTAGGGAGAGATTTATGCATGAATGTGTATTGATGATTTCCACATGTATTTGTTAATTTTGTGTGTGCATTTATCATGACATATCATTTGTAGATCTTTAAATCTTTCATTCTGCTTATGAATGGCTCAAAAATGACAAAAAAAAAAAAAAAAAAAACACGTGTAAATCATGGATATATATTTGTAGACAAATCTCTTCCCATATTTAATCTTGAACACCAAAGTGTGAGCTTTCACTACAGAGCAATCCTGTGAAATGCTAATGTAAACATGGTGAGTGTTTTCCGACATGTAAACAATCAGCCGGTCGACCATGTTGGATATACTGGTGAATCTGACGTCGCAACAACACGCAATCTGATTTAAAAAAACCGCTCCCGGTGTGTAAGGACCTTTGGAATTACAGAGGAGGATTAGATTGTTTGAAAAAAACAAAAAACAAACAAACATAAATATATACATATATATATATATATGTGTATATATATATATATAACTTTTTAAGAGTTCAGAAAAACAGTCAGCACAACCAGATCTGTCTTACAATGTTTTGTTGAGTCACCATGTCTGAGTCAGAGCGGAGTCCTCATTATTATGTCATCATATTATGAACTAGTACAAGCTGGGGAGGTGTTATACTACTCCCTTCTACGTTTCATTCATGAACATCAGAGTCTGACTAATCATGGCAGGAGATTCAGGTTACTCTTGAAGTTAGACTGAGTGTGGCACTAGTCAGATAAGCTTATTTTCTTCTGATTATGAGCAGGGCAGCTGTTAAACTGTTACGCTGTGTGGGGCCTTTTGTACGGAAGCCTACAATGGCCATGGATTATTTATTTTTTTATGCATTACTATCTTGAGATAACGACTTATTATCTCGTTATTTTGATATGACAAAGTTTGTTTTCTCAAACTATTTTTTTTCGTTATCTTGACATAAAAATATCATTTTCTCATGATAACAGAAATGGTGTTTTAGCTGACCTCAACGGTAACTTTCAAAAATGCCCTCCAGATTGGGATATCTTTAGACGGAAACGGTCTCCATAGAAAATGGAAAAGTGCTGTTTCATTTTCAGTTTTTATGCTGTGATTACAGAAAAAACGCAATGTGGTTGAAAACGCTGTAATGTGCATGCCAGGCTGTAGGTGGTGTGTGTCGGTGTGACCACACTCCCATATAGACCAACAACGCATACATAGAACAACTTCCATTCTGCCAATTCGCACATTAATTATTTGATGCAAATAATTCAGACACCTCCTCTGCTGAGTGGTATGATCCGTGAGGATTCTGTACAGGTCGAAATTGAGCTCCTGCCCGTTCAATAATAACGACAGCGCGACTCGAATGTCTAGCATGGTTGTTGTTGTTATTTTCAAGGAAGCTGCGCATGGCTATGATGAGCGTTTACAACATTTCCACTCTGGAGAGGGTTTTCACTTTGTTACCTTTTCGTCTCCTGAAAACGCAGTTGCCTTCTAAACAGACCCCAAAAAACAAATATACTTGGGCGGAAGTATTGTAACTGCGTAGCCAACAAGTGGCTGCGGACATGCCCGGGCTTGAGTGACTGATTGACGATGATGAGGGCAATGCAAATCAACACTAGGTAAAAGGGAAAAGGTTTTTCGACCCTACCCACTGTCATAATGACGCAGTAAATATAATAGTAGCAAAGATGCCTCTGTGAAATGTAGCGGAGTAAAAGTACACTTTTATTTTTAGAAATGTAGCCAAGTAAAAGGAAAACTCGTGCGCACACACACACACACACACACACACACACACACACACACACACACACACACACACACACACACACAAACTCCAATTAAGTACAGATACTTCAAAATTATACAGAAGTACTTTACTTAAGTATTGCTACTTACTTACTATACAACACTGGTCACGCTATATGATTGGTTGGAAGTTGGTTCGGCTGACGTCTAAGATTGAGGTTGGTACGGACATTACGGAAGCGGTTTTCACCAGATCAGGTTTCATGGGATTGTAGTTCTTAAAACATGGACGAATTTGACAAGAAAATCAATCGCGAGTTATTAAAGAGGACTAAAGACTACGGGACTACGGCCTCTTTTAGGTCGCCAAAGGAAATGTGGAATAAAAGCAAAACTATCAATTGATAAGCGGCGATCCTGCGTACATTTCATAGAAAAGTTAACATGGACAATTGTTAACAAGCCATCTAAAAAATCACAGTACAGTAAGTTGTAATTCTCAGTATTATATGGAGAAAATTTGGAGGTCAATCAAATGATCACACAGAAACAAAGAAAACTATGAGAGGCTTTTAACCGAGCACATTTTACTTATTAAATGGAGCACAATGTAGTTTGTCCAAGTGGACTTGGCACAGTGTGACGTCGTCAACAGGCGCGGACACATCTGGTACCTACACCGGAATTTGATATGAAATGCTGACGGCACGCTCCATTCTGTGTCTACGAATTACACTTTTAACCTGGGAGCATTTAACTGCCATGTGTGACTCATTGCAAAACACAGGAGATTCACATGACTCATGAAGTCAGACTGCTGTGTAACACCAGTCTGATTTATGCCATTTCCACTTAACAACAAAGGCCTAAAATATTGCTATGAATGTAGCCTGAGAGCTTAAGTAAAGCTTTCTGATCTGAGAGCAAAATTAAGTAAATAGTGACTAATAGCCTACCTGTCTTTAACTATGTGTGAAAACTAAAAATCCCATTAGACCGTGTCTGGCATTGTCAGCATGCTCTGAGTTTTAAATGATTAATGAAGGTTTAGTTGCTGCACCACAGGCCTAAATGTTCGCATGTGTCCACTGCATTGTTTTATATATATATGCATGTATTGTTCACTTTATTTCAAGCCCACTTTCTATTTCAGCAGCATGAATCTGTATGGATATGTTAATGTAGATCTTTCTATTAAAGATCAGGGTTTTTCTCTGTTTGGATCTGAATCCTGGTTGAGTAAGGTCGCTCTAGCCACAGCTCTGAGTGGAGGAACTAGACGGACTGGTGTGAGCTGACGTCAGAGATCTGACTCTCAGATGACTGGGGAAGCGGCTGCTAACAGTTTGAACTGTGCAAACTGTTGGTAAACCATTCACAACTTCAACAATCTAAGAGTGCAATACTAAGAGTACATTGTTTTATTAAGTTACACTGTGCAATACTATGTTTAACTGAGCAATACTTTGTCAAACTGTATAATACACTGTGTAATATCCTACACACTTCCTTCTACATAGCTTTATTTCTAGTACTCTGCGGTTTATACTAACCATTGCAGTTTCTTATTATTTATTCCTATTCCTTCCTATTTTTACTTTCCTTCTATCAATATTTGTATTTTCAGGAGCAAGTTTCATGATGTAATGACAGATTCAGATTGACCAAGAGGAAAAGAGCAGATGAGATCTTTCCAGAGAGTGAGAGGAGCATTGCGACAACCCTGTGTGTAAAACTCACCCAGTCCAAGGAAAGGTTCTTTTATCTAGTCCCAGGACACACACAGGATTTTATGAATTCTGACCCGATTAGCGATTTCTCAGACCTCTGTCTTTTTTTGGTTGATGTAAAGGCAGAGTTGTCTCTCATCTTTCCATTACCTTCTCTCTGCATAAACATCTCTGGCTAAACCCAAGTCTTCCATGTTAGATTTACTTTCTCATGTGAGTGAACACATAGGAAATTTTAGTTTGAGAAGCAAACTACACAGTTTCTGCTTAGTCTGTTAAGTAATGCAACATGATAATGTGTCAAATCCTGGGTGAAGGCCCCATGGTGTCTCAACACACACCTTTTTTCCTGTCTTTCTGTCACGTTTTTCGTATCATTGCAGTTCACGTGTTGCAGCTTTGTCTACATGTTGAATGTCTCTCACACGGAGGGCAAGTTCCTCTTAGAAACAGTCAACATTGGAGGGGTTTGTTGGTTCCTCCTGCATGATTTGAATGATTTGCCTCACTATTTTATGTGTGCAATGCAAAAATAATAAGAATAAGAAGAGGGAAAAAAAAAGAATGACAGACCAGATGGCAAACTTCTTCTGAATAAGCCAATCAGATCTACTTCCCCCTTTTTGATCGCTCTCCGTCCCTCTCTGATTGTCAAATGGATGTCACCTGTGCCTGCCTGGGAATTGTTTGCCTGGTTCAGAGAGAGAGAGAGAGAGGAGGCAGGGTGCTCATATTTATGTTGACCGCTAAAGCTTTTTTTGCTTTTGACAGTCAAAATCTATTTTGATTTGATTTATTGAAAGAGAAAATAAATATCTTAGAGCTGCACTAAAAACTTCATGCTCCCTTATTGGATTTAGTGCCCTCTTAGTGACTTATCTAGTCTTGACAGTCACGTTACACTGAGTAAGGATCCATTGGTGTATCAGTGGTGCCATCTACTGGCTGAAGCTAAAAGCTCCTCACTGATGCAGAAGAGAATTTTATTCACAAAACCAGAGCCTTTTTTTCCCCTCATAGACTTCCTGAAAATGTGTTCACTCTCACGGTTTGCTCATGTATGCTATTTCAGTGTAGGGTGCTGTTATAAAATAGAACGACACGATTTTTTACACGGGCATAGTCACTTGCGGAAAGGTCAAAAGTCATTTTTAAGGATTTGGACAAGTTTTGATTTTTCTTTTTCAATCTGATTTCTGACTTTCTCTTCAGAATTCCACAAAATTACAAGAGACAGTTTGAATTTTTAAGAAAAAAAGTCTTAAAAATTTTTGGAATCTGAGAAAAAAAAAAATCTTAAATTTGAGGAAGAAACTCTGGGCTCTACAGCCTCACTTCAGTAAGAATTCTGACTTAAAAACAAACAACAAAAAGACTGAAGTTAAAATCCCGGGAAAACAAAGTCAGATTTCTGTCTTTTAAGTTAAAATTCTTAAAAATCTGACATAGATATTGCACCCTTCTCCAGCCCTTATCATCTGATTTTAATCCTGGGTGTAATCCCTTATCATCTGACTTTAACAACAAACCGTCTTTCACACAAACACAAATCGTCTAACATGCACAACCATAATCTCTCACAAACACAACAACTACACATGATGAATGTAGGTGAAATTAATGCCGTAGGTGGAAAGTGATAATAAATAATGAGAGATAATAACAGATAAATAAAGAAAGAAGCCCAGAGGAAAACTCCGTTAACAAAATAATAAATAAGGATTAAAAATTTGTGGTTTTTTCTCCCTTTTAATATTTACCTAAATATGCTGTTTTTCAGGAAAAAAATATTCAGTACTCTTTAATTTCTTTTTAAAAATGTTTTCCATTCCTAAACGTTTCATGTAAAAGATGTGACTGTGGCACCATCTAGTGGCCTTAAAATAAATTGCATGAACTGCATGGGAAATTTCAACTTGGCTTGATTGTAGTACCCCCAATGGACAAAGCGTTCATTACTTTTTGCTCCCACTAGATGCTGACTTTTACATTTTTCTTTTGTAAATACTTTTGTTTAAATTGTAAAAAACAGGGCTGATTCTCAAGCTATAGGCTGAAAAACGACCCTCTGGCAACAGTTTCAGGCTTTAAAAAAGTACTTCAAAACAGTTTTCAATAAAGTCAGTGATGGACTTATTTGCTTTTGGATTTCATTTGAAGGCATCAGTATGAAATTTAGGATATTTTATGTGTGAGAAAATAAATAAATCACACGTGCTCTATAATCCCCCACCAATATATATATATATATATATATATATATATATTTTTTTTTTCATTTAATAGTGTTTGCATATCATTTCAAAATAAAACATTTAAAAGAGAGTTCAATTAAAAGAAGTAAAAAGAAAAATAAAGGGAAAAAATTGAAATTGTATAAATATAAATTAAATGAAAAAAGTGAAATTAAATTTGAATAAGCTGAAAAAAGTGAAATTAAATAAATATAAGCTGCTATATATATATATATATATATATATATATATATATATATATATATATACACATACATACATGCATACATACATACATACATACAAACAAACATACAGACACACACACACACACACACATTTTTGCTCCTATGGGTGTTTTATGAAACTATTTTGATTTTTTCTCTTTTTTTTATGTAGGATTTTTTTACTTTAGGTCTTTTTTTAATATTATTTTTTAAGGAACTTGGAAAGAGGAATAGAGAGCTGCACAGACATTTTCATTATGTAAAGTGAAGTTTCCTAATGTCCTGGTCGAGATTGTTGTCAATACCGCCCACACTCCTAGTAGTATGGGCTGTTTTGGCCTAAATGTTGTATGCTGGTTTGACAGGAACACGCAGGTCTTTCTTGGAAAACTTCCAAAACTGCTGTAAACTCCAATGACAGATGTGCCCATATTTGGATTCACCAGGATCTGAGTATGTGTGGATCTAGTTGCATAACAGCTCAGCCTTCACAGTAACCTGATCTATTGCCTCTGCAGTTTTACATGTAGGAGGAGCAGGTCGATTTACTGTAGCGATAAGACTTATGCGGGCCAAGTTCATTGTTTGCAAATATGCTGCTCCTGCAGATTACCAAGAAAGAGAACAAATATTGGCCTATGTTTCACTTTGCATTAAATAAGCAAGCGCTGCAGCTGCTGGTGACGATCACACCCTCTTAATGTTTCGTAAGTCACAACAAACCACAGAGAAAACCCCCACAGAGTGAGGATTAGTACACAGCAGATGACTCAGCCATGACTGAACAGTCTGCTGGTCGACGACAACATTTTCAGTCCACAGAGCCCTGAAGCCGATCCTGCAGAGTTGCAGCTCACTCCTGACACCGGATATCTGAGCCAGCTTTGCAGTTTTACAAACACACAAACAGCGACCATTTTCAAATGAAAGCAAAAGTATTTTCATAAAGTTCGCTCTCACCAGCTTTGGGATCCGCAGGGTTGCAGAGAAGCTTACGTAAACTGAACTCAGCTGTTGTTTACAAGAGGAGAAGTATGCGGGGAGGAGGAGGAGCTTTACGAGAAAGGGGAAAGTGTTCCCTTTGCACAATCTCACTTCTCCATTTAGGAAACTGTCAACAGATTTAGAGGAAGGCGAAAGTGCCGCTGCGACATTATTCTTTTGTGCACCAGTTAAGTTACACATCGTAATGAAAACATTGAGACATTTCGTTTTTATCACTGGTTCAGATAAATCACTATGTATCCAAAGATACGGTGGCCGAGAACCGCCACTGCTGCAAATAAAATAAATAAATAAATAAATGAATAAATAAATTTAAAAAAAAGAGGAGGAAGAAGAAGAAGTAGCCATTATGGAAGTTACTGATGAAGTAATAATAAAAAAAAGAAACCAAAGCCGGCTGCAAATAAAAAAAGAGACACTGTGCAGATTTTTTTTTTTTTTTAAAAAGAAGCCAAAACAGAAGATAATGATGCAAAAAAAAAAAAAGTTACTTATTGCGAAAATAAAAGGATGTAAATAAAAAAAGCCACCACTGAAGTGAGCTGCTGGGGACCAATGACGCAAAAAGCGAGAGCTCGGTGTACCTTTTCTATAAGTAAAGCAACCGAACCGTAAAGCTACCAAACTCGATTCTCCTCTTGTGGATGGTCTTAGCCAAAGCTAACACTACACCGGCATCCTCCAGTTCAATTTCATATCGACTCAGGTGCAACATGGCCTGACCAAATGACACATTTAAAAGTTAACGAAGTGAAATTAAACAATAACCTTTCCACTTACTTGTTTGCTCGTCTTCTTGCCATCGTCTTTTGTGGCTAAATCGTAAAACATGGCGGCTCAATGCCAATGTGGCTTTTTTCTTTTTTTTTGCATTGCCACTTTTTTTTGCGTCTTCAACTTCCATAGTGTTTTTTTTTTTTATCTGCACCGTTTCTTTTTTTTTATTTGCAGCGGGCTTTGGTTTCTTTTTTTTTTTTCATCGGTAACTTCCACTGTGGCTTCTTTTTTTGGTATTCTTTTTATTTGCAGCAGTGGCGGTTCTCCCTAGAATAATGTTCCTCCATAAGTCATGGCTGAATCAGAAATTAAGTGTTGTCATTTGATGGCGCCCTTACTCCATATGTTACGGTATGCACAGGATTTAACGTCACCACGTTCCCTCAAGCCTGTTCTGTACCTCATGGCGGGAGTAATGAAAACGGAGAGAATAAATATGCCAGCAGGCTAAACCATATAACGAGCATCTCTTACTTTATTCTCCACTATGCAAAGCTGTGCACCCAAATGCTTGACGAGATATGTGTCCAGTTCAGTTCTGCGTGCTGAAAACACTTCATGTATGACATCTCCAAATACGCCGAAAGCTATGAATCCAGCTAAGGTCGGAGATTTAAACAGCCGGGCATCACGATATTTAAGCATCACAGACTCATCTCCGCAATCCACAATGCGTCTACCGTTGTAGTCAGAGCACAGCAAGATTAATGTCGGTACCTGCGAGGATTTGGCTCCGCGGATTAGGTGTAATTGCAGCCGCGGGAGGGAAGAATGGGACGCCGGTGGAGACGGGGACTGCACTTCCCAGGGTCCATCGCGGGATGGTGACACCGTCGTCGGTTGTCGCTGGTGTGACGTCATCGTTCAGCGCGGTGAATGCAGGTAACAGCCGGATGAAGGCAGACAGCTTAGCACGTGCCGAACCGGATTCTGAGGCTTCGATCCTTGAAGGTATGTGGGTGAGCGATGGCTGGATGCTGAATAGCGCGTTTAAGGATGGGATTGTCGTCCAGGTTCGCGGGTCTGATAGCCGGGGTTGGGCCTCGCGCTCTGCGGGCGACGGAGATGAGGCGGCGGCTGAAGCCGGAACTGCCGTGACGCTGCGGGAACAGTTTTCTTTTCTCGGTCGCTTTTTTGGATACAGAGGAGGAAGAGAGAACTGCAAGTGGAGGATCTATGTGGATATTTTCCATAAACAAGGTGAGAGCTCTTGATGTGAGGCGCCATCTGGAGCTGTGATGTTATTTGTAAAAGGACTTCCAGGAGTCTGGTCTCCGTTCATTGAAGCTGGGAGAAAAGAAGTTTTACTTGCCAGAGGAGAGCTCCTGCTGAAGGGAATGTAGCTGTCATTGCAAGGACTGTCTTCCTCGATTTCGCATTGCTGATGTTGCGTTTCAGAAAAGCGTTCATTCTGCCATGGATCTTCGTCGTGGGCAGCGATCGACATGATGAAGAGCAAGGTAGGAAAAAGCAAAAACGTGGAGCGTGCAGAGCGGTTGCAGCAGCTTGCTGGTGTTTAGCTGTCAAAGCAGAGGAAGAGGCTGGGTTAGTGCAGTTTTAAATAAGGCGCTCTATAGGCATAGGACCAATAGGAGCTAGGAGTGAATCAGCTGGCTATCGTCTGGTTGAGGTGGCTACTAGCCATTGGCTGCAGCTCAACGCTTGACGTCGGGTCCTGAAAGAACAAACGGTATGCTTCATATTACTACTTTAACTCCTGGAAACAACTTTCCCTGTCTTTGCCGAGGCAGACAGATGACACCACCAACACTAGAGTCTCTTCTCATCGGTATGTATGTGTGTTTATTACTTTAAATTATCATCATGAAAAGTTGCTCCTATTCTCACTCTCTGAAATCAGATTTGTGTCAAAAACACTAAACAAAAACTTCAATATCAAACAAAAATAAGAATTTGAGAGAGAATAAAACTCACTGAAGCAGAAAAAAAAGTCATCTCAAATGTAAAACGTGTCACTTGCAAACAAATTATATATGTAATTGTGTAAACTACTGGTCTTTTACTTTTTGTCGTGCAGTTTGAGCGTGTGCAGAAGCATCGAGGCTGGCAAAGCTGCAGGAGATAAGTCACATGCTGTCGGCTGAACAAAGCGCACATCAGTCAGACTACACTCATGTTATTCTTCTGAAAAGTCAAGTTTATTTCATTTCATTCATTTATTCAAACATCTTAAAAAAAACATATATAAAAATATGAATATAAAACATAAAACACAGCAGTGACACCGACCATCATAGAGTAAAGACTATAAAACACAGGCTCAGGCAGGCAGGACTGATACAATAACAGAATTAAACAGCACACAGACATCTGTTGAATATATTGTCTGAAGATTTGTTTCAGTTTCTATAATGATTATGTTTTCACATTTACAAAGGATTAGAGAAATTGCGTAGTTTAATATTTGTTCTCATTTCTGTTTTTTTAAGTTTGTTTGATTTCCTTCTCTGTAAAAAAAGTTCCCCTTTACAAAACACAGTTTAATGACAAACTGGTGCATACAAATATACCAGAATAAACAAAATCAGTGTGGTGCTCTGAACATGTTGTGAAATACAGGTGCATAAAAATTGTGATTCTATGTTTGTCCAAGTATCTCCACTCTAGTTTCATCCTTTTCCACATCCAGGTTAAGTTCATCGTGTCTTTTATTACCTTATTTATGTGTAAACCCCTGGACCTTCATGGACTTTAAAAAGAAACAATTCTCCGCCTAAAATGTGAAAAAATAAAAGAATGAACTACAAACCTAAAAACATTTCTCATACCAGCCTGTAGGCGTGTTCATTTCTGCCATAAAAACTGGTATTTTAACATGGGTTTTAATGAAGTGTCCTTGGTTTTGATGCCCCAAGTGGACATTTGATGAACTGCAGTTCCTGCCCTTCAGCACTGGCTCTCTTCTCAACACCAGAGGTAGTCCTTACATGACATTAATTATGATCTGGTACTATGTTCATAAAAACTCCATTAACGGTTGATTGAAAAATGCAGTTTGGTCACTTCTCTTCCTCAACATCTGGTTTCTTCACATCTTCATCTTCTTGTATTTTTTTACCTGGTTCTTCTTGATGAAGTGGTGAAAAGTTTGCCAGCTCACTGTTACCACTCTCCAGTTTTGCTTCATGTCAAGCTGAGCTCTCTGCAAAGGCCAGGATCACGGCTTGAGAAGATGTCGATCATCTTCTGACTCGCCTCGGTGCCTTTCCTTCGCACCATGTCGATCACGACTCGTGCTTTTTTCACTCGCGGTTCGTCCCTGGCCGCCTCGCCTTCTTCATCATTTATCACTTCGGACTCCAGAAGTTCATCCAGCAGCTGGTTGAGAACTGGATCAGACACACGGTCGATAAACTGCGTCCGAGCCCTCTTTAGCTTCTTCTCTGCTGGCGCGTTGCTGCTCATCCTCGACTCGTTTTCCTCCTGAGATGCACTTGAAGATAAAGCTGGAGAAAATGTGATGCAACAATCAGCAGTCGTGTTTCAACAGAGAACAGGCAGAAATGAAAAGACGTTTCTAATGTTGATTGAAGGAGCTCTTTGACCCCCTGAGAAACTCAGTTATTGTCAGGAAACTCCTTTGTTTTCAACGTGTTGATTCAAGATGTTATTATATATTTTAACCCTGACACAGTACTTGTCATGATACTTGGCTGAGGGTTTGATAGAAGATCTATCGTGATACTGATTCAGTAAACCCTATTGGCCATCTTCTTGTTAATTTTATCAAGAAACTGTCATTTAGATTTAGTTTTAGTCCTTCTCAGAAAATTGTGGTTGATCAGAGTCACAGTTTAGACTTTGTTTCTTGTGTTGTTTTAATCAAGATTTAGTCAAAGGAACTCAGTTTTCATTTTCGTCTCATTTGAGTCAATTTTCTTCTAGTTTTAGTCGATATTTTAGTCAAAACTTTCTCAGATAGTTTTCTCAGGAGGATATTTCTCCTGGTTGTAAAAATTTGAGGGTGAAGAAAGAATACCCTCATCTTTGCTGAAAACTCATACAAAAAAAAGCTGAACGCACAAAACTTGATCTACAAAGTGTAAAAAGTCACATTACAAAAAACACGAGTTTTAGTGTCTGCTGAATAACTCAAGGTCTGATGACGATAATGTGTAAAACCTTAAGACTGAGTATTTACCAGGCGGGTCGAGGCGTTGCTCCCACACTTGCATGTCATCTGGATCTCGCACCATCAGAGTGACTTCCTCTGTGCCCGTGGTCAGGGTGACCTTAAACGTCATGTGGTAATTTGGCCCGTAGTTTTCAAAGAACTCTGCCGTCTAGAAACAAAATGCAAACATTTCTTATGATTGTTTACAGCCTTGTCTTCTCAGGCTGCAGAAATGGTTCCTGGTACTCACTGGAGGCTGAATGGTGAAGCCCTCCGGGTCACTGTGGAGGCTGTAGTCCCGGTTTCTGAGCAGGCGACAGTCCGACGTAACTCGGATGTACTTGCAATCTTCATACTGCGCTTTAACCTTTGACAATTAAATCAGACAGCAGACATCAATATCTCTCAAACAAGATTTAAAGCGGACATTACTCGCACTAAAAGAGGGTGAAATATCCAACAGCAGGTACAGTTCAGTGCAGTTTTTGTGATTAGGAGGATGGTTTTACCTCCGGCAGAGGGACGGTTTTTGGCAGCAGAATTACACAGAGGGGGCGCATTCCTCTGTACGCTCGTTCCAGGAACAGCAGGACTTGACCAAGGACTGGTCCGGTGAAAAAATTCTTGATGAGGCCAAAAATCGACAAGTGAGGTACATCCACGACAACGTGAGTGTCAGTTATCTCCAGCGGCTGAATGACGCTCATGCCGTCGTCAGTGATGTGGACGACAGAGAGGCCCTCTGAGAGCAGACCTGTAAATATCCAGAACACCAGCTTCACTTTGTCAGCTCCTCTCAAGTTCAGCTTCACCTCCACAAAGTACAAAAGAGACAACGTTCATTTTTTCTGTGTTTTCAGTGTTCTTACCAGGTTCAGGCTCACAGTGTGGGAGGTGCAGCTGACGGATTGAGTCCTGAGGACACTCGATGCTGTACAGTGGTCCTGCAGGCACTTTGTGAGCTTGTTCCAGGAGCGTCTCATCCCAGATCA